TAACCCTAACCCTAACCCTAACCCTAACCCTAACCCTAACCCTAACCCTAACCCTAACCCTAACCCTAACCCTAACCCTAACCCTAACCCTGACCTGGGCCGGGAGACCCCTTGTAACCCTAACCCTAACCTAACCCTAACGTTCCATCTGAACCTCTTTGGCTAGTGGATCCTGTCCATATGGACCCCAATGCAGGTCCTCACACCATCTGCAGCCTTATCAATTAGTAGTTTCAACATCTGACCTTGAAACTTTGACGGCCTGGAAAGTTACGTTAATCGTTAAACTTTAACGCCAAATGTAACTCAAATGGTAGCAAATGGACCCAATGAAGTTCCCAGATAGTCAAAGTTGCATATTTGTTTTGACCTCTGACCAGACAGTCATATAACCCTCCTGGGGTGATCCTTGATGGCGGCTGGCTGTCCCTTGAGGCGCTGGCTTGAGTTTGCTTTGGCCTGGGCTTGTATTGCCAAAGCCGTGAGTTCGGCAATGACCTATGTCTCTCAAGCAAACCCATAACAACGGGCCAGGTCCAGTCTGCAGGCCCAGTGACGGTGTGTGGGAGCTGTGACGGTGCATAGAGGGCTGTACCAATGCATAGAGCTGGTCTTGGTGTCCTATGGTGTGGGAGAGTGTCTTGCGGTGTGGGAAAGTGTTGGGTTGGTCTGTTACACTCTTGTGCAAATTTAGATGTGAAATAAATGACACATTTTTTCGCCTCAATATATTTCGCATTTTTTTTTTTTAGAAATGTTTCATCACAAGAGGTTCGACTGTTTCGCGAAGAAAGTGCATTTGCCTTGATCGCAACTCGGCAATGAGAAGGCTTAGGCGACAGGAGCGCCCCTGGACGTAGCGACAACGCGAGCCATGACAGATGCCGGCACAGGCACGCCAGATAGACGAAGCAGCTGGTTGTTGAGACCAAGGATCTTGGCAGCGCTGTTGCGCTCGAAAGCGTCAAGGGCGGCCTTGGCGACGTCGTCCGATTTATGAATGCCGACATAGTCGAGAAGGCCGCGTACTTCGCCGCCGCCCTGACCGTTGAGATTGGTCTTTGTGATGCCGGGGACAATGCAGGCAATACGAACGCCAGATTCAAGATTCTCTTGACGCACGGCTTGCGACCAAGAGAGGAGGAAAGCTTTGCATGCTGCGTACGTGGCCGTCCAAGGCACAGGCTGATAAGCGGCGGTGGAGCCAATGTTGAGCAAGCCACCACGACGACGCTCCAGCATGCCTGGAAGGAAGCGGCTCGAAAGATCGATGACGATGCGGACCAACGTGTCGACGCAGTCGAGAGCATTGTCGTCCTTCGAAGCGAAGCTGGCTTTCCTAGCGACGCCAGCGTTGTTGATCAGGATGTCGATAGACCAGCCCCATTCGTCGACCTTGGACTGCACGTTAGCGCCAGCTTCGCGCTCGGTGAGGTCAGCGAGGATGGTGCGGATCTCTTGACGGGCGCTGCACTTTTGGCGGAGCTCGTCAGCGGTTTGGTCGAGCTTCGACTGTTGCCTGCCAACAAGTACGAGGCGTGCGATGCCCTTGGAGACGATTTCGAACGCGATGCTGCGACCAATGCCGCTCGTGGGTCCGGTAATGAGCGCGGTCGACGTTGAGTAATCCACTTTATTCATGCTGTCGGTCGTTCTTGCTGCGTGATCCAGCTTCGTGTGTTTAGACTTGAGGACAGGATCGTGTCGGGAGAGATGGGAACGCTGAGGATTCGTGCTCGTCATATAAAGTGCGAGGCGATTCTTTCACACGTCTACTGTAACGCAGATATTCGCAGCGGCTTCGGGCATATTTGACACATATTTCCGGGGATGACCCATGACGGCGACGAAGGAAGCGACGATGCTAAACGAGCTTGGCGAGAAAAAACAATCAAGTTGAGCTGAGCACATCGAGAAGCGCTAAGCGACCGCGTCCGAATCGTCGGGTCAGCATGTCAGTTGTTCGATTGCACCACGACTCGTCACAGCAAAGCGCGATTCATGTGAGTGTGCACAGTCGACGAGAACAGCATAGACAAGTGATCAGAAGCGTGATGACATTACACTCATCGGGAATACAGATACAAGCAACGAATGGCGAACAGGACAACGCCTTAGATAGGAGCGGGCATGCTGAGGTTGACGTGGACGGCCTTGACGTTGGTGTAGTTGGTCAGCGCGTACTCGCCGAGCTCTCGGCCAATACCCGAAGCCTTGTAGCCACCGAAGGGCACCTGGGGTACGAGTAGGTTGTAGTTGTTGACCCAGACGGTGCCAGCCTTGAGCTTATGGGCGGTCTCGAGCGCGCGGCTGATGTCTCGGCTGAAGACGGCAGCGGCCAGGCCGTAGATCGAGTCGTTGGCGATTCGGATGAGGTCCTTCTCGTCCTTGAACTTGGTAACGACGACGACAGGGCCGAAGATCTCCTCCTTGGCGATCTTGGCATCGTGAGGCACGTCGGTGAAGATGGTAGGCTCGATGAAGTAGCCCTGGTCACCCTTGCGAACACCACCGAGGTGGAGGTTGGCGTCCTTCTTGCCGGACTCGATGTACTCCATGATGCGGTCGTACTGGAGCTGCGAGACCTGGGGACCCTGGAAGGTGTTCTCGGCGAAGGGGTCACCGACCTGGAGACCCTTGCAGTAGGCGGTCATCTTCTCCATAAAGGCGTCGTAGATCTCCTCCTCAACGTAGACACGCGAGCCGGCACAGCAGCACTGGCCGTGGTTGAACATGATACCGAAGGCGGACCACTTGACAGCCTGCTCCAGGTCGGCGTCCTTGAAGACGATGTTGGGCGACTTGCCGCCGAGCTCGAGGGTGACCTTCTTCAGGTTGGTCGAGGCAGCCGCCTTCATGATGTTGCGACCGACCAGGGTGGAACCGGTAAAGGCGATCTTGTCGATGTCCATGTGCTGCGAGATGGCGGCACCGGCGACGGGACCGAAACCAGAAACGACGTTGACGACACCGGCGGGGAAGCCAGCCTCGGCGATGAGCTCGCACATCTTGAAAGCGGAGAGTGGGGTCTGCTCGGCAGTCTTGAGGACGATGGTGTTACCGGTGGCAAGCGCGGGTCCGATCTTCCAGGCGAACATGAGCAAGGGGAAGTTCCAGGGGATGATCTGACCGCAGACACCGATGGGCTCGTGACGGGTGTAGTTGAGACGCTTGTTGTCGACCTCCATAACCTTGCCGTGGTTCTTGTCGGCCCAGCCACCGTAGTAGCGCAGGTTGGCGGCGACAGCCGAGACGTCGAAGCCCTTTGCGATGGAGAAGGCCTTGCCGTTGTCGAGCGACTCGATGGCGGCGAGCTCGTCAATGTTGGCCTCGACCAGGTCGGCGAGCTTCATCAGAAGGCGGCCACGAGCGTCACCGGGGGTGTTCTCACCCCAGACGGTCTCGAAGGCCTCACGGGCGGCCTTGACGGCGACATCGATATCCTTGGCGGAGGCCTCGGCGACCTGACCGATCTCCTTGCCGGTGGAAGGGTTGACGGTGGCGAAGGTCTTGCCGTCGAGAGCGGGGACGAACTTGTTGTTGATGAACAAGTCGGTCTTGATGGTGGACTTGATGCCGTTAGGCAGGTCGAGGTTGAGAGTGGGCATGTTGGCGGTGTGACGATGGAGGAAAGGTAATTGATGAGAGCAGACGGGAAGAAGGCCGAGCTTGATCAGGGCTTATATAGATTTGTGGATCGAGTAAGGTCTTCTGACTGCGGGGCAAATGAGCTTCTCGGCTGGACCAGACCACGAGCGAAAGGTAGGGGGCTGCGCAGGGTCTTCATTCCATCTGCCTGCGGCAGCTGACGACGACAGGGTTGCGGATGTGTCACTCTGGCAGTGGAATCTCGGTCAAGGGCCGCCGCCGCGCTGCAGCTTGCCCTTTTGGGTGGCACCGAGTGTTTTAGCCCGGTGACCTGTGCTCGCGGCTCTCTCCCCCGCACCGCACTGCGAACGGGCCAGCCGCACTGCGCACTGACTTCCCTCGGCCTTAAATTCAGCGAAAATGGCTCCTTCTTCTTTGGCGCTGCCTGCAACACCTTGTGCATCGAGGTGTCCGTCATGTCGAGGCTCATTTCGCATCCTGCTCATCGTCGTGCTTCCGATACTTGTGATGACGAGGAACGGCACGATCGGACTTTGGTTCTGTGGGCGAGAGAAACAAGGCTCGGTCCATGTACCAAGCGCGTCGGCTTTTACGACCTTGACGGTGATGAAGAATTAAATAATGCCCTTCCTTCGCTTGCTTCACAGTCAGCCGCCTGGACGCTAGCTGTGGCGCGCGCTTCGCTGCCGCACCTTCTGACCTCAAAGTATCTCTTTCCCTCTCGTGTGTTGCTTGGATCGCTTCCTTCCCGTCAAGGCTCGCACTCTTCATCCTGAGTCGCAGACAACTGCAAATCACTCACATCCGACATGTGGCACCCGGCTTTGCTGAAACGGACTGGAGATTGCCCACATACCCATTTGAGCCGATGTCGGCAATGCAAAGGGAGCGCCGACTCCTCTCGAATGCTCAGCTTCCACGCGGCAGCGACCAGAATAAGGCGCATGACCTATCATCGCTTAGATCCGACTGAGCGGGGCTAAGAAGACCACACAGAACAAGGCCCCGGTGTCGCACTTGCTAGGCAGAGCGCGGCAATATTTCCCGGCCATCAGTCGCCGTGAGGTCACGGGGTCTCCTTCTTCCATCGATGTGGCCCCCGCATGCACGCTGGCTCCCCTTTCGAAGCAGATCTTCCACCTTATTCGACTTCTGCGCCTATCGATAAATGCCTTCACAATCTGTTGTTGCGCTCTTCGGCAAGTCAATGATGCTGTGTGTGTCACGCCGCCTTGCGTCTCCCAGCCGCCACCTAGAGCGATGACTTCCTTTCTTCGGTCAGGGTCTAATCGAAGCGACACAAGCCGAGCGTGCGTAAAAAAGCGCCGACCAGATTTGCGGCAGCCAGCCGACTCTTCTTCCGTCTCGAATGTAACATAGAAACAAAGTCTTCTCTTCGAGAGAATATCGAGATCTAGTTCCGATCAACATCCCGATCCACGGTCTGTCTCTCGCCTGCACGTCGGATGACGCGCTGGACCCTGAAAACGTGCTCCTCAGCCAATTCGGCGTACGGCGAGCGACGGCCTGAGACCGCTTTGCTGGCCACAACTCTGTGCAACCCCACGTCGCCGAGCTGAGTTACCTTTCGGTTTTTTGAGTTTGGTGGAGATGCGTGCCGGCCTGTCCACGTTCGCACCACCGTCTTAGTCCTATTTTGGTCTGTGCTAGTCATACACACCTCCTATCGTCACCCACCCTCTAGACATCGCAGCAGCACGATCTTGGCCTCGTACAGCAGTGTGCGCGACAACGGCTCTCTCCCTCCACACTTGTGTTCACATAGACCCGCTCGCTCGTGACGCGACAAAAAGACCTATTCATAGACAACATCTTGTGGCGGCCTTCTCGACTTCACTTCCCCTGCGTCCATCTTGTTCTCGCTCCCATACCTCGACAAGCGCAACCTCACTCAGATGGCTGCTTAGATCCTGACTGATTGATACAGCAGGTCTGCCGCTCAACGCGTGCTGCCACGGCTCACAAACCTCATCGAACATCTCCTGCCTCAACTGCAACTATTGATCAGTCGACATCGCCAGCATGACACAATTCGTGTTTGCAGACCGCTTTGTCTTGCCAGAGGGGTCTGCTCTGTCCTCAAACCGTCTCCATATCATCTTCTATGCATCTCTCGTTGTGCAGCATGCCATCTTCCACGCTCTGTCCCAGTCGTGGCTCAAGGGCGACAGCAAGGAGATGCTCAAGAAGCGATGCTGGATCCTCACTACCGTGGCCAGCTTCGTCATGTGTGGAGCCAGTCTGCCTTACCTCTACGACCTCATCCTCGGTGGCTTTGATCTGCATGCTCTACGACCCAGGACCAAGACGGTGGCCGAGCCGCTAGCTGCGTTCTTCGTCGCCTACCTTCTCTCCGATCTTACCCTCGGCTCGATCTACTACCGCAAGCTGATCAACCTTTCCTCCGGCTGGATTCACCACATTGCGTATACGTTTCTCTTTTCCCTTTGGGTCCACAAAGGCTGGGCGCACATCGCAGCTACCGCGGCCATCTTTGAGCTGCCAACGCTCATCATGGGTGTCGCCTCGATCTATCCTCCGCTTCGCTCCAACATGGCCTTCACCGTGACCTTCTTCAGCACACGCGTCTTCTACCACTTTGCTCTGCTGATTGCCTGCGTTACTCCGCACGGACGCAACGCTCCAGGTATCAACGGCAGCTGGGGTCCAGCCATCAGCCTGATCGCCACGTATCCCATGCACGTCTGGTGGGGCTACAAGTGCATCTGCAGCATCCGACGAAGGATGTACAAGAGGAAGCTCGAGGCTGCCCAAGTGGCCAAAGAAAAGGCATCTCTCGCCTCGGCTGCTGGTCAGCTATTCAACGGCATGCCCGCTCCGGACATCAGCAGTGCAGTCAACACGCCTGCTACGACGCCTGGTGCTGGTGCTACACATGCCACTGCCAACTTTGGCGCAACTGGACCGGTCCATGCCGCATTCGCGAGGGCTGCAGCGGCCGCACGCCCTCCCGCCAATCTCCTCCTGCCAAAGCGTCGCCGGGGTCAGCGAACGGACGGCGAGTCTCCGGTCAAGCATCCGCTCTTGTCGAGGAGGCTTACACCGAAGTACATCAACTCAAAGTCGGTGTTCACTGCGCCTGTCGCTCCTGATGGTGCTGGACCCCACGATACGGAGCCTTTCTTGGCGATCCGCTCTCCCGCTGAAGCGAGAGATCGGGCGCGCCGACTGGTGGCAGATGCAGTGCGCAAGGTGTGGATCAACGCACCTGCGAGCTGGAGGCGCCAATTCGAGGAGGAAGCTGGCGTGCGACCCAAAGGCTTGGGCGCAACAGGCCGCATGCCTTCGTACACAACCGACGAGTCGTCGGAAGAGTACACAGAAGCAGAATCGGACTCGGCTGCTCAGTCAGGCATGTCAGAGTCGCGAGCGCGTCGCTACCTGCAAGCCCAGCGATCGCGCGTCCGTCGTGCGGTTCTGCGCGCTGTGCGAACCGCGATCAATGGTCGAGACGCAGACGGTGTCAAGGCAGTGACCTCGCACGATGGCAATGTGATCACGACGTTTGCGGACGGTGCCGTGGCAGCGGCGGGCGATGTGAGACCCACAGGCATCGACAGGACGCTGCTCTCACTCGACTTCAGCTCGTTGGTCCGGTATCTGCCGCCAGACTTCTTGGGACAGGACTCCGAGGTCCGCGAGTTCCCTGTCGAACAGGTGGCCCAGGGCAGTCGACGCAAGCGCATCGTCGGCCAGATCCGACGACGAATGGAGGTGGCCCGAAGTGATTTTGTTGTGTTCGATTGATGGCTCGTCCTCTTCGCCCCTTTCCACCTTTACGATCATGATGTAGATACAGCCATGCCTTGACGACACGAGCTCCCTGACTTTGATGCAATATACCCCTTCTGCAAGTTTTCCCAAACAGCAGGTATCCAGGATTGGCAGCAACGAGGACACCGGTGAGGTGTCTCATTGATCGCCTCGATCTGCTCGTATTCAAAGCGGATCATGCGCGATCGCGGATGTGACGGCTTACAAATTGGCACAGGCGGTGATCCGTGGATAAACCTCCGCGGCCTGGACCGCGTATGCTGTATGAGTATCGCGATTCTTGATCGGCTGGGCGGCTCGTCAAGCGGAGTGGTCTAGCGTGTCTCGGCTGGCTAGACCGGTATCGATCCGATGGCATGCCTCGAACGTGGACTAAGCGATGAGATTTGGGGTGATCCCTCGGATCAGCCAGAAGCGGATATGATCGAACGAGCCGCCGTCACATGCGGCGCGAATTTTCGCCGCGACGAGCTTTGCGTGAAAGGCAGCCTGATCCGATTGTTGCGAGGTGATTCGGATCCTAGCCGTCGCACCCTTATCGGCGCCTCCGGATATTTTCTCCAACCTCGACGGGGAACCGAGATGACTGGATTCTTGCGGAGCTTCCGATGCAGATGGGCGTGAGAGCACAATGTCAGGGGAGACAACGCTTAACCTCATCGTGGCGGAACGGGTCGGATCAGACCATTGTTGATGGCATTCGTGCAGAGCCGAATTCTAGGCTCATTCGGACGACGTGCGGAGTTGCAACCTCGCCGGAGGCTTGCACTGCATCTGCTCCCAAGTCAAGTGTAAACAAGCTTCGAGGCAAGCTGGCTGTGTTGTTCCAGGGTCCGACGCCGCCCGTCGGTGTTGACATGTGGTTGGCTGATGGCAGCGGGCGCAGCAAGGGCAAGAATTCAAAAGTTTCTCCCCTCGATGGCAGGCTAAGCGCGCAGGTTGGAAGGCCGTGTCGCCGCTGCAGTCGGTGACGTGGGTTGTCCTGCTTTGTCGATCAGCGCAGCTCGCACGGCAGACCGGCAAACCAGCTGCAATGCTTCAGATTTAGCGACGTCCCTCCTTGGCATTGGATGACGACGAAGCGCCGGGAAGCCGGTCGTCCATCGCTTGGCGGGAAGGATGTTGGGCTTTCGACATGGCACTTGAAGACACGCAAAAGAAGGGCAGTCGATTCCGGTCTCAGATGGGCACCACTTCTTGTGGTAAGTCGACCCACCTCGAAGCGACCTGCAAAGACGGAACGAATTGGGGTCCCGACGGCGACCAAGCGGCTCCCTAGCGTGAAAGGCCAGTCTGTCCTCGCGATCCGATACGGCATTTGATCTGAGCACCAGCGTTGCTTCGCGTGTTTTTCTTACGGCCGCGGCAGCTGCATGTATCGTCGTTGCATACGCACGCAGCATGCATGCATGGCTGGCTCGGCGAGGGCCAACATCGATTCTGGAACGTGAGTCTATCGATTTTGGCTGAATTTTATTTCAACGCTTCTTCCGTAGCTGTGTGAGTGTTCTGGTTGGATAGGCCATCTCAATGACTGCCGCCGAGGCGCGTGTGTTCAAAGTCGATTGTCACTTGCTCGTCTTTGCCGAGATTGTGTAAGAGGGGCGACTCGGACTTTCCGCCTTGAATCGGCTGCTGCCCGAGTGTGATCATATCAAGGAGCACTGCCTACCGATACGAGATGGACAGGACAGTAAGGGTCAGTGTCTCGCTAGAGTATGAAATCGAAGCCACTTGACGTGCGTCGCCCACCAACGATGTATGATGGCATGGAAGCATTGCAGGGGGCTGCACCTCCATCTCGCATCAGCTAAGAGAAAAGAAGCAAGGACCATCGAACCACGCTGCCAAGTCAAGCCAGATGACTTCACCGCTGCCGGACAATTGTTTTTTGGCAGCGGCGCGTGAACCGTCACAAAGCCAAAAACAACATTGGGAAATTAAAAACAGTAAACAAAGTCGGGGTGCAGCGGGCACATGCGCCTCGCACACTGCAGCCGAAATCAAAAGAAAAAAAGAAAACAATTTGCGTTCGGCACTCGCGCTCGCACGCGCACACACACACACACACGCAGAGTTGGTTGCTCAGTCACACAGACATGGCCGAGCCCTCCTCCTACATCATCGTCATTAGAAGCAGCAGCAAACCCTGGCCTCGCTTCAGGGCACCAGAGACAAGGACCCACAGCCTCATTTCCCGTGCTCTTTCTCTCACAGGACGGACTCCGCTCTCATGCAGCTTCAAGGACGCCTGACAGAAACTTTTGACTGCTGTCTTTCGTTCATATTCCGACTCCGCCCCAAGTGACACAGTCAAAGTGGTAACGCATCCCAACGGCTAGCATCAGACGGCGTTCACAGGGTTGGTACGCCAAGCTGACAAGATTGCTGCTATATAACATCGGCTTGATTGTTCATCACGCATCCTCCTTCTCTCCTCTCAACGACACCATACCCCCTCCTTGGCGAACGCGTCCGACCGCTTCTCAACGGCCGCCATCGCCATCCTAGCAGCCATCATGCCGCCGTTCAACCTTGTCTCTGGTTCGGCCACGCTGGTGCTCGCCGCCTCGCTCTTCCAGCAGGCCGCCGCCCAGAGCGCTGCCAACAGCGAAGCAACCACCTCAACCGTCATCTCGTCGATCGTGCTCAACTTGATCATCTTCGCCATCCTCTTCACCATCTTCGTCCTCGCTCGTCCCCGCTTCAAGCGCGTCTATGCTCCTCGAACCTACCTCGTCACCAAGGAGGAGCAGATCGAGCCTCTGCCTCAGTCGCTCTTTGGCTGGCTTCCCGTCTGGCTCAAGACGCCCACCACCACCATCCTCGAAAAGAGCGGTCTCGACTCCTACATGTTCATCGAGTACCTCGAGATGATGCTCTGGATCTTTGTCCCCATCTGGCTTCTCTCCTGGATCGTCCTCATGCCCGTTTACGGCGCCGGAACCACCGGCACCGGCACCGGCTTCAACCGTTTCATTCTCTCTCGTGTCGGCAAGAGCCCCCAGCAGCAGAAGCGATACGTGGCTCCTCTGCTCATCCAGTGGATCTTTACCTTCTGGCTCATGTGGAACGTCCGTTCGCGCATGTCCAAGTTCATCAAGCTGCGCCAGCAATTCCTCGTCTCGCCTGAGCACGCCAACACCGCACAGGCAAAGACCGTCCTCATCACTGGCATCCCCAACGAGCTCTGCAGCGAGAAGAAGCTCCGCAGCATCTACTCGCAGCTCCCCGGCGGTGTCGCCAAGATCTGGCTCAACCGCAACCTCAAGGAGCTCCCAGACCTCTACGATGAGCGCGAGAAGTGGGTCAACAAGCTCGAAGGTGCCGAGACCAGCCTGATCAAGACCGCCTACAAGCTCGTTAAGAAGGGCAAGGCCGAGGACAACAGTGGCTCCCTTCCTGGTGCCGACGTCGAGATCAACGCCGAGGTCGCCGACCAGTACGTGCCCAAGAAGAAGCGTCCCACTCACAAGCTCGGCAAGATTCCCTGCATGGGTGAAAAGGTCGACACCATCCACTGGTGCCGTGAGGAGATTGCTCGTCTCAACAAGGAGATCGAGAGGATGCGCTCCGAGATCAACGTCGACTACAAGAACTACCCTCCTCAGAGCAGTGCTTTCATCCTCTTCAACACTCAGATCGCCGCTCACATGGCCGCCAAGGCGGTCGCTCACCACGAACCCTACCGCATGACCAACCGCTATGTCGAGGCTCACCCCGATGATGTTGTCTGGGCCAACATGAACATGAACCCCTACGAGCGCAAGATTCGCACCCTCATTGGCTGGGCCATCACCATCGGCCTCATCGTTTTCTGGGCCGTTCCTGTCGCTTTCGTCGGTATCGTCTCCAACATCAAGGGACTTGCCAACAATGACACTGTACCCTTCCTGGGCTGGCTCAACAGCATTCCCAACGTCGTTGTCGGTATCATTCAGGGTATCTTGCCCACCGTCCTGCTTGCCGTGCTCAACATGCTGCTGCCCATCTTCCTGCGTCTCCTCTCGCGACTCAGCGGCACGCCCACCCGCAGTGCCATCGAACTCGACCTCCAGGGACGATTCGCTGCTTTCCAGATCGTGCAGAACTTCCTCTTCTTGACCTTGATCTCGGGTAACGCCGGTCAGATTGCTCAATTCGTCACTCAGGTCGGTCAGAACCCTGCCAACTTCCCCGGTCTTCTCGCTGAGGCCATCCCCAAGGGTTCGCTCTTCTTCCTCAGCTTCATCGCCCTGACCGGTCTGTCGGGCGCCGCCTCGCTCTTTGCGCAGGTGGCCGGTCTCGCCGTCTACTACGTCAAGAAGTTTTTGCTCGCCTCGACGCCTCGCAAGGTGTGGCACATCGACCACGACACTGGCGCTCCGGCTTGGGGTACCTTGTTCCCCCAGATGACGCTCATCACCGTCATCGGCATCGGTTACGTGGTCATTGCGCCCATCGTCAACATCTTTGTGGTGTTCACCTTCTTCCTCTTCTACCTCGGCTACAAGTACCTCTTCCTCTATGTCTACGACAACAAGCCGGCGGGCGAGACCTCGGGTCTCTTCTTCGGCAAGGCCATCCGCCACCTGTTTGCCGGCCTGTACGTCGAGATGGTGATGCTCACGGCCATCTTCTTCCTGGCTCAGTCGGAGGATGCCAACGGAGGCAACAGGATGCAGTCGGCGATTCCCGAGGGTGCTTTCATGATCATCCTCATTGTGATCGTGATGGGCTTCCACTACTTCCTCAACGACTCGTTCAAGGAGCTCGAGACGGCCCTCCCTCTCACGCTCACGGCCGGCAACTCGACCGAGGGCCAGCTGCAGGGCAACTTCACGCGCACCTCGGGCGAGACGGCGTACACCGAGAAGAGGCACATCAACGCGCAGGGTTCGCCCGACGAGACCCCCGGTGCCGGTGTCAACGGTCTGCAGCCGCACGGTGTCAACGGTGCCGGTGTCGGCAGCGCCGAGAAGCACCAGTCGGCGGGCGGCTTGACGCCGGAGCAGGAGCAGGCGTTCTTCCATCCTTCGCTCACAGGTGAGCAGAAGCCCATCTGGTTGCCCAACGACAAGTTCGGCATCGGCCGCGCCGGCGTCGCCTCGGCTCGCAAGGCCGGCCTCGATGCCACCTACGAGCACACCTCGGTCACCGAGAAGGGCCAGGTCGAGACCGACGCTTATGAGCCCCCCGGAGAGCCGCTCGTCTGAGTGTGCGCCGCTCGGAACCATATACCACTTTTCGTTTCGTGTCTTGGGCTCCGTCGCTGTTTCGACAGAACCTTTTTCCTTCCTTCTTCGAATCGTGTTCCTTCATACCCGTCTCACTCTTTCCTAGTTGCGCAGATACTTGACGTCGTCGATGCTTTCGGGCGCGGCGCTGTGATAATGTATCTGCTTTCAAAAACAAAGTGTACCGTGTGCGGGCGTCAATGTCCAGTCCGGAGCTAAACGCCATCCACCCTTCCGCCTTGAGATTGATGTTGATGTATGCAAGACGCATGTTGCACGATGAGCATGATGCGGACGATGCGCTATCAGTCAGACACGCCCGTAGCCGAAGCAAAAAGCGACGCGAGGCTGACCAAAGACCAGGGAAGCTGCGGAGTGGGAAAGTCACGTCGGCCAATTGATCGGCCACCCCACGCCGACGAGAAAACAGAGCGTCCTCCCCCCGCGTTCTGGTATGCACAAGGCACGGGTCTCGGTCGCCGGTCAACGTCGGGGGCATCCTTACTGAGAGGTGTCCTGCGCTGCTGGATGCCGTGCCCGAGGATGTGCGGGGAGAGCAGCTCGGAAAGGGTACGTTGCGGCCAGTTCTCGTCGATGTTGCTTCCTGGCGAGTGACCATCATCACCAAGCTTCGCATCGAACCTCCCACACATTCGTTCTGAGGAACCACATTCTCTCGACGATGACCGCAACTTCCTCGAACGGCGCTGCCACGCCCAACGATGGCACCTTTGCCGCTGGCGACCTCCCCGACTTTGACTCGATTCCTGCTGTCCCAGGCATGCCCCACGGGTGCGCTTGGAAAGTCTGGGGCAGCGGCGACGCTTTGGGTACACTCAACCTTCTCACTCCCACCGTCGTTGCTTCTGCCGCGTCAGAAATCCGTACTGGCGAGCGTGTCGCCCTCGACTGGGGCCTCGATAGCGTCGACATCCCCGCTAATCAGCGCGCGCACTTCGAGCATCGTATCATCGACCTCAAACCCCGCTTGGGCGTCTACGCCACCGACGACGAGGTCCACTTGAACACCCAAACCAGCTCTCAGTGGGATGGGTTCAACCATTTCGCCCACCAGTCGACCGGGTTGTACTATGGAGGGGTCAGCCACGAGGATTTGCACTCGGGAAAGGTGCCGAAGGGCGAGAGGAACAGTATGCATGCGTGGAGTTTGACCGGTGGCATTGCGGGGAGAGGCGTGCTCGTGGACTGGGTACACTGGTGGGAGCAGACCAAGGATGAACCAGTTCCCCCGGGCAACTCTTCTTATCCGATCCCGTTGGAGCAGATCAAGCAGGTCCTCGCGTGGCAAAAGACGGAACTGCGGACGGGGGATATTTTGTTGTTGCGAACGGGCGTTGTGCGGTGGTTCGAAGGCGCGAGTGAGGAGGAAAAGGTCAAGGGGATGATCGAGAACGACAACTTCCCCGGGCTCGAGGCGACCGAGGAGACCAAGAGGTGGTTGTGGAACTCCCACTTTGCCGCCGTCGCGAGCGACAATATGAGCTTCGAGTTTGGTCCACATGGCGGTAAGTGCCGATCCCACGCCGTTCTGAGGAAAGAGAAGAGAGGTACTGATCGAGATTTGGCCGCAATGCGTAAAACAGATCTCTGGCTGCACGAGTGGATCTTGCCCATGTTCGGCTGTCCCATCGGCGAGCTTTTCGATCTGGAACGGCTGTCAGGCGCCTGCCAGAAGCATCAAAGGTGGTCATTCTTCCTCACGTCGGCGCCGATTCGAGGTGAGTACTCCGGCTCCGTCTCGCTGCTACACCAATAGTCTGCTGACACCACACTCCGATCTGATTGTGGATCGACAGTCAAGGGCGGCATCGCCTCCTCCCCGAACGCCATCTGCATCTTTTAAGTCGACCTCGATTTCGCTCTGTCTCACTCGGTCTCATCGATCATCTCCTGGCTTCACAATGGATATCAGGTGACAAATGTGTATCTTCTTTCAGCAAGACTAAGTTACAACTCGGCCAAAGCCGTTCGCCCACCGAGCAGCTCGACGAGCGCTTTGAGCTCGTGCCACCACGCCGTCTTGCCGCGTCGATTCTTCATATCGGCGTTCTTTGCCATCTCGGTTGCCGCGGTGAAGCAGATGGTGGAACCCTGGATGGTGATCATCACCGCCGTGTCGTCCGAGTACGACTTTTCGCCCGTCTTGGATGAGTGCGATGACGAGGAAGAGCGCTGCTTGAGAGCTTCGGACTCGAGGAATTCGCAGCATTTGAGTGCGAGACGGGTCGCACGGACACGGTCGAGTGGCGAGGGAACGCCGCCCTGAAGCGTGTGGCCCAGGCTGGCGGATCGCGCATCGAACAGGCTCTTGCCCTCTTCTTTGAGGATCTTGGTGATGACTTCCGTTGTGAACACTTCGGAGGACTTCTCGTTGCGGATGACCAGACGACCTTCCGACTTGCCCTTGACATCGAGCAAAAAGCGCTTCTTGAGGAAGTTGACGTCTTTGCCTAGCTGCTGCAGACCGATGCCGACTTCGGGCGTGTAGACGAGCACAGCACCGGCAGCGAGCGCACCCATGACGGCGATGTAGCCGCACTTGCCTCCCTGCGTCTCGACGACGAAGACACGGTTGCGCGATGCAGACGCCGACTGCTTGACGGCGTCACAGGCGTCCACCAGGGCGTTGAGCGACGTATCGGATCCAAGCGAGAACTCGTTCATGGGCACATTGTTGGAAATGGTGGCGGGAAGACCGACGATGGGGATGCGGAAGGCAGGGTATCGGTCGCGGTTGTCGTTGAGGATCTTGACAGAGCTGAACGCCTCGAATCCACCAACGATGAGGAGACCTTCGATCTTGTGTTCCTGCAGCTTGGCTGCCACGGCGCCAATGTCGATGTCGGGCAGGTGACGGTTGACGCCGAGCTCAGAGCCGCCTCTTGTCGCCCAGCCATCCACGCGCAGCCAGGTGAGCATCGAAACATTGTCCTCGAGCAAGCCGGGAAATCCGTTATAGATGACGACAGCCTCGTGACCCTTGGCGAGACAGTAGCGCACGGCTGTTCGGGTCGCAGCGTTCATGCCTCCTGCAGGCGCGCCGACGTGGATGACGCCCATCCTCATGCGCTTCTTCTCTGGCACTCGCTCGTCCTCGGTGATCTGGCTGATGTACTTGAATGCACGGAGACCTTCGGCAAACTCGGGATCGCGAAGTGCCAACGCACCGTCAAAGTCTTTCGACTCGATGAGCTTGGCCACCTTTTGGGTCTGTTCGACGGCAAACATGAGCGGGATGCGCGTGATCTTGTTTTCGCTGATGCCGATGACGTACGATGGGGTCTCTGGGGTAGCTTCGAGCACAGCATCGACGGCTTCGATACCCTGGAGGGTGGCAAGGATGCGATCGTTGGCGTCCGGCTTGCCTCCTCGCTGGGTGTGACCCAGGGTGGTGACACGAGTATCGAGACCGAGATCGTCGGACAGCACGTTCTTGATCATCTCTGGGGTGATGTCATTGAGCTCGCGGTCGATAGCGCCTTCGGCGACAATGACAATCGACTTTCGCTTTCCGAGATCTCTGTGCTTTTGAAGGACCTCGCACATTTCCGAGTGCCATTCCTGACCCGTAGGAGGGCGTTCGGGTATGAAGACGTAGTCGGCACCGGTAGCAATACCGGCCATGAGGGCGAGCCAGCCGCAGTGTCGTCCCATGACTTCGACTACGAAGGCGCGGGAGTGTGACGCAGCTGTGGAAGAGATGGAGTCGACCGACTCGCAGATGCGTTGCAGAGCAGTGGATGCGCCAATGGTGATGTCGGTGGTGGCCATGTCATTGTCGATGGAGCCGACGAGACCGACGATGTTGAGATGCGCAAACTTGGTGGCCTGCTCTTCAGTGATGCGACCCTTGGACTTGAGCGCCGAGACGAGGTCGGGCCATTCTGCGCGAAGCTTGTCTGCACCGGTGAGACTTCCGTCACCACCACAGACGGCAAGTGCGTCGATGCCGTTGATGATGAGGTTGTAGGCAGCTTGCTCGCGGCCTTCTGGTGTGCGGAACGTCTTGGATCGAGCGGTCCCGATCAGAGTTCCGCCTTGGTCCATCCAACCACGCACGTCATCCCAACCTACGCGGATGATGTATCGACCCCGGAGACCGAGTTCTTGTGCCTCTCCGACGCCTTCACGCAGCAATTCGCCTTCGCCATACGTGGGCACAAAATCGGACTGCTCCGTTTGCTGATTCCGATCGGAAGCCTTGCCTTTGGGGTCGGCGGTGTCGGCAAAGGTAGGTTGGCTCGTGCTGACCGAGGGGGTCTGTGGAGGCGTGCTATCGGGGGATTGGTTCCCGCGAACGAGACCCTCCCAGCCTTCACGGATGACGAAAGCCTCGCATCCGCGGAAGATGGCCATCTTGACGACGGAGCGTACGGCAGCATTCATACCAGCCGAGTCTCCGCCCGAGGTCATGACGGCGAGCCTTCGAGGTTGGCCTCCATTTGTGCTGGTTCGAGCGAATTTGGCGGACAAGTCTTTGTCGCTGGCCGATTGGCCGGCAAAGGTGTTTTCAGCACGGATGGCTGGCGCGAAGGGCGGCATCGTGAAGGTGTTCATCCAGCTTTGAGCCGATTGGAGGGGGTCGTTGTTTGTCGTTGGTGGTCCTGCTTTGTCTCTATGTATGGGGCAGCGCAGCCAGCGGTTGTTGCTGCGTGTTGTCTTTGATCCGGCCGGTCGAGCTGATTTGAGCCTTGAGCCAGAGTTGCAGTGGATCGAACCGAACTGATTCCGTGTTACGTGGACTGAAGATGGTTGCAAGGGAATGTCAATGGCCTCGAGGATGATCGTGAGCAAAGTCGGGTTGTCACAGAGGCTAAGAAGCGTGCTGAGCTGTAGAGTGATTTCATATCGATCTGCGCATGGATTCCTACACAAAATAGGATCCGTGCAGATCCTTATCCAAAAAAGTCACGCTCGCTTTTCTTCCTGCCAAGCGTCACCACTAAAAGAGAGTCTCGTCGTGGGTCACTGCATGTGTGTTTGTGTGGGTTGAGCTCGGTGGAATTTCGGATCAACTTTTCAGAGGACCCTCTCTCTCCTCCCAGAGGAGGGCGTTGATGACCGCATGTGAGGAAGAGGCGTGGGAACCATTTTGGCTTCACCAACCGTGATCTTCAGAAAGAGACGACGACTCAGCGTGCTCGCATGTTTCCGAAATTCGAGCCTGCGGACACGGGCCGTAACCGCTAGAAGGCCCACCACGGCAACGGCGCTGCTTTTGGGTCGTAGTTGATCCCTTCATAGCTGCGACGGGGGTCCCGATCGGACCACCCGATCCGGGCCTCGAGTCGAAGATGTCGACGCGGGCTGTCAACCACAAAGGGCGGAAGGTTGAGCGAACACGTCAGGACCGAGACATCTTGTGGTATTGTTCGTGATCATCGTGAGCTCTGTAGGTCATTTGGGCTGAAGGCTGCAGCTGGCGAATACAGTGGCTTGGGCGCGCTGTCACATGGCTCCGTGGGTCTGGAAAAGTGGGCGGCTGCCAAGCGAGGTGCGTGGTTGGAAGGGCGCGTAGAAACCCTTTACCGCTGTTTGCACGCTTAACCGGACGGAGAAAAGGGAGGCGTGCGGGCCAATCTTGTTTGGCAGCATTCCTGCTCGGCGTCTCGCATGCAAGAGTGACTAGACTAGGCTAGGCTAAGTTAGCTTTGACATCATCATCGTCACGACTGTTGAGGTCTGTCGACAGCATGACTTCTAGATTATTCTCCGACAGCAATCCATTGTCCCCGGTGCAGATGCCTCCCTTGAGCTGTGTTCGCTGCTGTCTACATGGCTTGCACCTCGTTGGACTGTCGAGAATGCACGCCAGGTCTGATCTTCCCATCGGGTGATTGTGCGCATGAACGATGGTATGCAGGATCAGCGGGGCGATATCCGCTCTCGGCCTATCTGGCCACGCAGCTGAGCTGACAAGAATGGTTTAAACTCACGTCGAGATCAGCTCTGCTCCGCATTTTGCTCTTGTCCCTCAACTCAGAAGAGAGAGACAAACCCAGATGGAAGACAAGTCATCGGTCTTGAGCCTGACTGAATTCGAAAAGCATCAACATTTAGCCCTTTGATGGTATGCGGCGTTGACCTCGGTGGCGCTGGCATTTGGGTCGCAGAGTGTGCGATCGGAATGGCTCCTTTGCTGGCTTGAAGCAGCCCCTTGCATCGCAGCCAGCCCCGCCAGATGTGCACACCTCATCTCGCCCACACACACAGATCATCATCCCACGTCGCAAGTGCCGCCCTCTCTGAGCTTCCACCGTAGAGGTTTGACCGACAGCATTCCGAATAGTCAAACCTTGGCTCGGACCCTTCTACGCCCTTGGATGCCCATGACAGATGATGGCAGTGCAAAGTGCAGAGCAGGACAAAGCAAACAAAGACCCACATCCGTCGGTTTGGTTTAGGGTTTAGATTGGCTTTCTGCAGTCGCCTGCGTCGGCTCTGAGTGGAAAATTGGACGGCGGGCGGGTCAGCATCAGCAGCAGCAGCAGCAGCAGCCACCATCCGCCCGCCTTGCCGCACACTTGAACCCTGCCCGCTGCCGTTGCACCCTTCTAAGCTCGGTCCCCTCTCTATTTTCTCTCTCGACTTCGTGTCTCATTTGAGGCGCAACGCAGCACACAGTCACACACACACTCGCGTTGCACCGTAACTCAGTTCAACTCGACTCGACTTTTTAGCACCGAAATGGACAAGAGACAGACCGACAGCTGCACGCCTGCACCTCTGTTGATTGTCACATCCCGCACGCAACACTCGCACCACTCACACAATCACCTCTGACCGCTATTCGGCTTAGGCTACGCCTCTACCGCCTGCTGCACTAGCCGTTGACCCCGCTTCACCCTCCTCGACTCAGCTCCTTCTCTCGCTCCTCCGTCACACCTTCTCTCTTTCTCTCGACATCTCTCGTCTGCGTCAGCCCCAGAGACCGATTCAATCGTCTCTCTCACCGATCACGCCCGCACGCTCTTGCACTTGGCGACCCGACTCTCCTTTGCATTTTGTCACAGTCAACCATCGATCATCTACGCCCTGGCTTGCTCTGCTCTGCTTTCCTGTTTCGATCAGTCTATCGCTCGTTTGTCACACGAGTGACCCTTCTCCGCGCAGTTCGCCATCGACCAAGCTCTGTATCGTTCCGTCGCTCGTCGACCCCACCACTACTCTCGACATCATCCGCTCCGCTTCGGACAGCGCTGTCCGTGTTACTGCATCAAGTCAATCTCGACGAGGCTTGCCTTCTGCCGTCGACGCTCAACGCTCAGCATCGTCCCTTCACAAGCGTCGGTGGAATCATCCGAGAGCGCTCTGACCAACGACACTCCGGAACCGCTGTCACCGTCCCTTTCCGACGAAGCCGACCTATCCGCCGGGCGCTGCTTCCACTTCACAACAAACGCGAGGGTCGATTCACTCGGTCTCTTTCCTTCCCCAGCATCAGGATCGAACCGCGGTGGTGGATCTGTCCACAGTTCGTCTATCCAAGGCACCACATTCCCTCATCTGCTTTCGTTGCTCGCCCATACGCCCAGCTCCTGCAAGCTCGACCATGCCTTTGCGATCACTCAGCACATAAGCTATGGCACAGGTCGCTTCCGCTTCGGAGCCACCTCTTGCGCCCTTACATCATCACGGCCTCCTACCTCATCAGCAGGGGCTCCGCGACGATCTGGTCGGCTTGTCGATCATCATGCAGGCCGCAACGGCACCCGGCGGACTGACGGACGGTGCGTCTACTTCGTATCGCGTCCCACATCCGCCTGCTACACATCCCGCCGCCTTTGATCATGCTTCAGCATCACTACGACCGCCAGAAACCGAAATGCCCACAACAGCAGCATCGCTCATGCGCGAGGGTCCAAGAGACTTTACTGTCATCAAGGACGTGGGAGACGGATCCTTCGGTACCGTCTGCCTCGCCGACTGGAAGAGCCCGCTGCCGAGTGGTACCATGCTTTCACCCATGCAGCATCCAACAACACGGCCAGAATACATTGGTAAACGTCTGGTCGCTATTAAAAAGATGAAGAAGCCCTTTCCCAGCTGGCAGGAATGCATGAAGCTCAAAGAGCTCAGCTCGCTCCTCACAATACCTCCGCATCCCAACATCATCCCGCTCTACGACGCCTTCCTCATGCCCACCACAAAAGAGCTTCACTTCGTCTTTGAGTGCATGGAGGGCAACCTCTATCAGCTCACAAAGTCGCGCAAGGGGCGTCCACTTGCCGCTGGTCTGGTCGCTTCCATCTACGAACAGATCGTTCTCGGTCTCGACCACATCCACCAGCATGGCTACTTCCATCGCGACATGAAACCCGAGAATCTTCTCATCACCACCACCGGCCTTGCAGACTACCCAAATCTGCGTGAGAGTCAGCCCTCGGAGAAGGACGTGCTCGTCATTGTCAAGCTCGCCGATTTCGGTCTCGCTCGTGAGACCGACAGCAAACCGCCCTACACCGAATACGTGTCCACGCGCTGGTACCGTGCTCCCGAAGTGCTCCTTCGATCGCGCGACTACAGCAATCCTGTCGACATGTGGGCTCTCGGCACCATCCTCGCCGAGCTTGTCAATCTCAAACCCCTCTTCCCCGGCCATAGTGAGGTGGATCAGGTGCTCCAGATTTGCGACATTCTAGGCGACCCGAGCAACAGCTACGGCATCGACTCGCGCTCAAGACGCAACGGCGGTGGGCCGTGGGATAGAGGTATCCGCATGGCGAGGGCTGTCGGCTTCACCTTTCCCGTGCGCAAGCCCATCAAGTTCTCTCGCCTCTTTACGGATCGAGTCCCACAAAGCTTGGTGGATTGCATTGAGGATCTCCTCCGCTACGATCCGAAAGCGAGGCTCACGAGCAAGGACTGCATAGAGCATCATTACATGCGATTCTACGCTCCGAGATTGCGGCCACCGCAAGCGAAACCAGTGGTCAGCGCAACGGCTCCCCTGCGGCCGCAGCAGGTCTTGGCCACCAACTTGGCAGCATCGCGTCCTATACCGCCGTCGCATTCAACACCCCTCTCACCACATGCGAATCGACCACCGTTTGGAGCTGCCGATTCGAACATCAGGCCTTTGGCCATGCTTCGCCAACCGGATGGAACTCCGCTCGTCATGGTCAATGGTGGCCGTCCCGTAATCCAGGCTCCCGTCCCTGCTGCCAACGCGCACGCTTCGCCCGCATCGCCGATGCAGGAAGACATGGATCAAGCGCAATGGGCACCTCCGGACGCCTCGATGAGCAGAGAAGTGTCTCTGTCCGGCTATCCCGCGTTCCCGGATTCGGCTTCTGTGTACAGCAGCTCCGCTCACCACGACGGACCCCCCTCCGTCGCCCATTCCTCTGATGCATCATCGACCCTTGTCAACGGTCCAATGAGACTGCCCAACGGTCACATCGACCCTCGCCATGCCCAGACGTTGCACGCACCGCAGCACGAACAGTACCTCCGTCATCTCCGCCAAGGCTCCGATCAGGCGCAGGTCTCTGACTATGATGGACATGGCGCCTTCGTTCCGTCCCCAGGCCAGTATGCGAGCAGAGACATGCAAGGCTATCTTTCGGCCACATCGTCCTCCATCGACCTTGCGCAGCAACAGGACCCGAACACCAGCGGCGAGACCATCAGCTCGCGTGACAAGGACAAGCGAAAGAGCAAGGGTTGGGGTATCAGCTCCGTTTTCGGCGGCGGCGGCGGCGGCGGCGCCAATGGCGTTGTCGCTGACAACGGCAGCGCTCATCAGTACGCGAACGGCAGTGCTCCCAGCTCTCGCAGGCCCTCCAATGGCGTGGCATCCGCCTACGCTGCTGGCAACGGATCCCACCAGGAGCTCAAAGCGTCGTTGGAACCGACACCAGCACAACGCATCGCTGCCGAGCATGCCACATCTGCGGCACAGTCCAACGGCGTCCCAGCAAAGCCCATCGATCCGAAGAAAGCCAAGAAGGAAGCCGAAAAAGCGGCTCGCGAGGCGGAGAAGGCCAAACGAGAGGCACAGCAGAAAGCTGCTCGAGACCGTGCGCGTGCCGTCATGCAGAAGCGCCAACAGATCTTGGCTTCCTCCAACAACAAGGATTCTGTCGAATGGCTTGCGGGCAGTGTGCAGGCCGACTCTGTGTACAGAACAAGCCCCAGCGAGAAGGCGCGAGGCAAACAACCTGCTGCGCCCGGTTCTCAGCTCTCTCCGCCCGTGTCTGGCCTGGCACCGGGAGAGTTCGCTCGCTCGCCCTTGCAGCCACCTATCCATGGCCTCAGCCCCGACTATGGCATGAATGGCAATCCAGCTATCGCCGGCAACATGGCCTGGCGAGGCGTGGGTGCTGCCATCTACAGTCGGTCCAACAAGGCACGCAGACGGGAACACGATGACGACCACTCCATGTCGAGTTTCGAAGATGGCGTCGAGCCGCGCAGAGCCAACTACGCGCCCTCGATACAGTCCTATCAGACCGGCGACAGCGATCCGGGGCCGGGCACTGGCCAACATGGGCAGCCGGGACACTACGTCCAGCGTGCCAGTTCCTCTTCTTCGCTCGCATCAGCACCGCCCGTGATCGACCAGCGTCGCTTCGCTCCTTCTCTTGAGTCGCATCGCAGCTCAGCAGAGACACGTATCATCAGCTCGCTTGATCATCAGCTCATCGCCAACATGGAGAGGATGACGGCCGCAGAAGCACGGACCCGAACTCCAGGCAATGTCTCCCCCGGCCCTGCCCATCTTCCTGGCCCGCGCCAATCAGCCAGTCGGTCGAGTCGAACCGGCAGTCGCGCTTCGTCGACATCTGCGCATCGACAGGGCTCAGCGTCGCCGTTGCATCACGCAAGCGGCATCCCGCGCTTCCATCCTTATTCGCTTGGCGGGCCGGGGACGCCTTCGACGGGCTACCATCCACCGTATCAGCTTCCGCCGCTTCACCAGAGCCTGCAGCAGGGTGGCGTAGTGCGAGGCGATGCGGGAATCGATGCCGGGATGCCGGCAGCGTACTATTCCAACGGAAGTCACCCACAGCAGCAAATGCATCAGCAGCACGTCAATCCCATGTTCCACGTCGCACCTGGGCACGGCACTAACGGCACTACGCTGCCGCCCTTCTCGTCGATCGCAGCGTCCATCGACGTCCCCGCCATCGATGAGAAGGCGACGCAGATGCTATATGCTCAGGCGCGTCCCAGCGGCGTTTTGCCACAAAACTGACCGTGTCTCAGCACATTGTCGCTTCTGTTGCCCGCACGACTCACTTGTGCTTTCAGTCTCACGCTCTTTCTCTCGTGTAATCTTGTCTCCGCACATTGCTGCAACTCTTGCCGATACCATCTCTTTGCATCTTTCACCAACGAGTGCTTTCAAGTGAGCGATGTCCGTCTGCATCTTGCCATGCTTGGATTGGACAAGCGAAACAACTCAACACTGAGACAATAACTACCATATACGCTGCTATTTGAAGGCGAAAAAAGACAGCTCAATAGCTGTCAAAATACTGGCAAAAAAAGTGATTTGATCCTCCGAATCCGGGAATTGAACCCGGGTCTGCGCCGTATTTCTGCGCGGAGAACGTAGTCAATTGAATGACAAGGCGCCGTCATAGCCACTAAACTAATTCGGATCGCTTCATGCTGGGCCGAACAGCTGTAGCATCTATATACTCAACATGTCCTCGACGTTCTCCCACTTAGTCTCTTGCTCAGCCACCCTCGAAACTCTCAATCTTTCAGGTCAAGGAGAACGCTGTAAGGGGCATCAGTTGTCCATTGTTTCGAGAGTCTCTCAGAGATCCACATACGTGACTCTATTGGCGACCTGAACGCCGATGCGCCCGGCCCAGACAGGCGGGCATTTACGCAGCTGTGACCCGCACCTAACTTCCACTCTGTCCACTAGTGCGCCGAAACGCGAACCGAGTGTCTCTACGGATTCGTCCCGGTCAGAGCCCGAACTAGAAGGCGGTGTGATAAGGCAGGTGGTGCTGGCGTGAAACCGAGCTTCGTCGTAGTACGACTTGGCGCGGAAGGCGCGGCGCAGCTCGGCGCTGAGCGCTGTCGAAAGCGTGTGCAGCTGTTGCGGACGGCATCGAACGGGCGATGGTCAGATTCAAGCTAGTACAATTGAGCGTGACGGGGGGAACTGGCTCGCAACGTACCTGTTCGCGCCCTGATCCGACCTCGAGCACCATAAAGTGCCGCGAAGCGTCGTCGTTTGCCAGATGGGCGAGTCTCGAGAATGAGAATGCAAAGCTGTTAAGAGACATCATGCAGAGACCGAGGATCAGCAACCCACCAAAATCGAGGCTTGGAAGCATGCGACACGTACCTCCTCAGGCTCGCCTTGAGCCGCTTCACCTCTGCCGTGGCCACCTTGACGAACTCGTCACGCTCATAGCTGCGCACCGTGAGTGGCCGAGTCAGCGAGATGTGAAGATGTTCTGGTCCTGACGAAGAGTCTGACGCTCGATCCTCATCGTTGTCGCGTACACGATCCTGTGTCAGATCGAGCAGCGTGTCATCCGATCCTAGCTGTTGCTGCAGATAGTCGTGGGCTTCTCTGACGCACTTGCTAAGCTGAGTGTCGATCAAGACTGCGATTGCCAACGTTAACACTTGTCAGAGCAGCGTCGTGCTTTGACATATATGCCCGACGGCTAAATGGGCGCCACTCACCTTCGACGAAGCAGTAGCAGAGCCAGTCTCCTCTTGCGACCTTCTTGGCAGTGCTACTTGCGAGGCTCGAAGTTGACGAGGTGGCATCTTGCTCTAGCGCATCGGCCTCGAGGCTCGGCAGCTTTCTATGGACAGAATATACCAGGGTCAACGACTTGATCCGGACACAATCGAGATGCAACGAGGGTCAACGCTTACCTCTTGAGTCGACCTAGAGGAGGAGCTCCCACTGGTGCGCCTTCAGCCGACTTGCCTGGTCGCGCTTCGGAGGCTGACGATAATCTCGATAGCTGCGCTGCTTCCTCGTCCGCCTCCGAGTCTGAGTCGACATACTGGGAAAGGCCGGCAAGAGCGCCGCTCATGGTTCAGAGCGGCATCGTACCGTGTGCGTGTCGATAGCGCTCGAGCCGGTCAGGGTCCTAACGGTATGCACGTCCAAAAGGTGGAGGAAGGATCGCCGAGATCCGAGGGAGAGACGTTGGATCTCTTGAGATTTGCCCGATGACAATGCTTGCCGTGCGTGTGTTAGGTTGTTACGTCTTGGGTTCTTCTTCGCGCTTTGTTGTTGAGAATCAAAAATTCCCACGCTTCGTCGAAATTGGCGGCGAATTAGGTGGTCAGGACTCGCGCTAGCGCGTGATTTTCGCTGTTGCACTTCAAACTTGTATTCAATTTCCAGCTCAATTCTGGCTGGGAGAAATCCGAATTCTTCACGGTTGCAGCAGGCAGTCTTGCCGTTGGACGCAGCAGGAAGACACTCAAGCTGAGCGAGAAGACAGCCCAGGCTCAGCGAGCGAACGAGAGCCTGACAAGGCCCGAGCCTCTCGAGAGCAGGCTGCTGCCTCAATTCAAGGTTAGCGCGAAGCAGCGAGAGTTGGTCGATGTGCGGTTTGGTGCTGTGTTTGACCTTGAGCTCGACACCATCCTTTGCTCTTCTTCGTCACCACCAAGAATTCGTCAAGATGGTACGTATGCCCCTACATTCGGGTAGAAGACGACATTGCCAGATCATACGACATCCGACACTGCAACAGCCAGAGCCGCCAGCATTCCGACACAACACCAACCAATCGCATCAACATACATCAGTCCAGACGTCGCAGAGCATGCTGGAGCAAGTCCATGTACGACCATACGACGACCTCCGCCATCCCATTCCGTCAGCATGTCGTGCCTAGTCCGATGTCACACAGTAAAGCGGTTGGCTCCGACATCAGCATTCTATCAGCGGCCGCGAGACTAAGCAGTCGCGTCGGAGGACGGGTCAGACATGATGGAGGGAGAGGTCCTCGGTGCTTGCGTTGAATACAGCCAGTACAGCCGGATGCACACGGAGTCAAAGGGCACATTGCGATCGGTTCGCACTGCACTGATCAGCGATAGCGATGCAGCGGACTTTCAGCAAGTGGTGCATCGGACCGCGTGACACTCAGCTGCTTGCGTGCTGCGGACATGGCGACGAAGGACCGGAGTGTGCTGTCGATGGAGCGAACAGCTGCCAGGGCATCGCAACTGGTAGCTAAGGGCTTGGAGACGGCATGCAAAGGCAGTACATGCCAGTGGGGCTCCTACTCAAGTGCTCGGGTTCACCACGCTTTAGGCCACCGTCCAGCACCGATGAGTCGCCAATCACACGTCTCGCCGCCCTCCTACATCTCGACTTTCTCAACGTTCTCCTACCAGTATCCAGTTCACAGCAGCGGCATCAGAGTGTCGATCATGATCTGGCATTCGCTTCCTCCCGACTTTCGTTCATTGCCCGCCTCAGTCTACTAACCATCCTACCCGCATTGCTTGCTTCATTTGCAAACTCGTAGGACTCCACTTCTCCCGTCACCCTGCGAACCCGCAAGTTCATCACCAACCGTCTGCTCCAAAGGAAGCAGATGGTGCTGGATGTCATCCACCCTGCTCGCCCCAACGTCTCCAAGGCTGAGCTCTCGGAGAAGCTCTCGGAGATGTACAAGACGCCCAAGGAGCAGTGCATCGTGTTCGGCATGCGCACTGCCTTCGGTGGTGGACGCTCGACCGGCTTTGCCCTTGTCTACGACTCGCGCGAGTCGATGAAGTTCGAGCCCAAGCACCGCCTGGTGCGCGTCGGCCTCGCCGAGAAGACCGAGAAGGCCTCGCGAAAGCTGCGCAAGGAGCGCAAGAACCGTGCCAAGAAGGTCCGTGGTACCAAGAAGGTCAAGGCCAGCGAGGCTGCCAAGAAGAAGTAAACGGTGGTCGTCCTGCATCGATCGCTTCCTTCTCTTCGTTTCAGCACCTTTCTCGTCCTCACCTGCAGCAGCCTTGCTTTTCTTACGAGGATGTGCCGTGGTGTTCTCATCAGCCTTGGTTCATCGCACTGCCGACGTGCTTTCGCCCCTTCTTTCGACGTCGACAACATCATAGCGTCTCCCGAATGCTGATGTGATACATCTATGCACGCAGGCTCTACCAAAATTACCACTGCATCATTCCCATCACACACACTCTACTGCAATTGTACCATCAACTCGTATCTCCCTTTCAGAGCTTTGGACTCACGTATGTCTGCTAGTTCGACTCCCAAAACTTCACACCCCGAAATATCGAAAGAAGGCGGTGTCACTATCCATTCGACATGTTCCGAAAGTTGCGCTCGTGGGTTGCGCTATGCTTGATCTGAGATGGCGTCGAGCTGAGAGGTCAGTGATTCACGGCAGATGCCGGCACGTCTATGCTTTAGACTGTGGGTCCTGACCTTGACACCAGGCGGTCGTGGTGAGTTCACACTTCGAACAAGGCTCGAAGACACAGCACTGAATGTGATGCAAAAAGTGGATTGAGATGGATACTGTTACATGCTGACGTTGCGGGGTTCTGAGCTTGAAGGATGCAGTGGTAGGTGAGGTTCTGCTCTCTCTATTGCTTTATTCCTGACGCCGGCATCACCTCAACATCAGCCTCCTCGAACAAGCTGCCTCCCTGACCCGGCTCTGGCATTGGTGTCGCCTCCCTGACCTGCTTTTGCGCCTCGATCAACGCCAACCTCCTCTCGTTCAACACAAATTTGATCCTAGCCATGCTCTTCCTCACCCTGTGGTTCTTCCTTCCCAAGTTCTGAGACCACATGTTGGCGGCCTGACGTGCGCCAACCCTGTTGAGCTCCTCCCAGCTCGTTGCCAGCCTGTTCCTCTCCATCAGCAACACGTACCACAACGTGTGCAGATCCTTACTGCTTTTCAAGCGAAGTTCGGAGGCGAGCCAGGAGCGACTATCGCCGTCCTTGCGCAAATCACTCTGGTGAACAGCATGCGGAAGACGCACATGGAACTTGGGTGGAGTGATGGAGTCCTTGCTCCCCGTCTCGTAGGCTGCGGGCCCGCCGAGCGCCTTGTCGCTGATCTCGTGCGGGCGGGTGCGGAAGAATTGGAGCAGAGGATGCGCGGGGTACTGCTTGATCTGTTCGAGCTGCGACTTTGGTGTAGGCGGCAGCGAGGGCTGCGTTTGCGAGGCTGGCTTGGTCGGGCGTGGGACGGGCGCTTGCGCCAGACGAGATGAGGAGGAGATGTTGCGTGCTGTGGCAGCAGACGCTCGGAGAGGCTGCGAGACGCGCGTGAGGACGCTTCTTGACGACGACATGATAGCCTTGTGCAGTCTCGAGATGGACGATGCCTCTCGTTGCGATGTGTGATGATGCTCGAGACGTCTTATGGCAAGACGATGGTGTAGCTGCGAGGGTGTCAAGAAGATCTCCAAATTTTCCACAGGTCGGCACCGAGTGTGTCAGCTTTGAGGTGCGATTTTCTAGAATTTGTGAGATCGTCATCGTCGTCAAAGCGAACGCGAACGCGAAAAAATTCCAGCCCCTGACGTTCTCGAGCTGGTTGCTAGCATCGCCGCTGTAGATCGATATCAACTGCGCAACTTCATTGTGACAGCTGTTGCACGCTCTTGTCTCGTCTCATTACCTCGTCAAATGAGAGACACCTCGTGGAAAGCTTCTTGCTGTCCCTGTATTTCCATCGGATGTCGGCACGTCGAGTGGCAGGCATTGGTGGCAATGTCAGGTGTGTACGACTGCAGAGAAACTTCGTCGAAGGGTCCACAACATACAGTTGCTGCACCCCTGACAAGGACCCAGGCCACCAGGCTGGCCCGATCGCATCGTGCAGGTCCCATCGTCGGCATTGACGGTAGCATGCGCTCCTTTGTGAAGTGCAGACCATTCGCCGTGGGAGCCCTGTGCACCGACGACGTCGAGATGGCCCCAGCAATTCTCTTCAAAGCAAGGCACCGTGGGAAAGCGCGAATGAAGCACGAGCGAGCTCACTAAAGCAGAAGCGATCTCATTCTCACGGGAGCAACATGAAGGAGGGCCACCCGAGAATCGACCGCTCTGCCATTGTCTGTCTCGCATGTTCTCACGCACAATGGGCAAAGAACAAAGGGGTGCATGGCTCGATGTGGTCGGATAGCCGGCTAGCCAACTCCGGGTCAGGATCGCATCTCGCTGCATGACTGCTTGGACCGCCCAATTAGCGGTGTTGTTCGTCCAAGATTATGTGTAGCAGCTTTGACCTTGGTGCGCTTCTTCAAGGGAGGACCAAGCTGAACAGTGAGCACTCGACATGCACCTGCAGCAGCGCTGATTGTGCAGCTTGCTTCCTCCTCGATCGGCAGCTCATCAACCACCTCGCGGATCCCAGTTGCGCTTTGCATCCGGATCGCTTCGCGAAGAGAGTCTTAAATGCAATCTATCAAACAGTAGAAGAATTCGCCCGGTCGCCTCGGTCAGCCCGACAATAGAGCTGAGTGAGAGGTGTCGCCATATCCGGAACGCTTTCCGAAAAAGAAATGCAAAAAACAGAGATCCCGCTGGGATTGGCACTCCGCTTTGGCGCCTTGTTGCCAAGAGAGAGAGAGCATGCAACTGAGGAAAAGAGCCAAAAATCAGACCCACGCGTGCGCAGCGCTATGCATTCGGATAGCTGGCTAAGCGAGACAGGTGGCCACGCCCACACTGACCACTCAAGCCACCCACCCACGCTTGCTTGTTTGCCAGGCTGCAGCACCTTTCCTGCCAGCCCACCTCCTGTCGTTTCCGTCTCTCTTGGGCAGCCCACTCTGATCTCGGAGTCGGAAGCTTGCTAAAGGGCTCAGCTTCTAGCATGCATCAGTCGACTGGATCCGAGCTGTTTCCGTACCGTGTCCTGAGCAAGCTATAGATTAGCCTCGAGTCTGACAAGGGCGAATCCAACTCAGCTGCGTTCGTCTGCGCCGGTGAAAGGAGAGAGCGTTGTTACGCAGTTTCACCACAAACTAAGCGCGGATCAAGCCTCCTTTCCTCTCTTTCTCACGTCTGGCAGTGCATCGCATCGCATCGCATCGCATCGCATCTGTAGGCGAAAGCTTTGAGGCTGAAGCAGCTGTCCTGCCATCTCATCTCCTTCATCGACCCACCTTGTACCGCCGGACGCTAATCGCTGAGCCAGCGCAGCGCTTGAAAGTGGAAGTTTGGATTTCAGGGTCTTTTTGTCGGAACGAAATTTGGCTGCGCTTGAGTGCCTGTCAAAGGATCCGATTCCCCGCACACATTCGCCAGACGCATCCATCCTCGTCTTTTTCGCTTGTCCATCCTTACCTCTTTCCTTCTTTCCTCAACCATCAACCTTCATCTCTCTGGTGCCTGACCGTCCCGCTCCCTACCTCCATCATTGTACCTGCGATCTACGCAAGCGCACCGCTCAGTCTACGATCTCACCCTCGACACCGCGCGTCCAAGAATACGTTGCCAATCCATCGGCGCGCTTCCGACGAGCTTGCTTCGTCCTCCACCGGATCCCATCCGATCACGCTCGACGACAGTCAGCTTCTAGCCATTCGGTCACTACTGGCCCAAGCTCTGTTGCGCTCGTTCAGCCACTCGGCACCGCCGTTTCCGAAGTAATCACCACCCGGCATCTCCGAACAGCGCGACTCGTCTGCGCAGTCACAAGACACACTTGCCAAGATGGGCGCGTGCATGTCGGCGGAACAGGCTCGCGACACTCCCGAATACAAGAAGTCACGAGCGCTCGATCTCAAGATCAGGGAAGATGAAAAGACGCTCGCTCGCGAAGTCAAGCTGCTCCTCTTGGGTGCTGGAGAGAGCGGCAAATCCACCATCCTCAAGTCGATGCGAATCATCCACCACATCCCCTTCACCTCGGAGGAGCGCGAGAACTTTCGTCGTCTCGTTTTCCTCAACCTCGTTCAAGGCATGAAGACCATTCTCGATGTCATGGAGGAATGGACCGTCGATCTGCACGATCCTGCCAATGTCGAGCACCTCTCGCTCTTTGTGAGCTATCCGGACATCTCGGAGGACGAGCCGTTCCCGAGCCGCTACCTCGTGGCGCTCAAGGATCTCTGGCTGGATGCGGGCGTTCAGTCGGTCTACAGGAGAGGAAATGAGGCTGCAGTGCCAGACAACATGGCGTACTACTACGCCGACCTCGACCGACTTTTCCAGCCATCGTACAACCCCACGGAAGCAGACATCTTGCGGTGTCGCAACAAGACCACAGGCATCATCGAGACCACCTTTCCATTGCAAGACCACGTCTACCGCATTTTTGACGTCGGTGGTCAGCGTTCTGAGCGCAAAAAGTGGATCCACTGCTTCGAAAATGTCACGGCGGTGCTCTTCTGCGTCGCGCTTTCGGGGTACGACTCGTGCCTGGTCGAGGACAAGGATTCGAACCAGATGCAGGAAGCATTGATGCTGTTCGATTCCATTTGCAACTCGAAATGGTTCACAAGGACATCGATGATCCTGTTTCTCAACAAGGTCGACGTCTTTCGCCAGAAGATCGCCTATTCGAGCGTCAAGCACTACTTCCCGGATTACGAGGGAGACGATCAGGACTTCAACGCTGCAAGGAACTACTTCAAGAGCCGCTTCTGCCGGCTCAACAGAAGCTCGACCAAAGAAGTCTACCCGAGCTTTACCAATGCCACCGACGTCAGCCTGTTAAAGATCGTCATGGCCAGCGTTACGGATATCATCCTGACGAACAACCTGAGGGACATCGTGCTCTAGTTGGGCGCAACCCTCGATCAGCTGTGTCAAGCTGGATGCTTCGACACTGGCATTCCTCACCTCTGCAATGCGCAACCCCATACTGCTCCGCCTTAATCACATCCCCTCGCATCCTGGCGCCACTTGTATTTTTATCTCGCAATCACATACGTTCATTTCAGCCAGCCGACCCACCTGCGCCACTCGCCAGAGATCGCACGCTTGCAATGTTCATTTGCTTCCATTGCGCCAAACCCCATCTACGCCGAGTTGGCGGGAGCGACAAGCTTGCCGATCTGACTCTTTGCTGTAGCAGCATCGAATGGCTTCCTCTGGAACCGGACGTTGGTTGCCATCTCGTATGCGTGTGCCACCCTCAACAGCACGGGTTCGGTCCACTTCGTACTCGTGAACGAGATGCCCGTGGGTGCGCGCGGGAAGGGGTAGTAGGGGAAGTCTTGACCGACAGCAGTGTCGTTCGCGTAGAAACCCATTGGCACGCCGATGACGGGGTACTGTGCGCGATCCGCAATCGGATACAACGGCCAATCGCCGCCACTGGGGCTCACGATGGCCGACACACCATACCGCTGCAGTGCTCCATCAATGCCTTGCTCCCTCGACAACCTAAAGCCGTGCTCGCGATATCCGTCCACCGTTGCATTCGGCCGCGTCATCAGCGCTTGAACGAGGAACCCCTGATCCGTCTGGTTACCCGCCAGCTCGAGCTCGGGGTTGGCAATGCCGAAGTAGATGATGCCACCCAAGTCGTACACGGCAGAAGGAACCTCGCTCAGCCCACCGATGTACCTCTCCAGTCCAACACGCATCTCGGTCTGCCACAGCACCGTCTGCGTGTTGTCGCTGGTATTGTAGTAGGCGGTGGCGGATGGGTCGGTAGCGTTGCCAATGCTGTCGAGGGTCACTTCGACCAGTGTTGCGCCGAGACCGCGGAGCACCTCGAGTGATTGGCGGTACGCCTCTAGCACCGATTCGTCGAAGTTTTGAACGCTGCGATTGGCAAAGAAGGTCTCTCCGGAATAGCCTAGTCTCACACCGTCCAGTCGCGGGGTGGAGAGCGAGAAGTGTCGGGCAGCGGCGTAGTCGATCCCCTTTGCGACACGTGCGGGTTGCGTCCAGGTGGCGTTATCCCCCTCGTCCCTCCCGTGATGGGCCATGGCAGTCAGCATGTGCGCTACGTCCTTCACCGTCCGCCCGAACGGCCCTGCCGAGTCCTGCGTGGAACTGATCGGGATCACTCCTGACCGGCTGATCAGCCCGACGGTAGGCTTGATCCCAACAATGTTGTTGTAGCTCGCCGGGCAGATGATCGACCCGGACGTCTGACTACCAACACTAGCAGCGGCGAGACCGGCAGCTACCGCCACCGCTGACCCCGAGGAAGAGCTACATGGGTTTCCCGCAGGCCAGTATGCGCTGGTCCCAAAGCCTCCTCTCGGACTGTAACCCTGCGTCTGGTTGACCAGGCCGCGCGCTTGGGCCCAGACAGACATGTTGGCTTTGCCCAGGATCACCGCTCCCGCCTTGCGCAGCGTTTGCACGCTCGGCGAGTCGGCGCTCGGCAAACTGTTCAGCAAAGTATAGCTCCCCGCAGTCGTGTTCATCCCGAGCTCCGGGTGCGTAGCGACGTTGTCCTTGATGACGATGGGTATGCCGTGCAGCGCACCACGCGAGCGGCCCGCCGCGCGTTCAGCATCGAGTTTCGCAGCGTACGATAGAGCCACGGGACTCGTCTCGATGATCGCCCGCAGTCCAGGACCGGCGATGTTGACCTCCTCGATACGGGACAGGTACGCTTCGACCAGTTGAACACTGGTGAATGCGCCAGAGGAGAGGCCCTTCGAGAGCTCGTCGATGGTCGCTTCGAGCAGATCGAGCGTGCTGTTGTGGTTCCGTTTGACCGTGTCGCTGTAGAACGAGGTCGGATCCGTCGAGCTGAAAGGTAGCTCGTCCGTGATGCCGGTTGCAGCGGAGTGCGCGCCCGACAGGTAGGCCAGTATCACGCCGAGCAGCACGACGAGGAGACTGGAGGTCGCGGCGAGCTTGATTCGCGCCATCTTTCCTTTTAGCTTCTTGGAATCGTTCGAGCCGAATGTGGGTGATGGTCTGGGCATTGTTCGACAGCTAGCGCTGTGTCTTATATGATCCCTCGCTCAGGAGTAGGTTCGGTGGAGACGAGCGCCAAGCACGAACCATCGACAACCGAGATGGACGATAAGCACCTTTCTGGACGAAGAAGGCCCAACGGCAATGCAAACCTTTCTCTCATACAGCCCCGCTCGCCGCCGGAACCCGCAGCTCTCGCTCCGAAACCATGCCGCCAAGCACGCTCTCGCTTGCTTATCACCTTACCGACCTCTTCTTGTGCACACAAAGCTGTTGTTGAGAACGGGCGGAACACTTCCTTCCGCAACTCACTTGTTAGCCGAACTACGAGTGTGTGGATTGCCGCGTTTCTTCCCGTGATAAGGCTGACCAAAAAAGGGGGTCGAGAAAAGGCCAGTCCGATCGGCGAAACCGGCCCGATGCAGTCGCTCCTCACCATATCGCAGGTGCCGGTTCTATTGTTCAGACACACCCCCACAATCTCAAGGATACACACCCTCTTCCACACATGAAAACCGCTCAAGACGACAAGAAACGTGAGATAACCCCCGCACAGATTTTGCGTCGGGGGATGATATTTTGGCGCAACGAAGAGATCGATCTACGCTGCAGTAAATGCGTGTGTGTGTGTGATGTGCATGTGATGTACAAAGCGACGCGATTGACGACGCAGTGGTGAAAGAGCCGAGAAAACGAGAGCGAAGAGACAAGAGCGAAGGTGAATACGCTTAGGCCTCGGTGAGCTCACGGAGACGTCGGATGGTGCTGTAAGCGGCAAAGGGAGGAAGCGAGGTCAGTGTATGTTCGTGGATGGAAGAAGTTGAGAGAGCAGGTCGAGCGTATGTCGGACAAATGAGCCTGGCAGCGGTTCTGGTCCTGCAACGCTTGCCTCCCGAGTGATCCCCCTCCCGTCGTACCACTGATAGAATTGGACCCAAAAGTGAGCCTCCGGGTCATCGCATCGAGAAGCGTGTCCCTCTGCTGGGATTCTCGTCCATCGTTGCCGAGTCGTCGTCCACGAGTCCTCCACCGTTAGAACCATTTGAGGTTCTGCAACCTGATAGTTCGTCGAACTCTTCGTTCGACCCTTTGCGAATCTCCTCCTTCTCCTCCCCTCCGCTCGAAATGCTCTGGTTGATGCTGAATACTCACGATCGGACAGTGGCAGCAGCCGAGGTGGACAGAGTCCAGGCGCCACCGGCCATGACCTTCTTGCAGGCGCGGCACTCCCAGATGCCGACAGCCTTGCGCTTGACCGAGTCCTTGCCGCAGAAGGTGCACGTGTACTTGGAGTGCTGCGAGATCTCGATCTTCTTGATCTGTCGACGCAGCGAGGCACCGTAACGGGTACCGTACTTTCCGGTGATTCCGACCTTGACAGTGCGCTTCGACTGTTGTTTTCGAAGAGGGACGGGGTGTCAGTTGGATTGCGGTTGGCGATAGGTTGGTGGTGCAACAAACGGGCAACAGTGGGACGGCGACGACAATGAGGTTGAACGAATGCTGACAGGATTGCCTTGGAGGTGTGGATGGGTCGCATGAGGTCGGCGAAGTCGACCGCTGTAGTCACAGGCGCGGCTGAAGGAGTTGAAGCAGCATGCAGCTTCATCATCCAGCGTCGCATGCCAGTCATCTGCGATCTCCATGTCTTGCTATCCGAGCTTGTCTTCTTGCAACATGTATGCTGTCGTCTGCCCTTTGATCTTTCGGCCTGGCGTCATCATCGATGGACGAGTCGCTGATGTACTTCCATCGAAGATGCTACCGCCTTGTCGTTTCCTCCTTTCTCTATACTTCGCTACTATGATCCGTCCAAAGGTGTCTCGAGTGGTGTGACAACTCCTGTGCTCGACGTCCAGCTAGCGTAGCAAAGGGACGCACTCGTCTACCTGGAAACATCTCTGAATCTTTGCCTGCATTTGCGTCCATCGGCTGGCTGTGTTGTTGTATGTGTGCTGCTGCGATATGCGGTGGCGTGCTGAATGTCGAAGCATGTAGTCTGCGATTGTCGTCGATGTTACCGCTGCCGTTGTTGCTGCTGATGACACTTACCATCTTGACTATGTATGTATGTGCGGTTGGTCTGGAGGGAAAGGGTGGTGACGGCGTCGAGCGTTGACTACCTCACACTCACAGACATTGGCTGGCTCACGTTGACCGTGGGTCTGCAGCTCCCTCACGGGCAAGCGCCTGGACTTCGACTGGCTGGCTGACTAGCCTTCGTAGCGCAGTCCGACCAACGACCCTGTCTGGAGAGCTTCTTCGAGGTGCCAACATACAGGCTCGCCAAGCGCAGAATCAAGGATACAGGCGCTGCTGCTGCAAAATGGCCGCTCACTCTCTTCGCTTGGATTTGGCAAGGCCCGAGTAGTGAATTTGTAGTCAGATCTGTTTTTAAATAGCGGTCAATATCGAATATTAGGTGCTGATCTCCTCGAGCGAGGAAGCCTGCAGGCCGCTTTCTTTGAGTTCAATCACGGACACATCGTGGGAATTTTTGTTTGAGCGCGTTCCTCTAACGGATCCGAAGTTTTTGTCCGCTTTGTGTGAGATCGCGACCGGGGCTCACAATAGCGAACTTTTGAGATGCGCTCGGCGTAACAACGTGAATCCATCGGAAAATTGGCCAAAGGTCGCCCCGCAACCTCGAGCTGAACCGGTCGCGAAGGCCAAACAGAAGAGGCAAACACGCGACAAAGGGTGCTTGGTGCTTGAGTGGGCTCATGCATCTGTCACTCGACGGCTGTTGTTGCCGAGTTGGACCGAACAATCCAAGCGCTGATCTGCCAAATTCAACCAGACCTCAGCTGCGCTTGAGCCATCTCGATCCCATAACCAACACTCGCCCACCACCGCTGTCATCATCATCATCGTCTGACACCACTCTTCCCGGATCGCCTTGATCGCGACTCCTCCCTTCCGATGGACGCTGGACCTCTTTGCTGAAGCTCGTCCCGACGCAACCTCGTGCCATGTCGAACGGATTCAGCTCGTGTCAGGAGAGGCCCGAGAAGCTCTTTCCTTCGCTCGCCCACGACGACCACGAGACAGCTCCCGACGAGTCTTCGTCACCGCATCCGACCGCCAAGTGGATCAAGGATCAGAGCAAATTGAACAGCGCCCCTGCGCGCTCCGACGAGCTCGACCAGTTTGGCATCCCTATTCATCCATCTCATTCCAGCTCCTCGCGTCTGCATAGCCGTTCGGCTTCCAGAGGCGATGCCTCTCTTCCGCGCTCCCCTAGCTTGGTCACGCCGGCGTCGTTGAAGCCTTCTTCCTCTTCACGCACACTCACGGGTATCGAGCCCGCTCACAAAGCCAATCTTACAGCCGCCTACGCTTCATCAACCACGCTATGGCAGGAACAGCAGAGGGAACCCTCGCCTTCAACCTCTCGACCTGTAGCGAAGCCGCAGCCGGCCGTAACAGCAGAGGAAGACGACGACGAGTCCATAGGTCTGCTGCTCGGTCAGTCGAAGCGCAGGAGAGCGCGCAAAGATTCTTACTCTTCCTTCGGTAGCAGTGTGCTGCCAGCCCCCCTATTCGCCAACAACCCGCGTTACAGCACATACGGCGGCAGCAACAGTGGCCTAGCACAGCTCCGACAAAGTGTTCCCACTAAGCAGGGAAGACCCGCTTATCCACCAAGCAACCACTCCGGTGCTGCCCCACAATCGCGGCACCTTGCACCTCATCTCGATGCACTTGCACCACGACCACCACAGCCAGACGCTCAGTACTCTCGGCAGCGCCATCCGTCCAACGCAGTCGCTTCTCGTCCATCCGGATTCGATCTAGATGATTGGCTTCGGACCTCACAGGCACCTGCGGCGCTCAAGTCCTCGCCCAGTCTAGGAGCCCTACCAACATTTGACCGACCAGAGAGGACAAGGGCGGGAGCTTTGAGTGAAGCTGGCACTCGTCGACGACGCCATCAGGGCGGATCTACCTCGGGTCTTAGCGCAGGCGTCTTGAGTGCGGGTCCAGAATCTCCTCGCAGTCGCAGGAAGGCTAGCGGCACGTCTACACGCAGAGATGGAAGTGGCTTCGCTTCCCTTTCACCAGATCATCCAGCCTTTGCCGCATCCATGGAGCTAAGTAGAGAGGCAGGCGCTCGATCCATCGACACGATCGAGGAGTGGCGAGCCAAGTCGGGCTCTCAGTCGGCCTCTACCGCTTCCGCCACTCCATCTGCTGCCTTGCCAGATCGCGGCATCAGTCCCGCTGACCAAGGTGATCTCGTACCACGCCGACGACGCAAGAGCTCAGTAAAAAGCAGTTCTCGCCCGGTCTCGATGGACGGTCCTCCGCCACCGCTGCCATCCATTCCTCCGACGTTCACAGCAGAATCCGTCGCCTCCAAAAGCGGTCGCCGCAGGAGGAAGAACACCGAGACTTCTCTTGCCGGCTTGTTTTCGCCAGACAAGGACGAGCCCTCGCATCGAGGTATCGCGGCAGGATCGACGAAGAGTCCACAGCCTCCGCTGGCATTGCGCGATCTGTACGCCCTGTCCGGGCTCGGCTCGCAAGCGGAGACGCCAATGCGCCGCTTCATCCGCTGGCTGGCCAAAGAACAACTCAAAGCGACCATCGCACCCATAGTTCTGCTTACGTCCTTCTTGGTCCGCTGGATCGTAGGCAGGGGCGATTGGAGCGGTCGAGGTGTGCAACCCATGCATGGCGACTTTGAAGCGCAACGTCACTGGATCGAGCTCACCCTGCATCTTCCGACCTCGCGCTGGTATTTCTACGATCTGCAGTACTGGGGACTCGACTATCCGCCGCTTACCGCTTGGGTCAGCTTGGCTTGCGGCTACGCTAGCCGGCTCTTTCCCGCTGTCGCCCCTGGCTTCGCATTCGCGACGTCGCGAGGCAATGAGGATGCAGCGACCTCGACCTTCATGCGCGCTACAGTGATTGTCGGCGACCTTCTCATTTATCTCCCTGCAATAATCCTGTTCGTAACGCGCAAGCTCGAGGGCCGCGGTCGGCGCACGCAAGCCATCGCGCTGTTCTCCATCCTCCTCCAACCCGCGCTCATCCTCATCGACCACGGTCACTTCCAGTACAACAGCATCATGCTCGGCTTCAGTGCGGCGTGCTTCGCGCTGCTGCACACCACGCTGCCCAACCCAGACTCCGCTGCGGCGGCACGGGGTCGCAGCCAGGCGGTCGCCGACCTCTCGCGCCGCCTCAGCTACGAATACATCGCCGCCGCCGTCCTGTTCTGCCTCAGCCTGTCATTCAAGCAAATGGCGCTGTACTATGCGCCGGCTGTATTCGCCGTCATGCTTGGTCGCTGTGTCGGGCTCGCCCGTGTCGACCCAGAGCGCGGGCTGACGCTGTTCATCGGCCTCGCCGTCGCCGTTATCGTCACCTTTGGCGTGGTCTTCAGCCCGTGGCTGACGAGTCTGGAGCAGATCGCACAGGTCATCCACCGCATCTTCCCACTTGCCAGGGGCCTGTTCGAGGATAAAGTGGCCAACGTGTGGTGTTTTGCGTCGGTGCTGCCGCTGCCGGCGCGGTGGAAGTTGAAGAACGTGATGGCGGCGACGGCGTTGGCGCGGTTGAGTCTGGTCGTGACGCTGGTGGCGATCTTGCCGGCGTGCGTGCTGCTGTTCTGGGCAGCGAGCCAGACGGCGCGGATGGAGATGATGGTTGCGTCCGAAACGCCGGTGGCTGTCAGCTCGAGTGTTGCGGGCAGTGTCAAGGATTCGAGTTCTCGACGCAGCCACCGCTCCCCGTCTGTCGTCGGATCAGTTGCTGGTGGCCGAGCGAGGTCCGAAATCGAATCGCTCCTCGCCGGTTCCGTGTCAAGATCGATCAGTGGTCGCGTTAGCCACGTCGGGCCCCTCGCCACATCGCACGACTCGGATTACCCTGCACAAGCAACACCCGCCCGAGCGGTCGCATCCACCCTCCCCTCCCCAGCCGCCCAGATGCTCCCATACGGCCTGCTAAGCGTCTCCACCTCGTTCTTCCTATTCGGCTTTCAAACACACGAAAAGTCGATCCTCCTGCCTCTTCTCCCTATGACCCTCCTCCTCGGGGCAAAAGGCGATACCTGGGGTGGCAACATCACCGCAGCGCGCGATTGGCAGTGGTGCGTGTGGTTCAACAACGTTGCCACCTTCTCGCTCTTCCCGCTTCTCCGCAAGGACGGGCAGGCTCTGCAGTACGCTATACTGACACTAGGATGGAATTGGCTCATCGGCAACCTGGGTGTGCCCTTCAACCCATTGACTAGTGTCAGAGCGATGTTTAGGAAAGACGCGAGCTTCTTTAGAAGAATCAGCACGCTTAGCTACATAGCCATCGTAGCACTGCACACGCTCGAGTACGGTCTGCCAAGGTTGGCGCCCGGATTGCAGGCGAAGGTGTGGGCAAGATATCCGGATATATACCCCGTTTTGAACGTGCTGCTGGTCACACCGCTCGTGGGGGTCGTGTGGATCTGGGCGCTCGTTAGACAGGTTCAGACGGCGTTTGCTAATGGGATGACGATCGGAGGGAGCGGGAAGAAAGGGGTCAAGGGAAAGACGGGCTGATCTCACACTCCTGTCATCGCAATGTATTCTTACAACAAGCAATTCGCACACGATCATCGCAGGCAACTCAACGCCGCACACCATCGTCGAGACGAGCCCATCTTGAGAGCGTATCAAAATGGGATTGCAAGCGGGGCTTCACCCCAGCGCATCATCCAATCGAACCTTCAACCCGGCCCTCTCGCGCTGCAGCACCTCAGCAAAGAACCCACTGTAATCCAGTCTCAGCAGCAGTTGTTCCAGATGCTTCCTTGCCGAGCTCCCGCCGCCTTCCTTTGTGTCTCTCGAGAGGTTCATTTGGGCGACTGAGACGCTCATGCTCCCCAGTCCGCTCTCGTCCGCCGCTCCTGCACCAACATAGCCAGTCGAAGTGGTAGACGAGCTGAGCAGTCGAAAGAAACCTACGAGCTCCTTATCCATCTCCGCCCTCGCTGCGTCGACGGTGGCTTGGCGGTCGGCGATCGCAGCACTGATCTCGGCCGGTGTGGCGCCAGTAGTGAGCAGTGGAGGCAGAACGTCCCCACCCCACCGCTCGACGGTCCCCGCAAAGCGGTCGGCGATGTCCAAGATGCTCCGCACCATGCTCGATGCGACGGGGCTGGAGAGCAGCAGACCGTCCTGCACGTACGCCAAGAAGGCCGTGTGCGACGTGCGCAGCGAGGCAAAATTGAGTACTGCGTCTGCGTCTGGTTCGTCGTCCGGGGTGTCGTGGCGGATGGTGTCGGCGCCATCGAGGATGGATTCGGGGCGCGTGGATGAGGAGACGAAGCGTCGACCGGCTCGGCCTGCGACGGACGCAGGGGCAGGCGCATGCGATGCGGGGCCAGAGACGGGGAATGCTAGTCGGCGATGCGACCGGCTGCCACCGAGACCGACGACGGTGGGAACCCGCGATGAAGCACCGCTGACAACCCGAGGTCGCCCTTCCTCCCCGTACGCCTCGCTTAACGCGGCCATGGATCCCAACGGTGAGCTGCTCACGTGCTCTGAATCCTTCCTCGTCCTCACCACCCCTCCTTTGACCATCTCGTTCCCCACGCCATTCCCACCCATGCGCTCCATCAACGTCCCAAACTGCGCATCCACAATATCCGTCTGAAAATGCCCCAACAACGTATCCAAGAACCACTTCATGCTGCGCACCACCCCGAGACTGGCCCGCAACAATCGTGCGCGCTGCTTCTCCTCCCGCGCATCGACACCGCCTTCGCCCGTGCCCGTGAACTTACGCCGTCCACGTTGGTTCTTCGATAGCGCGACCCAGCAGTCGAGCGCGCGCGCATGCACCTTTTTGATCGCAATCAGATACGAAAAGATGCGCGAGTAGGCGGCCAGGTCGGACGCCGACAAGAAGAGGTCGAGTGGGAACACGGCGGTGTAGTGGAGCTGCGCGGGGACGCCGATGAGGAAGTCGTCGAATCGCGTGGTTTGCAGGCTCGTCGGACCGGCAGACGTAGTGTCGGGATTGATGGCAGCGGTGCCTCTGACTTTGGCTGTCCGCGCACCGGTCAGGCTCGGTCGATAGCCGCCTTTGGGTAGGGCGAAGCGCAGTCGTTGCAGAGAAGGATCGTCTTCGGCCCACGTACCGACGGTTGCGCGTCGCAGGGAGAGCTCCAGGTCGCTAGAGCGAATCACGCTCGCTGCGGCGGAGCGAGCGCGGTAGAGCTTGTTCTTGCGCATGGTTTCGACTTCATCCAGCAACGAGAGGATGTAGGGGCCATTGCGATGGAGGAAGTAGTCGCCTAGGCACTGTAGCGAGGAGTGAACGACCGAGGTGGTCAGCACGTTGCGGAAGATCCACTCGGACACGTCGTTGCGGAGCGACTGGATCGCTCGATCGAGATCAGAAGGGCGACTTGGTCGGACGTCTGACCTGCTCAGGGCTGATTCGTGCAGCTGGATGACGGTGTCTGGCGGGCCCGAAAGTCGAGTAGGGCGATTTGGGGTGTCCTGAAGATGGGTCGTGGACGCGCTGGCGTAGCGAATAGTGTAGAGTGCCCGGCCGACGTAGAGGATGGAATCGGCAGTCGAGTCAGAGATCGAGGTGGGCAGTGCGTCGGATCGGAACGCCCACGTGTTGCCGGAAGAGGCGGCCCAGTCAGCCAGTCCGTCCCCGTTGGCAGCAGCAGCAGCGAGGTGATCGTTGTGCGCGTCAGCGTCGGTTGCGTCGATCCAATGAACGAGTTGGTCTCGAGAGATCAGCGTGCGTTTGGAGGCGTGCGGATCGGCGATACCGCCTGGACGGTGGATCTCGCCCCTGCATACCCAGGCGATGAGGTGCTGCATCCAGCTGTTCTCTACTGCACTGCGCAATCGGGCCATGTGCGAAGCGACGCGCTCCACGCCAGTGGACGCCTTCAAGCTGAGCAGGTCGATCAGCAGTCCTCCTGTCCAGGCTGCTGGGAAGATCACCGTCTCTGGTCCATCCTGACCTTGTTGAGGGGCGGTTTGGGCGCCAGGCTCCTTTGCGAATGGCACATCTCTGCCCTTGTTTGGCCCTCGTATCAATAGCGTCACAAGATCGTCGAGTGCAGTTAGTGGCGCATCCCATGGCGCGAGGCGAGCTCTGAGATTCGCCAAACTGACGAACCCGGTCCTAGCCACGAGCTCGACGTCTTCGTCCAGCACCAATCGCTCGGTTTGCAGCACCAGCGCATGATAGTCTGCCAAGATCGAAAGCAGCGTAGAACACAGGGGCACGAGGTGAAGGGTCGGCTGCTGTTCGAGCTCCGTCTGCGCTTCCTTGGCACCGGGGGCGCTGCGGCTGGCAAGGGAATTGGCACGCAGGGCCGAGCGAATTGCCCGCTGTCGAGCAGCCTCGATCTGGCTCTCTGCAAACGATCTGATGCGGTTGTATCGGGTATAGAAGGTTGCGAGATGATTGAGGATCTCGACCTCAGAAGGATGGAGGAAGGTGAGGTTGTCTCTGACTTTGAAAGTGCCAGAAGCTGAGGTCGATGAAGAAGCGAACAGGCTGCTCGGATGGCCGGCCAGCATAGCCAGCAGCTCCGCGATCATTGTTGTAGCAGCTGGATGGTCGACAGCATCGGCGCTGGGATCAGATGGCGTCGAGGCTGGTGGTGATGAAGATGTGGGATGGGCTGAGCCTGGGAAGTGTTGGTCTTTTGGCCGACAAAGTCACCGCGACGCGTTCGAGCGAGTTTAAAGGTGTTACGCCGAAGTTTGCAACGGCTTGGACTATTTTTGGGCTGATGGTGGAGGCCGACCGGCGAAATGCATGGGTGCATGATGCAAGAGGATCATCATCATCATCATTAAGGGTCTTGGTGGGACAGCTCGATTGGTGTCTTACTTCGCCGTCATGGCATGCCTAGTCAGCAACGCCTCGTAGGTTGATTGTCATCCACGTCTCTGCGCATCCAACGATCACCACCACCACCGTCGAAGAGAGACCCCATAGAGCTCGTGCCCCACCGAGCAGCATCCATCATGTCCTCCTTCTTGCAAAAGATCACCTCGGTGCCATTCGACGTGCTATGGCGAACTGCACTCGTCCGCCTCCCCAGGGCGGTCCCACTCTCCACACTCAAGTGGACCTCGCCAGAAGGTCCGCATCCTTTTGTTTTCAAGATGCCCTCTAGATCGTCGGAGTACACCATTCCGCTGCACATCTTCATCCCTCCGAGTTATTACGATCGTCCACCATCTGAAGGGGCACCGGTGCTGGTCGATTTTCACGGCGGCGGATTCTACCTCGGATCTTGCTTGGAACAGGCACCATTCTGTGCCTACATGGCAAGGAAGATGGATGCCATCGTCATCAGCGTCGACTATCGCATGGGTCCATTCCATAGCTTCCCGGCTGCGATCGAGGATGGCGAAGACGTGCTCAGTGCTATCCTCGACGACGACTTCCCCGGTTACAGGCCACTTCGTCAAGCAATCGCAGCCAGAATTCAGTCCGAAAAGGCTAAAATAGCCAACAAAGGAGCGGCTGCGATCAACGAGCAGCATCTGAAAGACCTGCAAGAGGGCAAGATCGAAGAGGTTCAGGCGCCGTCCTCGTCCAAGTCGACGAGCTCTGCTTTGACTTTCAGATTCGACCCCAGCAAAGTGGCCGTATCAGGCTTCAGCTCGGGCGGGAACCTCGCCCTCAACCTTGCGCTTCACATCAAGCCTCCTGAGCTCAGGACCGAATGGCCGAGCCGATTCGCGCAAAACCATCCAGCACCGATCCCGCTGCTCCTCTTCTATCCTTCGTTCGATCTTCGTCAGCTACCCTCGCAGCGCTCTCGCCCGGAGCATATGGCTCTGCCATCCGCCTTCTGGACGCGGGTTGCTGACTCGCTCGCGCCGACTTACGCTGAACGCGATCAGACGACCCATCCTCGCGTCTCGCCGGGGCTTGCATCGCTAGACTCCCTCCACCCGGCCGCACGCATGTTCCTCGTCTTATGCGAGCTAGATACACTAGCAGAGCAGTCGAAGGAGTGGGTGGACAAGGTCAAGGCACATCAGCGGAACGAGCATCTCGTGGTGGAAGATGTCGCGAATATGAAGCATGGTTGGACGCAGATGCCGGACGGATGGCTCAATGACGAGGAGAAGCACGCCAAGGACGTCGTGTTTGCCAAAGCGACCGAATTTGTGGCGTGGGCGTGGGATGGAAGCCCGGCGAAGGACAAGCCAGAATCAGAGCTCGTAGTGCCTCAGAAGGATGCAGGGACAGCAGAGACGACCGAGATCACGCCTTGAACAATGCATTTTCGCGACGTAGAAAAGGGTCGATGTGATCGAAGGAATGTGAGGGTATATGATTGCTATGCGAAACAAGAGAAACTGAACGAAGAGAAGAGCTCGGGAGCCTAGGCAGTGGCCTTGGAAGGGGTGCGAGAGCCAAAGAGCCCATCCATAGCTTCGAGCAGCTCCTCAGGGGTGCACTTGGGTCGAGGACCGTGCTTGCGGTTGTTGACATCGATGCCGACCTTGGCCCACGCCTCGGCGATCTCGGCCTCGCGATAGCTCGGCAGGCGGGGAGAAGAAGACTTCTTGGTTTTGCGCGAGAAGATGCGGCCGAAGAAGGTGCTCTTGGTGCGAGGCGACGAGATGGTCACGGTGGTAGGCGGCTTGGCCTCGTAGACAGGAGGGCTGGTGAGCGTCTCGGTAGAGGACGTGCAGCTCGACGCATCGGTCTTGATGTACTCCTCCTTCTCGGAGATGCGGATCTTGTACTCGATCATGATGGGCTTGGTGGCGGTCTCTGGGGCGGACAGGATGTCGGAGATGCACATTTTGAAGGAGGATGTGGCAAAACGCTTGAAGAAGGATGGGGTTGGGACTGTGAGGTGTGATATCTGTAGATGGGAGCGGAAGAGCTGTTGTTGTTTGACGAGTAGAAAGAGGATAGGGAAACAGGCTAGAACGGACTCGCATATATGCTTTTTCGAACGTTCCACAACGCTCACATGGATGCTGCGGAGGTGTTCCTACGCTTTGACCCGAGCTCGAGGAGGAGGATGAGCCAATTGACACGGTTGCATGGATGAGCCAAATGACAGCTGTCAAAAGTCCAATCTGTCACCGAACTGATCAGCGACGATCAGGCTTCTGACACCCGTCCCGCATCATGAACAATGGCCAATTTCAGCTGCACGCCGCGACGCGTGTCAACACCCTGATCAACGCTGCAGGTGGCCCCGCACAATAGACTCCTGCAGAGAGAGACTTCATTTGGCAAAGGACGATCGTCGGTTTCGCCCAAGCTCATGTGTCACAGCGCTACTCAAGGTCCTTTTCTGGCTACGCTCAGGCGTGGGCCGTCGCTCTTCCGTCGGATGACAGACAAACTCAATGAATTTCGCTTCGAATGAGGGTTTGCACTCGCTGACAGCAGTAATGGATCTACTGTAGAGCAACGAGACAGGCTTAAACAGCGAATGGAGCAAATGGAATTGACCGTTGCAGCCAATTCGATAGCATGAGGGCCAGATGTGCTCGTTCTCCGCATATCTAGGGACTCGCTATCAAGTCACTGCAACAAATCTATGCCGAGCAAGAAGCGTCACGACGGGGATGATGCTTGCCACCTGTATGAGCGTGATGGCCGCCCTTGGCAGCGACAGCATGACTAATGGATCTCTTGTACCCCTGAGGGCGACCAACACCAATACCGCAGACAGAAGGGTCAGGAGTGTATCCGTCAGGAGCAGGGCAATGTCGGACATTGTCGTGGTGACCCTGGAAGACCTCCGTGGGCTCGTCCTTTCGCTGGCAACCGGATTTATCGATGTGGGCCTTAGAGCACCGGACACGTCGAGGTCTGCCCTTGATGCGAACCGAATCGCCCCAGTCCTTCATGCGCCACATGCATCCATGCTGGAGGTCTTGAGGCAAGTTGGCGCAACCGGCAGCGTCACGGTCGAGGCCACCGTACTGCTTTCCCCATTTACCAATATCGAAGCCCTTCCACTGGTTAGCGCAACCTTGAGTCATGAGACCGACACCCATACCAGGCACCAGAATGTCGAGACCATCGACGCCGAAGCCGACGTCACCACCGTCGTTGATGACTTGGTAGAAGAGCGTGTTGATCTTGCCTGGCTTGGCACCTTCGAATTCGGCGACGTAGCATGCGCACGAGGTCTCCTTCTCGATGGAGCTGGTCATGGCAGCGAAAGCGTAGCCGACGGTGGGGTTGATCGGATCGGTCCATGGCTGCTGACAGCTGCATTGGAACTCCCAGCCTCCGCCGCAGCCAGAAGAGTTGGCATCTTCGCGCTTGGGGCCAGTAGCGATGGTCTTACCATCGGCGAGGCAGGTAGCAACCGGATTGTAGACCGGCGCTTTGCCCAGCCAGCTGGATGAAGGCTTGCAACAGTCCTAATACATCGTGGCATCGGTGCCTTCTACTCCCGGAGTGAAGAAGGTCATGGTTGAAGCGATCACCGCGAGGACGACGGTCGACTTGAAGGATGAAAACGCCATTTTGACTGATTTGAGGCGCGTTGAAATGACGAGAATCGCTGGGCTTGAATGAAGTGGAGGCAATAAGGGCGTGAATGTCCTGTCAAAGGAATGGTCTGTATGTGTGAGGGCAGCCGTGTCGATCCGGTCGACGAGCTTGTGGACACGCAGAGCGGGGGAGAGGGGATGATGAAGGATGGGAAGCGATCGGTGCCGACTAAGCCTGCACTGGCTTTATATGCACGGATGGCGAGTAGACCAGCTTCTCAATAGAGAGCGCGCAGGCGCAACACCTACTCGGGCAAAGCATGTGAAGCGAGTTGGTGGGGCAGAGCATCACGACTTCATCAGGAGAGGCGCAGGCAACGATGCTGTTGCACAGGTGCTGCTGGCTGGTCTTCATGCGCTACATGACCGAACGCAGGCCGAAGAGAAAGTGATCAACAGCGGTCCAAGGGGAAGGCGAACAAAAGCAGAGGAGGGGTCGCCCCTTGCCTTCATCTGCGAAGAACATTTGGCGATCTGCCGGGCATCTCGAAGTGGGGGTAAGCTGCCAGGTGTACATAAAAGATCTTGACAACATGAAGTTCAGGGGCGTCGTGCTTATTGGTACAGCAAAATACACAGTGAGCTGAAGGTTGTCTGCGAGACGATGAACGTGGCACTGATCCACCCTGGTCCGCCACCCGCGCCGACTTGTTCGAGGTGTTTCGTTCGGCTTTCATGACACCCGCAGCGCAAGCTAACACAGGGCTGTTCTTTCCGATGCCGTCTTCCGACACTCATAGAGTGGCTCTGTTGCGAGGCTGAACGAGTGGCCACCAGCAATTGGTATCGTTCAACGCTTCATCGTGTGAATCGTCAACCGTCGGCAGGCTGATCTGACGTGCTCGGCAAGCCCTGCTCGCTCCACCCTGGTCAAATTATTTACACAAAATACCGCAAATTGTTCGAAAAAGGAGGTCCAAAAAAGGCATGAAAATCGAGGCTGGATCGGCTGCTTTGGGCGACTCCCGATCGCGCTGCTGAACCGATCACGCTTGCGAGGAAGGAGCGTGCGTTGTGTGTTTGTTCTCTCTGTGCTCTCTGTGCTGCGAAACCTTTTTCGCGACGCGGACCTCAGCTTTGACCAACTTTTGGATTCTTCTCAAGTCACAATCACACCCTCCAATCATCTCACCATTCCCTCCCGCAGCTTTGTTCCTTGTCGCGCCTCATCCTTCCTCACAGCACAGATTGCACGGAGCATCCAACGACCAGAGCGTCATCTGGCATCGCACCTGCGGTCACCTCTCGCTAGCCTCGAGGAGGATGCTCTTCTGAGGCCCGGCCCTCCTCCTTCCGCTTCACTCTTCGCAGGCTGAGCAGACGCATCGAGAGCTGATCATCAGTACGCCTTCCGATCACCCAAGCAGGCCCCGATCACCCATTTTTCTCTGCAGCTCCGTCACGATGCCCGCTGCTCCTTCCGCCTCCACCTCGGGCAGCGCAGGCGGCATCGCCGTCTTTGAGCCAACACGCTTCGAGCGCCTGCATCGCATCATCAACGAAGCCGCATCCAACCCCATCCGCCTTTCTCGCTCCAATGACTGGTTCGTCACCATCGACAGAAACCGTTCCGACCTAGCAGATCTCGGCAAGGTTCGTCCACCATCCGAAGCCGAACGCAAAGAGATCGAGTCGGGCAAGATCACCATCAATGGCAACACACAGAACCTCAATCCCGACTTTGCCCAGCAGTCGCTACTGCTCTCGCGAGAACTCGCCGTCTCGGAGCACTATGCTGCTTCTTTGCTCCAACAAGGTCTCGCTGGCCGCGCCAAATGGGGTCGTCCTGCTGTCGAAGTCGCATGCATCCTTTACCACCGCGAACGACTTGCCTTGCTTGCGTGTCTGAAGGAGCTGCTTCGAAATGCACTCACCATGCCCTTTGATGACGATGTCGAAGCACAGCGCATGGGCATCAAGATGGAGCAGCTCGTCGAGTCGCTCGTCAGCATCGAGACTTCTGTTGGCTCCGGTTCCACCTCTACGCGCAAAGTCACCCTTGCCGAAAGGATCCTTGTCGAGATCGACAACGCGAAACAATCAGCAGCACGCGTCAAAGCATCTCTCGAATCGCCAAGCAACAACACTGCCAATCAAGGCATCCAGACACAGACCTCCAACTTCTTCGGTCTCAGCGCTAGCCAGGCCGCGTCTCAGTCAGCATCCGTCTCCAATCCCACGAGCGGCAGACTCAGCGACGAGATCCAGCTGGACCGTCTCGGGTGGCTGCGAGAAGAGCGACGCGAACTAGGGCATCTACTCTACTTGCTTTCCATCTCATCCCTTCTCACGCCTTCCAACATCTCGGCGATTCTCCGCTGGCTCGCTGCCGTCTCTGCAGAGACATACGACGAGATGACCATCTACATCCTCACCGCGCTCCTTGGCGCGATCGATGCAACGCCAGAGGCACGAGCTGCCATGGCCGATCGCGCAAGCAGAGGCACGCTCCGCAAGACCGTCGAAGCGCTGCTGGACGACGAGTCTTTCATCACTTCCACACATGCCGAGATCACACGCAAGAAGTGGGCGCTAGGCGAGCTCAATAGTGCTGTCGCACTCCAATGGTCCATCTTCCTGGTCGAAGCCTTCTCGCGCAACCCCAGCTACCGCAATCAGCTCTCCATTTCGGAAGAGCAGATTCAGGACCTCGTACTTCTGTCCATCACCGGCTCATCACTCTCCAAGGACTCAACACCGGCAGGCAACGCCGACGACCCTACCGGTGGCGCGTCCATCTTCCTCGTCGTTCGCGTCCTCGCATTCCGCCAAAGAACCATTGATGCGCTCTTCGGCGAAGAGGAGGATGCGGTCGCCGCCGAGGCAGACGCAGCTGCCGGTGAGGTAGCTGACACCAACGCTTGGGATGACGAGGTGGACACCGAGTTCCGCGAGTACGTCGTCCAACAGCTCCACAACCTGGCTGTCGGTACCACCTCGGTCATGCTGCCCATGCTTCGACGCATTCAGCGCTCCGAGGAGGATGCCGCTTTCGCTCTGTCGAGAGGCGTCGGCGCACGAGGTGGCTCAGTGCCACAGCGCAGATACGACATCGAGGCACTCTTCGATCTGATCGCATTGCTCTGCCGTGGCCGACCCGAGGCAGGCCTGCCTTTCTGGGTAGGGCCGGACAACCGCACAACGCGTTTCCTGGCTTGGGCCATCGACGTTCGCGAGCCAGGCCATCAACGAGCGTTGCTCAACATGCTTGCTTCCATGTCATCGGGTCCTCAAAGTGCCAGCCAGGCCTACGCATTGCTCGATCAGGAGAGCACCCAAAGCGGCGCTGCCGGCGAAGGACGCCTCGTCTCCTGGACGCGCTTCTTCGAGTGGATCAGCTACTACATCGACACCTTCCACCAAGCCGTCAACTCGTCGTCGTTCCACGCTTCCAGCTACCAGTCGCTGGCCATGCCAAAGAACGAGGAGACGCTCCTGATCGGCTTTGTGCGACTCTTCCGAAATGTCGTCTACTTTTCGCATCCGGCTCGCGACGCCCTGCTGCAAAACTCATCCTACAATGCGCTGGACAAGCTCTTTTCGCTGCTCACCTGTCCGGTCCCGGTCGAGCTCAAGGCGAGCATCCTCGACGCATTAGCCGCCTTCTTGCATCAGTCGACCAACAATCCAGACGCTCAAGCTCGATTCTCGGCGATCGCGACGCAGCTCTGGGACCGCTTCGACGAGTGTGGCCTGCTCCCCTCGGACGCTTCCGCTGCCGCCAAGTCGCGACTTAACGGCAATGTCAATGGTGCGACCTCTGGCTCCTTCGGCCCCGCTTTCAAGCCTCTCGCCTCCAAAGGCGTGATCTACGAGCTCGAGAACTTCGAGGTACCGCTGCGCGCCTTCCCCGGCTCCACCAGCTTCGTCAACTTCCTTAAGGCGCTGGTCCAATTGCCTCCCGTCGCGCCTGCAGCGGGCTCGGCTGCACTCTCAGACACCACTGCAGCCTCAAGTACGGGCGCCAATCCGTTCGGTTCCATCGTCTCTTACGGCCAGCAAGCACAGCAACAGCAGATTCAGGGGCAAATGCAGCCAGCGTACCAGTCGCAACAACGAAGGCAATTCCGGTCAGTGGAGCCGTACGTCGACTTTGTCATCGATCAGGTCTTCCTGAAAGCACGCGCTCGTGACTACGCCGAGCCTGCCGAGCAATGGCGCGTGGTCGCCTCGTGTCTCGAGTTTGTCGAGCGCTCGCTGCGCTCGTACGACCTTGCAGCTCTTCTCCGCAACAGCGAAGGCGCTGACGCCGTTTCTGACCCTACTCTCCTCACTCAGCTGGCTTCTCATCCCGGTTTCTTCTTGATGCGCCGCATCCTGACGGGATCCAAGATGGTCGGTGAGATGCTCGGCATCCTCGTGCCAGGCTCCGGTCTCGCCGCTTTCGAGGCCATCAACCAGAACCGCGCCAGCACTTTCTTCTACGGCAGCTCCGTGCGACATGTTCTCAGCATTCTTGACCGCGTGCTGCGGTACCAGGACCTTTACGCGCAAGTATTGATCCCAACATTGGTTGACAGCAGCCTCAACGGCACACAGCTCCCATTCGACGTTTCGGCTCGTGTCGGCAATGCGGGATCCTACAGCAGCTTCGACGTCCAGCTCCTGCATGCCCACGAGTCTGTGGTGCAGATCGCTCTGCTCGTCAATTGCGTCCGCGACGATGTCGCCTTGCTTTCGATCCGCTTGCTCAGCCTCATTGCACGTACAGCCGCCTTCAGTGCAGTGGACCGTTTTGGCGAGATGGGCTACCGTCGCAAGATGAATCGTCTCGTCGGCCTGCTCGAGATGAGCGACGAGGCCGGTCGCGTCAAGGCAGGCTACGTCAGCAGGCTCGAAGCAGAACCATCCGGCGACGCTGGAAGCGCAAAAGCGATAGAGGCCCTGAACGCTCTGGCCGGAGGCGCTGACCTCGAGGACGCTGAGGACGCCGATCTGCAGGCCCCCAACGGCAGCCTGGACGCCATCACCGCTCTGGCATCCGGCGACGCAGTCGAGGCGATTCAGATCGCTATCATCAACCTCTTGCTTGCCGGCACCGAGCTCAACCAGCCCGCTCCCAACGTCGCACATCTGTTGCTCGGCTACGACCTGCGCGCTATTCGCCCCGAGGAGCAAGTGATTGTGGATCCTGATGCGCAGACGGCTGCACCGAGCGCCATTCACGCCATCTTGGCGCTTCTGCGCCCTGAGTCCGACAGCGATGGCACGACCTTCCTCAGCCTTGCCGAGCGATCGCCTGGCTTTGCGGACAAGTGTTGTTCGCTCATCCTGCGCCTCTGCACTCATCCGTTCACGAGCGCAGCGACGCTCCGATACCTGCGCACCAAAGAGGACTTTGTCGTCCAGCAGCTGCGAAGCCTGCCGCTCGTACCTGCCGAGCGCGGTACCTTGACCTCCAGCTCGGCCGCTCTGGGTGTGGTGCAATTTGCCGACGGCCAAGGCATCGAGACGACGGTGGACCGCGTCACTGCTTCGCTGCGCATGCGGGCCTCGCTGCTCGAGCTCACTGCGCTGGAACTGCATTCGCTTCTCAACGCCGGCATGCAAACAAGAGCAGCGCGCGTCGTGGCGGCACTCTTCGGTCCCAATGCGACAGCAGGCGGAGGCAACGGCGTGGACGCAGACGACAGCATCGACGAGGACGATCTCCTGCTCGGAACAGAACGAGACTTCCGTCTGGGCGCTGGCGGTGCTGAAGTCCGCACCTTCGGCGGTGTCCGCTTCCTCGAGATTCTGCAGAGCCTCGACTTTGAGTGGTATGACGACCGCGAGGCCCTCGGACAAAGCATCACCGTCATTACGCCAGAGCAGCTGGACTTCGCCAAGCGACCCGATGCTGCAGCGGGCCCTCGCATGTTCGACCTCGGTGCTGTCCTCGCCGTCCTCGTGCGGGAAAAGACACTGCTTCAGCAGAAAGGCAACTTGAGGGATGCTGGCCAGGCCGACCCCTTCCTGGAGCAAGCAGCTTTCGTGCTGCAGTGGGCTTCAGCTCAGAACGCAAAGAAGGCAGTGGCATTCTCTCGTCGACGCGTGCTGCAGGCGTGGCGACACACACTCGACATGGTCCTGGCGCGCGCTGCCGGTCTGTTGCGCACCGAGGTCCGATCCAGTCTGATGTTCGACTGCCTTGCGGAGCTTCTCCCCCGTATTTCGGCGCCTTCCGCAGATGCTGGTGGCCTCGACGTGCCATCTGCCGACCTTGTTGCTGGTGCCGTGCTCTCGTTGCTCACCTCACTGCGACAACATCGCGTCGAGCTGACGACAGGCGCACTTGATATCGAGGCGGTCGATGCACTCCCCGTCGACAGGCTACTCACGACGCTGCGCGCGCTCATTGATTCGGTGCTCCGACTGGACACCACGACGGTGGCTCGCGGCAATCTCTATTCGGCGCTCATCAACTTCCTTCAGCTGGTTCAGACCGGGAGCGGTGCCGATACTAGCGGCGAAGCAGGCGCCAACGACGGCGCCTCCGTCATCGCCACTGACCTCGATGACGCCATGTCAGTGGGCGGTATCTCGACCACGACCACCAACATCTTTGGTGGCAGAGCTCAGACGAGCGGCTTGGAAGCACGTACCCGCGCCCTGCTCCTCTCGCATGCTGAGCGTCTGATGGATGTGCTTGGCCGCGACGCTCTGGACGCTAGCGATCTGTCTAAGACCATTGCCTTCACGCTGCTCGACAAGCTGTGCGCCCTCGACGCCCCAGCCTCCGTCAGCGCCTCCTCGCGTCGTGCCGGCTCGAAGTGCCTCGATGTGCTCGACCGCAAAGGATACATCAAGAGTTTCGTCACGGCGCTGCGCGACTCGGATGTGGTTCTGCAAGTGACGCTTCGTCCAGACCCTGCCAGCCTGAACGCTCTCTACGTGTACGAAGCGCGACTGGCGTTCTTCAACCGTATGGCGCAGACGCGCGACGGTGCCGAGCGACTCCTGAACGCCAAGATCTTCGACGTGCTTGCCCAATCTGACTACCTGGCAGCACGTCCTGATCAAGATCAAGAGTTTGTCGATCTGGACAGCTTCCTCCCCGCAGCCACCGAGCGATACAATGCACTGCTGACGCCTGTCCTCCAGCTGACGACCAGCATCCTTGCCAGCGCATCGGCTGGCTCTGCTCTTGGCGGAGCATCGAGCCAAGGCATCTCCAAGGCGTTGGCGCCGACATCGGCCGCGGCGGCGCCTCGACACGCGCTGGCGCTGTTGACTGCTCATCGAGATGCACTCCTGACGGTTCTGCGTGCTCCTCTGCAAGAGTTTTGCTCGTCCGCCCAGCTCAGCCAGGCGCATCTGGTCGTTGCCATCTTCGTCCTGATCATGCCCTCGCTCGACGATGACGCTCAGCAAGCACCGAGCCCGCTCGCACCATTCCACAGCGCCATTATCGCCTTTGCGGCTGTCTACCTGACGGCTTCCTCCTGGCGATCGCGCATCGTGCCCTACACCGAGGTCGAGCGTGAAGAGTCGCGCGAGCCGACCGCATCCCTGCGCGCGCTGCGTGCCTCCAGCGAGGCACCGAATGGTGGTGGCAATGGCGCAGCGGAAGAGGAAAGTGCGTTCAGCGCCAAGGTAAACGCCATGGTGGTGAGGCTGCAGATGACGCTGCTTTCTTACCTGGAGGCGGCCAGCGATGCCCGCGGCAGCAAGACTTCCAGAGTACGACCGGTGCTGATCCCATCGCTGGCGACCAACCGTGAGCGATCCCACACACCATACGGAGCAGGCGATGATGACGGCGATTCTTCTCGAGTTGGATACCTGCGCTCGCAACGGGCGTCTGCTGCAGCGTCCACTGTGCCCAGCATCGGTGGACTGGTCGCTGCGCTCGACGACTACACCGACTCTGTCGCCAAGGAGCTGCAAGGACTGGAAAACATCGAGACGCTTCTCGAGAACGTCGATTCTGTGCGCCAGGACGAGTTGGACGAGATTGCCCGCGATGCACTCGGCGAAGTCACTGCCGGCGAGCTCTCCCCGGCTCAACGCCGTTCTGTAGCACTGCGTCAGCTGTGCGCCCGCAAAGCGACCCTTCGCGCTTCGTCGACGACCAAATTGGACGCTGTCGAGCTCATCCTTGTCCTCCTGATCCGACACATCGAGTTCTTCCGCACGCTCAACAATGACCGCTCCACGCTACCTGCTCTCGGAGGAGCAAGGTCGTCCCCTGCGCCCCTGTTCGCAGGCGCAGGGGCAGGATCACACTTTGACCGTACCACCCTCATGCAGGGTTTGGCCGAGTCGCTTCTGCCTATCGTCGACGACAAGATCGGATATCTTTCGCTCCCACCTAGTCTCGTGGCCAACGCTAGGGAGAGGCAAAGCTTCCTCCAGATGGCTGGCAGACGGTTGGCTAGCTTCTTCACCGAGGCTGAGCAGTAGTAGCGACAACGCATCAGAGCTTCTCTGTAACGCACACGCATAGCTGGAATGAAAGCTAGACATGTTACTTGTTACTTTGCCTTGATGAGACGAGACGTGAGAGCGAGTCAAGAGAATGATGAGACGTGAACGAACACTAGAGAATACCATGGCCTCCCAAATGGCTGTGACGGATATATATTTACAACCGCTTTTTAAGCCGACATGAAGCGATCCGAATTAGTTTAGTGGCTATGACGGCGCCTTGTCATTCAATTGACTACGTTCTCCGCGCAGAAATACGGCGCAGACCCGGGTTCAATTCCCGGATTCGGAGGATCAAACTCATCTTTTTGCACTTTTTTTTTCCTGATCACACCGAGATCATCTCGAAGTCACCACGCAATGACCATTGGCTCGGGACCAAAGCGGAGGGGCCTTCTCACAAGCAAGTGACAGGCTCGTGCGATACGTGTATTGGATTGTGGCTCACAAAGATGCCGGGTATGATCGCGATGGGGAGGGAAAAGGGGAGCGAGGCAGGACGTTACACGGTGATCGAGTTGATCTGTTTGCGTGACTGAGCTAGAAGAGCTTGGGTCTCGGGGTCGATGGTGCTTTCGTTCCCCTTGACCTTGACTTTTGGATCGGAAGGCGACGGCGCTGCTATTGTTGGCGCAGGATCTCCCGGGCCCGAAGCGCCTGGGTCGAGTGCTTCGCCCAGATCCTCGTCCTCGTCAAGCGCATTGACCGGGGGCACAGCAGTGACTGGTGCAACGACTTCTGCAGTGGAAGCAGCAGTCTTGACATCTCCTGCCGATGGTCGTGCTTTTGAGCCCGCCGCGAGTTTCCTCTGCTTGGACCGGAGACGCATGATCATCTTCCTGTCCAACTCGATCGCCTTGTTCTGCACCTTCTTGATCGTACCTCCGCAGTGGATGACCCTGATCCTCAACGATGCCGTTCTGCCTGCCGAGCTCGCCTCTCCGTCTGCAGCCATCTCTATCGGACTCGAGATCATCGTTGCGCTGGCCCACACCAGTCGAGCGGCATCTCGTGAGCACCTTACGATCGCAGTGCCCGTATGAGAGCTGTAGTACTTGCACGTCAAGACACCGCCAAAAGCGCCAGCGGCCACATCGCCAAAGTTGTACACTAGCGAGGCGCGCAGAAGACGAGTAATGTGTTGCGGCGTGATTGTCTTTGCGACGTTGCTGGACGAAGAGACTTGTCGTGCCGCGGAGAGGACGGAAGCGGATGTGGAAGCGTGCGCCGAGTCGTCCGTTGGGATGGTGGGAAAGGGCGAGGAGGCGGCGAGTGGTGTGTCATCGATGGCGATAAGCAGCCATCGCGTCTTGAAGCGCACCATTGCAAGCGATGCCTGTCTCCTTTTCCGCCCTGGATTCGGTGAGGTAGAGAAGGATGGTGGAGACGACGTTGATGCGAGCAAGAGATTCTTCTCGCGTTCGACCCTTTCTTCTGAAAAGTCACACAAAGCCGTTTTCCTGAAATCACCTCCACCCTGGACGAGCTTAAATTCTGAGCTCGGCAATCAAAAAGAGGACTCAGCTCAGCCATGCATGTCAAAGTGGCGACCCGACCCAGCTCGGCTTTCCTCTTCTCCTTCCACCAATCCTAACTTTCAACATCCCCTTCCCGCAATCCTTACACTCACGACTGATGTGGAACGCAAGCTCGACCTTTAGCGCGCGTTTGCAGTCATAGCATCGTGCTCACGGCTAAGATGCAAGACGACGAGGCTGTCCGGGAAGAATGCCGGCAGAGACAGGAGGACGAGATCGTAGCGCTCCAGTCCATCTTTGCCGGTGCTGATGACGGCGAGGCGGGAGATGGAGCTCATCGGCCTGAAGAGGTGCGCGTCAAGCTGCTACTGCAAGAACCAGAGCCGTTTCTCGAGTTCCATATTCCGGTCACCCTACCGAGACCCACGCGCATCGTGGTCGACACCTACGCACCGAGTCAGGAGGTCATCTCGACACCAGGGCCTAGCTCGGAAGCATTGCCGCCATCTCTAACGGATGAACAAGCAAAGTCGATAACTCACGGCGAAAGGACGGAAGCACTCTGTCAGCACAACAAGAAGAATCGTAGCAGGAAAGTCAAGGCGAGCACACCTGTCCATCTCAATGCAAGCGCGCACATCTTCCAACCAGGCAAGGACCGCGCAGCGCAGGTCGATGGTGGCACGCAGACCAATCAATCAAGATCAGCACCAACAGTAGATGTCGCCAAAGCATTTAAAGGTCTCAGTCTCCGTGGAGCAAACGGCCACGTTTCCGTCGTCGGCAATGGAGACCCCTCGACCTCTCGCAAGGAGGTCTTGCGGCCGCAGTCAACCAAGCAGCTACCCTCGCTCTCTCATCTAGCGCCCATCACTATGCGAGTGCGCCTATCCCCGACCTATCCAGCAGAGCAACCACCCATCATCGAACACCTTACCGCGCCCTGGCTACGACCCGCATCCAGCTCCAAGAATGCACCGCATAATTGGCTAGTTCACAAGCTCCACGAGCAATACCGCGAGATGAGCGGCTTGGAGATTCTCTACATCTGGGCAACCTATCTCTCCGAAAGTCTTTGGGTCTCGCTCCTGGAAGACCAACTGATCCGGGACGACGCACCCCCATTCCTGCAACATCCAGTTCAAGTTGCTGGGCAAGTTGATGTGAGCTTGCGTTTCGAAGAACACCTCGACTCACGAGATGCGCAGCCTCTGCTCGCGGCTCAACTATTGGCACACTCGCGTCTCTGCAGTCGCACAACGTTCGACGCTTCGTCCTTCGACTGTGCGATCTGCCTCGAGACTCGGAAGGGTAGAGCTTGCACGAGGCTCAGCGGCTGCGGCCACGTCTTTTGCTCAGAGTGCCTCGCCGGCTATCTGTCGAGCCTAGTCGATGATGGCTTTCACAGACAAGCAAAGCGATGTCCGGATCCAGAATGCGTGACGCTCTGGAGCGAGAGGGAAAAGCAGAATCTCGTTGACCAGGAAGGAAATCTCATCACTTCTGCCAAGGTCAAGTCCGCTGGCGTCACGTCTCCAGATAGTCAGCTGGGCGCGGACAGCGAGAAGAGCAAGACAGTCGTGGGCTTAGTGACACGCGAGGAGTTGGAAGCCATTCTAGGCGCCACCCGTCTAGCTCGACTCGACCAGCTCACCGTCAAAGCAAAGATGGAAGCCGATCCTTCGGTATCCTACTGTCCTCGTGCGGGCTGCCAAGCCGCCGTCGTTCGTCTTTCGTCGGACGAGAACTCGGGTCACTGGGAGCGATTCCGAGAATGTCTCTCGTGCGGCTTCGCCTTTTGTGCGTGGTGCTCTCGCTCCTGGCACGGCCCCACCTCGTGTCCCGTCTCGTTCCAATCTGAGCTCATCCGGCGGTACCTCTCCCTCGCCCCGTCCTCACCTGACCGCTTGCTCATGCAACAGAAGTTCGGGCGCAAAACGCTCGAGACCATGGTGCGCAAATACGAAGAGGAACAACAAACCCAACGCTGGTTGTCGGACTACACCACGCCCTGCCCCACGTGCGGCATTGCGATCGAAAAATCCTACGGCTGCAATCACATGACATGCAAGTCGTGCCAGACGCACTACTGCTATCTGTGCGGCAAGACGGTTTCCTCGCAAAACCCGTATCAGCATTTCAACACGCCAGGACACGAGTGCTATCACAGGCTGTTCGACGGGCTGCTGGGCGATCAGGATCCGAGACACCAGCAGCAGCAGAGAGAGGCGCAACAGGGTGGAGAGAGGGAGCAGGAAGATGGGAGGCCTGGATTTGCACTGCTGTTGGACGAGAATGGGATTCCGTTGCATCTGGAACCGGAGGATCAGGAGATGGATCTGTTGGCATGGCAGCAGCTCGGTTGACGTATCCACATCGCTTTGGCAATACACTTTTGCACTGCATAGCGTGCTTTCTGACTCGTAGCATGTCTAGCCTCGAGCGTGGCCAAAGATGGTGACTGATCGCGAGGATGATGGGAGGACAAAGTAGGAGGAAGGAAAAAAAAAAAGGAAATTGATCACTCCGAATCCGGGAATTGAACCCGGGTCTGCGCCGTATTCTGCGCGGAGAGGTAGTCAATTGAATGACAAGGCGCCGTCATAGCCACTAAACTAATTCGGACGCGTTATGTTTGGCTTCGATTGCATTGCGTATATACTCTCTGCCTCACAGCTTAGTGGACATAGCCTCGCGCAAGATCATCAGCTGGGACAAGGCTCGTGAGACTGAGTTGCTCAATCATCAACGTAACTTATCAGCAAATTGCCACAGTCGTGTAAGGCGTCAACCGCCGGCATTTCACGTAGCCTGAGTCATCCGCCGTTGGCTGCCGTAGGCGAAGGAGCGGCAAGACCGTAAGCGGGGTCGGTCAACGGTAGGATGGGAGAGTTGTCAGCTGTCATGACGTTATGTTGGACGCTGCTGTTACCAGAGGAAGGACCCTTGATGCCTCACCGGGTCAGCTTATCCGGATGCTCGTCAAATTTAAAACTCAAAGTCGGATTCGCCTGATGCACGCATGCAACATGATGCATCCACGAGCACCAGCTGACCATCCACAATGGAGCAAAGCGCTTTGTTTCGACATTTCGCTCCATCATGTCATTCCACGAGTGAGGCCGAAACGAGCGACGATCCTCTATGCACTTGATGCAGACACAATGACTGAATACGACGGCCTTCCAACAGGCACGCACGGTCGGCTAGGCTGAATGAAAATCACGTTTGCGTGTCAGCCAAATGCGCTCTGTCCATTTTCGTCCGCGGCTTCAGCTTCAAGGCTCAGTTCGCCTGCATATAGTCACCTTGGAGATAGCTTCCATTCCATCGATCACACGCTCTTACCTCCCTTCCTTCCAGCCTCACCCTAACCCATTCATCAAGGCGGATCATCCATTTCTGCAGACTCGACAGCGTCGATCGCAGCTCCTTCCAGCGCCCCCATAGAGCTACAGGAGCGCTGTTCAAGCAACCTGCTGCACCTCCGAGCGCCAGCAGTGCATACGATCCGTCAAGATGGGCCTTCGCCCACTCTTTGGCACGCGCGCTAGCGTCACCAATGTTCGCGACAGCTTTGGTGCCACTGCAGAGCGGGCAAAGACCGCAGAGGATGAGCAAGCCAATCCGCTAGACAACCTTGACCATGACGCCGACGATGCCCCAACCTCATCTGAAGAGCCCGTCTCTTCACAACCACAACAGTCGCAGTCCCATCAGCAACAAGGAGGTCAGGGTCTGGCCAAGTTTCTCAATGGCGCCGCTCTCATGTCCAACAAGGATGCTCAGTCCAAGGCGCAGGATCGTCACCACCAAGATAAGGTCGTTGCACCCGATTCGCCAGATCCATCGCAACAAGCTCATGGTCCCGACGCTGCGGATGACACGGCAGCATGGAAGCGAACCGGCAACGAGGCAGAGACCTCGGATCAGCATGAATCCAACCGCGCTCGAACCAAATTTGGCCGAACGCTCAAGAAGGTAGACGCCAAGATCCGTTCCACCATCGGCGTCAATGCTCCTCCTACCGCCGAGCAGATGCGCAGTCCTTATTCCATCGGTAACAACGACCACTTGCACAGCCAGGATAACCTTGGCGCCGCAGAGCTTCTCAACGATGCCAGACTAGAAACGCTGCAACACTTGTCTGATGACGAGGAAGAGGAAGACGACAATGCTGAGGAAGGTGACATCGAGAGCACTGGCCACGATTCTGACGACGACGATGACGCCAGAACCATCTCCAATGACGACAAACCTGATCGAGCTAGCATGGACAAGCATTTGAAAAAGCTCGAGCGTGCTGACGAAGACGCGGAAAGGCGCCGTCGATCCGGATCCATGGATGGTGCTCGCCCAGGCGACAGCGTCCGCACCCACGCACCCGTCGAGATCTCCTCTGAAGACAAGATGAAGGCTATCATCGACGAGTTCGGCGAGTGTGCTTCTCTTTCTAACCCTAACGAACCCGAGAGGCTCATTGTGGACCACAGCGGTGTTCTCATCAAGACCGTTTTCATCAAGGGCAGCCTCTTCCTCACCAACCGTCGCGTCTGCTTCTTGGCTTACATCCCGAACGCCGCGAACAGCAACGGGACCGAGCATCATCAGGCTGGCTTAAGGAGCGGCAAGGATTCGAGCGAGATCAGGGCGCCATCCGATCCCAATGTAGAAAATCCCATCCTCAAATCGGGTCCCGCCATCATCCACAGACCAGGAAAGATGCGACCCAAGCGCAGGGTCTGGATCGAACTACGCAAAGACGCCTTCAACGCCTACTCGGCCAGCAATCAGCTGTATAAGCCCTTGCTCTCGGCTCGTCTCTCGAACCTCTACGCCATTCTGCCCGTCGACTGGGCGCAACCCAACGTCATCCGCTTTGTCGAAGGTCTCAAGTACAGCTCCGTCGAGTTCAAGACCCAGGAAGCCGCACTCGACTGGCGCAAGGAGCTGGAAGCCGCCGCATTCCACGCTCGCAACACTGCAGAGAAGGTTCGCATCAGCATTCCTCTTGAACGCGTCGTCGGCATGGATACAGCCAACTTCCTGAGCGTCGCGAAAATTGTGCATTTCGATGTGCTCGTCGGCGCAGTCAACGATGCTGAAGCGCAGAAGATTCTCAAAGAGCAACGCGAGCGTGCTGACCGACAGCAGTTGGATCACAGCTGGTCGAGCGGCCATGTCTTCATCAACTGTCCCAAGCATCCGGAGATCAAGTGCCACGTCACCCAGGTCGCCCTTGGATTCACACATAATCGCGCTGCCTTTGTCGATCTGCTTCAAGAGGCACTCAAAGGCCCCAAAGCAGCGCAGAAGCAGACTGGATTCGAAGAAATGCTGCGCGCCTTGCCCGCTCCTCTTCTCGACTTGGAAGGCGAGAAGGACGTCGAAGACACATCGACCGATAGCAACTACTCCTCTGATGATCAGAAGCAATCGCTCGCCGACAGGTTTTGCCACGCGTTCGGTCTTCCGCATCAGCCCGAAGAACTCCGCCTTGTCAAAGCTCAGCTCGTGCGCACTCTTCACACCCACGGCACCATGGCTATCGGACTTGACCATCTGCTCTTCTGGCGCAGAGCGGTGGGCCGAGACCTCAAGATCCGAGTGCCGCTCAATGATGTCCAAGGTGTCGATACTTATCGATCTATGCTGTGGCATCACTACGGCCTCGTAGTCCACATTCGAGCTCATGCGGATATGCATTTTGACTTTATGTCGCAGGAGAATCGCGACATGGTGCTCTCAACATTGAAACGCATCATCCAGGCCATCGATCAGCGGAAGCAGAAAGCGGAGAGAGGCAGTCTGGACGCAGCGAGCGATGACAGCAGCATCACCAAAGTGGAAGCAGCCTCCCACCCTGCAGACGCAAAGAAGAGCGCCAACGAGTCCATCTTGCTCGACACGGCCCGCGACGTGCCCGTCTTTGAACCGGATGTGCTCGCCCATCTGCCCAAGGTGGTCAACATGGACCGCAACGTGATACGCGACGTGCTTCGCATTCCACCCATGCGCATCTACTGTCTCACCATCGGCTCGCGTGGCGATGTCCAGCCCTACATCGCGCTGTGCAAGGCGCTCAAGGAGCACGGACACACGCCTGTGATCGTCTCGCATCCCGAATATCGCGGGTGGGTCGAGGGGCACGGCATCGAGTACCGTGGCGTAGGCGGCGATCCAGCTGCACTGATGAAGCTCAGTGTCGAGCATCGCATCTTTTCGCCCGCCTTCTTCAAGGAGAGCATCGGCAAGTTCCGCGTCTGGCTCGATGAGCTGCTCCGCGAATGCTGGGAGGAGTGCCAAGGTGCCGATCTACTCATCGAGAGTCCTTCCACCATGGCGGGCATTCACGTTGCCGAAGGTCTCGGCATCCCGTACTTCCGCGCCTTCACCATGCCGTGGACCAAGACCTCGGCGTATCCGCAGGCTTTCAGCGTGCCAGCGATGGACATGGGCTCGTCATACAACTCGTCGTCCTATACGCTTTTCGATCAGATCATGTGGGTCGCCACCAGCGGTCAGATCAACCGCTGGCGCAAGCACATGGTGGGCATCGGCGCCACCGACATGTCCAAAATGGACGCTGACTCGGTGCCCTTCATCTACAATTTCTCACCTGCTGTCGTTCCCATGCCCAATGACTGGGGGGACCGCGTCAAGATCTCGGGCTACTGGTTCCTCGACAATCCGGACTCGAACTGGTCGCCGCCTCAGGAGATGTCTGACTTCCTGGAGCGGGCCAAGAAGGACGGCAAGAAGATCGCCTACATCGGCTTTGGGTCGATCACCATCGAGAATGCCGAGGAGGTCTCGGCAAACATCATGAAGGCGGTTCGCGAAGCGGATGTGCGCGCCATCGTTGCAAAGGGCTGGAGTGGTCGAGGCGGCTCCAAGCCCAAGAAGAAGAAGCAGCCCAAACGCAGCAACAGCTGCCGACCAGCGATGCAGCACAAGACGTCCGCCGTCTCGTCGCACACCGAGAGCGAGGATACCGGCACCGAGGAAGAGCACGAGCCCGAGATCGAGATTCCCGACGACGTGTTTGTCGTTGACTCGGTGCCGCACGACTGGCTGTTCCCGCAGATCGACATTGCCATGCACCACGGCGGCGCAGGTACCACGGGTGCCTCGCTCCGAGCTGGGCTGGTGACGCTCATCAAACCGTTCTTCGGAGATCAGTTCTTCTGGGCGAATCGAGTGCAGAAGCTGGGCGCAGGTGCAAAGGTCAACGGTCTCAGCGTGCACGATTTGTCCGATGCGCTCAAGAGCGCCGCGTCGGACCGGGTCATGGTGGAAAAGGCGCAGGGGGTGGGTGAAAAGATCCGATCCGAGGACGGCGTTGCTACAGCGATCGAGTTCCTTTACAAGAATATCCCGCTTGCCAACCGGCGGACGCAGCGCAAGATCGAGCGCGAAGCCTCGCAATCGCACGACGCTGGGACGCCGTCGGCGGGGATCGGTAATGCGCTGTCGTTCTTTTCTCATAGTCGAACGCACAGCGGGAGCTCATCGAAGGACACGCCCCAGCGTCGATCTGCCACGATGCCGCCAACCAAGCCGTCCTCCCCCTCTCCGCTGTCGCCGATGGGCGAAAAGCGATCCATGACGATCTTCGAATCGCCCGAGACCGAGGAGCCCAAATCACCCAGTCTGGCATCGAAACTCCTCCCCACGCTCCCTTCCATCAACCCGCTGCCAAGCAACATGGCTGCCACCCTCAAGGAGATGGTCACCTTCCAGAATTCCACCGCGGACACCACAGCGGATGGCGAGGATGCCTCCACGCCGGGAAGGTTCAAGAGCTTCCCACCCCGCGTGGAAGGGGAGGAGGAGAGCGACGAGCAGAAGATGGCCCGCTTGAAGGGGTATAAGAATGCCAAAGCGGAAGATATTCGAAGGAGGAAGCTGCTCGAGGAACGGCTGGCGAGAGAGAAAATCGAGCGGGAGGCGAAGCAGGGTGAGGGAGAGAAGGCTAAGCAGTAATGCGGAGGCGGCAAGTGGATGTGGTTGAATTTGTTGATATGGAGCCATTTGACACGATAGATACGATACCTTGGACCCGGAGCGCAACAGGAATAACCACTCATCAACCTGCTGTGCTCAGAATTGTGCGCACACGCTCACACGCATGAATTGACTTGAGAAAAGCTTGCTTGCTACACGCCTACAGCCACATCATCTGCCACCGAGCCGTCTACAGCTGCGGCGCAAAACCCTTGCCAAGCATGCCACAGCCCCCTATCGAATGGACCCGACCGTCCCTGCATGGATGAAGCATGCAGATCCGTCATTCGACCTCGAAATCTGCCATGAACACCTACCACCCAACTCTGCCGAGACTGAGCGACCTGCCCCAAGCCTTCTTCTGTTGTGCAGCGCGCTCCTGGGCTGTCTGAGCTGCTTGTGCCGCAGCTCGTTCGGCTAGCTGTCGCTCGGCAAACGTGGTGACGAGTTGTTCGGCGATCGCCTTGCGATGTCCCTCCCAGCGTGCCGAGGTGTAGTACGTCTCGTCGCCGGCTGCCAGGCTGAGCAGTCTGGGTCGATGCTCGAGAAGGGGGTCTGTCAGTGTTTGTCGGCACAGAGGGTTCGAGGTGAGAGGGGGATGCTTACTTCTTTCTCCAAAGCGGAGCGGTCGGACTGTCAGGCAGGGGCAGGGTTAGCTTTTTGGGACGGATGGGCGATGGTTGGAGGTTAGGAGACGTACCGACTGCTCCTTGGCAGAGCGCTGTAGCAACCAAACAATGTACGAAGCGCGTCAGATGACCCATTCTAGCACCAAAAAGAAGGTCAGAAGCTACGTACAGGTAGTAGTCGTTGATAATCCGTTTGCCGTCGGTGTGCAAGAAGTCGATCCAGGCCGCTTCATGAGCACGAAGCTCACCAGGCAGCTCCCGATGTAAAACCCCATCCTGGACTTGCGCCCAGAGAAAGCGCATCCCTTCGCCGCCCTGAGCAACGCTCTCCGGCATAGGAGTCACGGTCAACACCTGGCTCGCGGATGCAAGTATGAGGCTTAGTGCCGGGAGCAATCGGAAGCTCTTCATTGTTTTGGCGACTTGGATGAGGCGAGAAAGATGAAATCGATGGTGTGGCTGATCATGAGAGCAAGGGAAGCTGATATAGACTCTCACGAGCGAAGGAATAAGCTAGCTCGCTCTGGATTCCTCGAGCCCAAATGTCGGCCTTTCCGTCAATGACATGGCATTGGTAAACGACGACCATCTCGGGAGCTCGGTACTGCAAGGTGGTGTGCTTGTTGAGTCTTGTTGACCGAGCAACGACCGACACTCATGTTCGCCCACGCAGCAGCTTGGCGACAACCGCCCTTCATCCCATAAAGACAGGGGTCAAAAAGCCTAACGCCCACGCAGGTCTTTAGCAGCAGCCGCTTTCATTGACATATACAGTACACAGCCATCAGGGACCGAAATCTGCAACGTCCACACTTCAAAGATGAGCCTTCCAAAACTCAACCGCCTCAGCAGTAGCCTTTTCGAAAGCCTCCTTGACCTGGGGGTCACCCAAGTTGGGTCGAGCCGCGAAACCGTGCACTGTGTTGGGGTAGTACTTGAACTTGTGTTTTGGTTTATCGCCTTTGTCGCTCCATTCCTTCTCGACCTGTTTTGCGTAGTTCTCGCTGAAGATGGGGTCTTCTTCGGCGCAGTTGAAGAGGATGGGGTTTTTGATGGCGGCAATGTCGCCCTTGGTGATCATCGAAGGGTGGTTGGCGACGCTGACATCGATATGACCGCTCGCGTTGAGGCAGATGACCAGTTTTCCACCGTAACAGTATCCCACACCACCGATGCGAGTGTAGCCTTTGGAAGATTTGAGCTCGTCGATCCACTTGCGGAGGCCGGGCAGTTTGGAGCCGGGCAAGTTGCGTGCGAAGAAGGGTGTCGCCAGCGCAAACCCGGCCATCGTCTTGAGCTTGGTCACGATCGAAGCGGATTTCATGTCGGCCGCGGTAGAGGGTGCGACAGCGAGTGTCGACTCTGCCACACCACCCCCGTTGAAGACGTCCGGCACGTAGACGGTGAGGCCAGAAGCATCGGCGATACGATCAGGGATGACTTTGTTGTTCTGCAGCTTCAGCCCGAACGCGTCGTAGAAGTAGATGATCGCTTTCTTCTCGTTGTCGGAGGAGGCATTGGAGGGGGTGGCGACGTAGCAGTTGATGCCGTTGATGTTCTCCATCTTGCCCTTGGGCTCGCCAGGAATCTTGAAACCTGTAACGCAGTTGATGCAGAAGCCACCGCTGTTGGCCCCGCCCTCGGAGCCAATGGCCGTGTTGGCGTCGTCGATGATGGTGTTGCGGGACGGCTGAGACATTTTTTGCGCTACGGTGATGGTGTGAAGAGACGAAGAGGAGGGGATGGGGAGTGAGCTGGTTATGGCATCGAGGTGACCGCCGGCTAGCGTGCCCAGTTGGACAGGCGTCACCGTGAGGTCACGGCGGACTGTGGGGAAATGTTGGATAGCGTGAAAGAAGGGAAATTCCGCGGCGCTGGGTGGGTTTTTGCCCACGGACCATCCATCTTTTTTGGTGCGACGTCATCCTCGTTGCTAGGCAGGACGTAACATGTCAGGCGAGAAGAAACGTGGTAAAGGGTCTAAGCAACGACCACAGGACTGGACCAACACCAACACTTCATCGTAGAATCGACGGCAGGGATCAAGATGCATAACTCCGTATCGACACCGACGACGAAACTGCTCAGTCTCGGCGCATAGGAGATTATGAGCGCCGCCAGCGGTGAAGTCGAGAAGCCTAGTCGCTCGGGACGGCAAGCGGCGTCCAGTGCCTCTCCTCGTCGACAAGTAGCCGTGGACGCAACGACGCCGCTGCTGCATCGATCTGGTCCAACCCCGACGTCGCTGCCGCACACACGACGGTCATCCTTCCTGTGCCGTCTCCTGCTCGCCATCCTCGTCCTCGGTGTCATCCTTAGCATCGCCAACAGCTTCCTACCCCTCACTCCTCACCGATCCCCAGACGACGATGCCACCTCCCTCCTACCCAACGCAACCCTCACCAACGGCACCCACACCTTCCGCCGCACCGTCATCCTCATCTCCCTCGACGGCGCCAAGCCCTCCTATCTAACCCCCTCGCTCACACCCCACCTTTCCGCACTGGGCGCCTCCACCGCTCGCTCCCGATTGACGCGATTGCAACCGATCTTCCCCACACTCACCTTCCCCAACCACTGGACGCTGCTCACCGGCCTCTACGCGAGCTCGCACGGCATCGTCGCCAACGACTTCCACGATGTGCGCTCGGGAGAACAGTTCTACTACACGCGACCGGACCGCTCGTGGGATGGGAAGTGGTGGAGGGGCGAACCCGTCTGGGCTACCGTGCAGAGGGCTGGCGTGCGCAGCGCCGTGCTCATGTGGCCTGGTCCACCCGTCACTGCGAACGGTGACAGACCGAGGTGGTTCCAGAAATACGAGAGTGGTCCGCAATGGGATCTCACAGGCAGGCTGCGGCAGGTGATGACGTGGTTGGACGTGGAAGAGGTGAACGAGAGACCAGGGCTCATCTGCGCATACGTGCCGGACATCGATCAGGCCGCACACCGATTCGGACCTGAATCGAAGGAGGCGCTGCAGGCGGTGAGTCGCGTGGATGATTTTATCGGAGACCTTGAAAAGCAGCTAGAGAAGCGGTCGTTGGGAGAGGTGGTAGACGTCGTCGTGGTGAGCGATCACGGCATGACCACGACGAGCAACGAGAGGTTGATCTACCTCGACGAGCTGTTGGGGTCTGAGCTGCATGGGAAGTTGGAGCATCGAGACGGCTGGCCGTCGGCAGGGTTGCGATTCAAAGGCTCAGAAGCAGAACAGCAGCGACTGGTCGAGCAGGCGTACAAGCGTCTGTCGTCGCTCAAGAGCAGGCAGAAGCGAGGATGGAGGATATACACCCGCGAGGATCTGCCGGAGCGATACCATCTGGCAGCAGCACAGGTCCAAGATCGACTAGCCCCACTGTGGCTCATCCCCGATCTCGGATGGAGCATCACTACGCACGCCGAAATGGCCACCTTTGCCGACGGCGTCTACGCCCCCAGAGGCAACCACGGTTACGATAACGAGGAGGAGGATATGCACGCGATCTTCGTCGCTTCCGGACCGTCGTTCGCTCCTCGCTCCCAGCGCAAAGCAGGCAGTGGCAAGCAGAACATGGACGCGTTTGCCAATGTCGAAGTGCACAACTTGATATCGCGCATCCTGGGCGTGCCGCAGAGCAAACGGGCTCCAACCAATGGCACATGGACTTTTTGGGATAGACATCTTCGAGCTGGTCTCTAGTCGCCATTTTCACAAGATTCGGCAATAGATGGAAATCATGGTATTCCGATCAACGTGTGTTGTCGTGTGAGGTTGTTGGTGTGATGATCGTGTTTCATGCCTCGGTGTGCGCCTTCTTGGCGTCCGTCTCTCCGTTCGTCGCCGTCGCGCCTTCCTCGTCGGTCTTCTTCTTCCTCTTGACCATCGAGCTGAGGTTGTTCACCGGCGCATCTGCTGCGCTGGCCTTGCTCGCCCCCGTGAAAGGGTTCACCTCGCTCGCGCCCTCGGCCTGCGCACCGAGGAACGCATCCTTGATGGCCTGCTGCAGCGCATCTTTGGTCGACATGCCCGCCGCTGCCGCCGCTTCCGCAGGCAAGCCCAGCACGCCCGTGATGTCGGGCTGGCCGTTGAGCTGCGCCTGTCCGTCCTCGGTGTCGTACTCTTCCAGCTTGGTGTCGAGCTCCTTCTTCAAGTCTTGGATGTCCGCGAGCTCCTTTTTGAGCGCCGCTTCGTCGCGCAGGTCAGCGAGGTCGTCCTTCTCTTTCTCCGCCCCGGCGTCTGTGGTCGAGATGGTTTGCGCGGTGAAGTTGTCGATACGAGCTTGGATCGCAGCAACACGTGCACCGCACACATCAGAAGCGGCTTGAACATGGGCCTTGGCGCCCTTGCGCTGCTCCACATCCGGGTGAAATTCGAGCGCGAGCCCAAGACGCAGGTGCGCATCCGCAAGTCGACGCGAGTGCGGGTTGAGGAGAGGGAGCAAGATGTCGAGACTCGATTTATAGTCGGCCGATGCCTGGGTGAAGTTTTCCGATTCCAGACCGACGTCGCCGAGCAAGTTCATCACTTCCGCCAGCTCGGCTTGGATGCGGGTCTTGCCCCACTCCTGCCCATCTAGTGTTGTCAGCTTTTGGGAGTCCGAGTCGAGGATGCGCTTGTAGATGACTCTGGCGAGGTCGAGCACAGCAAATGAGAGCTGCAGATCGTCGTCGTCGTCACCCTCTCCAGCAGCACCGGCAGCGGCTTGCTCCTCCTCATCGTCGTCGTCATCCTCCGCATCGCCAGTGAAGCTGAAGCGGGGATCGCTCTTGACCGCACTCGACGAGGACGAGCCGGATGGCTTCGACGATGATCCAGAAGCCACGGGAGCGGAAGGAGCGGGCAAGGGAGCAGAGCCACCACCTCCTCCTAAGGCGCCCGAGTTGAGGATGAAGTTTTCCAGCACGCTCTGGCCGTATAGTTGCAAGACCGGCGCAACCTCGTCGGCATCTTCGGCGTGAGATTCTCGAAGGTCGTCGAGAGCAAGAGCCAGCTTGTCGGAAGCCTGAACGTATTCTTTGAGTGCAAAGTGGCGCTTTGCTTCGTCGATCAGCTGACGTGCTGAGACTCCGTCGATCGCCTCGACGGCTGCCGTAGCGTCTTCAGCTACAGCATCGGGGTGAGGGTTCGAGGGCTGTTCGTTGAAAGCCATTTTGCGGAGTGTATGCCGAAGTGAGAAGATGGTGGAGGAAAAGCAGCCAAAAGTGTTGGTCTCTGCGCAGAGGTCACCTTTTTTGCGACTCAGCGCAGCAGCACCGAAGGACGCGACGCGTGCGTTCTTCCGCCCCGAGCCCTAAGGCTTCTCAAGGCTCGGGAAGAAATTTCCAGGTCAGCCCGTAGAGAGATTTCAGAGCTGTCACTTTGCGTTTTGCACCATAGCGATCAACCACACGGCACACAGGCAAGTTTTCCTGCACGCAAGTCTTCTATTCCGTATTCCTTCCTTCCGACATCCATTTCATAGCTATATAGAGACGTCGAGCTGCCGTCCCTCACATAAGCGTGTACGAGACGACCAGCTCGGGGACCGTGTTTTGCGGCAGACCGCCAAGCGCAAAAGTGAGGTTGTAGTAGTAGTATCCGTTGATGTTCTTTGAGCTGTCGTAGGTCAACGAGCGATAGACGGCGCTGGAAGCTACGTTGCCACTGAGGGTGAGCTCCATGCCAGGCAACTTTCCGCCAGTCTGATTCGAAGAGACCAAAAAGTCGCTCGGCAGGTTGCTCAATGGCGTAGTGCCGAACAGGAGCGTCATCTGCGTCGGCGCAGTGTAGTTGGCGGCGAAAGCCTTTGAGGGTGGGAATTTGATGGTGAGGTTGGAAGACGAAGCTGTCGCCAAGATGGTCCCGGTGGTAGGGTAGAGCGACAGCCAAGAGGCTTTAGGCTGAGCGTAGTCGAGCGAGTGCTCGTTGGGCGTAGACCACATCATGACAGCTGGCGTAAAGGCGGTGGGGTTCTTGGCCGGACCGCCAATGGCAGCTTCGTCAATCTCTGTACCGCCGACAGTGACATTGTCGGCAATCCAGGCGGTGTAGTTTCGAGGACCATACTCGTTGACGTCGGCGTCAAAGGGAGGCGACCAAGCCTTCGACTTGACAAGACGACCCGCCTTCTTACCAGCAACGCACGGCTTGAGGTACTCTCGAGATTCCTGCGAGACATATTGATCATGGTACTTGCTAGTGATGGCGATCAATGGAGCAAAAGCGGCGTCTGAAACATGCGCAGATCCAGACAGCTTCCAAGGCTGGGGCCAGCTCTTTGCATTGCCGTTGTTGAAGCCAGCCACATAGAAGCCGAGCAGATTGACATAGTCGGACAAGCCAAAGCCGTATGTTCGATCCCATGAGCCACCAAGGCTGTTGAGCTGCGGCTGCCACAGCTCGGCGGTCTTGGCCCAGATCTTGGAGATGGTGTCTCCAGCTCTCTGTGCCATGGTCGTGTTAGATGGTAGGTATCCCGCCAGGCTCAGCGCCCACAGAGACACACCGGTGTAGGTTGCCGAGTTGAATTCGCTCAGCGTGTCGTACATGTCGAACAGCGAGTAGAATTCGCCAGCGTACCTCTCGGCATAGGTGGTCATGTTTGCATCCTGTTTGAGGTTACCGTAGTACGACATTGCCATGCAACGCATCAGCCAGGGGTTCGAGTACGCCGGTGTCAAGTTGTCACCCTCGACACCAAAGACGCGATACGTGTCGCCGACGACAGCTCGATAGCCCGATTCGATGACAGCGTTCTTGGTCCCTTCATCCATCAGATGGCTGAAGTCTTCGATGGCAAGCATGAAGGCAGTGGCGACGAAGAGATTCGAATTGGCATCGTAAGAGCCGTAAATCTTGGGAGCATTGAGCGGGCCAGGAGGAGGCTGGTTCGGGTCGAGGAAGGCGCCGTACCAGATGTCGGATACATTTTTCCACTGGGCAGCGATGGCATCGTGGATGAGCTGCTTGGCGAGAGCAGCGTCTCCAGGACCGTTGCGAGCAAGCAGAGAGACGGCATAGTAGGCAGTGTAACGGGACGATCCAAAGATGTACGGAGGCTGGAAGTTGGAGTCAAGCATTGACAACGAAGTCGTGAAGACATGGCGTTGACCTTCCGAGAGCGTGGAGAGGAAGTCGCTGCCGTTGTTGTTGGCAGCAGACCTCGCGGCCAGCAGCTGGTCGAGACCAAAGTTGGCGGTGCTAGAGGCGGCCGAAGGGAGGGCTTGAGCGCCAGGGAGGAACAAAGAGGTACCCAGCGCAGCGGCAGCAGCAACGCCAGCGGCGAGACCTGTCAGCTTGACCATGTTTCTAGCGTAGGAACAAGAGGCGATTCCTGTGGAACGAGCTTGTGCAGAAGATGGATCATGACTAGTCTTCGCCTCGCCGTGGTGATGATCTTATATCCGTTCGCTGATTCTGAGGCGAAGACGATAACGCTCATGCTTGCTCGGATGTTCTGTAGGTGTGTTCACTGCCGATACCCTGCCGACAGGTTCCTGTCTCACATGGTGCATGCTACGAAGCTGTGCGACCACGTCGGCCGACGTCGGTGGCCCATTCCCAGATATGCGTAGACATGGCATGGCAGCTTCGCGGCAAGAAGAATCAAAATGACCGACGTGATTCCAAGCGAGGTGGTGTATCTCTAAGCGAGCCAGATAACCTCGCCAACAGCCTGCATCAAGCTGTACGAACGGACCGACGTGGACGACTTCGCACACGCTGTACGGAGACCGATGCAGCGATAAAGGTCTGTAATATCAAGCGGATGTCCCATGTCCGACGCTGGGGATGGTCGTGCTATCAATTCGATGCAGGATCGGCACGGTCGAAGAGTGGAAGCATGGACCTTCGGCATCTTCTGGCGGTCTTGGACGTGGGGTCAACGTGGGGGTATCGGCGTAACACATACTAAAATTGAATTCCGGCCGAATGGCGAGCGCAAAAAGCCGAGCTTGAAAAGCCGGCGCAAGGCTGAGGTAGAAGCCGGCAGCCAACCGGGCTCAGCGCGCAGTTCCAACGCATTCGACTGCGCACTCTCCACTCGAGACCCTTTTCTCCGCAAAGTCACATCAAATCACACACAACCATCACATTTCATCGCCACCGCCTTCGTTCTTTGCTTCCATCACCACACTTGAGCGTTGCTTCTGCATCATCCAACTCGGAGCAATCCACTTGAACTCTGCATCAACTCTCTCGCTGTGAAGATAACGCCGCAGCGCTCTACCCAGCAAGATGGCGTTCCAGTCCATGCTCAATGGAGCAGAGTGCTCGACCTCCAACAATGGTCTTGCGCAGATGCTCAAGCACACTCAGCAGGACCGCTCCATCCAGCATGGCGATCGCACCTTTGCCGGCCAACCACAGATGGGTCCTGCGGGTATGCGACAACAGCACCAAGCTGGGCCCAACTCGGACGCTGAAGCTTTTTTCCGTCAACAGCAGGGCGCTTCCATGCCCGGCGCAGCTTCCTCGGCATTTGATCTTCAAGCCATGCGCAACGAGCTCAACAATTCAATGCCTTCCTTCCAGCGTCCCAACTCGGGTGCAGCATGGGCCAATCAAATGCCACGCACGGGCACTCCATCGGGTGCAGACATGGAAGCCGCCTTCGCACGCGGTGGCGCTCCCGCTAGATCAATGCAGGCTCCCGCAGGCTCATCCGCTTGGGCGCAGCAATTCGGATCATCTCAACATCAGCAGCCAGCGTCGATGCGGCAGATGCCCGGCGCAGACGGATCCGGCTCTTCGGGCGCCTATGCCTCTCGTCCCATGATGGGCTCCTACGGCGGCGGTATGGGCATGGGCATGGGAATGGGAATGGGAGGCATGGGAATGGGCATGTTGGGAAGTATGGGCTCGATGCAGCAGCAGCAGCATCAGCAGCAGCAACCACAACAGGCACAATCTGCGCAGTCTCGCTTCACCGAGCTCGACGATGCCACCTGGGAGGAGCAATTCAAGAAGCTAGACGACGAACAGGCCAAAGGCAAAGGCAAGGCCAAGGAAGCCGAGACCGACCTCCTTCCCTCCGAGGCGGAGCAAGCTGAGTCAATTCGTCGCGAGCTGGACGCCATCGAGCAGGAGCTCACAGCCGACGGCAACGAGGCCAACTCGCGCTTCGAGGACCTTTGGCGATCTATGAACTCGCGCAACGGCATCCCGCCCTCGTCCGCAGATGCCGAGCTTGCCAAATGGGAGGAAGAGCTGATGAAGTCTAGGACGGAGGACGACGAGCAGTTTGGCTACTCGCACCCCTCGGGTGGGCTCGGTGGTGGCAGGCACGGTCTAGACGAGATGGGAGCCCTGGACGGCACCGAGGATGCCCTCCTAGATGGATTCGGCGTCGTCGGCCCCGACGGCTACCCTCGCCTGGGTCAGTACAGGACCAGTCAGCAGAACCCCTTCCAGACGCATCCCGATCCGCTCTCGGAAGGTTTGCGTCTCCTCGCCAATGGGGGCAACCTCTCGGACGCAGCCCTGCTCTTCGAAGCCGCCACGCAGCGCGAGACGCAAGGCGGCACGGGAGGCGAAGTGGAACGGGGCGAAGTCGATCGCTCGCGTCGCGAACGTTCCGAAGCCTGGCGCAGGCTCGGCGAGTGTCAGGCTATGAACGAAAAGGAAGCGCAAGCCATCCGCGCGCTCGAAGAAGCCATCAAGATCGACGAAAACAACCTCGAGGCGTACATGTCGCTCGCCATCTCGTACACGAACGAAGGCTACGATACTGCAGCACACCAGACGCTGGAGCGTTACATCTCGAGGGCGTACCCGAATATCAAAGCTGGACCTCTCCCCGCAGAAATCTCGGGTAGCAAGGACCCCATCGAGGGCACAGAAGGCAATCCATGGGCGTCACTCAACCGCGTCACGGACATGTTCCTTCAAGCCGCGCGGCAAGGCAACAGTGCAGGCCAGATCGACCCGGAAGTGCAGGTCGGTCTCGGAGTGCTCTTCTACACCCAGTCTGCGTACGAACAGGCGCAGGACTGCTTCAACACGGCGCTCTCTGCGCGACCGAACGACTTCCTGCTGTGGAACCGACTCGGTGCGACGCTCGCCAACGGTGGTAAGCCAGAAGAAGCCATTGCTGCCTACCACAAGGCTTTGGAGCTGCGACCCACATTCACACGGGCGATCTACAACTTGTCTGTGTCGTGCCTCAATCTCGGTGCGCACCACGAGGCGGCAGAACACCTGCTGGCAGCGCTGAATCTACAGCAGACGCACACGCTACCGGATGTGCCGGAGGGAGAACAGCCTGCGCCTACACCGCTCGCCGAGGCCGGAGAGAGCCACAACCTCTGGTCGACGCTCAGGAGGATCTTCTTGGTGATGGACAGGATGGACCTCGCGCAGAAGGCGCACGTGGGTAGCGACCTGGGCCAGTTCAGGAGGGAAGGCTTCGAGTTCTAGGTGGCAGAACCGAGACGTTTGTAGTCGAAGATCCGCAGAGGTCTTGGCAGTGCGCGTTGCTCTTCTTTCGACTTGCGCAACTGCAGTCGCGGAATGAAAGAGGTTGATCTTTATTGTTGTGTGGGCGAGTCATGGTCTGTCGAAGCTCGTCCTATGATCGACGTCGTAAGACACAATGGCGGTGGTCTCATCTGCTCTTTTGTGCGAGAACCGCCCGTATAAGTTAGGGGCAAGCCCACCTGGTCAGTGATGAGTTGAGGTAGCGTGCAACAGCCCATCGTAGCCGCCCGTTCATTTGCCATGTTTATCCATCGACGTCCCTCAGCATAGGAGTCGGAGGTCGTTTGGCCGAAACAGAGTGAAGCAATCTCTGACGACTGGCGATGTACTGTAGCTTCTCTTTCGAGACTTGCTTAAAGTGAGCCTCAATGAGATGGTTGCCTCGTCCCCCCGTACCGCATTGCACTTTCAGCTCCTGTGAGATCTCTTGGCCTCGGTCTCCCCTTCATCGACTTTACCCTTCATCACTATCCCGACATGAAGCTCGCAAGCCTTCTGCCGGCCGTGGTCAGCTGCCTGGCTTTCATTCCGTTCACGGTCAGGTCTACTCCGCCGGTACCTGCTGCCATGCCCGAGAGTGTGGCAAGAGACGAGACAGGCGCCACACAGTATCTCTGGGAAGCAGTGCAACGCTATGTCTTGATCAAACAGCTACCTTTTCAGTATCAAGCTGTTCAGCCCGCCTGGTCGGAGTTCCTGCACACGGAAGCTGCTCTTATCATCGACGCCTACTATAAGTGAGTCCACGGCCGCCGTGACCGAGACGACGAAGCGCAGAGCTGACAAGTCATCATTCTTATACAGGGCTGCCTTTCCGGGCCAGCGTGCGTGAGTATACATGTGTGCCTTAGGCGTGAAGAGCGCGAAATACTGATCCTCAAGCATTGTCTCAACCGCAGGGCTGCGAGCTACGCCGGACGCGCCAAGTAAGTCAACAAACCCAGCGATACGTCTCAGGAGCTCTGCAAAGACTAATCCACAACGTCACTTTGATCAGGTTTATGGCGCTCACCATGCCGGAAAGGAAGGTCACTCACTACTCCTCGCCTTACTGGCCGATGCATCGTCACACCGTCGCTTTGCGTCTCGTCAAGGCTTTTGCGGACAAGCAGCTCGCGGAGGCCGAACGACTGGCTGCCGAACGTAACGCAGAGCACCGCGAATGGGGAAAGTCGCTGAGCCTAGGCTCGCCATCGGAGCATAGTTGAAGTGCTCTGGACGATCCTCGGCGCAAGCTCATCAATTGCGACGTGGTAATACATCGTATATGCTTCTGAACAGACAGTAGGAGTGTGATATTGCTGTACAAATGCTCAGAAAGCAGCCGCGAGTCGTCCAAATGTGCAAAGTTCTATCCGTTGGCTCTGTTGAGAGGTGGCTTCGCGCGTGGACGTGAGATCTCCGTTTTGAACTTGATATGTTCGTGCATCGCAATCTCGGAAAACTCTGAGCCCATGTCTATCCCACCGCCAAGCCACGGCCTGCTAAAGTGGGCAAAATGACTCGTGGGTCGATGCACGTCGCTTGCAACCACTCGTCTCGTTCAAAAAGCGGGCTCGATAAGAGCCGGAAGGAGAGTTGCCAATTCGGACCCTACAAAAGCCTCTTCTCCACACTTCGTGCCCCTCCTAGACTACGCGCCCTAAACACACCAACACGCTCAAGAATCCATTCGTCGGTATCTCAGATGAAGCTGTCCCGCTACTTCCACGTTCCAATCCTTCTGGTGGCTCTGGAGCTGCTTTCGGGGCAGAAACAAGTCCATGCAGCTCCGCCGCGAAGCATCGTGCCCAGCAGCATCCTTCGAGGCGATGAGGCCGTTCGATACCTCTGGGACGAGGTGCAGACAAAGACGCTGTTCAGGTGGCTGCCAGCCGAGTACCATCATGTTGAACCTGCTTGGTGGGACTTTCTTCACACCGAGGCGGTTCCCATCATCGACACTTACTACTAGTGAGTTTCATTCTTGAAGACTAGACGTGTAAATTTCGGAGCCCTCTTCACTGACCCAATGTCGATCGACTCCTACAGCTCGACGTTCAAGGATGCCAAGTAGGTATGGGGAGGCGTTTGCGGCCGATTTTCTGCGTTCATTGGGCTAACCTTACCCTGCGAGTTTTCTCACGTACGCCCGTAGAAGCATGAAGGACGCTGGACGCAACGGGCAAGATCTTCCAACGCAGCAGGCGCACACCCTCGATCCAAGTGAATACCAAAGAAGCTTACCATTTCATGACCCTTTCCGCAATGCAGCTTCTTAGAGCTGACCAAGCCGGAGCGCGACGCAGCCTTCTACACCGACAGACACTGGATGGGCCACCGCAAGATTGTCGCCGAAAGGCTGGTCAAGGCGTTCGCCGAGAAACAACTGGCAGAGCGCATCGCCGCACGTGCTCCACCGATCGAAGTTCAGTCGTCACTGCGGAGCCCTGTGAAGCAGCAGGGGAAAAGTTTGTCGAGCGGCTCGGAGCTTCCTGCTCAGCGGCACGAGTGGGGCCAGTGGTTGGGTCTTGGCTCGTAAAGCTATTCGTCAAGGACGAGAGCGGCGAGATGTCACGATGCTGTACGTGATATCGAGTCGCGTTTGCAATGGCACAACGAAGTCTGTCAGCGATCGGTATCGGGAAGCGACAGTGCGAGAAAGAACTCTGAGAATTACCATGCCGTTGTCTAATACTGTATGTTGAGACAAGCTCATTAGACTGAGTTCTCATTTCGATTTCGGCAGTTGCCAGAGAAATGGATCACGCCATACGCAAGGAGAGCCGGCGACCCCACCGCATTGCGGTAGCAGTCCGACTCGGGTCCGGAGATGTATCAAACGCGACCCGCCCTGCATCTTCTGTGTCCTCTTGGTTTTCGACAAGCAACGCGGCGATCTCTTCTTGCCGTCCCCTGGTTCGGTGTCCCCTGCATACGCTACGGACCGCAATGAACAATGCGGATCGCAACGAGTCGGGACGGAGTCTTGGCCTTGGCATCGAAGCCGACTCGTTGAATCCAGCATGCAGCCTCATGACCCTCGAATTCTCGCAACCAATGTGTTGAGCAGCAACAGCACGAGGTAGCGGGGCGACACTGGTTGTATGACAGGTCGGTAGGAGAGGACCAGGTGCTAGTTGATCGGTGGCTAAGTGTCATGGTTGTGAACGTGAGCAGCAACAGCACGAGGTAGCGGGGCGACACTGGTTGTATGACAGGTCGGTAGGAGAGGACCAGGTGCTAGTTGATCGGTGGCTAAGTGTCATGGTTGTGAACGATGGAGAACGGGGGGCTTGACATCGAGTCGCAGTCGCAATGCGACTCAGTGGGTCAATCATCAATGTTGCACAGTTGGCGGTCTTGGCATTCCTCAGTACAGCAGGCTCGCAACGCAGGATGGGACGTTCGCCTCAGACGTTGGTGTTTGACTCCTCGCCGAAGGCCTTCGGATTCTCGCCAGGCAAACTCCATCGAGGCTCACCTGCAAGCTGCGTTCACCAGAAGAAAGCATAAAAAGGCACGCTTCTGGGCTACACAGAACTTCGGCCTTCACTCAACAAGCTCGCTTCCAGCACAACCGATCCTTCAGACCCCCAAGTCTCTTTACTACTGTCAAAATGAAGCTCCTCAGCCTCCTCTCAATCGCCCTCGTCATTGCTGTGTCCGCCTTCAGTGTCGCTGCCGCTCCTCCTGTGCAGGCTGAAGGTGCGATTCGCTGGCTGCAGAATCAGGTGGCAGCAGGCAACCTGGTTGCAAAGCTGCCGGATCACTACGGCCTGGCCAGCAGCGCTTGGGAGGAGTTCCTGAGCACTCGCGGCCCCGGCATCATTGAGAGCCACTTGTGAATAACATTCCGCTCGCTGAGGACTTTACAGAGCCTAGAAGGTGTGCTGACCATCTCTGCTTCTCCTGTCGGGCTGACGTGTTGCCAGTCAAAACGTGCCACCGTAAGTGTATCCTGCCGCTGTGAAGGCCCTGCCACACGAGCTGCATACTGATCATCCTTTCGCTTTCCTTGCGTAGGACTGCCCGGGCTCACCAAGCCGACAAAGCTACGTGAGTGCAAGCTCGTCCTCAGCACCACATGCGAATAGCCGTCCTGACGCCGTTGCTCCCTTCGTACTCCGTCTGACCACATTGCGTATCCCACAGTCTCTTGCGGATCACTTCACAGGAAGAGACCATTGTCAACCTAAACGAAAGGCCGATGGCCAAAGAGGCTGCAGAGAAGCTCGTACAGCGCTTTGCTGCTGACAACGCCGGTTCCAGTTGGGGTGGCTCGCTCCGTCTGGGGCGCGGCTGAGTCGATTTGGTCTGTCACCATTCGTCCCTGACGATGGGCTCGTCATGGCTTGTCTCGCGTCGACTCTGTCTTGCGTGACTGTTGTTTCCTTATGCACTCCATCCGTGTGTTCAGCGGCGCTGACGCACAATACTTCCCCTCAACTTCATGACTGGGACTGTGCGTGATGTGAGTTGAGGGATGCGATCGATGTGTTGAGGCGATCGTATAAGCGATAGAGGTGATTCCACGGGAGGCCTGAAGAAGTCGTTCATGTATACATGTGTAAACGGTCGCTTGCTACAGCGTGTTGGTGAGGCTGTAAGTCTGCTCTATTGTCCCGACTTAAGCACCATTGTTGTGCGTCAGTGTGACGATGTACAAGCTGGAGGGCAATGTGCTAATGTAAAACGTCATACCAGACCAACAATCAAGCTGTTACTGATCCTTCAAGCGCCTCGTTTCGGATCCTGAGATGTATCAAACGTTACTCGCCCGGCATCTCCTGTCTCCTTCCCTTGGTCCTGGAGCCGAGACGGCAGGACGAAGCGATATTGTATTTGCTCCGGGCATACCCCTTGTGTAGCTGATATCTTCGTCACGGAGCTTAGGCGTGTCAACGTGACTCCACCAACATTGACGACACCACATACCATCGCTTCGTCGGGCAGCTGGCCATGTCATCGCTAAATGATGGTCGAGACGCTCGTATCAGGCCTCCACGAGATGTATCACGTCCACAGGATGCACAAGGAGCCCACGACTGACTCTACTTCTGATCGAGCAACGCGGCGTGCCCTTCCTTCGCCCCTCGACAACGGTGTCACCGGCGAGCGATGCGGAGCGAAACGAGGGGGGCCAGAGTCTAGGCCGTAGCATCAAGTTGACATGTTGGACAGAGAGCAGTCTCACGCTTCTCGATTCTCCATCAACGAGGTCGTTGAACAGCAACGGTGTCAGAATGTTTGGTAGACCGATGCGGAGGTTGAAACACGGTGCATCATATCGTGACCCAATGCCAGCGTTGTCAGCGATGTCGAATGGGAGTCCAGGCATTGGGTCCCGGTCGCTATGATATCAGTGGGAAGGTTACTCGCGTCGAGCGCTTGGCGACCTTGGCGTTGACCAGAACAGCAACCTCGCAATGCAGCTTGCGGCGCCGCTGTCTTTTGGCGCTGGTCTCCAAGTGAGGACGATTGATTCTACCAAGCAGACTCCTTCGTCGTTCCAGCCGGGAGCTGGATTCACCAGAAGGAAGCATAAAAGGCACGCTTCTGGCCCTCAAAGACCCGCGGCTTTCACTCAGCAAACTCACTTCCAGCACAATCAAGCCTTCCAATCCCAAAGTCTCTTTATTATCTCGCAAAATGAAGCTCCTCAGCATCTTCTCAATTGCCTTTGTCTTTGCCGCCTCCGCCCTCAGCGTCGCTGCTGCGCCCCCTGTCCAAGCCGAAGGCGCCATTCGCTGGCTGCGGGGCCAGGTGGCGGTGGGAAACTTGGTCACGACCCTGCCTGATCACTTTGGCGTGACCGGCAGCGCCTGGCAAGATTTTCTGCAAACTCGTGGCCCTGCCATCATTGAGAGCCATTAGTGAGTGGAGCTTCTGGAAGGGCCGTACTCTGATCGGGCCGTGAAGACTGTGCTGACCACTTTTACCTCTTTCATTGCGCTGACATGCTGCCAGCACCGGTCTACCCCCGTGAGCATCTTTCCCCATTGTCAAAACCGACCGCCCCCGTGGGAATCCCTCCGCACAGTCTGAGTACTGACTTCCCGACTCCACCTTTCTGTTCGTAGAAGTGCCGCTGTTGCGCAGGGCAAAGACAAGTGAGTATAACGAGACTTCTAGCGCTGTACATCAACAGTCTTCCTGACGCCGACGCTACCCTCGCGCATCAACCGACCATGACGTCAATGTCGTAGTCTTCTGAGGATCTCTCGACTGGAGGACTCAATCTTCAATGTGGTCGATAAGCCAAGGGCTAAAAGGGCCGCAGAGCAGCTCGTGCAGACCTTTGCTGCCGCCAATAGCGAAGCGGGCCGTTCGCTCCGTCTGGGCCGCGGCTAAGTCGCTTTGGTCTGTCACCGTTCGTTCCTGGTGATTCGCGCCATCATGGCTTGGCTCAAGCCGAGTCTGTCTTGTCGCACTGTTGTCTCCTTCTGCACTCCATCCGTGTGTTCAGCTGCGCTGACGCACATTATTTCCCCTCAACTTCACGACTGGGACTGTGTGTGGTGTGAACCAAACAACGCATTTGTTGAGATGATCGAGAGGGAATGAGCTCGTCCATTTCGCCGTGTTGTGCGACCTCGTCTTGCCAACTTGTCTCTTCTGCCGATTTCTAATCAGCCTAGAAGGCGAGAACCACGCTCGTGTCTGGAATGGCGATCTCAATTGCGGGCGGGTCGTTGGAAAAAGCTGATGTTGCCGCAACCGTGCGTATCCACTCGCATGTTGGGTCAGGACGAGGCAGCATGGCGATCTCGACTGCGGGCGGGTCGTTGGAAAAGGTTGCTGTTACCGCAACCATTCGTATCAATTTGCATGATGGGTCAGGGAAAAGCAGCAATATGCTTGGCGTTCGCACGTCCGAGACAACGGAGGTTCTGCTCACATTGGCACGGAGCCGACTTGATGAATGATTTTCGCACGATGTATGGCGACATAGCTGAGCAAGTCGAGTAACTTGGCAGCCTGTGTGTCAAGCGACTGAGTCGACATCGCCCCGCTCCAAGTATCGATGATACTTCACTCTCACGGAGTCGTGGGAATCAGCGCATTGACGAGTCAGCATGATGCGACCTCAAGACGTCGTCGAGCGACAACAATCTTGTTCGTATTGACAGGCAACGAAGTGATCGCGCAGGGTCGAGAGCGTTGCTGATCCCGCCGGCGATCCGGAAGCAACCCAAAGTAGCGAGCGTCGAGTGTGTTGAGTCAACAGTATGGTCGCTGAGAGGAGCGGATGAGTCTTGGCCTGGGAAGTTGACGGTCCTGAAGCTGCATCACCATGGCGAGCCTCCTCCTCCGAGTCGCCTAGCGACTTCAGCATGCCCTGTGACCTGAGCATGAGCGACTTCTCAGGCATAAAAGGACGTCGTCTTTCGTCTTCGCCTCGCCCTTCCCTTGTTCACATCACACTCAGCTACAAACTCTTTCCATTTATCCACTTCCCACGCCTCTACCTCCCCTGAAGCTTTACCACACTCCTCTATCCAACATGATGATCTTCTGCCGACCCTTTATCCTCGCCGCCACCCTGTTCTGCCTCATCAGTGTCGCTCTCGGAGTTCCCGACATCATCCGAAACAGCGAATACGGTATTCGCTGGCTGTACGAGGAAGCGTACAACGGACGCTTCCGCTACAATCTCGGTCGCGATTTCCCGCCGCTCCAACAGCCCTGGACGCAGTTCCTCCAGAGCCGAGGTGGTCCGATCATCAACGGTCACTAGTAAGCCACATCTTCGCCTTTTGCCCTGGAATCGAGTGGACTTGCTAACCGCTTTTGTCGATTGCAGTGATCAAAACCGACACGTTCAGGGTTGGACCCAGGGCGACCTAGGAATGTGAGTATGCCGACGAATGAAGCTATCTAAGAGAAGGGGCGTTGGCAGCTGACGATTTCCTTCGTATGACAGCCTGCTTGATCGAGCCTCTGGACGCAACCCGACGGATCACGCCTTTCCGGATGACCGACTGGTGGCGCGTCAGGCGATGATGGTCCTTGTCCAGCGGTTTGCTGAAGAGCAGGCGGCTGCGCGTGCTGCTCGAGCCGCTGCTGCCGGCAACGGCGCCGCTGGAGCCAGCCGTGGCCGCGCAGGATGATCGCCTCCCTTACATTGAGGAGCAGCCTCGTCGCTGGCTCTCATCCTTCGCCTGGGCCCATCAAGCTTCGGCTCGATCCATCAGGCGTTCGCTCCCCAGTTTGTTGCATGATCTGTTGCTTGTTTCCACTTCCACAGTCGAGTCGGGTGTCGATTGACCTCGTCCTGGCGAGCTGGTCTCGCAGGTCCATGGTCTTGCGCGAATCGATACCTCTGTCCTCGATATGCTACGTCTGTGCACTCGATGCTGCTTGTGTCATCCCCTGGCGAGCGTGAGAGCGAGGAGATCGACAAAAGAGCACCCTTCGTCTAACGGGGCAGGGCAGAAAGGATGTTCGCCGTTACCATGTTGCTTGTGGCGGACCCGACGCTCGAGTCCCGCGTCCAGATGATCTCATTGAGGACTTCATCATGGTGCTCGACGCCGGTTTCTCGGCGCCACCACAGTCACAACAGACACCCATGACCGTGGGAAGATCTTGCGCCAAGTCCCACAACACCTCTCATGAGGGTAGCCCGTCGATCCTCTCAAAAGAGCTCGGCAACCGTGCCAGTATCTCACGTTCCGAACATCACCCGTCTTGCCTGCTTCGAGAATAAGCCAACATGCAGCTACTTCGCCTTTTTGGGGTCGTCGTCATCGCTCTCGTCGTGCCAAGGATCCTCGGCACAGCCAGCGCCGCGGACATGCCAGCCATTGTCGAGAAGTTCGAAGAGACCAAGGATCTCTGGAACAAGTTGCATGACAGTCACTATGTCAGCGGCACCTACTCGACGCCCATCGACGGGCCCTCGCCACCGTGGCAAAGCTTCTTGAAGACATACGGACACGATGTTGCCCAGGAAGAGTAAGTCGTTGCTATGTTTCCCATCAAGCGGCTGAAAACGATGCTGACGCATCAAGTGGGGTTCGGGACAGGTTTGAGAAGCTCGACAGACGGTGAGTGCCATCTCTGAAGCGAAGGTGGTGCCAGTGAACAGCGGCTGACCTTGAACGTTACGTGGTCGGTTGACAGTCTGAGGCAGCCCGAAACAATGCCCATGTTCAAAAAGTAAGTCGCTTTCTGTGTGCTGTCGCCCACCGAAGCCGTGCCGTGACCTGACATGCTCGACGTTGCCCAATGACACAGCATCTACCGACTGGTGCATTATCCGATGCGCTACAGCAAGATCACCATCCATGGGGAGGGCGGTCCGCGCATCGTCATGTCCAGGCTCATTACGCGATACGCGGAGCATCTGGACAAACATCCGCATCTCGTCGACGTCTACTGGCACATGAGTCGGCCCAGTAACGCCGCGAGCTTGCTCGTGTCCCCACCTGCAGAGCACGTCGAGGACAACTTCTTTGTTTCCGACTGATGTCCGTCCTTGCAGCGTTGATACGAATGCGATCCTGATGTTCGCCTCGGTGTGCGATTGTGACAAAGAGGCGGCTTCATTTGCGCCCACCCTGGGGGGTCAACATGATACGCCGCCAAGCATGAGCCTCGGTCGTGCAAAGTCCAGCTGGCATGCCGTTTTGGTGGGAGGGAAGAGTTCGTGGCAGCCTAGTTGCCTGTGTCGGTTCCGTCGGAACGAACGCCCACCTGCTCATCATTGTCGACGGCTTGAGCTCGGTATGATCAAACTCGAGTACAATTGAGATGAAGTAGCCGGCGTAATACGTTGAGGGCAACGCTCGGGATCGCGTCCATGTCATCGTTGATTCGGCGGCGGGACTTGCTTTGTTTCGCCTTTGGCCGCTTGCAGCGCCCGAGCAGTGGCATCAATGCCGAGCCACACATCGTCATGCTCGACACAGCCTGCGAGGCCGTATAAGAAGTCGGCATCCAGAGACCTTTCCCAGCGACGATGATCATCAAAACAATCCCCAGCTCTACACTGCCAGCTCACCACCATGCGCTCTTCCTTCTGCATCCTTCTCTCGTTCGTTGTGGTCGCAGCCACCCTCGTGCTCGCCGCAATGCCGCCAATCGTCGCAGAGTTTGCCGAGACCAGGGCCCTGTGGGGCTTACTGCACGACTCGCAGCATCTGCCCGGAGACTACGTGGCTGGAGGGCTGGAGCACTATCGGAACGACAACTGGCATTTGTTCCTCAAGAATCGTGGCCACGACATCATTGCCGACGAATGGAAGCAGGTCCCTGCTGGGTAAGTGGTGTAGGCCATGCAGCTTTGTGACTCGTGACCGTTACTGATCGGATGCCGCGATCGGCTATCTCTATCCTCCTACAGAGAACGAGGCCAGGGAGCGGCTCATACCATCAAGAAGTAAGTCGCATTGTGCTGGCGTGCACGGCTTCTGCTTTGCTCGAAATTCGCTGACCGATGTTACGATCTCGGACAGGATGACGAGGTTTGCCAAGGATCCCAGCTCGCACCGCGAGATGTGGGTGGAGACCCCCGGACCCAAGAAGGTGGCGAGCCAGCTGATCGAGGCGTATGCAAAGAGCCTCAAGGAGCACGACCACATCTATGCGGTTAGTGAGCATATGCGATTGCCAGACGATGCTGCTCATCTCCTCGTTCCAGGTCGCAGTGCCTGAGCGTAGGCTGCGCCAACCAAGATGCAAGCAGCGCGATGCGAGGTTTCAGCATCGGGAAGCTTTTCGGGCGTTTCAGGCGACGAGAAAGGCCAACCATCGAGGAGGGTGTGCATTAGAAGGGACGTATGAACAACCAAGAGCAGGGTATATGGGCGAGTGCGAGGGAAATGCGAGAGATGTTGCGGGTTTCACCATTTGCGCGTGACGGTGAGATCGATGAGAAGATTGATGAGCATGTAGATGAGAAAGGCTTGGAGCAGAGCGAGGAAGAAGCGTGCCTTTGCTCTCCTTTCCGGGCTGGACTGCGACACGACGGGCGCAGGTAGAAGCGGCTGATTTGGGTTTTGACTCGCGTTGAGTTGTGGGAATGGCTGAGCATGATGATGAAAGTGGGGAGCTGGTACGATGACAATTCTCGCTGTGCCGTGCGGTGTATATGGCGAGCAGCCATAGGTGGGCTGGCATTGGTGGGCAGCCGGGGTGGAAGCGGAAGGTCCAGCGGCTACACCACCACCGGCGCCTTGTTGGAGCGCAGTCTCGTAGGACGGAACGGGCTCGTCGGTGTAGGGCTCGTCACCGTGACTGACAGCCTTGGACTGTTTAGGATCGGACATGACTTAGATCGGTGTCGAAGTGGTTGACGAACGACAAGATGGTGGTTGCTGAGGGAGCTGCTGCTGAGCCGCGGGGTCAACTTTAATAAAGTTGTTCCGAGATGACGGTGGAAATGCAGGGTGCAGGGCTGCTGCGCATTTAGCTTTTCGGCGTCGAAACGCACACAGCCCCGCGTTCTACAGTCTAACACCCGCACGCCGGGCGAAAACTTGAGCTGTTATGAACCTCACTCTTGCACGCATCGACCAGCACCTTCTCGACTGGCTTCGAGGTGCTGTCGCAACAAGACGCAGAACGTTGGATGACGAGGCGGCATGAAGCAATGCAGTGGCCCGACGTGAAGATCAAGACGTCCTACGATTTGTGAAACGCAGCAAGTGGGTCCAAAACATCGACACAGCCTGCGAGTCAGGTCGTTCGGTCAAGCTGACAATGGCGGCATCGACATGGCAGAGGCAACGAAGAGGGAAGGAATAGCTTTGATTGCATTTGAGAGCCGAGGAAGAGGACGGAGAGTCGTAATGTATGGGAAAAGCGAAGCTCGTATGGCCACAGGTGACGAGACCAGCGAGCATTATAATTCCCTCTTTGGATCGATCTGGACACCTCCTCATAGCAGCTTGGCCGTTGCCGATTGCAAGCACGCAAACGCCCGAATCGACGAGGAGCCAAGAGCTTTGGTAATCGAGGTGTCGCTGTATAAGTTTCTTTAGTAGGTTGAGGAAAAGAAGGAGGATACTGTACCAGCCTCGTCGGATCTTCCGTTTTCTCTTGGTCACCAAAATTTGCCCCTTCCCACGGTTCGGCGTTGAACGCACGTGACCTCCACGCCCAGAAGTTACGCTCCCACGCTCGAGCCTCTCGAAGCTGCATGTCGAGCGTTGCTTCCCCTTTGTTCTTCTCTTCATCTCGCAACCTTCCTTCCGGCCCTCCCGACGCTTTGTGGCTGCTCGGCTCATTCGGTTCTGCCGCTGATCAGAGCAAAGATGGCTCCGATATATGCGATCGATTAGTGGTCAGCGTCCCGATCTTTCACTTGTCCCATCAACCCACCAACGCTTCATTCGCACGCGTGACTCGGCCCCGCTTTCAGCCCACTGAGCCACACTCAGCTCAATTGCTCGCTCTCCTTGGCTCAGCAGGTTCCTTATGCCCGCTCACTCGAGGTCCATCGACTTTCTATCCTGGTTTCAGACGGCAAGCCATGCCAACCTACGCAGACCAATGGAACGAGCAGCAACGCGCGCTGGGTCGGTCGGGCCCCTCCAACCCTGTCCGCCTGACCATCTCCAAAGGCGACTATGAATGGGATCCACACTTGAACCGCTTCTGCTACGTGGAGCAATGGGAGGAGGAGCATCTCATGGAAGATGAGGAGCTCCACGACGCCAACTACCTCGCAGCCGTTTCTTCCGCCGTCGACGGCCATGGTAGTCGAGGCTCCTCGCCCTCGCTACCTGCTACCCTGCAAAATCCCGTCCTCAGCAGTAGTCTCGACGGCATGCGCACCTCATTGTGGGTGCTCGACACCAACACGCTGCTTTCCTGCCTCGACCTGCTCAAAGCACTCTTTGCCTCGCTTTTGACACGCAATGTGGCATACGCAGCGGCGTTCAAGCAGGGTCATTTGCACACGAGACCGTCGTCCATTAGACTCATCCTACCCTACGTCGTGGTCTCCGAGCTCGATGGCCTCAAGATCTCCAAAGGCCGTTCCGTCTCATCACAAGCACGCAACGCAAACCATTGGCTGCTCTCGGCACTTCAAAAGCAAAAGCGAGTGCCCATCGACGAGGCCGGCGCAAACCTCTCCGAGGATCTTTGGCCACTCTTCGTCCAGCCGTCGTCCCACTACAACGCGTCGAAAGGCTCGCGCGGTACTTGTCGTTGGGACCTGAACGACTTCAGCACCGCCGACGACGAGATCGTCAAATTCTGCGTGGATCTCAGCCAGCAGACCTCGTCAATGATCCGATTCTGTTCCGACGACACTAATGCTCGCACCAAAGCGGAGCTGGACGGCATCGATTCCTTTGCCATGCGCGAGTTTGCCAACGCACTGAAAGACAACTTCAAGAACGTGCGCCCGGAAGACAAGTGGACGTACGTAGCCGACGAGATCATCGATCAGTGGGAGTATCAACTCGGCTCAGCGGAACAGCAGCAACATCTGCAGCAGCAGCATCAACAGACTCTCGAGCCGCAATCGCGCATACATCATCCTCAGCCACACACTGCGTGGCAAGTACCGGCATCTCAGTCTCAGTCACCTGCGCCCCAAGCTGCACAGACCCCTCCGCTCCAGTCACCGCACCGCTTAGAACGCTCGACTTCAAGCACCGAGATCCTTGAAGTCGATATGGATACTGAAGAGCCGCCCCTGCCAAGCAACGGTGCGATTCGTCCTGCTCCTTCCTTGTCCCCTCGTCCCATCACCCGCAAGCGTCCCTCTCTGACGGCCGAGGGTCGTGGAACCACCGACAGCATACACAGTCCACAAAACGCTCGTAGGCCTACCAGAACAAGGTCTGCCCGTCTTTCTCCCGGTCCAGCTCGATCCCCTGCTGTTCCGCCACATCCTGAGCCCGTACCGAACGAGCCGACCGCGGAGTCTGAAGCATTAAACCCGACGATCGAGTGGGAAGACCTGGTCAAGCAGCATGGACCCAGCTCGCGGGCGAGCAAGAAGCAGCGCAATGGCCGATGGTAGTCTCCCCGCCTCGAGGTCCGGTCCTGCTTCACAAGCATTACTCATTTGTAACATTAGCAGCATTCGCATACGTATGAATACTCAACAGATTCATTGGTCTGAATGCTTGAAGTTGCCTGGCAAGAAGTGGTGAGCGCGGCGAGTTCGGAAGCCGGATAAAATGTGGGCCCAGAATTCGAGCTTGCACACGGACCTCGATTCAACATGCTGCTCTCCCACACCAACACCTTCTTAGACTTCCATCTCGCCATCGATTCATCTCGTCATTCCAGCTCGCTGCGCTGTTTTACCGACCAGCGCTTTCGATCCAGCACTGACTCTCGCGCTCGGTCCGCCGCATAGACTCACAGCGACCACATAAACCGAGCCCGGTCTGCCGCTCGTAGCGATCCAGCATACACAACAAAGATGGCGCGGCAGCCGGCCAAACGGCGCAAGGTGGCTTCTCAGAATCTAGACGTCGAGGGCGATAATGATTGGCAGAGCGACGAGCTTTCCTCTCTTGGGGGCTCAGACGACTCCGCCTCCGGGTCTGGCTCCGACTCCGACTCGGCCTCGGACGACGAATCGTCCGTCACTGCCATGCTCGCCGCCACGCCTTCCGAGCGCAAGGGCAAAGCGCGGGCGACAAGCTCTGGCGTTGAAGTGGTCATTCCACTCTCCGGTCCGGGCGAAGACTCACTACCAACGCGCAAACGCGGTCGGCCGAAGAAAGAAGGCGAGGAGGAGAAGATACCCAAGAAGCGCGGGCGACCACGCAAGTACGCCGAGGGCGAGAAGAGACCTCGTCGCTCGAGAAGGAAGCTGAACGAGGATGGGTCGCCGAAGAAGCGCGGAAGACCAAAGAAGGTGGTTGATCCAGATGCTGTGATGATGAAGGTGCCGAAGAGGAAGGGGAGGCCGCCGAAGCCGAAGGAGGAGGGCGATACGGGGAGCAAGAAAAAGAAGAAGAGGGAGTTCGATTTGCTCGCTGGCCTGGACTTGGACTTTGATGACGAGGTTGGGTCGGGAATCGTGCCAGGTGTCGGAGGAGATGATGACGACGACGACTGGGAGGACGAGGCGGACTCGCCCAGGAAGCAGGACGACATTCTGGCGAGGCTCAGGAGGAGGATTCTGTATCGACAGCAGGATGCCGAACTAGCCGACTTTGTCGAGAGACTCGGACCAGATGGCCGACCAAAGGAGCAGACCGTCAAGGCGGAAGACGACGACACCGCCGCGCTGCAAGGCGAAGAGAGGGTCGACGAAGGTCCTCGGCCAGCACTACCAGCACAGCGCCAACCACAGCCTTCCGACCTCACGGCCACCGACAAGCGCAAAGAGCGTCAGCCGTTCGAGCCATCCAACAACGATGGAATGTCAGCTTTGGCCGAAGCAGCTGCGTCCGCCGCCGCCGAAACAGAAGAGCAGGCGCGCCAAGCGAAACCCAAAGGACGTCCACCAGGATCGAAGAACCGTCGTCCTGACTGGGAGCACAATCCACTCCTCGCCGCTACTCGCGCGCACACCAACTCAGGCCGTTCTACCGTGAACACTTCTCAAAACGGCACATCTCTGTCGCTCTACGGCGCACCTCCATCAGCTCTCATCGGCGCACCGAGCGGCTCAAGCCTCGTCAAGCCCACCTCGTCAGACGCCTACTTTCTGTTCAACACCTCGAAGCGCGCTCGTGGGCTCGCAGGCATGGGCATCGGCACTTCCTCCTCGCTCATCTCGTCCAAGCTTCCCGCTCTGGATGCACGCAACCTCGAGCGTGTCGTCGCAGATCAGACTCGTACCGGCTCCATCTCCGACCTGGCGACGCGCATGTATCGCCATCTGCTCCCCGTCTACCTCGCGCAGCTGCTCGCCGGGTACTCGATCATCTTTCACGGAGTGGGGAGCAAGGTCAAGCTGCTCAACGAGCTGGTCGCCCGCAGAATCGAGGCGGAGGGCGATGCGGTGGGTGTGGTGGCACAGGGAGCGATGAAGGGATTCAAGGTGGAAGACATGCTGGCTGAGATCGAGCGGGCGGTAGGGCTGGGCTCGCTGACGTTGACGGCGAACGCCGCGGGAAGGATGAATGATGGCGATGGTAGCGCGGCAACTGTGGTGTCGACACTGACGGCCGCGAGGGCGGAGAGGATCGTCCGGCGCTTTTCGAGAGATGACATTGTTGGGCCCACAAAGCTCTTTCTCATCCTCGAGACGTTTGATGCTCCCGGCATGCAGAGTCTTCGCTTCAAGAGCGTGCTCGAGACGCTAGCGCGGTCGAGCAACATTCACATCATGGCTACGACCGAGCACGTCAACTCTGGATTCATCGCTTCAACGACCGGACAGCAGACCACGGCCGCTTCCGCGGACAAGACGGCCCTTGCGCTCGACGAAGACAACGATTTTGATGGCGGCAAGCCAAGTCGGAACACTGGGCGTCTCTGCTGGATCTGGCAAAACATGTCGACCTTCACCCCGAGTCTCGATGAGATGCTCATCATGCGATCCAACCCTGCTTTTGCGTCTTGGATGCCGCCGCTTCCCCCCGCGCTCGATCTCATCGGATCCGCCTCGACCCTCACCACTCGTTCCACGCAGCCCATTGGCGCTGCCGCCTCCACCGGCTCCGACGCCAACGTGGCCTACTACAACGGCCTCCAAGTCTCGGACGTCTTCCGGACCGTATCCGAGGCTTCGGCGATCTCGATCCTCAAGTCGGTCACCACCAAGGCGAGGGCGCTGTTCAACCTGCTCGCCAAGCAATCGCTTGCCTCCGAGTCCTCCGAGGGCGTGGGTGGCGTGGTGTATGCGGAGCTGCTCAACAAGGCCAAGCGCTCGTTCCTCGTCTCGAACGAGGCCGACTTCAAGTCGCTGTTGATCGAGTTCAAGGATCATCACCTGTGCCATGTGGCCAAGACGGGCGTGATCAGCATCGGATTGGCGGATGCAAAGGTACTGGGTAGCGTCCTGGAGAGGTTGAAGTCGATCTAGACGATATGGCGTACCACCATTCACAACTTGCTTGCTTGTGTGTGCACATGATTGACTGTGTGAGAGGAACTCAGGGGTATACTGCTGTGCGATTGAGCTGAGAGAAATCGCTGCGTGCTGGAACGATGTTGATGTGTGTCACAGATCCTTCTTCCCACCTTTCTCCTTGGAATCCACGCTCCTCGTTGGCACGATGTCCGAATCGTCCTCCAGAAAGGCCACGACCACGTATGCTGCCAGCACCAGGTTCACTACGAGCGCCGCTAGCCCACCTGCATATGTCGCATTGCCTGTCGAGCCGAGTCCAAGCCGTATCACGTCAGTACAAGATCGAACTCAGTGAGCATGAAGAAAGGGAGGCTACGTACCGCCAAGATATCGATCTTTCGCAAAGTAGAACGCCGAGATGGGCGCAGCGAAGAGGGCGACGCTGAAGAAGGCGAGCTTGTAGTAGACGCCTCGTGCTGGATCTCTGCCCCGTGGAGCGACGCGAGAGGGTGTCGGATCGAGGCTGGACATTGTTGCTCGTCCTTAAGGTGCTGGGAAACGCTTGATGTCGGCAGGGTGGTCGAGAGGAAGGATGGCGTGTGCGAGAAGAAAGGGTTCACAACCCATCGGAACTCGGATTGCATCCCCCGCGGCCCACGAAAAAGTGACTTTTGTTCAACACTTTCTTCTTGACGTCCAACTCACAAGTCGAGCAGAAACGAGCAGCAATGCCACAAAAGGTCCTCATCGTCGGGCCTGTCAACGGCCGGCTGAGCGAGCTCGCGTCGAAGCTTCAGGCGATCGAGAGCAAACATGGACCTTTCACGGCTTGCTTTGTCCTCGGCGACTTGTTTAAGCCAGACAAGGTGGAACTCGATGCGGAGATCAAGCTGCCCATTCCGACGTACTTCTACCAAGGGTCAACTCCTCCTTCATATCCGAAGCTCGAGCAGCAAGCGACTCAGGAAGGACTTGTCAAGGTGGCACCCAACCTCTACTACCTTCAGCAAAAGAGCGGCGTAGTGGTGACACCCGACGGATTGCGGGTTGCTTTCGTCGGCGGGACATGGGATGCCAAAAAGTACGCAGAGGAGCTGGAGAACCAAAGTGGTGACTTTGATCCTCTAACATGGCACGAGTCTTCCACAGATCTAGCGACTGATCGCAACACCGCGCACATCACACCTTCGACCATCAACCGCCTGCTCGCGCACCCGTCGTTCCGTCTTCCATCCCCATCATTACCATCCACATCGACATTCAGCAGCGGCGCGAAATCAGGCTCGCTCGCAGCCGCTCGAGCTAGTGCTTCCGCCGAACAAGCACGCGGCGCTGCTCATACTGCCGCGCTCGACACGCTGAAAGCACGACCGCCGATCGACCTCCTCCTAACGAATTGCTGGCCGACAGGCGTGACGCTCTTCTCCCCTCCCAATCCATCAGATCCTCTCGGTGGGCTGCCCGACCCGACCGCACGCATGTGGGGCTCTCTCGCCATCGCGCGACTCGCATCGCATGCCTGCCCGCGCTACCACTTTGCCCTCGCCCCTTCCAGCACCGACCCCGAGCCGCCCGTCGGCATTGCGGGAGAGACGCTCGACATGGGAGCCTTCTGGGAACGCGCGCCGTACACAACCGATCTCTCCTCGTACCTTCCCCAAGTAGCCGATTCAAGGGGATTGAAGACGGTCACGCGCTTCGTATCGCTAGCCCGGTTCGCCAACGAGAAGAAGCGTAGGTGGTTCCTGGCGCTCAATCTTACGCCTGCGGACTCGCAACAGGCAGTAATCTTGCCGGCAAATTCTACGCAGACGCCCTACTCCGTGCCCGCACAACGACCGTCGGTGAATGGCAAGAGGACTGCGACGCAAGATGTAGAGGGGCCGAACTACCGCTTCCAGGAGTCGCGCAAGAAACCCCGCGCCGAAGGGGACAACGACGTGCCACCTCCCGGCTATGTGTGTCGGATCTGCAATGTTGGTGGGCACTACATTCGCGCGTGTCCATCGAAGCAGCCTGCGACGCAGGGATTGTCGAGCAATGCGATCCCTGTTGAAGGTGGGAGGGGAAACAAGCCAAGCATGCCGCTTCCTGCGGGTCTGCCCGCCAAACCAGCCGTCGCAGAACGAAGACAGCTCATCCCCGTCGGACCGTCCAACTGCTGGTTCTGCCTGTCGAATCCGTCGGTTGCGAAAAGTCTCATCGTAGCTATTGGTGGCGAATCCTACCTGGCTTTCCCCAAAGGCGGCTTCTCCCATCCATCGATCAACACTGTAGACGCCTCGCACCTGCTTCTTGTGCCACTGGCGCACACATCCTCTCTCCTTTCCCCCGCGCATCCGGTCCTGTCGCTGGGCCCAGCACCGGAGGAGGAGGAGGAGAGACGACGAACAAGGGTCGAGATGGACGAGACGAAGTCCCGCATCCGCTCCGTATGGGGGAGTTCATCACACATCATGCTGGAATGGACGTTGGTGAGGGTACGTACGAGTAGCCGGATGACGCATTTCCAGACGCAACTGCTGGCGCTCCTCTCCAGCGTGGTTGGACAGCGAGAGGTGGTCAAGAGGTTAGATGACGCGCTGGAGGCGCTTCCTGCACTCACGGTGTTGCGGAAAGACGAGGATGTCGAGGGATACTTCAACCAGTCCACTCTCAAAGAAGGTGAGGAGCAGGATGGATACTTCCATCTTGCTCTGCATCCGTTGGAGGAGGGAGGCGAGAAGAGACAGTGGCTCGTTCCGTTGAGTACGACGTCGAGATTCCCCGTCCAGTTTGTGCGGACGACGCTGGCAGACGTGTTCGAGCTGCCCCACTTGGCTGATTGGAAGACGGCCCAAGCTGCGCAGGTGGCGGAGGACGGCCAAGAGGGGTTCGACGAGGAGGCGAGGGACAAGGAACGCTCGAGTCAGTTCAGGGCGTTGTTGGCCAAGCAGACCGCGTAGAAATCTGCAATGCATCGTTCGGAGCAGCAGTCAACGCGGATTGGGTGTGATGCAAAGGCGTGTGTGCGATTGAAGAGAGATGTGAAGATCAGAAAGGTGGACGGTCGTGACGCCGTTTCTTACGTTCACGCTCACCGCCACCGGGAACGATGCTCTCCCTCTCCCTGTCGTGTCGTCTCTTCTTCCTGTCCTCCCGACCATCCCTACCCTCTCCGCCATCTCGATGCCGACCCCTTGACTTCTCCTCTTTCACCCTCCCCTCCCTCCTCTCCATCTTGTCCTTCCTCTCCCGCTTCTCACTCTTCGTCTTCCCCCTACTAGATTCTCCCGCTCCTCGCCCACTCGCCTCCCCTCCCCTCGCATCCCGATCTTCAAACAGGATCCTCCGCAACCGCTCCTCCGCCTCCTCGCGCGTGAGCTGGATGCCTCCCACCTCCTCTGCCTCGGTATCCTCGCCTTCCTCCTCGCGCCACGTGCCACGCTGCGATGACGACGCGTGCGCTGGGACTTGCGACGACGGCGATGGGCCGAGGAGGCTCAGGAACTGTTCGGCAAGGTGGTACGCGAATGGAGGTTCGGGTGTGTAGAACGATGAGACGCGCGGCCAGGCTTGGAGCCACGACTTGGGGCCTTTGGTGGGAAGAGCGGGGCCGACGTCGGGGTGAGGAGCGGCATCGTCTTCACCCGGGTGGGAGCGAGCGCGTGATGGTGTGCGCGATCGACCCCTCTCTTCCTCTTCGTCATCGTCGTCGTCGCTGGAGGATGCAGAATACACTGATCCAGAAGCGGAGCTCGCAGCATCGCTAGCTGCCCCCTCCCTCGGATTCTCCGCTTCCACCGCCTCATCCTGTGCCGGTTCATCGTCGTTGCCCTCCAACCGCCGCCTCATCTTCTGCAGATCTCGATGCTCCTCCGTCGGCCACCCATCCTCGCCATCATCCATCACATCCCTCCCCCAAACCTCCCTCCTCTTCCCCTCAACCCTCTCACCATCCTTCACACAATCGTTCCAATGCATCCCCCACACCCTCTGCCTCCTCCCCTTCTCCCCCCGTGTCCACCCCTGTGTAGCCTGGATCGCAGTCTCAAAGCACCTCCGCGCCTTATTCTTCGTCGTCCGATCCAACTTCCTCACACTGACCCCCTCCTCTTCTCCATCTGTAGAGTTCAACAGCGTAGTCAGCCCGACAAACAGATAAAGCATGCCCAACAACGTATGCAGTTGGGGTTGCGACTTGTACGGATGCATGTTCACACGTTGTTCCAGCAGCTCGATGGCGTCGTTGAGGCGGGTGGCGTGGATGTACTCTTCGACGAGCGTGCTGGTGAGGTGTGTGGCTTTGAAGGGGGCGGAGGAGTGGAGATCGAGCGATTGCAGGTAGGCGATCCTGCTGCGACTTGCTGTCGCCGTTCCAACGCCGTTGTCATTCGCATCAGCCTCCGAGTGGAGGCTGAGCAGCAAGAGGGCGAGCCGCCAGCCTTCATCCGCCGTCCATTCGTGCGCGGCCAGTATGATTCGCAAGAACCTCCCCGCTAACGCCGTCTGCCTGCGCTGCAAGCAAAGGTGCATGAGATCGTAACACCGCCGCAAATGCTTCCGGCGAGTGGAGTTGAGGTTGGTGCGCGCAAAACCCGATGTTGTCCCGCGCGATGTGAGCAGTCCTGTCGACGGTGCACTGTGCGAAGATGAAGGCGCGAGCGAGCGAGTGGAGGCCAGGAACGGGTAGGAGTTAGACTTGAGCGACCGGATCTGGTGGTTTTGCCGAAAGCCAGAGCCGAGGAAGGGAGGCGGGGTGAAGGTGAAGTTGCTCTCCATATTGGTCGAGCTGATGTGGGTGATGGCGGGGGTTATCGCATGATCTGCTGTCCGAGGTACATGATCCTGCTGATACAGCGGGAGCGTCGTGCGTTGAGCCAAGACAATGTGTGATGGCGAGGCAAGAGTCGAAGGATGATGGTTGCAAGGGTCGAAGCTGAACCTCAAACTGGACCCTGAAGACGCTCCTCGCCAAAAAAACAAATCTCGAGCCGACTTCCGCGCTTCCTCCTCGACCCGCGCTCAACATCGCTCCTTCACCCTCTCATCCCCTCACGACCCCTCACCACGCATCTCTCTCACTCGTCATCACTTCACGACGTAGCACGGACGTAGCACGGAACATAGTATTACAAGTCTTTCCACGATACCGAGACTCAGAGCAGCCTCACGCGGCACTCTCAACGCTAACCCTCCTGCTGCCCCGCGTGCTCCTCTTGACCCCTGCACTGCTGGTCTTGCCGCTCTTGCCCTTGCCTCTCGTCATCTTGGCCACCTTGGCCTGAGCAGCGCCCTCGAACGCCTCATCCTGCTCGCCCTTCGCCGCCGCCTGAGCCAGGATCTCTTCGAACTCCCTCAGATCTCCCGCACCCTCACTGGTCCCACCCGCGCCATTCCTTGCCCCACCAGCAGCACCCGTCTTGTTCGCCCGCGCCTTGGCCAGAATCTCCTGGAACCGCTTGTACACCTCGCCATGATACAGCTTGTCCTGGTAAAACGGAAGTCCTTCGATGAGCTTCTTGACACTCCGTTCGCTCTTGTACGGCAACAAGCTGAGACAAAACGCAATGTCGCGCCATTGACGCTCGGAATTGGTCAGTCGGAATCGCTGACACAGCTTCTCCACAACATTCTCCGCCTGTTTTTCCTTGTCGATGAAGGTGAAGATGAACTTCATCGTTCGCGCAAACGTCTCTTCGTCGACGGCGTGCTTGCCGATGGACAGGTGCGAGATGATGTCCGGCAGATTGTTGTACACTGCGTTCTCCTTGGTGGCGAGCTCGGAGAAGAAGAGCTTGGCCAGGTCTGACACGCGAGGTTCTTCGTCTTCGAGACATTTGGCCATCTCACCCAGTTGACCTTTGACTTTGATCATGCCGTTGAGGATGAGGTGGGTGAGCACCATGAGCGTGTGCTTCTTGACTGACAGATCTGGGTCACCCAGACCGGCGTAGAGACGGTCCGAGTTCTCGTCGACCAGCGAGCCGAAGCACACAGCGATATCGCCCAATGCGATGACCACGTTGCTGCGGATCACGGCGTCCTTCGATGTCGTAAGAATGTGCAGCAGCAGGGCCAGGTTGGCTTCGCAGAACGTCGACGAGACGCACATGAACTTGCACAGCGTCAGCACGGCAGCGCGACGCACCAGCTCGTTGGGATACGACTTGGGGCTGCTGCAGATGTGCGTGATGATGGGACCAAACATGGCCAGCACACTGCTGTTGCCGAACAGCAGCTCCTTCTCTCGAACACTGGCGATCACCTCACCGATCTCGTCCTCGGCATTACCGGCGACTTGGTCGAGCTCCTCGACGGCAGCAGCAGCAGCGGCAGCAGCAGCACGACTGGCTTTGCCTTCCGAAACCGCCTTGGCCACCGCCTTCTCCTTGTCCGCCTCGGCCTTTCTACGCTTGTATTCTCGCTCGACCAGCTCGAGGTAGACGATGTGTTTGAGTGCCACGTGGCCCACGATGAACAGAAGCTGAGCCAGCTGGAATGCGTCGCCCATGACCGGTGCATCCGAGCTCGAAGCAGCATCCCTCGCGTCTGGCATCGAGACATCGCTAGCCGCGTCATCGTCGTCACTGCCCTTCTGTAGTTGCTGTGCCTTGCCGCCGAACACGCGCGCAGTCAGGCTGCGGATGATATCGGTGCAAAGCGCGTCGGGCTGTTCGCCGAGCAGGTAGATGGTGTTGATGGCATTCTCGGCCAAGCTGAACCACTCTTCGCGGCTGTCGCCCTTGAGCACGTCGCCCGACATCTGGATGGCAGCGCGAAGACGACCAAAGAGCGGGTTGGTCATGGGGTAGCGAACACTCTCGTCGCTGAGAGCGCCCTTAACCTTCTTGACACTACCGCTGACGCGTTGGAGCGCAACGCAGGTGTACTTGGCGAGCACCACGTCGCGTGCGCCGATGGGGCCGAGACCGACTCGCAACAGCGTTTCGATGTGCTCCGAGACGATCTCGCGCTTGGCGGTGGCGAGCATCGCAAGGACGATGATGGCGCCTCGGCGTTGTGCGGCAGAGATGGCGCGAGGAGCCGAGTAGACAGCCCAGAGCTTGTTGATGACTTCCGGATGGACGAGGTTTTCGATCTGCATGGTCTTGAGCATCTCCTCGAGCGAGGTGAGTTCGGCCAGTGTGGCGCCAAAGGTACGCTCGATCATGTTCTTGGCGATACGAGCGATGTTGTCCTTGGCATTGAGGTCGGCGCGTGCATCAAAGTAGAGGGCTCGGTAGACTTCGATGAGACGCGAGCGGACACCTTTCAGCTGACTGCCGTCCTCCATGACGAGCGTGTTGTCCTTGGTCCAGATGAGGTGGACCATCTTGCGGACACCGGCAGCAGCGCCAGACAGCCTGTACTCGTAGGCGACGCGGAAGAACTCCATGCTCTCGAGCACTTCGGCCTTGTTGGTGGAGGCGAGCAAAAGTGTGAGGTTGGGCATAGCAGTCTCGATCTGGGTGATGAAGGCAATGGCATCGGTGTAGTAGCGCTTCGTGAGACGCAGACGCATGACCTTTTCGGCGTCGACAGGCTCCATTTCGGCCTGAGCCGCAGCAAGAGCTTGAAGGTCGACGCCCGATCGGCGAGACTTTTTGGACTTGCTCTTTTGCTTTTGGACCTTGGGCTTCTTGGCAGACTTGCGACCACGAGCTGGCGGCGCATCTTCGTCATCATCGTCTTGCATCAGCGTGTCGTCGGCGTCCTCTTCATCTTTCTCCTCATCTTCATCCTCGTCCATGTCGTCGTCGTCGTCGTCGTCGTCGTCCTCGTCAGCTTCCGACTCACTCTCCTGATGGACAGAGTCCTCGCCTGGCAGGTTGAGAGATCCTTCGGTCTCTTCGAGCTCTTTGGAGACGATGTCAAAACGGGCTTGCCATTCTTGGAGGCAAAGCTCGCCGCCGTGGAGCATACCAAATGGATGAGTGAGGATGAGCTTGGTGAGGAGCGCAATAGCGTTCTTGCGGACACCGCTGCTCTTGTCCTCGAGATGTCGGATGACCATCTCGGTGATCTCGGTGCGCTGCTTGGGGAACTTGGTGGGCAGATCCAGGAGACGGCCGCAGACGGTGATGAGCTTGGATCGGACGTACGAGTTGAGGTCGAGGAAGCGTTCGATGAGGAGATCGAAGAAGGTCTCGATCTGCTTCTTGCGCGCCTCGGCACTGCCTCGGTTCTCATCAGCGGCTGCGTCGCCGCCAGCACCTGCCTCGCCTCCGTCTGGGTTGAGCGCATCGTCAGTGAGAGCGAGCTCCTTGATGAGCAGACCGAGCGTCTCGATGAGCGCGTTCCTCATGGGGTACGATTCCGAGTCAAGATGCTTTTGCAGCAGACTGATCTGCTTGAGAACGCTGCGTGGGCTAAGCTCGGCCATGCGGACCAGGAAGCGACCGAAAGAACGTGGACTCTTTGTGTCCATGGCGCCAAAGTTCTTGGCAGCCACCTCGCGGAGGACGTCTTCACCGAGACGCTCGTAATCGAATTCGAGACGCATGACGGCGAGCAGTTCTGCCATGGGCTCTGCAAGGTGCTCGTAGTATTGCAGACTCTGCATGATGCTGGTTTGTGCGCTGAAGGCCTGGCCGTGTGCCTTGACGGCCTGGCAGATGACCTTGAAGATGCCGAGCTTGATGGGCTGTGCTTTGAGATACAGCTCATTCTCTTGGAGGAGGAGGGCCGGTCGCAGGAGACAGCCAGAGACGAAAGAGTCGCGAGCAGCGGAGACAGTCCACATACGCTCGCTGCGCACGCGTGCTGCCTTGGACATGAGGGAGAGCACAGCTGGGATCGAGTTGGACCAAGGCCAAGCGTCTGCCTTTGCAGAGCTGGACTTGGCAGCCGCCGCCGCAGCCGCGGCTGACTTGGCACCAGCTCCACGACGACCTCCTCTGGCAGCGACGATAGCAGCCGCTGATCCACCGCTGTCTGAGCGAGCACCGCTGTACTTTTCTGCTACCGAGACGAGCCACTGAAGGAGGAAGGCGTATCGCTCGAGCGTCTCTGCGTGAGAAGAGTATGCGTTAGGATCGTCACCGTCGAGCTCGCGTTGCGCTTCGTCGAGAGCGCTGGACATGCCGGAAGCGATGACGTCGAGAAGCTTGTTGCAAGCATTTGGGGAGAGGTTGGCAAAGTGTTTGAGGTAGGAGCGGATGAGGTCGTAGATCTCTGGAGTGGCGACATTGTCTGGGCTGGATGTGATGGCGTCGATGGCCGAGTCGAGGGTGGAGATCTGCTCGGAGGCATTCATGTCCTCGACTGCGACCTCTTGCGGGATGATGTATGGCTCATCCTGAAGTAGGAGGAGTTCGTCGGCGAGGTTGTATCGACCGCTGGACGCCTCGCCTGCACCATCTTCGGCGGAAGTCATGGTGTGTGAGCGATCACCTGTGAAGCCGATACAATGATGATGGTGGTCGAGATCGAGATGGATGGTTCTCGGTGTTGGTTTCCTGTGGCTGCTGTGCCGTGCAATTTTTGAAAGAGGAGGCTCAGTTTGAGTCTGTGAGTGTTGGTCTTTTTGGGCTGCAGCTCAACGAGAGAGAGACGCGTTGACTGAGCGTGTTTTGTTTTGCGGCGCATTCAAAGTGTTAGAGTGTAAAAAAGGCGCGGCTGCACGTGATTTGTTTGTGATAAAATTTGAATCGGCGATTTAGTGCCAACGAATCAGTTCAGATTCAGCCAACCGCGCTTAGCGGAGAGAGACACGCTCGGGCCTTTCTCATCTCAGTCAGGAGCTGGCGTGTGACTTTGAGAAAGGAAAGCCCAAGAAGATTCAAACATTCCAATCCAACACCGCACCTTGCTCTTTCACTTCCATCTGCTGCTCAGCTCTTCCGCAAGCACCACCCACTTCGCCTCATCAGCAGCCTCGCTAGCTCGCAGGCCACCTCATCACGAGCTCACCGAGCCAGCATAACGACACATCGTCGGCACCTCCAACCGGTACTCGACTTCATTTCACAAGCTCACGCCGCTTGCTTTCCCACATCTTGGCTGCCACTTGGCAACGCACGCCCCGTCTGCATCAACCGTAGCAAGCTTGAGCTTGACGCGCAGCAAAGCTATTCAAAATGGTAAGTCTCCCACACATGAACGACGCCGCATCTGCATTCAAGTCACCACCCACAAGCCGCTTTCACCCACTCGAATCAAGCCACCGCTTTGAGAGACAATCGCGGCCTTTTCAATCGAGTCCTCTCTCTGTCACCATCACCAAGCTTGTCGATCGTGGATCCAGAGGCAGCACGCATCATGACCAAAGTCCGTCGCCGCAATCGACGCGCCGATGCTGCTCCGCCTCCTACTCTTGCAGCCAAGCGCTCCACTGCCAAAACGGCATCTCCTGCCGCAGACACCCCGAACGATGCTCTGACAGCGCACCACGTCGACTTGGATGCCGATGCCGCCGATCAACTCGACCTGAACACCTTTATTGACATGACCACGCATTCTGCCGATCTCTTCTCCGCTCCACCTCCTTCCTCCGCTCTCCGCAAATCCTCCCTCTCCTCCTCGATCGACGACGACTTGGCCATCCCCATCTCGCAGGAGCACCAATCCTCCGCGCCCCCTCCGGCACGCAACGTCGTCAACTTCCTCCGCAACAAGGCCGGGCTCAAAACGCGCGTCGGCGCCCTCAACGGCAAACGCGTCGACTACTTCAAAGGCTCTTCCGCCGTCAAAGCCCTTCTCTCCCCGGCCTACGCCAAACTCAAAGACGTCCCCAAAGTCACCTCCAAAGAAGAAGCCGAGCAGTGTTTGCACAACATCATCCCGTTCGCCTTTTTCCTTCGCGTCAATCGCGGGTCGAGCACCGGTGGCAAGGACTCGCCGCGTGTGGTGGAGATCAATCCGCAACAGCTGTTCAAAAGCGACGAGCACTATGTGTGGTTGTTCGAGGGCAGTCAGTTGGGGCTGAAGCTGGCTGGGTTGGGGATGGTAGCGGTGATGTTGGCCGGTGTGATGTTTCCGCTGTGGCCGCCGACGATGCGCTTGGGCGTGTGGTATCTTAGCGTTGCGGCGCTGGGGTTGATCGGTCTGTTCTTTGGCATTGCGATTGTGCGGTTGATCTTCTGGTTGGCGACGGTGGTGGTTGTCAAGCCGGGTATTTGGATCTTCCCGAACCTGTTCGAGGATGTTGGGTTTGTGGATTCGTTCATCCCGTTGTGGGCGTGGGATGTGCCTCCGCCGCCGAAGAAGGCCAAGGCGGCCAAAGCTGCCGCAGGTGTGGCAGAGAAGAAGAAGGTCGGGGGGAGCGGGGCTGGTGCTCGTCAGCAGGCGTTGTCTGGACTAGGCGGTGCTGCACCCACTGCTCCGCCCAGCCCACCAAAGGCACCCCAGCAGGCCGCACAGTCCAGCCCGGCCGCGCAGAACGGTGGCGTCCACAATCAGAGCTCTGGCAGCGGCGGACCGGGCGCTTCGGACAGTCTCGACGATCTCAACTAGCTCCCTCGTCCACTGTAGCTTGAATCGTCTGGCTCAAGACATCTGCACAATCTCACAAACCCTTGCACACCTTTTCAGCTGCATCAATCTCGCTCGGTCTTCAGTCTGCGGCGTGTCATTGGACCTTGTGATTAAGATAAAGGGAATCTACTCGTCACTCTGCCAGACAATGATGTGGCTAACGTCGGCTGCATAGCTGCCATCCTGTGCGCCGGTGAGCGTGAGGCTGTTCTCCCCGGCCTGGAGGTGCACCTTGACGGGGGTATCCTGCAAGATGCCGTCTGGGCTACCTCCAGTCGGATAGGTGACGTTCTGCACATCTCCGCCGTTGACAGCAACCCCACCGAAGCGCCAAGATGGGTAGGCGTCCTGGTTGGCGTAGAAGATGCTCATCCACACGTTCCCCGCATTGCCGCTCGGGGTGGTGAGGTTGAGGTTGAAGCTTGAGCCGTTTCCGATGTAGGTGGCGATTTGGCCAGAAGGGCAGATGGAGCACTCGGCGAACTTGGTTTGGGTGTTGTTACCCGCGATCGTCGTGGTGGACGGTGAGAGGGGGAAGGTTTTGTTCGCAGGAACGCTGTATCCCGCACCAGCATCGGCGTCGGGTCTCCACAAAGGAAGGTGAAGGAGTTGTCGATCGACCAAGGGGTACCAGACGTAACTGCTCTCTTCCAGATTCGTCACCCACCACCGATCGCCCAGGTAGACATCGAGTTTGTCGTTCGGTTGGATCTCAAACGTGTTTTGACTGTTCCAAGTGTTGTACGACTGCGGGGCGATGTAGTTGCTATACACCGGCGTTTGGGTTCCGAGATCGGTCGAGGTGTAGAGACTGTTGGCGTTGGGTTGCCAGCCCGACTGGTTGGAGACGACCATGTTGTACAATCCGTCCTTGCGATAGACACCGAAGCCCTCGAGTCGCGAGTGGATGGTGGAGATCAACGAGGTAACGTTCTTGTAGTCATCTGTCATTCGGGCGATGGCCGTATCGGCGTTGTTGTTCGTCGCAAACAGCAGGTAGCCCACGTCGTTCGCTGGATCAACATAGACGTTCATATCCCGACTCTCCATGCCAAGGGGACTAAACACTCCTTCCTCGGGACACGTGTAGGGACCTGTCACATCGGTCGCATAACAAACACCGACCTTGGCCAGCGAGTAGTTGGACGAATCCGCGTGGAACCACAGCACGAACTCGCCCGTCGACGGGTTCTGGATCAGCTTGGGTCGTTCGCCCACTTGAAAAGGCAGAGAGGAGTTGGGTGGGACAATGAGTCCATGGCTGTCCCAGTTGATCAGGTCGGAGGAAGAGTAGAGGGAGAAGCCCTGGAACCCGTTGCCTGAGTTCTTGTTCTCGCCCACCCAGTACCACAGGGAGGAAGAGTAGAGAAGTCCTGCACCGTGCGCGTTGATGTAGGCGCCAGAGGTGTCGCGCCACCGATCGCCGGAGACGATGTAGTTCTCGGCAGCGTACGTGGCTGTGAAGGCGAGGAGGCCGCTCAGAAGGGTCGTGAAGAGGATGCGTGCGGTGATCATGGTGGGAAGAGAGTGGGTGGTGGGAGGTTGAAGGACCGTGGAAGCATGATACCCGCAAAGAGCTTGGTATATATGTTCAAAAGGTACTGCAGCGAGCTTCTCCTCATACAGGCGTCGAATGGGTTCCAGATCACCACGATGCTTGACAAGAGGCCACTGCGCCTTGGCATCGGACGCACTTCGCTAGGCGGCTGTACCGCGACGTCAATTGCAGCAATCCCCGCTCGTCATGTCCCTCTCGCACATCTCTATAACTACATTGTGACCATACACCTTCTTGACTCGAACCGGAAGGGGAGCGCAGAAGGATGGTCGGCCATCGCTCACCCCGCGTTCATACTACGTCTCGCTTAGCAGCCTGCCCGACAACCGTAGCGTTCGCCGCGGTCGGCCGTGCGGAGAAACCACACCAGTGTCTAGCCGAGCGGTCAACTTGGGCGTAGAACTCGGACTGTTACGCACTCGACACGCTGTCGCCAGCAGTCATGGCAGGATTCGATAGTGTCGATCGCTAGATTCGCCGCTCCTGCTCACGGAGCGCAACGCAACGTCACCTCGACGTCGAAAATATGCGGGGTCAAAGAGTGCTGTTCGAGCGTTCACAAGTCGCCGGTGCTCTGTCCAGACATTCCCAAGCGAGCTTCCTGCTTGTCGTCAAGCTTGGTAGAGATCTCCGTGACACACGCCGACCCCGGGGAAAGCTGTCCAAAATAGCGTCCTCCTGCGGCTCGGGAATCTCCCACCCGCACACGGCGATTTCTGGCAGTTCTCCGCGCGGCAACCAGACGGAGGAAACAGGCGTGGGGAAAAAATGGGGCTCGAAAACTCCTCAGCGTGGTTCCAAAGCGGGCCTGCTCGACAGAGGTAGGTTGACCTCGCCGCGACTGACAGCATACACTTGCATCACACCCTCATCACCGAGCTCAGACACAAAACATTTGAACGTCAGGCACAGACGCTCTTTTCAAATGGAATGTAAGATGTCATTGATTAGAGGGAACAGGTTCTACAGGAGTTGCCCTTTTTTGTTCTTGCCAAATGGGAATGGGTCGGTAGGTATTGAAGACAGGATGTGTATGTGTCTCTATTGGCAGCGGCGAGGAAGGTAGATGGAGCGGAAGATCTTCGGCCGTGGGACAAGAATGATGGGGGAACGGAGCTGGCGAGGTGATGCGCTCGGCAAGGCCGGTCAGATTTGCCTCACCAACGCCTGCCGCCGGTGTTGCTGCGCTCGTCGAAACTCGACGAGCTGGATACGTAGCCGTTGCTTCTGCCATTGACCATATGAGAATTGATCGGTTCGGCGCTCGCAGAGCCGCTGCTCGTGTGAGTGTGACCAAGGTATCGACTCTTGGGCGAGGTGTGGCCGGTCGCCTCCGTCAACGGCGACCCGCTGTCAAAGGGCTCGAGAAGGTTCGACATCGATGTGAAGTCCTTTCCCTCCGACGCGTACGTTGCGCCATGCGGACCGCTCTTCTGCGAGACATACATCGAGCTCATTCCGACGCCCAGGTAGCGCGAAGGCGAGCTCGTCTGAAGCGCCTTGGGCGATGGGCGACGAAGAGGACTGGCGCTGCAAAGCCGGTGGTCGATCGTTGTTGTCGCTCGAGAACGAGCCGTGGGGCAAAGTGCCAAGACTAAGCGAAGCGGCGTCATCACCGGCGTGGCTGAGATGGAAGAGGTCCAGTCCGAGTCCAGCCCCCCCGACCTCCCTCTGACCATCTGTCTTGTCGGTTTGATGGGGATTGCGAGGTTGATCATTGGCCGCGTGAGGTGAGCCACCCCATCCATTTTGAGGAAACGGGCCCGACGAGCGCCTTGGAAGTCCCTGAGCCGGGCCGCCGTTCATGAGGCTGTACTGATGGGCGCTGTTTGCACCAAGCAGCGGAGAGTTGACCTGGTACGACTGCTGCTGCTGCTGTTGCTGGTATGGCTGATAATGAGATTGCTGTGGCTGCCATCGCGTGCCCAGCTCCGTCGAGAGCTGTCGGTTGGAAATCAGACCCAATGGCGTCCTGTTCGCAGCGGGTTCTGCATGCTCTCGTGCCATCAACTCTGCCTTTTGACTCCAAGCAGGCGATGCAAAGCTGTGAGGACTGGGTCCTGAAGGGCTCTGCTCGCTCCATTCTGACTCCGGAGGCGGCACCTGCGTTGTGCCATGCGATAGGCCGGGGCCGCCATGCCAACCGTGGGCATACTGTTGTGCAAGCTCTTGGACGTTGGGCTTGACATCGTACTCGTACTGTTGGCCCATCTGGATCTGAAGCTGAGGCTGAACGAAGCTTGCGCCGAATTGGCCAGGCTGGAGCAGGTTTGAGGAGAGCGCATGTGCCGAGGTGTAGAGCGTGTCGGGCGGGGAGACGGCGCTACGACTGTGATAGTCGGTGGTCACATCCATGCCATCCGAGCGGACGTATCCTACTGGGCCTAGGCCTTCGCCGCTCATCATGATCGGCTGCGTGTTGTTGGCAGCAATGGCCATGTACGGGTGGCGCACTCCCATACACGCGTTCTGTAGCTGCGCTGCGGCGATGTGGTGATCCTCGTTGTACGCAGCCGAGGAGTCGTCGCCCAAGCCCACGCGCAGAGACGGATCCTCAAGGAGGCCATGCTGGTTGCCGGAATAGTCGAACTGCGCATGCCCATTGTGACGCTGTCGACCTGCCTGAAACGACTTGCTGCCCTCGATTGCTCGGCGACGTGTAGCAGTTGCAGCGCTAGCTGACGTCCTAGTCAATGATGAGGACGGGGACGAGGCAGTGTTGCGCATCTTGCTCTGCTGATGATCGCGGCCGATGTGCGTCATGGTGTGTCGGTGCATGACGTCCTGACGACGGAAGCATTTGCCACAGATGTGGCAAGTGTACCTGATCGAATCGTCGTGAGTGGCGCGATGGCGAAGCATGTGCTCGTGACGCTTGAAGACCTTGCCACAAAAGCAGGTGTACGGCGGTTCGGGTTTCGGACCGTATCGACGTCGCTTCTTCCGCACTGCGCCACCATTGTCCGTGCTCTGCGTGGTCGGTGCTCCCTTTGCGAAAAGCTCAGTCGATCCGAGCATTTGACTGCTGAAGGCCGGTGGCCGAGGAGGAAGGGCACCAAGGGCAGATCGCGTGGAGAATCCGGGACGTATGGTGCTCTCTGAGGTGACAGAAGCTGCAGCTAAATCGTTGGGAGGCTGATTGCCAAACGCTTGCTGGTGAGGCAAAATGACTGGGGCGCATGGGGTCGACACTGGCCAATGGGTGGACATGTCCGGTCTATCGCGAAGGGAGAGAGAGCGGGGAGAGGTTGGAACAGAGGTGAAGGGCGATGAGGAAGTAGAAGAGGAAGCAGCGGTAGCAGTCGAAAGAGACATGGGGAAGCGTGGTGGGGCAAACGGACCGGCGACGCCTTGTGGCTCTGTAGCACGCGTCGAAGCGCGCGTGGTGACCATCGACATTGCGTGGCTGAACGCGTTGGCGGATGTGACTTGAAGGGGGAAAGGTTTGCTCAGCTTATGAACCCACCGCTGAGAATGTGACTGCGCAGCTGATAAGACCAATGAGAGCTGAGCTGACGCTGCGTCGACAGATAGCGAGATTGCGTTGTTGGGCGGAGCAGCAAAGCCAAGGTTTGCTTCAGTCGCCAAAGGTCGAATCACGAAATTCGAGCCTGTCGAGCTTCAAGAGTTGCAAAGTGTCCGTGTGCCAGCCTAGACGTCGGATAGCGCAGCGCAAGTGCAGTTCTAGCTGTTCAAAGCAAAGCAGCTGGGAGAGAGACGCAAAGTTTAACCCTGTTGGTGTGAGACGCTGTCGATTGTAGATGAGATGACGCATGCAGGTCGATGCACTTGATCTTCTACCGTAGACAGCAAGCAAGGACGCAGAGACGTAGAGTATCTATGAGGTTGTTGTCGAGGACGGAGAGCAGGCTGGTGGGATGATAAGGTGTGGGCGGAAGTGGTATCTCTATAGGCCGATGCGTTGCCGCAAGGTAGAGAGGGGAAAGAAAGTCTGCAGATCTGCGGCCCGAAGAGGATGGAGAAGAGTGGGTCACAAAGGGAGACGAAGAGCTCGTGTCATCGGCTGCTATAAGTATCTGATACGGTCCTCCGCAAGAAGTCAAAGCTGAACATGTGTGGTCGTCCGTGCTGAAGGGCAAACAAACCCGCCGAGGGGCTGGCAAATGAAGTTGCACACAGCCCAGCTCTGCTTCGCATTCAACTGTCCGCCACTTTTCCTCTCTACCAGCACGGAATTAGAAGAGGGTCGGCATAAGACTCTTTTTCGATTCAGTACGACCCAGTCTGAGCATCGGATTCGGATGCAACACGATCCGCAAAGAATGGCCATGAGATGACATTTAATAACGGAACCAGGGTCGAGGGTCGAGGTGAAGCACCCAGATCTGCTTGCGAGCCTATGGACTGGCGCTATTCGTCGGACCGCCTGGCTGTCTGTTCTCGGAAAACACATGCGTTCATGCATGATTGGATCAGTACCAGCTGCTAACGGCTCTTCGGCATCGCACTAGTCTAGTATGGTTTGCCGGTCAAGAGGGCCCAGCGTTCGCTATCCACTCTATGACGACATCGTCTCCTTGCAGCAGCGTCGTTCCTCTCGAGCTGACCCTTCAGAGGGGCGGAGCAGTGGGGCCGGGCCCCTGACGCCTGGCTCGACACGCAATGGCTTGGTTCAGCCAGTGCTCAAGCTCACAGAGCTTCCGTCAGGATGTAACCATCGGCACATGGTAAGCAGAGCCCGACCTCGAGCGAGCAAACTTGTCGCGAAACAAAAGACGCACACCCACCTCTCGTTTGATGAAGAAATGGGCGTCTGGGGCGACCAAGAGCACCGAGCTGCTGCTGTTGCTATCGATCCTCACCAATCGATGAACAGCACGGACGAAACCGATCCCATTCCCTGCCAAGCTCGCGGACCAGAAATTTTGGCACAAGAGCACAGCTTTGGGGCCTGCAACATGCTTACGTCCACAACAGCTCCTAAAGATCGCATCATGACATCTTTGCATGTGAAGATGTTGCGATCGTTTCATCTCGGGGCGTTGAAAAAGATGAGGCGCGCAACAAAAGCGGCTCTCCTCTGGGAACAGCGGTCGAGCTGCACCGGCGTCCCGGCACATGGATGCCACAAGGCCAGAAGTTCGGGCCGAGTCGACCATCAGTACCACAATGAGGTGGTACCACCGAGTTTGTCATGCAAAGTTGCCAAAAAGGAGCAGAACAATAGACACGACGAGGCAACATTGCTGAACCTTGCTTTGCTGATGCCGTTGTCCCACCGCGAGTTCAAATGAAGCAGTAGGCAATGGTGGTGGTGATGCAGAGTGAAAAGAGGAGCGCGAGCTCGCCTGGTATATGCCGAGCGGAACCGATCCAAGGTGGACACGCCAACCGGTGTCACGGACAAACGTAGCGGTTGAGAGCATTTCAAGCCGGTCCTCGAATCGTTGCAGCCCCAGTCTGTTGGCGAGCAATGATGACGCTGGACCAGGAAACGACGGCAGCCTGTCGTCCTAATGCCAAAGGCTAAGAGACCGGCAATTTCCGCGATGGAGGCTACGATGCGGCCCGTGGGACTTCATGCAGAAGATGAAGGCAGTTTCACAAAAGTGTCGTCTAACAATGGCCACGCAGGTCCACGCTCGGATCTCGCTCGGTTACAACGGTTGGTGTTGGGCTGGTCCGGTTGAAGGCCGGATATTGCGGCCGAAGCATGGCATCCGAGCCGGCACTGTGCAGGCAGGAATCGACAAGAGCAGCTGAGGTGTGCTCCTCCGGACGATAGCTACTCTGCCTTCGATCGTCGTGATGGGCAGCGATGGTTACGCTAGTGGTCCTGATGCATCGACGTACAGTCCATGCCCGACCGAAAAGGCCGTAGTGTCAAATTCTGGATCTGCTGGTGCGGCAGCTGGAACAGGCCCTGGAGAGAGTCGTGTGCGAAATCATTTCGAGACCAAGCGGCAACGTCTAGCGAGCCATGCAGCAAATGACCTCCAACCTTCGGCGGAGAATTTCGACAGCACGGCGCAACGAACAATGGCGAAAGGAGCTTGGACCGCATGAGGAGAAAATGCACAAAGCCCCGCGCGTGCGCCTGACAGTGCATTGTTGATAGAGTTGTCACTGCGCGTCGCATGGGAAGCACGTTGTACTGCACATGGTGCAGCGAAAGTGGCTCTCATCATGACGTTGGACCGACGGTTTGAGACAACACAGGGGGGCTTACCTGGTGACAGAAGCTCGCGGGTACACGGTGGAGAGGGTTTCAACAACGGTGCTGCCAGCTTTGCAGCTAGAACCTGCTGCAATCAAAACATTTGAGAAGCGGATCGCTGTCAACATCGGCGCTGCTGTTGCCATCAGGAGAAGAGACGCACCTTGTTTATGCAGTCAACAAATGAATGACTCTATTGTGAGGGGCTGTCCGCCCTCCTTTTCATCAGACACCTTGATGAGCATGAAAGCGAGGCTCTGTAGACAATATAGGTTCGGTATCGCAAAGAGAGATTGATTGTGTTCGCACCCCAATGAGGAGAAATTTTGGCTGAATGCAGCGCTGAGCTGCATCGAGTCGATGTCTTGACGATCCGGTAGTAGCAAAGAAACCGGTGGGGTGCTCATCCTGCGATCAGATATCATAGCAGAGTCGAGTCTGGTCACTCAAGCGCTTCTTCTAGTCGTAAATACGGCCGCCATCGAAAGGGCCAAAGCAGACACAATGCTGTACCGCCGTATTGGTCCAACTGAGACAGCATGGAAGCGCCGTGGCCCGAGCTGGTGCGTTAGCGTGGTCGAGCGGGGCTGGAACCTTGGTGCGAACAATCAACTCTGCAGCAGATGCTTGTAAAGAAGATTTTTAGGTAGTGCCTTTTGGTGGTCCTATTGTTCTCGAGTACCAGCTGATAGACGTCGGAAAAGAGGTCCCGGTGCCGAACAAAGGGGAAGGAGGTGTCATGCATATGACCCGATGGCGAGGAAGAATCAGAACGAGCAGCTCGGGTAAGCAGAGAGCCCGCAGCTGTGCCGTGGCGAACATGTGCGGCTCCGTTGCTGGCCTTGAAACGATCAGCTGGGGCCTCCAGATAGTTGCATGATTCCTGGGCCCAAGCGTAATCAAGCATGATCAGGACAGCTTCCACTCGGAGACAATGGATCGCAACTAAGATCCTCACAGGTTGACGTGCATTGTCCTCCCGTCTGTCTTGGTGAGGAAGTAGAGACCCAATCGAAGATATGGAAGGACCTTGTCGCCGGACAGAGCGCGCATTACCGCCATGGGCTTGCAGACATCCGACGCGTACGGCACAAGGACCGAGAGCAGCGGTATTCAGGCGGTCGTGAGCGACAGCGTTCACTTCGCCATCCCCGGCCCGCAATCGCGAGTGCTTGTAGGCTGTGAAAGTCGAAATGACGGATCGCGAGGCCCGGAGAGGTTTGACCAAAGGACGACAGGTGACACGAGGTCGGCGGGAGGCAGTCAAAGCCTTTGTTTGACATGCAGCGGCCGCGGCGTTGTGCGGAAGAAAAATTTCGTACATGTTAGGTCGGCGCTATCATTGCACGATAGCATTTTTTGTGTCTTCCTCCACACCAATCAAGGTGCTCGACTGAGCTTTGGGCCTTCAACGACTCCAACAGGGATGTTTCCGCACCACCACCGCTGCAGCCGACTCAGCAAAGTCTTTGACGTTCGCATGGCTTTGTGGCCGAAAGCTTGTGCAAGCGGGTAGGGGATCTTCGGAGGCGGAGAGCAATCGGATTCCGGACAGCAGACCCCGCTGCAGACAAAGCTTTTTGCCGACCTCATTCTGCTAGCGATGGCCAAGGATGATCCAAGCTTCAAAGACTCGCCTCGAATCGTGGCAGCAGCTCTATCGTGCGCTTCTGCGATCTTCTGCTGCATCGGTCCGGTTCTCACGTCCTGCTGCTCGCAATACACGTCGATATCTCCGCGACGAGTTTACCGGTGCTCTCCTGGTTGATCAACACGATGAAGCCCAATCGGGCGTCGACTCTTGGCGTGTCAAGGGTGGGAGCAAGAACGATGAAGCATCTGGCTCCACCGTCGAGCTACGTCACCCTTCGTCGAGCTCGAGCCGAAATCAGTCGCCTCGAGACAATCGACCGGTGGGGTCCTCGCTCCGGCAACAGGCACACAATACGCTTGCCTTCCACCTCTCTGCCTCCTTGCTTCCGAGTGGCGCAACCAAGCCGCCACGTGCCTGCAAAGACCGACTTCTCGTGTCCACAAGTCCGTCTTCACCGGCAAGGATCCATTCTGTGCCATGCAGTGCGAACCCACCCGGTCCTGCTCGAGACCCGCTCGCAGGAGCCGCTCGGAGCTCGGACCGTGACAACGATCGCGAAGCCCACACGACGGGCCCTGGTGGACAGGAACAATCCACAAAACCATCTCGACTAGCCCATCGCATCGTTGCAAACCTAGCCTCATTGACTTATCATCACCTTTCGCCACACACCCAGATGCAGTCTCGTGCCCACCTAAAGTCAAATCGTGCGCTGCGGAAGCCGAAGCGGCTTTCGTCCCTCGCCCGGGTCCTTGGCAAGGTGGAAGCAGCGGACTTATCACTCGATGGCGGTTCCGGGAGCACAGAGGCCGGGCTGGAAGGCGTCCTCAGCGTCAGCCGCGGTAGCCATCAGCAAGAAGAAGAGATGCTGCAAAACGCGGCCCACATGAAGTTAGGGTTCCTAATGCCGACCGTCAAGCCTGTACGCGGACCTTTGTCGGCTCGGCTCAAGGAATGGGATGGCCAGGATGCGAGCAAGGTGCCATCTGAGGGAAATTTGCGCCAGATGGAGGCGGATCTGGTCACGATCGAGCGGCTGCTCACCGAGCATAGTGGTTCAAGGACCGGGAGCAAGCCGGCAGCGTCGAAGCAGGTTCAGCAGCTCCAAGCAGAAGCTGAGCAGCTGAGGAAGAAGATCAAGTCGACAGCGAAAGCACTTGCTCTGGCTGACGCTCAGAAGCAGCTCGACAACGTTCCTATCCAGCACCTCGCCGACTTGATCGCTGCAGCTCAGGATTCGGAACGAGTACTGCTGGGCAAGAATAGGTGGACACGGCGCAAGAATGGCGACTTTCTCCCTGCATAGCGATACCCACAATCGAACAAAGTTGTCAGCATTTTGAATGAACTCCTGTCAAGTCCCTCGGATAGGAAGTGACGTTGAGGAAGCTATGGCTGGATAGCCGGATTCTTCGAGTAAGGATGTTAAGCCTAAAGAACGCGCTCTAAGTGTTGTTCCGACCCAAAATTATGCAGCTGCATCGAACCTGCAGAACAACACTTGCTTCTCTCGACGACCACCACCACTTCGACCGCATCGACTTCGCCCATCTTGGCCATGTCGCGGCAGCCGAGGCCGCCATACAGAGCGTTTCCGGCAGGTATGACCGAACCCGATGACACCGGCGAAGGAGCCAGCGGTGTCGAGGACAGTTTTCGTGGTACGACCGCTTTCGCTCCTGGCCGTATGTTCAGCCGTCCACCACATCTGCAGACCGGCACCAGCGCATACGCGTTCGCAGCCACGCCAGATGCTGTTCCGGCGCTACCGCCACACCAAACTGGCTGGCAGCCCGCCCGAATGTCGCCCAAAGTCGGCTACTCCAGAGTCGCATCCTTCGAAGGCACACCACAAGCAGGGCCAAGCACGCTCTTCAACGCTGCCCCGCCGCGCACTGAAAGGCAACAAGCGGTAGCACGACCACCGGCGCTCAACATGGGTCCACCCATGCCCGTCTTTGCTACGGCGCCCAGTGCTGGCGGGAGCAACCTCTTCGCCCGACCCCCGCCCATGCCAACCATGACCGGCTTTGCAAGCCCACCCGAAGCCTCCCTTTCGACCTCGTTCAGCTTTGCGCCCCGAGGGCCGGCGAGTAGCATGTTTGCCCTTCCCACGATTCGACCTCCCGTGCAGCTCGCGCCGTCGCACGCACTCGTTCGGCCGGCTCGTCCAATCGCTGCAAACACCGCAGCGCCGCCTCCCGCGTTCTTCAACCCCATCGCCGCAACCCCTCCCAACGCTACGACAAACCTCGACGCTGCAGCTCTCGCCGCCGAGCGGCGCATCCGCGAAGCTAGAGCCAACCCTCGTCCCGCCGATCCCGTTCCGCGCCAGCCGAGCGTCTCCTTTTCTCCGATCATCAGCACGCCGCAGCATGGCTCGTACAACGCCCTCCCTCCGCCGCCGCCCAATCGTGCCGCTGCCGGGGCTGCCGCACCATCCCGCACCCATTCAACAGCACTAGGGGTCGACAGCAGCATCCCTCATCTTAATCGCGCCCCTCGTCTCGTCTCTACCTCGCACAATGTCTCGCTCTCCACCGACTCTGCATTCACTCGTCCAACCGCGACTCGTCTCTTCCCCACCGCGCCCAGTGCGCCATCCCAGCCCTTGTTCCCTTCCACGAGCTCGACCTCGCATACGGCCGAGCAATCGGTGTCGTGGACGGCGGACGAGCCTTCCGTCACCTCGCACGTCCCTCCGCCTGTCCGGCTGCGCAAGTGGGACGGCACCCAAACGCTCGTCCCTGCCTACCTCGTGTCGGATTCTGCAGAGCAGGCGGTGGAAGAAGAGTGTTTTGACGCCGACGTCCTGCGTTTTCGGCCTGCCGATCTTCTCGCCATCCACGCATCGAAGGTTCTCGGTCAACCTTCCACCCCACCTGCAGACGAAGGGGTGGATGCGGTGAAGGGGATATTGGAGATCCAACTGGGTCTACGCGGGTTGCACGGATGGTATGGGCATTCCTATCGAAACCCTCGGGCGCGACGGTCCTCACCCCCACCCGCAGGAGAGGAGGGGGATGGATCGAGATCGCGCAAACGTCGACGCACTTCTTCTCCCGAGAGCACACCAAATTGCAGCACCGAGATCGCGGATGAAGACGAACCGATCATTGTATACGACAGCTTTGGGCGGATTCGAGGTCATATTTCGCTGCCGAACTACGCGCATCATGGTGGGCCGGCGTTTCCGCTGCCGGAGCCGAGACAGACGTTTGCCCTGCGTCACGCGGTAGCTGCCCAACTCGTGCTGACCAGCGGCACAAGTTTGGCGGACAAGGAGACGAGGCTGGTGCGCGAGGAGGAGGTGTTGAAGGAGCGCTGGGCGGAGTTGTCCAGCAATCGAGCCACGGACGAAGGGCAAACGATCCGCTCCACCCGCTTCCACACCGAGCTCAAGGACAAACATCAGGCGCTCGAAACGTTTCGTTCCACCCACCGAAAAGCTTTGCTCAAAGGTCTACAGAATGCGTTGCTCGACTCAACACTCGTCGCGCCACCCAGACCGATCGTTGCACGCCAGTAACATCACAGAATCATAACAAATGTATTCCTTGCCCAAATCTGATACCCAAGAATAATCTATCTCTATAAACCTGATGCGATGCGAGAAACTGAAATCTATCGTGAGCCGGCCCCGTTCGCGCCGGCGTCTGAACCTGTGTCGAGCGCGGACCCATCGAGGGCCGAGCTGGAGACACGCAGGCCGAGCAACCGCTCTGTCTTGCCGAGCGGGCTGGACTCGTGAGTTCTCCCTTCCAGCCCGAGTCGGGGTGGCTGCTGCTGTGTCGACTCGGCGAAGGGAGCACCGAGTCCGGTCGCACCAGAGCTTTCGTCCACAGCTGGAGGTGTGGGCGTGCCAGCCTTGCCGCGAAGCTTGGCCATAGCCGATGCGGCGGCAGTGCGTTCGGCTGTCATGCTGACGCTGCGGCGCGAGGATGAGTCCCGGGCCAGCGCGGTGCCCTTGACGCTGAGTCGGGCGATCGTGTTGGCCAGCTCTTCGGCGCTGGTGCCAGCAAGTATCTCGCCTGATGGCACGTCAGAGCCCATCGATCCTGCGCTATTGACATCCTGGGCGCTGCCGCTGGTTGCCGAGGGACCTGATGCGAGTGGCGTCTGCGCTGGCGAGTCCATCGACGCACGTCGAGTGAGGTGCGAGACGTTACCGGCAGCAACCAGGGGGAATGGATAGCCGTCGCTCATCGAGGGCTCGACCGCGGCCGGTGTTCCGTCAGACGCTCGTCGGGAATGCAGACTATGGTTGCCGACGTCGGCGTGCGAGGGACGTCGAGGGCCTGCACCGGGCGTCTTCGCGATACTCAATCGGTTGCTGTCTACCACTTCGTCAGCATCCGGGTTGTGCGCAACGATAGAACGGCGAGGCACGGCTGGGACGCCGCCTCCGCCTTGTCTGCGTGGGCCAGAGGGCTGGGACCAGTGAGGGGTCGCTGGCTGCTGGTTCGAGCCGTAAGCGCCGCCGAATCCACCCGCCATGGCGAACATGGGATTGTAGCCGACGGGTGCTCCGGGCGTCAGGCCGGTCGAGGCATTCATCGGAGCACCCTGCTCGGGCCCGCCATCCTGCGCGCCACTGCCGGTCACGGGGCTGAAAGGATCCAGGCCCGGGCTGAGAAACTGAGGATAGAGAGGGGGCGTCTCGGCCACCTGGTGGAAGGTGAACCCAGGCATGCCGAGAGTCATGGGCACTTGCATGCCTGCCGTCATAGGGCTCATCTGACTAGCTTGCGCGCCTCCCAAGGCCGCGCCGAAGCTGTTGGCGAATGTAGAGGAGGGCAGCTGAATACGCCCCGGATGCGCGCCTGCCGACTGATCGTACTGAGTTGGCACAGGCGGCGAGACGAGGCCCGGAGACATGAGATCCGACGGTAGATAGGACGAGGCGGCGCCGAAGTCGTTGACGGGCATGGCGATCGACATGCCGTGATCCTTGTCACGCGACGATGCTGTTTGGCTCTCCTCTTCCGTGTCCCCATTCGATTGAGCGAAGAGACCGAACGACTGCGAAGTGGAAGGACGGCGATCTCCCAAATTGCTTCCTTGGACACTGAACGCCGAGAATGACGCGTGTGAGGTGGGCGCCTGCATCGATCTTCCAGCGTCAGCAAACGCAGAGAAGCCAGATGCCATCTGCTGCGATTGTTGGTGTTGCTGGCCGTACCTCTGGTGCTGTCGCTGTTGTTGTGATGCCTGCTGCTGTTGTCGAGTTTGCAGTGAAGGCTGATATTGTGCAGAGTACTGGAACATAGCTGGATTCTGCTGCTGGAAGGCCGACTGGCCGAACGACGCCTGACCTTGATGCTGCTGTTGCGACATCGAGAATTGACTGGGCGCGCCGGCCCTATTCTGATGCTGCTGCTGCTGTTGTTGCAGGAATTGTGACTGATACTGCTGTTGATGGAATCCGCCTTGCATGCTCTGCTGCTGAGCTTGAGGTACGACGGGCGGAGCGCGCACATTGTTTGTCATGTGCGATGGCAGAGCTGCAGCGGCAAAAGCGCCAGTGTACTGAGCTGGATTGCCAGGCGTGCCAACGGCGGGTCCGTTCTGCGCGGCGAATCGGTCAAAGTGCACCTTGAGCGTGCGACCGCTATATTCGTAGCCGTGATACAAGCGCACTGCGTTCTGAGCGTCCTCCTGAGAGGTGAACAGAACAGTACCAAATCCTCGACTGCGGCCATCGGGACCGATGGCGACATCCGCTCGCTGGATATTGCCAGCAGCGCGGAAGAGGTCTTTGAGATCTTGCCATTGGCAGTGGAAGGGCAGATTGCCGACGAAGAGCACTCTGCCTGCGTACGAGGTGGTGGGCATCTGCGAGTTGAACGGCTGCGACTGCACCGATGCCATGGCCGGTGCTCCGAAGGAGCCTGGTCCGGCCGGCCAAGGCGCCATGGCCGTGGCACCGGGAAAGCCAGTCGGCACAGAGGATCCGCCGGCATTCGACGAATACATGCTGGATGCCGCGTCCGTGACGCTGGGGCCCCACACGCCGGACTGTGGAGCGCCGGCCATGCCTACACCTGATTCGGATCCTCGACGAGAGCCCATCCCGTGGGAACTGAGCGACTGCACGGCGGAAACCGCACGATGTTGGGCTTGTCCTGCAGATCCGGGCTCGAAATGGGTGCCGGGCTGCTGACGATCCGGTGTTCCCTTGCCAGAAGTGCTGGACAGGCTCTGTCCCTGCAGCAGTGCTCGCTCAAGCTCAGACTGCTGGAAAGCGCCAGCGCCGTCCCGGCCGGCCTCGGAATGCGCCGAGAAGGATGCGCGAGAGGAGATGGGCTGAGAAGGATCGGCCAGACGAGCATGTGCGGAGAGCGGAGAGGGGGAGGCCGCGCCCGAAAAGGAGCCAGACGTTGGGCCTTGACTGCTTCCAAGGCTGCCACCTGGTACGCCAAGGTACTGTTGAGCGCCCCCGTGTGAATCGTGCGAGAAGGAGTTGAGACTCGGCGCTGGTGGCCCGTTGCCGAATGCGTTGGGGGAGGAGGAGGCAGCACCGCCCAAGCCGTGCGGCACAATGGTGGGCATGACGGCGCTACCGGCGACACCAAGAAGCGCGCCGCTTCGGTCGACACGCACGTCGAGCGTTCTGCCTTGCCAAGTGAAGCCACCCAGCATGTCGGCTGCTTTGATCGCATCTTGCTCCGTGGCCATGAGAACGGTACCATAGCCACGACTGCGATTGTCTGGACTCAAAGAGACGTCAGCGCGAAGGACCGTGCCGGCTTTTCGAAAGAGGTCCTTGAGATCCTGCCATCGGACTCGGTAGGGCAGATTGGACACGAGCAACTGCGTGCGTGGGTCTGAGGCAGAGAGAGGACCGGAGGTGGGCGCTGGTGCGGAATCGACCAGAGGATCCAGTAAGCCAGCCGCGTGGGCGTAGGCAGGATCCGAAAGCAAACTCGCATCGGCGACAGGGTAGCTGCCAGAGAAGGAGCCGGAGCGCGCGGACATAGCTGCTGAACCAAGATCCGCAGAAAGGAGATGGGCGGCCGGGACGGAGGGACCATCGGAGAACGATTGACGTCCGAAAGAGGGTCTCGCACCTCCGCTGGTGCTATCCTGCACGACCCAGTACGGAGTCTCCGTATGGTATCCGAACGAGGGGGACGGTCCGCGCTGATGTTCACCTGAGGCGTGTGGCGGGACGAGAGAAGTAGGTGAGTGGTGGTTGAGGCTGGCGACGTCAGATTGCTGCTGAAGCGGGTTGATAGAGTTGGCTGCAAAAGGCGATTGGGTGCGACGGGAGCCCGCGGCTGAAGGTGCAGCTGCAGCGACACTCGGATTTGAGATGGCACCTCCACTGCTGTTTCGAGAGTGGTCGCCGGTGCTTCGAAAGCGGTCGTTGAAGCTGTGATGAGCCGCTGCTGCGTGAGCTGCCTCGTTTGCACTTGTCGACATGAACTTTGGAAGCGCTGAAACAGAAGCCTGGTCGGACGTAGCTGTCGATCCATCCTTGGAGCTAGCGGCGGACGCATGATCGAATGCGGAAGAGGTGAACGAGCTTGCGCGACTGCTGAGCGACTGGCCGTCCGATGCGATGCCATGAACGCGACGTGAAGGGTTCAAGGACATATTGGCACCGGGACCAAAGGCGGTGGCATGTGGCGAAAAGGGGGAGCTCGAGAGTCGGGAGCCGGCGCTGGGTGCTCCGTCCGAGGAGTTGGCGGAAGCGTTGGCCGACATCTCGAACAGCGTGAGATGAGGCAGGATGATGCTCCGTGAGCGTCGAAAGGCGCAAGCTCAAATGTCAACTGAGTGGGTGTGTTCCTCGCGCAGCAGATGTGAAGAGCGAACGAAACGATACGTTGACAGAAGCACCAAAGGTGGTCGCAAAGCCTCGCAGGTGATGACCCGAGGCGTGAAGATGGACACCGACACCGGAAGAGTTCGACAAAGGGTGTCTAGCGATGAAGGAGAAAGTGTAATGCCGATTCCAGCTTATTGGAACTGATTCCTGGCGTACGAGTATAACGATCCGAGGAAACGATTTGATACGACAAAGAGCATGCGTGAACTGGACCTAGGCTGGGGGACCCGAATCGATGGAGCTTGCGCGATGAGGATGTTGGCGAGTGATCTGAGAAGCAGGAGATGACCGAGATGACCGTGGCAAAGAAGTCCGAGCCCAAAGAACGAGGAAAATGACGAAAGAACCCAAACCGTTTCCAAGAGAGAAAGCACCAAGCAGCCCAGAACGATGACGAAGACGGTGACGGTGACAAGAGCAACGATCCGCCTTTTGAAGAAGGTCGTGGATGCTGAGGGTGAAGAGATGGTGGTGAGAAGAGGAGGATGGGCGGGGGAAGGTGACAAGAGGAAAATGGACTCGGGGCTAAGCGATCCTTGCGGCGGCGGACTGCCACCTCGATTCTGACTGAAGCGAATCAGGGCCGAGGCTCTGTGGAGAAGAGAAACTGCAGCAGCAAACCGCGCCCAATTTTAGTTTGGCTCGCATTTCAAGATGTGGCAGATCAGCGCGCTGCATCATCGTGTGGTCTGCGATGGAAGGAATTGGCCGAGCAGTCAATTCATCGAGGCGCTTAGCGTATTCCAGCCTGCCGTATCGACTCTCTTCTCTGAACGGTTCAGTATCGTCGGATGAGCCGTCGACAGACTCAAGTGACCAGCGGCTGATCCGATCAAGGTGTGTCACACTCCCACGGCCCTTCGGAAAAGGCGAAACATCATTTTTGCGTTGAGCTGACACGGAGTCAATCGTGGCAGTGTGGCAAGCGCAGTGCGACAGCTCTGCGGGTCAGGCATGCCGTGTGGATATTCCGCGATCTGCTTTCAAGATAGATCAGTCCAGCGGCGAGTAACATAGAGCTAGCTCGGGCCGAATGGAAACGCTCGTCCACGCGGACAGCAAATGCGGTCTGCAGCATCACAGCGTCATGATCTACAACCAGGACCCTCCCCAGGGGCCGCCTTGGTGTGCACGAAACATGAATATTCATGCTTACATATGCGCACAAGCGACAAACGCAAAAGTGCTCCATACAACCTCGTTCAAGTCCAGGTCCACATCGACCGCGACACCTGGTAATGGCTTTCTTCCCTCTTTCAGACCTTCAGTTTTGGAGAGGATGGCAGCAGAAACACCGCAAGACGAGCGAGCCAGCCTATAGTTTTGGTTTCTTCTCTGTGCCGTAGAAGGCGCCTTCGACTTGCTTGATGCCTTGCGCTCCGTGCAACCAACCGACGCGGTCCTTGGCGAATTGCTCGACACCAGGCTTGAGAACGGTCTCGACCAGGCTGAAGTCATCCACCGTTCCGAGTCGGAGAATGCTGAAGCCCGGGAATCCTTCGCCAACGCGGTACAGCAGCGAGCCGCATGTCTTGCAGAAGTAGTTGGTCATCTTGTACCCTGTTGCAATCGTTTCCGCTTGACCCCAGTGCGAGAGGTTGTCCTGGCCTCGCAGGTGCCGCAGATGCGAGTCTTTGACGATAAAGTTGGACGCAAACATGGAAGCCGTGATCTTGCGACAATCGACGCAGTTGCACACGAACGAACCAACATAGCCCGGCTTCTTCAGAGGGAAGGCCAGCTGAACCGCCCCGCAGAAGCAGGTTGCCGTTGCTTCCTCCGAGTTCGACCATCCGTCCTGAGCAATGCCTGCGCGAGGGAAGTGGGACTCATTGCTGTGCTTGGTATTGTCCGACATGCTGCGTAGCCAGGAAGAACGTGATGAGAGGGGGGTTGGGAAACAGGGCCGAGGGAGAGACGGCGTTCGGTGAAGGCAGACAGTGCGAGAGACAGATGACCGCGACTATTTGTAGTTGAGCAATACGTCGGGTAGAGGGTGCTGCGGAGAAGGCGTCAAGCTTCGAGTCAGACGACACAATTACACACACACACAAAAGTACGACGATATCTCCGACTGACAGCCGGCGCTTGCGCAACATGAGCAAGCCGTTGGAACGGCTGATGATCGTGCTTAGGGGGTTCGACGTTTCGGCTTCAAGTCGCGTGTTCGGCTTGCATCTGGAGAAATGGCTCGGTTATGCATAATCGGATCTTTCTCCACAGGGCATGGGCACTGGATCGCGGCGTTAGCAATCTAAGCTGCCGAGGCAGTTGCCGGCGTAGGATAGACTTGTATCACCACTCTTGGCCCACTGTTCACAGCAACGCTGTCATGACGGGATGCACTTCCCAGCCCACCATCCCCCGCCCGAGGCAACGAACGAAGGTCTGCACGCCAAAATTAAATTCATGAGAAATTCAAGAGCAGCGAGCGTCACGATCCTCGACAGGCTCTCCCCGCGTGGCAGAGTCGGTGTCGCCTCGTCGGCGAGGCTGGATACTTAATGCTTACATAATCATGTGCCGCTCACGAGACCTTCCGACGCTGAGGTGCTTTTTGACTTTCTTCTTTTTCTTCTCGACCGGAGCAGCGGCTTGCCCACGCAGTTTGCCTCAGTTCACCGACCATCTCGAGCACAGCGAACCTCACTTCTCATCGTCCGACAAGGTTCTCACAGTGCTCGCACCTGTGCAGATCAAGCACACGAAGCAGCGTTTCCTCTCTGTCGACCCGCCATCCTCAGCTGCTCGCTGACCTCTTCACCGACATGGCGTCGACCAACAGATCCGTCACGGGTCTTCTTCGAAACCTATCACTCGCTTCATCGTCAGCGTCCACCTCGACACAGCAGCTCCGCGCTTCTTCGATAAGCGCAAGATGCTTTTCTTCGTCGCGGGCGAACAAGGTTGATTCGGCCTCTTCCTCGAATCGCTCTGTCCAGCCCTCGACTTCATCCTCTGCTTCCTCGTCCAAGGCACCCTCCACTTCCTCCTCGAAGAAGCCGATCAAGACCATCCCAGTCTCATCGCCTCTGCTCGACAAGCCTATGCCCATCGACTTCCCATCCAGCACGCTTAGAAGCTTCCCATCGCTGCTTCACTTTGCCGATCCTGTGCTCGACGCTCACCCGGACAACGTGATCCGATCCAAACCCACCACTACCACACCTTATCCGTCGACCGTCACCTTCCTCAACGAGCCGCGCATGTTTGAGCCCACTCCACCTTCGGCCGACTCGCTCGTCCTCTCATCCGGATCTGACGCCGACGAGGTCAACTCGGAGCAGTACTTGTCCACCGTCACCCCACTCAGCGTCAAAGAGGTGCGCGACCTGCACCGTCACGCTATCGCGCTCAAGCGCGTCGTGCACATGACCACCAAGGGCAAGGATGCGAGCATGTACGCGCTCGTCATTGCGGGCAACGGCAACGGTCTCGTTGGTTACGGCGAAGGCAAGGACACCAACGCCTCGAAAGCAGGCCGCAAAGCTTTCCATGAAGCCGTCAAGGGTCTGGACAGCGTTAGCATTCACAAGGGCAGCGACGGCTCGCGCACCATCGAGACGCAGGTCGAAGCTAAGTGGGGTGCAAGCACCGTCGTGATGCGCCCTCGCCCGGCTGGCTTCGGGCTGCGTGTACCGCCTGTCATTCACGCAATTTGCCGCTCGGTCGGCATCACGGATTTGAGCGCCTCAATCTATGGCTCGTCCAACCCGGTCAACGTGGTCAAGGCAGCGCTGCAGATTTTGTGGGGAGGTGCGGCTCCGTTGGGCATGGGCGATGGTATTGGTGGCAAGATGCGAAGGAAGGACAAGGGACGCGGCATGCGCGGTCGAATTGACATCGAACGCAGCCGTGGTCGTCGTATCGCCGAGGTCAACATGTCCAAGTAGCGCTCGTCAAGCTCGTCTCCTCATCTCACGGACAATGACAATCCATCATCAGCAAGGCTGTCTCTTCGGATTGCAATCATGGGCGGTGAAAGCGCCTCTTCTTCTGCTGCAGACGGCGACGGATCGCTTCCGACTGATTGTGAGCTTGTGAATTCTGAAGCGTGAGAATCGCTCACTCGGATGCACCGACCTTGTGAAGCTCAACCAGCGAGACGCTGACGGCTTGTCCAGTCATCCTCGCCTCTCAGCTTCCCTTCCCACGCTCAAAATGTCGGCTTCCTTCGGATGTCCCGTTCGGCTTGTCCGGCGAAACCTTGACCATTCGTTTTGGTTCGTCTCTCAGCGTGATGACAGCTCGTTGCAAAAAATCGCCTCACGGGCCCGCTCTTTCCCTCGCATCGAGGCTGATTCACCCTCAATGTGCTTTCTCGGCACGTCCTGGTCACAAGGCATGCGCCGTCAAGGCTCGAGGGGAAGTGTTGAGGCAACACGACGCGTGATGGGAACGCACGAGCCTCCTGCCTTCTCCGCGACTCAGCCGCAACTCGACCCTGCCTCACCTGGCGCAGGAAGACACGATCATGAAGGCTCAGTTGCTCTTGCTCAACCAAGCTGTTCGCGACCCGATCCAAGAGTCGGCTGAGTTTTGTCCGGAAGGGCGCTTTTGCAGTGTGTCCGTGACACGACTCAGCCCGTCCGTCCCCTCGCGTCGTCGACTATAAAACCCCTCACCGCACTTCCAAGTCTCGCGCTTCTCCCTCTTTCCAACTGCACAGACGACCAGCGCTTCTGCACACTCTACCGCGAACTATCTATCCTTCTTCACATCTATTGACCACTTTCATTCACGATGAAGACCCCCAAAGGTGAGTGCGGGAGCGACACTGGGCGCCATCGTACACCCAAAGGCTGAGGCTGACATCTGGTGTTCTGATTGCTCTGGACAACGCTGCTAGTCGGAGACCAAGGTAGGATCGTCTTCTTCCTTGCATTCCCGTCCGAGAGTATCCGTACTGACATGAGAGCGTGCCATCGTCGCAGTCCGCTTCAACATTGGTAACAATGAGGAGTACGGTGTGGTCCAGTTGATCGAATGTAGGTCTTTTTCCGTTCTCTGCCCTCGATCTTGTTGGGGACGGCACTGACTCGTAACGTTTGACAACCGCAGCTCGCGAGGATAGAACGGGTAAGCTCGCCTCCCCTCACCATCATCTCACGTAGCGTTACGACTGACTCGAGGCCGCGCGTCTGACACAGTCATGGCTACGCTCCGCTACGAGACCAAGAAGTGAGTGCGCCTTTTCAGCTCGTCCCTGCAACAGGACGACGAAGTAGCTGACGAGACCGTCTCGACACCGGCGCACGACGGAATCCGACAGGGGCGAAGTCACTTCGATCCATCGCAGCATGGTACGTATGCCGGCCTCGGCCGTTGGTCCGCATCAAGCAGATACTGATGGCGACGTTTTGCATTTTGGCTGTCGGTGCACGGGTGACGGTGTAGGACAAGATCGAGGTTGTCGTAAGTCTTCTCGCAAGAGCGATCCGGGGAAGGAAACGCTCGCTGACGAGCTTGACAGCAACCGGTGTACGACCACGGCGCGTTTTGACATATAACAGGAGTAACGGCAACGTGCGCAGGCCATCGCGCTCAACACCCTCTCGACTCTTGACTTCTTGTTCTCTTTCGACACTTTGATCCTTCGTTCGCATCCTCATTGGCACTCTTGACGCCACGTTTTCGTCGCACTCTCGAAATCCACTCTCTCATCTGCACTCTGTCGAGCTCTGTGTGTGATCGTGATGGACATTGCATGTGTATCACTCGTCATCGGACTCGTGCTCACCAGCAATCTCGTGTAGCTCGATAAGATACTCGTTGAGCTTCTGCCTTGACACGCCGTCCAATCCCATCGTGCCTGCGTTTGGCTGAACCAGTCCCAACCTGTCACCTCCCGCGCTCTGCCTTGCGACATTTTCCACGCCCAACGCGAGCAGCAGTACGGCCTGCAACTCTTCAAACCTGACCGCTTTCACCTGCGCCCCCTTTGCAGCGTGACGGAAGGTCTGTTGGAATCGCCTCATCCCACCCAGCAGCTCGGACGGCGTTTTCGCGTAGAGGAGCTCGTAGAACCGACGTGCGCGATCGAACCTCACTTCAAGCTCTGGTTCCTTGTTGGGTAGGATGTTCTTGAGGTTCTGCTGAAGGGCGAGGATGTTGCGGAGGAGCTTATTCGTTCCTTCGCGATTAACGGCGCACAGGTCTTTCACCAAGCTGATGAGGGTGGTGTCGATGAGCATGGAGAGGCCTATAAACACGAAGGCGCGAGATTCCGCGGGAAGGGAGAGGAGGAGGATGTCGTCGAGCGAGGAGAGCTCCGAGTTGAGCTCCACGATGTGCGGCGCAGGTTCCAGGGGTGTATCGTTGACAGCGTAGGTGGAGTCCGTGATGGACAGGTGCAGGTAGGTGAGGATGCGAAGACGCAGTTCGACACGGAGGGTGAAGAGGAGCGTGGAGGAGAGGGCGTGGTAGACCGAAGAGAGGGTCGAGTAGCGTGCGACCAGGTCGGGCGTGAGTGGCAGGGGGAGGGACTCTTCCGCTTGCTCTTCGTGGTTGCTCGGTCTGGTGGCGTCGATGGTACGACCGTCGTTGAGCGCGAGCACGTCGACCACGCTCAACCTCGCCTTGGGTCGTTTCGACTGCAATCCATCGGCGCTATTCTCGACGACAGGTTTGAGCCGCGCAATGTTGGCCGCAAACCACTCGACACTGTGCTGCAGACATCCTAACGCCATCAGCTTTTTGCGCGATGTGGTGAGCTCGTGGATCGCAATTGGCGTCGCTCTGGCTTTGGCGTAGGCCAGCTCGAACCTCGCCTCCTGCGCCATGAGCTCCATCTTCCTCTGCGGGCTGGTAGCCGGGTCGCGCAGCTCAGCGAGACACGCCACCATCTCCGGCTTCTGCGCCCAGCTCGCCGACAGTGCAAATGCGCCCTCTCCCCCGTTCACCCGCGTTGCAGCTGTGTCATCGCCCTCGTCCCGCGTAGAGACTAGATCGCGGAACCGCTCGCTGCACTTCTGGTAGTACTGGATGATAGCCATCGCAATCAAGCGCGAGTACGACTCGCGATGGAACGGCGTCGTGCGCAGCATGCTATACAGGCTGTCGATGAGCACGATGACGTTCGAGGCGGACTTGACCACCGGTCGCGAAGCGGCGGTCATGCCGAGGTGTCGCGAAGCAGGGTCTTCGGCGAAGCTGTCTGCGTGCGACGTGGCGCCTGCGAAGAGCGTCTGGACTTTTTCTTCGAGTTGCGGGAGGAAGACGTCTTGGACGAATTCGTCCAGGAATGCGGAGAAGCCGCGGGAAGTTTCGCCGGCCGCTTCGGAGGGCATGACGGCGGCGACGCGTTCGACGAACGCGAGGGCGGGCTGGAAGAGGACTGACACGTTGAATGCGTCTGGCTTGACGAGGAGACGGTGGCCGGCGCCGTGGAAAGATTCAACGCCGCGCCCACCTCGGCCTGCAGTGGTAGCGCCGATTGGAGCGCCTAGAGTCGCGCCGGACGAGGCGACGATGATTTGGTTGCCGGGACGAGCACCGTTCAGGCCGCCGGCGCTGTCGCCCGCACTCACCAAGCCAGGCACAGACGCCTTGAGAGCCTGCGTCACAGCCAGCTGGTGCCTCTGCAGCGGTCCCACCTCTCGCCTCCCCACACTTCGCTTGACGCCAGCATCGGCCAGCTTGAACAGCTGCTTGCTGCGGTCTCTTCCAAATCTGTGATCCCGCAGCACGTCGTTGACCGAGACAACGGCGTGTCGCGCCGAGTTGCCGCCCTCGTCATCCATCAGGTAGTCGTGCAGCAGCGTTCGCACTTCCTGTTGGATGGGCTTCCACACCTGCAGCAGCGAGCCCACCCCCGAAAGCTTTCGAGATGCGATTTCATCTTTGAAGCCCGCTCGACTGGCGATCATTCCGGCGACCTCGTATACCACGCGATGACCCTGCAAGACAGCGTCCAGCTTGGAGAAGAGCGTCCAGAAGAGGTCTCGCATGGTCTCGCCGTCGCGTTGCAGTGCGGAGGTCTCGCCCGCAGAGATGCGCAGCATGGTCGACATGGGCCGCTTCGAGATGTTAAAGGACGAGCGCGAGGTGCGCATCGACTCGGTGAAGGAGCGTGCGAGCGCGGACGATGATGCGAGCAGCACAGATTCAGGGCGGAGCGCGACAGAGAAGCGACGGAGCGGCTCGTTGCGTGCGTCGACCTCGTCGATGGTCGTATCGACGAGCTGGTGAATCTCCATGGCCAGACGTTGCGAGACAATATCGAGCGCTGTGCCGAGCTTGCCGAGTCGTGCGAGGGACTCGAGGAGCATCTCGATGGAGAGGAAGGAGTCGGCTTCTGGGTTTTGCTCGAATTCGGCGCCGTATCGGCCACCTGAGCGGAAGCCTCCCGTTTCTGAACCTGGACCGCCACCTATCGATGCATCCTCTGCGCCGCCCGATCTGAGCTCGCCCGTCAGTGCAGAGAAGGACTTGGTCGAGGTCATCAGCGCAGATGTGGGAATGTCTGCAGCGAGATTCGGATCAAAGGTGGGTCTCGATCTGAGGCTCTGCAGGAACAGTGTCAGCTGCAGAGATTCGGTCGATGCTCCTGAGCCACCTTCAGACGAAGCGGTGCCGCCCATTGCAGGGCGGGACTCGCCAGTCGCTGCACTTGCAACGCCCGCGTACGTAGACCCAAATTTGACCGCCGGCAGGTGCTCCTGTCCGGCACTGTAGACATTCCACCGTGCATCGCAAAAATAGCTCTTGAGGTAGAGATGGTTGTGCAGCTCTTCGATCAGAATCTCGAGCATCGCTTGCTCCTGTCCTTTGAGGTAGGCGCGCAGGTCATTGGTTGCGCCCACCTCGACAACCTCCGGTTTGTCGATCGTCTTGAGGGATCGGACGAGCAGGTTGACGGACTCGAGGAAGCGCTTCTCCGCCATCAGACTCTCGAGCTTGTCCGGAATCGACTTGAGATGTTCGACCAAGTCCAGCAGCTTAAGCGCCTCCTTGACAGCTTGGCTGCGCTGCCACATTTGCACCAAGTCAGCACGTTTCGCTCCTAGGGCCTCTTGCGAATCCCTCAGCCGCCTGCGTGCGCCGCCTACGCTCGACTGCGCCGCATTGAGTGCTTGCGACACGTTGTTGTGCAGCGTGATAGCTGTAGCGAAAGACTCGTAGTGATCGTCGACGGTGCCCTGGAGCGACGTTTCGATGATCTGCTTGACCTGTTCGAACTCGTACCGGCTAGCACCGAGACTGCTGTGGTCGAGCATGGACAAGGCTAGTGCGACCGAGTTGAAGCGGTCATGCGCGAGAAAGGGCCATTCCGCCTCGACTTTGCGGAGAACGGCATTGATGGACTGGAAAGCGCGCGGCTCTGATCGATCGACGTAGCTGTTGAGCGGTTTGTGCACCTGCCGCGAGGTCTGGGAGATCTCCTTTTCGCTGCGACGGCGACTCGCCTCTTCTTCGGCGGTGGTGCCTCGCATGATACGTGCTGCTTGACCCTTCCTGCCTGCGGTGGTGAGAGCGGAGAGGACCGAATTGAGAGCAGTGGGCTGCTGACTTTCTGTGAGCGAGCCTAGAGGAATGCCTGACCTTCTACGCGGATCGCGTTGGGGACGCTGGCCAGGCACGGAGAGACTGTTGGCGGAGGTGGGATGGTTGCTATATAGCGCAGGGTGATGACCTTCAGTAGGGGTATCGACCGGCGAGAGCCCGTCGAAGAAGTCATCGCGGTCATCCGAGTCCGGAGTGCCTGGATGAGAGAGCTGCGTCATTAGCTGGGCCGAACGGGCATGACGATCCTGTGGCGGGGCGCCATGCGAGCCGATGGACACGCCGCCGCTGCTCTGTGCGGACGTGTTGCGGGCATGATATCCTCCTTGCGATCTGGAGGCAGCGAGGAGGTCTCGACCTGGTGCGTGGCCGGAAGGTGAAGAGGGACCAGCAGCAGGACGTGGATTGGATCCGACGGGAGGGATCTGGAGCCGCGGTCGTGAGGGTGCCACTCGAGTCCGATCCTGAGACGTGCTGGAAGCTGACATGGACGCGAGACCCTTGGAGATCTCAGGCGCCTGTTGTGGTCTGCGCATGGAGCGAGCTGGACGGAGCGGCGAGTGAGGAGTAGGATCGCTTGCCTCCAGCCCCGAAGGCGTGCGACCGTGCGATGAAGTGGCCGTGTTGCTAGCCGACATGGAGTAGGCTGCATCCAGCGCGAAGCTTGCTGTACTCTGCGCGCTAGGTTCTGCGTGACCGTAGATGCCCGCTCCTTGTTGCTGTGGGTTGAACTGACGGGAGGCTGTCGAGGATGAATGTGCATGGCCGGGCCTTCCCTGGTAGTTGGAGGCGGAGTCGGATGGGGCAAGGCTGACGTAGGAGGGACCTGCTCCTAGGCCACTGGGAGCTGCGCCAGTAGCATTGCCGCCGATGGACACCGAGCCTGGGTGCTGACCAAAGATGTCACCGACGTGTGGGATCTGGCTCCTCGCCGAGCTGAAGCTGGCAGAGGCTGTTCCGGCGCCAAGGGTGGTGTTTTCATGTTTGATCTTGGACCGGATGTTCTTGATAGTGTTGGAGCGGCCCGACATGATGGCGACGAGAGGCTCGTGCCCGATTCAGTATAATTCAATTCGAAGGTGATTGCATGCTCCACGAAGATTCCTGTTCCGGGATGCTCTGATGGACCGGATGGGGGCTGTTGTTTGGGCAAAGAAGGTCCAATGATGCTTCCTGTGGTGGTCGCGCTGATCAGAGCTGTCGCTGAGAGCTGCTGTGTAGGTGCTGAACAAGCGAATCGTGCATCAGAATGGGATGGTCATGGATGAGGAGCAAGACAGGAAGGTGGAAAGCGTGAGGGTCTCAGCCGCGGTTGGTTGGCCCAAACGCAGGCAGCCAGCCAGCAGGCTGAGTTGACTCGCTTTGCCGTCACAGAGCAGCACTCCACGGCGGCAGCCACAATCCGCCGCCTTTTTCGGGCCCGATTTTTGGCGTGATTTTTGGACCCTTAATTTATCCAAAGGTCCAAAAATGATTTCTTCTTGTCCATTTCACCACCATCAAGGCTCTCGAGACCTGCGCCCCACAGGCAGAGACCATGGACGCTGCTGATCGTAGCGGAGATCCCAACTTTCCTCACGGTCTTCGAATCCATCCAAGCAGCTCGCAAAGGCATTCCGAACCCGACAGTGGTCCGACAAAAGCTGCTCAGGACCGACATTCCGGGCCAGAGACAGATGGAGAAGCTTCAAGTTCGGCCCAGACAGCCTCGTGGGAGCAAGACACGGTCGAGGACATCCAAGCATTCGGCATAGCAGGAAGAATCTGGGAAGCTGCGTATCTGCTTGCACGATATCTTCGCCCAGCCCAACAGGTGCCTGGCGAGCTCGAGTTCGACCCGCCTTGCTCCCTCTTCAACACGACCAGTGACGAACCCTTGACAATCGTCGAGCTTGGATCCGGGGCTGGATACGGCTCCTTGCATCTTGCACGACAGCTTCAGCAACATGCCACGGAAACCGGCAGCAAGTCTTCGAAGGCGACACTCGTGCTGACGGATCTGGAAAACGTCGTACCTCTGATGGAACGAAACGTAGCCCGAGCCGGATACAAACAAGCCACGGAGCTCTTGGACGTACGCGTACGCAGCTTGGCCTGGGGCAACGACGCTCATGCTGAATCGCTCATCTCGGAGCTGCAATCGCTCGCATCCAACGACGTCAAGGCGGCTGAAGCAAATCCAATCTCACACATCCTGTGTTCTGATCTGGTCTACTTTCCCGAACTTTTGCCGCTACTGCTGAGGTCCATCATATCGCTCTCCTCGTACGGGTCCGCCGCGAGGTCAAGATACCCTTCAAACAGCTCGGGACCAGAGCTCATCATCTCATACAAGATTCGCTCCTTGATCAAAGAGCAGCCTTTCTGGTTTGCTCTCGATTCTTGGTTCGACTTTCAGGCTGTCGACTGCCGGTCGATCCCTCGAACAAACGGCCCCACCACAGCACAGGACGCAGAAGAAAGGACGGAATCGGATTGTCATCGCTTCGGTTCGGAGGGTCAAGACTATGGCGCACCAGCAACTTCGGATCAAGAGCTGTTCGTTTTCGTGGGACATCGAAGAAGGGACACGATCGGATGTCTAGCGCCGGAGAGCGATAGCGAGCTCATGCAGGGCAAGCGTCTGAGGCCTCGTCAGGGTCCAGACGGAGTGACTGTTATGACCATAGAAGCCTCGTCGGGACAAGACTACTTCGAGTGGCTGCTACTATCCAACATGGGAGCGGGCTTGGATTGAGCGCCATTGGACTCGTTCTTCTTCTTGGCGGACGTTGTCAAGCCATTTGACGGCTTCTGTGCACCTACCCAGTTCGGCTGGCTCAGCAACCAGCGGCGAAGCTCGTCAAAGGACTGGATCTGCGATCGAGGGGCTCGGACAGGCTGCTCGTACTGTCGTTCAGGTGGCCCTGTCGTCTCTCGAGTCGATCTGCACTCGATGGCCTTCTCCTCATTTGCATTCGCACTCGCAGAGTCATGGGTGAATTGCGGCGGTGGCGACGAAGCATCTTCAAAAGGCGCAGTGTAGCCGTCTCGAATGTTCCTTAGCCAACCGTCGTCCTGCGCGTCGTCATGATAGACAGGGGTTCGGTAGGGATAATGCTGTCGTAGCTTCTCTTGCCGTCGTCGCTGTCGACTCAGAGCAAAGCTGCCGCTTCCGGTCCAATTGATCGACATTTCGGAAGGTGTCAAGGAGAAGAGGATGTTGGATGTCAGATGCAACGTGCAAGACAAGAGCGTGTGAGGAGGTGTCCACCTATCTGACCATGCTCTCAATCCTAACCCAGCGCATTGGCCAAAGCAGGCCCAAGTTGATCCGCCAACGCACCGTTCATAGACCACACAAGCCGTTCACACTGGCTGTCATAGACAAACTCGATCTTAATAGTACCCCTGGGTCTTTTTTTCAGATGAGAAGCATGGGATGGACTGACTAGCGTCAACCTGAGCTAGCCACCAATCTCGTAGCCGTGACAGTGTCTTGGCCATAGCGAGTTGATATGAATGCAATGCGAGACTGCGTGCCAACTCTAACAATCTTTTTAAAATTCCACGTTGCTGTGTCTGTCGCGTTCCGACGTCACTTCGCAGCCGATCGAAGCAGCACCGTCTGCACCTGGCTGAGATGAGATCGCAAGCCACGCTCAGCTGAGCCATGCATTCCAGCCTTGAGAACCCAGAGCCAAAAGGGGCTCGATCCGTTAATTCAATTTTATTATTCATATATTTCTTTTTTTGGGTTCTCCATCGAAGGGTCCGCTCAGACACCGAGACGACGCACGATCCAATCAGTCAACTGAGCTCTCCTCCTCCTCCTCTATCATCATCTCGACAGCGATCCAAGAGCCTCGTCTTGACCCGATTGCTTGCCACCACCTTGTATCACGGTATCGACAGTCTGGCACGACCTGCTGTGGCCCCTGTTCAGCAGGCATCCCGATCTTTATCACTGTCCTTCACGGCTGCTACAGCGCGCTGTCGACTTATCTATGAACAACGTACACCGCCCCCTCTGAACGGCCCATCGAGCTGCCTGGCCTTCCGAGTGCTCATCATTCCCTGCAAAGCACCAAGCGGATCGCTACTCTGACAAATTGGCACCATGCTGGAAGGTGTCTTGGCCACGGTCCTCAACAGGGTCCTGGCAGCCTATGTCGACGGCCTCAACACGAGTCAGCTCAATGTCGGGATCTGGTCCGGAGATGTCAAGCTTCGCAATCTTCGCCTCAAGACATCCGCTCTCGACAAGTTCCGACTCCCCATAGACGTCAAGGAGGGCTACCTCGGCGACCTCACCCTTTCCATCCCCTGGTCCAATCTCAAAGGCAAGCCCGTCCGCATCCTCGTCGAAAATGTCTACCTGCTCGCTGCACCCAAGAACAGCAGTGTCGAGGTCGACGAAGAGGAAGAGGCGCAGCGAGCTCAAGCCGCAAAGCAAGAGAAGCTCGCCAACGCGGAGCTTCTCGGCAGCGGTCAAGGCGTAGGCATGTCGAGCGAGGACGAGCAAAAGAACCAATCCTTCACCAGCTCGCTCATCACCAAGATTGTCGACAACTTGCAGTTCACCGTCCGCAACATTCACATCCGATACGAGGACAGTCTGTCCAACCCAGAACATCCCTTCTCTGCCGGTATCACCCTGGCCGAGTTCTCTGCCGTGTCCACCGACGCCAACTGGAACCCCACCTTCATTCAGAACAGCGGAGATGGTATCCACAAGCTCGCACGTCTCGAGTCGCTCTCGGTCTACTGGGACACAGACTCCGAGTCGCTCGCTGGTCATGAGATCTCGGAAGCGCAAAAGAAGTTCAGCGCCCTGATCGCTCGTGATGGAGCCACCCCGAGCCACCAGTACATTCTCAAGCCCGTCTCGGGTGCAGGCAGACTCGTGATGCGCAAAAAGATGACCTCGGAAGTGCCCAAGATGGATGCACAGCTCCTATTCGAAGAGCTTGGCTTCGCCCTCGATGACGAGCAGTACCGCGACGTCATCTCGGTCGCCGATCTTTTCCACTTCTACACACGTCAAGCTCAATATCGCAGATTCCGTCCCACTCCCCAGCAGCTCGAGGAGAACCGACCCCGAGCACTCCTCCGCTTCGCAGGAAATGCCATCCTCAACGAGGTACACGAGCGACATCGCGTCTGGACATGGGACTACTTCCGTCAGCGACGCGATGACCGCAAAGAGTACGTCGAGCTCTTCAAGCAAAAGGAGCGCAGCGTGCAGAAGGCGAATCAGAACCAAGCGGGAGTTGCCATTGCACAGAGCGACAGCGGTTCACGACTGGAGGAGCTCGAGAAGAAGCTCGACTACAAAGACATCCGCTTCTACCGGTCCATAGCGCGGCACGACCTTCGCAAAGAGAGGCTAGCAGCCAAGAAGGAAGACCTCGATCACGGCGGCACCGGCAATGACGGTCACAACAAGAGAAACAGCGGAGGCGGATGGCTCGGCTGGATCTGGGGTGGAGGCGGCCATCAACAGCACCAAGATCAAGAGAACGGCGTGCTCAACGAACAGCAGCGAAAGGAGCTCTACGATGCCATCGAATGGGACGAGGAAGCCAGCGCCACATCCCTCACACAGGCTGTCGATGCACCGAGGGATGCCATGCATCTGCGCCTCATCACCAAGCTCAAGACGGGATCCGTCGCACTCAAGGACCACGCTCGAGGCACCGACATTCTCTCGCTTGTGTTTGACTCGCTGCAAGCCAACGTCATTCAACGGCACGAGAACCTCGAAGCCGCCGTGGCCCTCGGCGGTCTGCGTGTCTACGATGGTACCACGCCCAACTCGCTCTACCCACAAGTCGTGCGTGTCAAAGACGAAGAGTTCGATAATCCGAGCCGTCAGAACTCCAATGGAGGCGATCTCAAGCGCATCGAGCAAGAAGTCGAGGAGGAGAGCGATCCCGACAATCCTTTCTTCTACGCCAAGTACGAGCTCAAGCCGCTCGACGACCGTGCCGACAATGCATTGACGCTCAAGATGCGATCGATGGAGATCATCTACCATCGCGGCTTGGTCGAGTCGATCGTGCGCTTCTTCAAACCACCAGAAAGCGAGCTCGAGCTCATCGGTGCGCTCATCGACGTCGCCAGCGAGACCATCGAAGGCATCCGCAAAGAGACGCGGGCCGGTCTGGAGAACGCGCTGCAGAACCACAAGACCATCGACATGGTCGTCGACATCAAGGCACCCATCATCATCGTGCCGGAAGACGTCACCACCAAAAAGTGCCAGCACATGGTACTCGATGCTGGTCGCATCGCCGTCCGCTCGGTGCTTGCCGATCAGAAGGCGCTCGACACGGTGCGCTCCAAGCAAAACCACGCTTACACAGCAGAAGACTACCGACAGCTCGAGGACCTCATGTACGACCGCTTCTTTGTCAAGCTCGAATCAGCCCAGCTCGTCATGGGCAACGACATCGACTCGTGCATGAAGGGGCTTCACTCCAACTCGACGGACCATGGCCTGCACCTGCTAGAGCGCATCAACTTGGACTTTACAGTGCACAACTCGATCCTCGCTTCAGCTCCCAACTTGACCAAGTTCAAGATCACGGGTCATCTGCCGACGCTGCGCGTCAACTTTTCCGACCGAAAGTACAAGACGCTCATGCGCATCATCGAAGTCGCCATCCCCAACTTTGACGACGCGACAGATAGCTCGCCTACCTCTGGTCTGGGTGCCATCGAAGAGGAGCTCGAGCCGGTGGCAATCAGCAGATCACGGCAGAACGACGATGCTGAGGATGACAACGATGGTGACGATGGTGACGATGACAAAGACACGGCAGATTCCAAATCGCGGCGTGCTCGTGGCCGACCTTCCGAGACCCTCGATCTCAACAAAGCCCGCCGTCAGCGACTTGCAGGGCAGCTGCGCGGCGAAGACGAATACATCGTGGACGCTGGACCGGACGAGGATGACGGTAAGGACGAGTTTCAGGACGCCGAGGATCCCACGGTCGACAAGATCAATGCGCATCAGAAGACCTTCGAGCTCGAATTTGTCGTCGACTCGCTCCAGGGCTCGATCTACAGATCCGCCACCGACCCCTCGCAGCCAGATCGTCTGTTGGTCGATGCTCGCTTCGAAGGCTTCCTGCTGCACCTGGCGGTCTATCCGTACCACATGGACGTCGATGTGGGCCTCCGCAGTCTCGAGCTCGAAGACAAGATTGTGGATCAAGGCGCACAGTTCCGCCACCTCATCACGTCCAAGCATGTCCGCGACAGCATGACACGATCCGCGACAGGCGACTCGACCGCTTCGTCCGGCGCGGCATCGCCCTCCGAGCAGCGCGATCTGGTCCGTGTGCGATACACGCGCGTCAGTCCAGAGTCGCCCGAGTTCATGACCAAGTACGAGGGCATCGACCAGACGGTCAATGTCGAGCTCTCCACCATCAATGTGATGCTGACGCGCGTCAGTGTCTTGGCCGTCTATGATTGGATCATGACCACGTTCGTCTCGGTAGACGAGCCCTCGCCTTCGTCACAGTCGTCCGAAGAGCAACAGCAGCGTCGTCCTAGTCGCTCGTCGGAGCGCCGACCCAGTGACGCGACATCAAGAGGACCCTCCATTCGACCCTCCGAGTCGAATGCGAACATGCAAGCCGTCACAAGTGGAGGAGACTCGGAGCGAAAGGAGAAGCTGCGTGTCCGCGTTAAGCTCAACTCGATCGTGCTCCGTCTCAACAACGACGGCAGTCTCTTGGCAACGCTCACCCTGTCCACAGCCGATGTCGCCGTCATGCTGCGTGGAAACACCATCCGTGTGGCTGCGCGTCTCGGCTCGCTGCTTCTGTACGACAATGCCAAGCGCAGCGTCGCGGATCCGCACTTCAAGAAGCTGCTCAGCATCCAAGGCGACGAGCTGGCCGACTTCACCTACGAGACCTTTGACGAAGCGGACGAAGCCTCGTACCCTGGCTATGACTCGTCCATCTGGCTGCGATCCGGCTCGCTCAAGTTCACGTTCGTGGAAGAGCCCATCCGTGACCTGCTGCAGTTCTTCAGCAAGTTTGCGCAGATGAAGGCCGTGTACGATGCGGCCACGCTCGCAGCTTCCAATCAAGCATCGCAGCTCCAGGAGCGCGTCGACAAGATGCACTACGACATCCTTGTCAAGACGCCCATCGTCGTGCTGCCCAGGTCGGCCGACTCGACTGACGTGATGACGGCCAACTTGGGTGAGATCTACGCCAAGAACACCTTTGCGATCCGCGACAACAAGGAAGCCATCACCAAGATCGAGGCGGGTCTGCGACACATTCGACTCGCATCGCGCTTGCGGTACGGTAGCCAGGAGTATCACGTGCAGATGATCGACGATGTCAACATCTCGCTCGACATGATCCAGTCGGATCGAGCCAGTGCTCCTGCAGGCACCGCGAGCGATAGCCCTGAAACGCAGATGGTAGCCAAGATGTCGGATGTCCACATCAAGTTGACCGAGGCGCAATACTGCTTCGTCATGGAGCTGACGCAGTCGATCCCGCGCGCATTTGCCGGGCTGGCGGAGGAGGCCACGGAGTCGGACGATGGCAGCACGGCGGTCTCGAGTCCTGTGACAGCCTCGCAGCCAGCGCCTTCGACCACGGCAACCAAGTCACGTTCCGCCTCGGGCCAGCTGCCATCGACGCCGAGCCAAGGCAAGCCAGCCAGTGGCGCGCCAGGCAAAGCCGGAGATGCAGCCACGCCTCCCAAGAAGGGTCCTGGCGTGGATATGCTCCCCGAGCTCGGTACCGTCGTACACACGGAAGACGGCGACACCCCTGTCTACACGAGCCTGGACATGTTCTTCGACGTCAACTCGATCCAGCTCGAGCTCTTCACCTCGGCTGCCACGGGCCAAGAAACACTGTACAATGCGCAGCTGGCTCGCTTCTCCATCAACGGATCCGAAGTCAAGCTCAAGATGCTGTCGGACAGCTCGATGGAAGCCGAGGTCGCCCTCAAGACCTTCACCGTGACCGATCAGCGGCCGGACAAGGACACCAAGTTCCGCGAGATCGTACCTGCCGTCAAGCACGATGGCCATCAATTCATGATGAGCTACAGTGTTTCTGGTGGTGACGACGGCTCGGCCCTGGCCCTCATCACGGTGGACAGTCCCAAAGTCATCTTCTCGCTCGACCCCGTCTTTGCGCTTCTCAACTTCTTTATGAGTGCTTTTCCTGACACGCCCCCTGCTGACGAAAACACAGAACGAGCTATGGCAGGCAACGCCGTCAGTGCCGCTCCACCGCCCGCGACATCGACGAAGCAGGACGCGGATCCGAACGCACCAAAGCCACCTGCGGCCGCTGCTGCAGGGACGTTGGCGTTCCGAGTCAATGTTGTCGATCCCACCATCATCCTGCTGGCCGCACCGGAACGGCACGATACCGAGGCTATTGTGCTTTCGATCAAGCAGGTGCTCATGTCGCAGCAAGGCATCATGGCGCTCAAAGTGGATCAGTTTGGCATGTTCATGTGCAGGATGCATCGGCCCAAAGACACTCTGCGCCTGCTCGACAATTTCGACCTCGCCATGTCGATGGATAGCCGCATCAGCGAGACGAGCTCCCTGACCAGCATCGAGGTCGATGTCGAGCCCTTGGTGCTGCGCGTGTCCATTCGCGACATTCTCATGATCCAGTCCGTTGTCAACAAGGCCATCGAGCTCTCGTCGCAGCAGTCATCGGCCGCAGCAGCAGCAGGCTCGGGCCAGTCCGACGCCAAGAGCATTGCATCTTCGCAACGCAGGCAAGCTTCGATGGCAAGCACCAGCAACACGATCGACTCGCTCACCACCAAGCCCGTCAAACCGACCTTGGACGATACCAGCAGCACCTCGGAGGGCAAGCGACCGCAGCGCATCGAAGACGCCGAGTTGGTCATGGCCAAGGAGTCGCTGCGGGCGGACTTTGCCGGTCTCCAGATCATTCTCATCAGCGATGCGCACTCGCTGCCGATGCTCGACCTCAACGTCTCCAAGTTTGCCGTCGATGTGCGCGACTGGTCCGGCGACATGCATGCCAGCACCTTTGTCGACCTCTACATCAACTACTACAACCTCTCCCGGTCGCACTGGGAGCCGCTCATCGATCCGTGGGGCGTGCAGTTCCACATGGAGACGAGCACCGCGCCTTCGCGCTTCAACGCGACCATCTCGAGCAAGAAGCGTCTCGAGCTCAACATCACCACAACGCTCATCGAGACGGGACTGGCGGCCATGAACCTGATCAACGAGGTCGACCTGCAAGATCTGCAGCAGCGCAATCGCGCGCCATTCGTGGTTCAGAATCGGACCGGCTACCGCATCTCCTTGTGGCCCGAGCACGGCGATCGAGAGCGCAAGAGCAAGCCCTCCGCACAGCACCTGGACGATGGTCAGGATATGCCGTGGAGGTTCGACGACTGGAAGTCGATGCGTGAGAACATCCACGAGAGTGGCAGCAACCGCCTCTCGCTTCAGATCGACGGCATGCCCTGGGAACGCCTGCGCCACATCTCGGTCGACCGCGAAGGCGAGTACATGTTGACGCTGCGGCCCAAGCTCGACAAGGTGGCTCATCGAGTCCAGTACGAGGTCAAGCTGCAGAACAACGTCAAGTACATCACCTTCCGGTCGTCGTTCAAGATTGAGAACAAGACGCTCATCCCCGTTGAGATGGTCATTCTCGATCACGAAGGCAACGTCACGGACCAGATTCGCCGCATCGGTCCGGGCGAGGACTGTCCCGTGCCCATCGAAGCAGCCTACCACTGCCGGGTCAAGATCCGTCCTGATCCAGGCTTTGAGTACGACTGGTGTCAGGAGTCGCTCAATTGGCAGGACTTGGTCAAGAAGTCGACCTGGACCTTGACCTGTCGTGCCCACGACGCCAGCGAGGCGCCCTTCCGCTTCCAAAGCTTTGCCATCTACGACCGACAAGATCCCAACAGCCGCACGTACCCACGCCTGACCTTGCGTCTGCGTGCGCCGGTCGAGGTCGAGAACCTGCTGCCCTACGACATCCAGTATCGCATCTTTGACAAGAACCTTAACCACAACTGGTCGAGCTACCTACGCAAAGGTGGCATCAGCCCGATCCACGTCGTAGAGATCTCGCATTTGCTGCTGCTCAGCGTCGATATCCAGTCGTCGTGCTTCTCGCCGAGCGAGTTTGCCATCATTGCGACCGACAATCCGGACGACTTCCCTGTCGAGAAGGTGATGACGCTCGCTGATGCCGAGAACTTGAAGCTCAACCTGCGTCTCCACTACTCGAAACACCCTGACTCGGGTGGTGCGTTCAAAGTGCAGATCTACTCGCCTTACATTTTCATCAATCAGAGCGGCTTGCCGTTTGCGCTCAAGACCAAGTCGTGGCTGGGCAGCGCTAAGCTGGTTGCCGGTCAAGACCAGACGGGGATCTCTGCCGAGACGCGCAAGACGCCCGAGCCGTTCCTGTTCTCGCACAACTCGAATGATCGCCGCAATCGCGTGCTGATGCGGGTGGGCGACTCGCAGTGGTCCAAGCCGCTGTCCTTCGAGGCGATCGGCTCCGAGACCGAGGTGGTGATCCCGTCGGCGTCGAGGAACGAGGAGATTCATGTCGGTCTCACCGTCGAGGATGGCTTGGGCAAGTTCAAATTGTCCAAGGTGGTCAAGCTCACGCCGCGGTACCTCGTGCGCAACAACCTCACCGAGCCGCTCAACCTGCGAGAGGCGGGCGCTGCCGACTTTGTCTCTGTCGAGCCGGGTCAGCGGGTGCCGTTGCACTTCTTGCGGGTGGGAGCGACCCGGCAGATGACGCTCGCGTACCCTGGCATCAACAACAAGTGGACCGCGCCGTTCAACATCGAAGACATCGGCAGCGTGTTTTTGCGCATCGCCAAGACAGGCCAACATCAGCACCTGATCAAAGCCGAGGTGTTGCTGGAAGGCCCTACGATCTTCATCTCGTTGAGTCTGGAGGAAGGTCCCTGGCCGTACATGTTGCGCAACGAGAGCGACTACACGGTGCAATTCATGCAGGCGACCGAGCGTGTCGACGAAAGCGGAAGCGGTCGATCCATCGACGAGACCGTCGGCAAACGATACGAGCTCAAGCCGCGCTCCAAGATGAAGTACGCCTGGGACTATCCTGCGGCACCGAACAAGATGATCAAGCTGGTCGTTCACGGTCGCGAGCGCAACGTCAACATTCTCGAGATCGGTAGCTTGTTGCCGTTCAAGTTCCCTGCGCCCGACGGAGGAGGCGTGCGGGTCATGGCGATCGACGTGCGCGCCGACGGTCCACAGCAGACGCTGGTGCTGAGCAACTACAAGGAAGAGTACAGCAACTTCAAGCTGAAGCGGCAGAACTCGACCTTCTCACGCAGCGACACAGTGTCGAGCGTCAACAGCAAAGACGCCGGATTCGTGGCCGTCGACGTCGACACCAACATCCTCACGGCGTACAACCTCGAGTTTGAAGGTGTAGGCATCTCGCTCATCAACCAGAACATCCAGGAGCTCGCCTACGTGTCGTTCCGCGGCCTTGAGCTGCACTACACCGAGTCGGAGGTGACGACGGCGGTGAATGTGATCTGCAAGTGGATCCAGATCGATAATCAGCTCTTTGGTGGGCTGTTCCCGATCGTGCTGTATCCGACGGTGCTACCCAAGGACGGCAAGGATCTGGAGGTGCATCCGACGTTGCAGGCGTCGGTGATCATGCTCAAGGACGAGACGCATGGTGTGACGCATATCAAGTACGCATCGGTGCTGCTGCAAGAGATCACGGCCGAGCTGGACGAAGACTTCCTGTTCGCTCTGTACGAGTTCTCCAAATTCGAAGGCGCCGCGTGGCAGCTCGAGGCGGAGAAGGAGACGGACTTTATCGAGCATCCTCGCGAAGTTCCCGAGCCGAGCGGGCTGCAGAGCCAGTCGGACGACATCTATTTCGAGATCCTGCATCTGCAGCCCATCTCGCTGAACCTGTCGTTCATGCGCACGGAGCGCGTCAACGGTGACGACAAGGTGAGCTCGCGCAACCCGCTCATCTTTTTGTTCAACGCGCTGACGATGGCGCTGGGCAACGTCAACGAGGCACCCGTGCGGCTCAACGCGTTGGTGATCGAGAATGTGCGACTGAGCACGGCCGTGTTGCAGCAGAGGATCGTGTACCACTACACGCAGGGGTTCCTGCTGCAGCTGTACCGTGTGCTGGGCTCGGCGGATTTCTTGGGCAATCCCGTGGGATTGTTCAACAACGTCTCGTCCGGTGTGGCCGATATCTTCTACGAGCCGTACCAGGGGTTGGTCATGCACGGCAACCGGGAGTTGGGGCTGGGCATTGCGAGGGGCGCCAGCTCATTTGTCAAGAAGACGGTATTTGGTCTGACGGACTCGGTGTCCAAGGTGACGGGTTCGATCGGCAAAGGTCTAGCAGCGGCGACGATGGATAAGGAGTTCCAGTCGAGGCGACGGATGACGCGATTCCGCAACAAGCCACGTCATGCGCTGTACGGCATCACGGCGGGCGCCAACTCGTTTTTCACCTCGGTGGCAAGTGGATTTGAGGGTTTGGCGCTGCGACCGCTGGAAGGCGCCGAACGCGGTGGAGCGGGTGGCTTCCTCAAAGGTGTCGGCAAGGGCTTGGTGGGTGCCATCACCAAGCCAGCGGTCGGCGTGTTCGATCTGGCGAGCAACGTCACCGAAGGCGTGCGGAACACGACGATGGTTTTCGACCAGAACGACATCGACCGCGTACGTCTCCCACGTTACATCGCAGCGGATGGCATCGTACGCCCCTACTCGGACCGCGAGGCGCTCGGCCAAACGTGGCTCAAAAATGTCGACAACGGCCGGCTGATGAAGGACTCGTACGTCGCTCACGTCGACGTGGGCTCTCAAGAGGGCGACGCAGTCATTATGTTGACGGTGTCGAGGATCCTGTATATCCGGACGATGCGGTTGAAGGTCATGTGGGAGGTGCCGCTGAGCGATCTAAGCAGCATCTCGCTCGAAAAGGAGGGAATCGCGTTGGTGTTGAGGGGAGGAGTGAGTGGTCCGTTTTTGCATCTGCCCGATGTGAGCACACGGAATTGGTTGTTCAAGCAGATCAGCAAGGTTGTTCAGGCGTACAATGCTAGTAGGCAGAGTTGAGGGAATGCAAAGTTTCTTTCGACCATATTGTGCGGCCATGCTAAGTGACATTGGAGAGGAGCTGTGGGACGGCAGCTCGATGAGTGCAAGAAGTTTGTCAAGGTGAGGCGGGATCGGTGATCGCGTCGCATTTCGATGCTGATGTCGCCTCAACGGTCGACATGGCTCGGAGCGAGCAGGCGGATGCGGCGTTCAAGGACTCGCATGTGTGAAGCTGTCAGAACCCTCATCTTCGACCTGCAGGCGGAGGGGCAACAAAGGACAGCAAAACCCCCACATGGTTGCGGTCGCGTTGAGCAGCTCACTGACAGGCCTCGCTAAAAAAGTTCACACGTCGGAGAGACAAGCTTTTTTGCCAGCAAAGAGCTTTGCAGCGTGGCATTTTTGAATTTTACGACTCGGCGACATCGCGTGCTTTCCACACGGACAGGGCGAAGCTGCAGCAAATCAAGCAAGGCGAATCGAGGTTCGAGTTGTTGTGCATGTGGGGTCCGCCCTGACAAGCGACGATGAGATGCGTGCGAACGATGTGGTACGTCGCTGTCAACGACTCAACGGGTCAACAGGTCAGACGACTGGATTCAAGGTACGCCACGGGGAGATGAGAGGTTGAGTCTCAGAGAAACAGGGAGGCAGAAAAGAGGGGGCAGCATGTCTCGGTTGAAGGTGTTACTTTCTCAGCCCTCGCTTGGCTCTTGTGAATGATGTGCTGTAGATCCTTGTTCCCGTCACAGGGCGGAGAACCAAACTGGCGGTCCATCAGTCTCGCGTCTCGCTTTTGGCCAAAATGAAAAATCGTCTGCTGGCTCGGCTGCGTGTCAACCAACACATGCATGCAGACACCTGACAGCCCGCAGGTCGGCTGTGCTCTGCCTCCGTCGACGTGTCAATGCGGTTTGGCAACGCTTCTACCTTGCATCGCTGCCACCAGAGTGCGAGCAGACTTCTGACACTCTGACCTGTCAAACCCATCATCCTCGTCGTCGTTCATCATATTGCGCCTTTGACCAGAGTGATGTGCTTCGTGATGCTCGCTCCCCCTAGTCCCTCTCTCCATTTGCCAAGTCAACGTAGCACATTCCTCACGCCAACGTCCAACTCAATCTGTGCTAGCACCTCTATGACACACCTGCCTTTCTTAGTCTCGATCTCGTCTGAGTGAGTCTAGCAGAGTAGCTGAGGCGAGGCGTAGTGGATTGACCGACGACGCCTCTGTCTCATATCCCAATTTCAAGCCGAGGCGTAGCGTGATGAGCCAGCTGACAGCTTTTTATTTTTTAATGTTAAAAAAAGTAGATAGATGCTCAGCTGTCACTTTGCTATTCAGCTTGACTCTCCGACCATGATCCTCCTCCGCAACTCTCATCTCGAGGCTTGCGACGCCCCTCTTCATCATCTCTCTCTCTCTCTCGCTCAATCCAGATTCCACCTTCCTTCTCTGACTCCCAGCTTCCCACTCTTTCGTCCCACTCCATATATCTACCCCGACTTTCCTATCCCAACTTCACCTTTCCAGAGCATCCTCCTCACTCCCCACCTCCTCCCTCTCCTCATCGTCTGGACACGATCAGAGGTGGTTTCTCTCCCTTTGCTCCACGCACATACTTTTTCATCCCCACAGCTCTGCTCGCACTATTCCTTCCAACCCACTCGGTCCTGCATCTCTCGGCTCACCGCACACATCCTCTCTCGCATACCCTCCCTTTGCATCTCTGCTGCACGCTCATTTCACCTTCTCGTCGCAGCCTCATCACTGCATTCTCAACCCACACTCAGCATTCACAGACTTAGCAGCTCCTTTCCCGCGCATCTCAACCATGATCTACGAAGTCGCCGCCGCCGTCGATCACATCGTCTCTCTCATTCAGCACGTGGAGCGTGCTCAGCCCATCCCTTCCGACGCTCTTGCCGGCTTTGCTTCCACGCTCAAGGACGCGCTCGAGAAGCGTTGTCAGCAATGCTGGGAACCAGCTGAGCCCGAACGCGGCTCGGCGCTTCGGTCCGTTGCATGGCAGCTCCACTCTGCGGGCGAAGGCGCTGACCTCGACCTCCTTCGTGCTTTCGCCTCGGTCGTCCAAGCTCAATCCGGAGGCCATGTCGTCGGCCCGCATCAGCACGGCGTCGTGGCACTCGCTCTTCAGTGGCTTCCGCAGGCTTTCACTCTCTGGATAGACCCTGGCTGCGTCGCTGTTCGTATGGGCAGCGGTCCCGGTGCTGCCCGATCCTCCTTCGACTTTGACCTCATCAAATCTGGCTCTGCTTTCACATCCGTCCACGTCATTTGGGGCCAGATGGTCGCTCAGCCCGCTGACCGTGAGGCGCCCCTTCTCACTGTCAGCAGCGCTCCTCGTCCTGTTCCCATTGTCAAGCCGACTGCCACCGTTGCTCAGCCACGATACCCCACCAACCTCATCAGCAACGCCCTTCCCACCAATACCTCCACTGTTGCTTCACGACACTCTCGCTCCCTCTCTACCGCCTCTTCTGCTTCCAGCGTCTGCGGCGGTCTGGTTCGAAGCGTCAGCTATTCGAGCACCGGTAGCTTCTCCACCGACGCCACCAGCCTCAGCGGTCTCGAGGCCGAGGCGGATGCCGAGTCGGAAACCTGCCCCAGCCTTTGCTCGCCTTTTTCCTCGCTCGCTTCCAGCCACTGCACTCCGAGCAGCGACCTCGACCGCGATTCCGTCCACGATGTCACTGTTGGCGACACCACCGAGCGCTTTGCCGGTGTCCGCCTCTTTGCTGACGAACTCGAGCAGGACGAAGATGCCGGTGATGTCACCATCGGCCTCGCTCCCATGCTCGGCCTCGAGCTCTCCAAGGGCGTCACCAGCGCCAAGACGCCTGTCGCTGCCTCCACTCCCGTCAAGTGCAACTACACCACCCACGACAATGGCAATGTCGGCGTCTTGGGCGGCGGCGTTCGTCTAGGTGGCGGCAGTAAGAGCAACAACAGCGCTTCCGCTCAGCCTCCGCGACACCGTCAGCACTCGTCTTCGAAGAGCATCAGCCACCTTCAGGGCGGACTCCACAATCAGCTTCTTCCGGCGTTCATGCCTCGTCCAGCTTATCAGTCGATGGCACGTCAGCCTCAGCACATGAACGCGGCCAACTACAGTGCCCCGCTGCGAACAGTCCCGCTTCCTGTGGCTCCTCATCCGCAGCAGCGTCACCTCGCTTACCAGCAGCAGCAGCAACAGCAGCAGTACCACGCTCCTCAGCCTCAGCACGGTGCGATGGCATACGCTCGCCCTTCGCAGCTGCCTGCACCCTACGGTTACCCTGCGGTCGCCCAACAGCAGCCGTTCAGCCACTACACCCCTCACCTCGCGGTTTCCTTCCCCTCGGTCGACTCTTCGCTTGTCGACGCTGAAGCCGATGACGTTGATCCTGCATCTGGACGCCGACGTGTGCGCTCCCGGGGTCGCCGCTCGCGTGGTCGTGGTGCCGGTCGAGCTGCGCGTCGTCAAGCAGCCGCCCTTCGCGCCTCGGACCTCAGCACCACTGACGAGTTCTTCGATGGCGAGGACGACGACGAGGACGACATCTCGCGCTGCTCCACCCCAGCCACCTCGGACTACACCTCCACCGCCTGCTCGAGCATCTACTCGAGTGCCACCTCGAGCCCCGTCAAGCAGCTCACCAAGAGTGGCAACCTGAGCAAGCGTGCATCGAGGACCAACCTCCGAGCCGCCATCGCCCAGAAGCAAACCGAGATGGCTTTCGGTCAGGGACTCACCGCCGGCCTTGCCCGTCTCATGGCCTGATAGCCCATAGCATACCCACTTTCGCTTTCTTTCCAGTGACAAGCCCTCTTTGTACCATCATCTTTTATACACACACACACGTAATCAGCATCACAAGTAGTTCTCGTTTCGACCCACAATTCACCCAGCATTGCCTCGAACAAAGTCTGTGCGACGCATTCGAGCGAGCAAAGCGTCGAGGTTGCGAGCGAATCTTTTGATTGAAGTGAGTTCCCCTCGATGGGCTTAGACGACACGTCGCACCTCGAAGTGGCGCTTAACAAAGTAGACCTGGCAGGTGCACACTGCGACCAGTATAAAACCTTGGATGATGGACCACCACTTGACGCGGGTATTTGTGCTTTCGGCGGCTGTGCATGATCGGGAAAAGCCGGAGTGATGCGGGTCAGTACTGAGTGCGAACCATGTTCTGGCGGGGATTGGGCGTTTATACTTACTGTTTCTATGAACGCGTTCTCGAATGACCAAATACTCCTGTTCGTCTTTGACGGCTTGCAACCCCGCGGCTAGATCGCGAATCTCTCTTTCGATGGGTAGCATATCGCCTTCGTCGGGGACGTAGATGATGCCATGAACGTTGAAGCTGACGGTTTTGTCGCTGACGGTGGAGAACTCGTTGCTGAAGCAGTAAGTGTAACGACCGTCGTCGTGGGCGGTGAAGGAGTAGGTACCCGTGTCTTTGCGATCCTGTTGAAACAGTGCCCGGGATTTAGGGTCGGTGAGGACCACGTCGATATCCAAATGACCCCCACCACCGACTTGATACGTCAACGTCATCTGATCGCCATCGTGCAGATCTTCGAAGAAACACTCCTTTCCATGTGGTGGCAGCTCGATCATGTGTGCACTGGCGGAAGAGGCGGCGAGGATGAGGGAGAGGAGCAAAAGGGAAAGGGCGGAGAGAAGCGCCAGCAGGGGCGTCCGTGTCGACGACGCCATGGTCGCAAGTCGTGCGGTGCCAGCTCCGTGACGTCGAGATTCCGACTAGCGCACTGCGTCCCCAGCCTTTCGAAGAGGTCCGCTGAACCGTGGTGATGCCTGAACCCGTGTGTCGACGAGAGCTGTCAAAGGTCGGCAAGCGATCGAGAGAGAGAGAGGTGTTGGTCGAGAGAAGAATGCATGGGCAGTGCATTCGTTGGTTTCAGAAAAATTCCGAGCAGTGCGTTGGCACGCGCTCACACCACGTCGGCCTTGTTGACTGGAAATTGCGAATATGTTAGACCCCGGCTTGTTTTGGCACGGGCACCAAAAATCGTCAATGTCAACCTTTCATACCGCCGTTTGAGATGTCGGGCGAGGCAACAGCACGAGCGATCAGCACGAAGCAATCTTGTCAGCACAACACATGAGCCCACTCGACTCGAGTAGGAATTGGAAGAGGGGAAGAAGAAACATGGCTCGGTAGAAACAATGGAGGGGGAGAGAGGATGTGATACAGGGCGCGAAAGACGGTGGTGACGACCAACAAGCCGTATCTGATTCACGGCCCGCATGGCAGAGGAGGTACGTTGGGGCGATCTGGCATGCTCCAAAAGTGGATGTCGAAGCGCAGTCAAGGTGTTGAGAATCTAATTGAAGACGAGGAATTCGCTCGTCTCGCTGATGCGCACGCCATTGCGACCGTGCGGGGTGACGTTGACACAAAGCGCGTAGTCGCCTTCCATCACAAAAGGTGCCTCGACCCCCTCGCTCTGATGATCCGGATGATCGGTGTACAAATAGCAAGCCACGCCACACCCCCGTGGATCGACGAGATCGAAATTCCAATACCACCCGCTCTCGTCGCCTCTGAGACGCGAGAGGTTTGTCACCTTGCCAAGCAGGTGGAAGCGCCGATTCTGATGGTTGACATCAAACTGTTCGAATTCGGCCACCACCTGGTTGGACGGCATCGAAAAGGGTTCTCCCGGTTCCGATTGGAGTGCTACCAACGACGTAAAACCCTCGATCGCCTCCAACGAGGATCGGACCAACTCGGTGCAGCCAGGAATCACCATGAGGTAGGGCGAAAAGACGATCTGTTCGGTATCCCGATCGACTTCGACCGCAAGCGTGAAAAACGAGTGGTGCGAGGCGGTGCGAAGGAGATTGGGCATGCGCGTGATGGCGTGCAAAGGGTTGTCCGAGTCGTTGAGCGAGAGCGTAAAGTCGGCTTTGTACAGGATGAAGTCGTTGGTGGGCTTGATGAGCGACATATTGACGGACGTTCAGGACGTCCGAAGAGGTGATTGGGGTGGATAGGAGCGAGGAGGTCTCTGAACGGATTGATATGGCTTCAGGTATTGTATGGCGAGGAGAAGGCAAAGCGGGAAATCATGCATGCTCAGCATCGATGCTCCCTTGACCTTTATAGCCTTGTGACAGGCTGACAAGGTATGAAGGGAGAATCGTAGCCTACTGCACAGCGCTCACTCTCGCCAACAAGGGTGCACTCAGAAAGCAATGCGAAAGAGCCTGAGAGCTGCGCTGCGGGACAGCAGGTTTTGCACGTGTGAACACACTTTGCTGCGCTGCCAAGGCCAAACGAAGATCCCAGTGCTTCTCATGCCAGCAGGATTCGTACAAATGAAGTCTGGTCTTGCGGCAACACGTGCTCTCATCAAGCGAACCGATCGAGTGGTAGGCTGCAGGCCAGACAATGGTCTATCTCCGTGCGCAGTTCTGGAGTTCCGCATCGAAGCTCTTAGTGCGTGTTCGCGGTGCGCATGGGAATGACTCGGAGATGGCCGCGAGCTTCCTTTGTTCTTCCTCTGTGCTCGGTGAGAAACCGAGCAGCATGATGCGATAAGCCCGACGATTTCATTTGGCAACCGCGCTTGTCGCCATGTAGACGCTATTTTGCAGCGGGGGTGCGCTGCGCCGGTTGAATGCGGCCGAACGTGGCAGCCTGCGACCAATCTGCACCTGTTCCCTGGGAAAAGGGTTATCAGATGTCAACGCTTTGTGATCCCGTGTGGAAGGTGCGGGAGAAACGGCGCAAGGTTTGGACGCATTGATGGCACATCCACGCCCTAGCAGCACGATGGCGGGACCCGTTCCGCCTCTTCCAGAGCCTAAGGTTCGCCCCAAGATACGATCAAGGGAGTGACAGCTTCCGTATGAGATGCCGGCTGGCTCGACATGGCCTCGAAATGTCCACCATGGCCATGCTTAACAACAAGCTGCAGCGTGCCAGGAAGGGCCTTGGTCCATCAGCAGCCACGAAGGCAGCTCGATTTTTGGTGAATTGTTAGGGCTTTGCTCTGGACATTCTGTGAAAAATCGCCACCTTTGCTGAGCTTCTAGGCTTCAAATCGATCACTTCAAAACTTTGAATTCCGTCAAATACAAAGTGTGAAGTCGAGACTGCGCGGTCTGGCCACGCCCTTCTACTGTAGCTGTGTGTGTGCGTCGAAGCGGGCGAGCCATGCTGATGTTGGTTTTGGAATTTTTTGAGGTTAGCTTCGCCAGACGCAGCTGTTGGTCTCTCGGACTGCAGTGACGAATGTGTTGCTTTGGAAGGTACTGCGTCGTTGCTTGGTCTCCTACCATCATCAACCAACACACAGATATTTGACAAGATGGCTGACACCGAAGCTACCAAACCCACCGTCGATGCTGTAAGTCACACTCATCAGCTCACGGCGGTTGACCATGGCAGTGCTGCGAAGAATCGCGTTACTGACCCACAATATCGTCCTCTTGTCCTTCCATGCAACGCCAGTCCGAGCAGACCGGCGCCAGCGCCGCCGCCGAGGAGGCCGAGAACGACCCTCACTTTGAGCCCGTCATCAAGCTCGAAAACCAGGTGGAGACCAAGACGCACGAGGAGGACGAGGAGGTGACGTTCAAGATGCGTGCCAAGCTCTTCCGATTCGACAAGGATGCCAAGGAGTGGAAGGAGCGCGGTACCGGCGACGTGCGTCTGTTGGAGCACAAGCAGACTCACAAGGTCCGCCTCGTCATGCGTCGTGACAAGACGCTCAAGGTGTGCGCCAACCACTACGTGACGAGCGACATGAAGCTCAGCCCCAACGTCGGCTCGGATCGCTCGTGGGTGTACAACGTCGCTGCCGACGTCGCGGATGGAGAGGCGACGGCAGAGACCTTGGCGATCCGATTCGCCAACTCGGAGAACGCGAATGGATTCAAGGACGCTTTCGAGGCGGCACAGAAGAAGAACGCCGGTGGCAGCAAGACCGACGCGCCAGCACCGGTTGTCGAGAAGAAGGAAGACGAGGCAAAGCCCGCAGCCGCCGCGGAAGAGAAGACCGAGGAGGCCAAGAAGGACGAGGAGGCCAAGAAGGAGTAAGAGTCCGACACCGCACGGAGAGGTCGTGGAGGCTCGCTTCCAAGCTGTAACCCAATCGCATTGTCCATCCACGGAGGTCTACCTTGACGTCAAAAGCATCTGCGTCTGCCATCGAGGCGGTCCCTCACGGCACTGGGAGCATTCATTCCAGACGCCACTCCGGATGCACTTTGCACCGATTGGGTTGATATCCCCTTCCGGCCCGCCATCACCACACCGAAACAAGCGGCACGCTCGACTTATTGTCCCCTTCTGCACCTGATGAAATCAATCAAAGATACAAAGCTCATCCTTGCCCAGACTGAGAACCACGCTGCTTGTGCCAACATTTGACTTTCAAGAATCCGTCACTGGCCAATGGTCGCCTCCGCTTCGTCTCCCTGCGAACTCCCTCCTCGCACACCTGCATCCTCCTCCCTCCACCTCACCCTCAGCCTCCCAATGATCGTTTCCACCGCATCCTCCTCCAATGGCCTGCCTGTATCCGCTAGCGACTTGAACCGGGCCGTCACCAAGGCACGAATGAGCTCCAGCGCCCTGCGCGTATACCACCCTGTCTCGGCATCCCACGTCTTCCTCAGCCACTCTGTTCCCATCGGCTCGCGCAACTTGGCTTCATCCACTCCAGCCGGGGCAGCATCGTGCGTCTCTCCATCATTGTGTCGCCAGATGTACGGCGTGATGACCGGATCTGTAATGTCGCACAGCTGAAAGTTGCCCACGTTCCGGTGGAGCGATGTGCCGTCGAACACGTGCCCGTTGGACTCCCTCGCGGCTGTCAGTGGTACGACGCTCGACCTTGCCGTTGGTTCTTCCTCCTCTTCCTCGTCACCCATTGGCTCATCCGCTACACCTTTGCTCTGCGAGCTCTGCGCTCGGGGTTCGCGAGCGGTGCCACCACGCAGGAAGATCCTCTGGTAGATCCTTGACCCCTCGTCGGAGCGCACATCGTACCCAAACCGCACCACCGTATCCCTCCACGGTCCGCCAACCATCGAGTAGCCGACCAGCGCATAGTACACCTTCTCATTGTTCCCGTTCAGCTCGCGCAGCTCTGCCTCGGTGAGCTGGTTCTTGAGCGCCACTCTGGACCAAACGGGTCGGTCGGCGAGCAGCGTCTTGAGCCGGGAGAGCACCGCTGGTTCACAGCGGTGTGCGATCCTCACCACGTCCGGCAGGGGTTTGGTCGGGATCCTGCTATCGCGGCCGACACGAAACGGTTGCGGTGTGATGTTCGATAGGCGGACGCGGTTGACGAAACGTTGCATCGTGCCCGATTGCGCAGCGCGCTGGAGGACGTGGCCGAAGGGGATGCTGCCAGGTGGACGCGTGAGGTGCGAAGGGGTAGGCACAGTCCGCAGCTCGCTATACGGTGTCTGTTGAAAGCCGTAGTTGAACGGCACGTCCATCCGACTGAAGAAGGCGGGGGGCACCATGTGCAGGTTGCTCTTGACGCCGGAGGGCGTGGTGATTTGATAGTCCTCCAGCTGCGCGGGGACGCGAAAGGTTTGGAAGGCCGCAAGGTCCATCGTCGCCAACGCACGATGTAGCGCCATGACCGGATCGAGTTGATTCGAGGATGAGGCGACGGACGGTTGAAAAGCGAAGTCGGCCATGCTGCGAAAGCGGACCGTGTGCGTCGCCAGGCCAAGAATCTCGACGCAGTACTCCTTTTTGATGCGGCCCGTGTAGCGGCTGCGCTTTTCTTGGTGGCCGTGAAGCTGCTCGACACCGGCTGAAGGTGCGTCCTCGAACAGCGCTGGATCTAGCGCCATGTCCTCGGACGCAGCTGGCAATCCTGACGAAGGGGAAGACGATCGCTTACGCTTCTTTTGTCGCCACGTACGCTTGACGATGCGGATGACAATGTTGTTCGTCGGCACGGCTTCGCCTAGCAGAGGCGATTTGTATACTTGGTCGATATCATCGTCTTGAATAGACGAGCGTGGAGTGCCGAATCCGCCAAGTCGACACTCGACCACCTTCAGGCCTTCGTTGGGGATGCGAGCGAGAAAGTTGAGCGCTTCGTGTGGGCTGCTTGTCAATGGGGGTAGGGCGGATGGATGCAAAGTCGACAGGGCACGTTCGAGGCTGCTGTACGATGAGGTCGAGGAAGATGGACCGACGTCGTTGGTGATAACGCCAGGGTATTCGATGTTGAGCAGCGACGTGGATGGGATTGGTTTGGGCTCGACGAAGCTCGTCGTTGGAGGCACTGCCTCAGCCACAACGGGTTCGATTGCCCTCGCTTTGCCCTTGTCGCGACCTGATGACGGCATGCTGAGTGGTAGATCTGCTATGAGCACATCGTGGCAAGTCGAGACCCGCGCCTGAGCTGTCAAAGGAGAGGAGGATGACTGGATGGGATGGGGGGTGAGGTCAAAGCGCTTCTCATCTTGGACCCTGACAAGCTTTCCACCGATTCAATCATCCGAGATCCGATTTGGCGCAGCAATCAACGCGACGCGGTTTTCCCCTCGAGAAATTCGTGTTGGTGTGCTGCTGAGCCTTTTCGCCCTTCGAGAGCAACACACTGTGAGCTGCAGCGCGGTGCAGACTTCCCCTTTCCAACTCAGTCTCTCCCATTACCTTCTCATCACCATCCTCTCCGCTCCATATTCCTCGCCAACATGGTCGCATCCGACCTCACAGTCCGTCTAGCGGACCACTTCGGCCCCTACATCGCCTCCGACCCTTCGCTCCTCACAGAAACCACCTCCATCTGCACCCACTACCGCATCACGCCCGAAGACCTCTTTTACAAATGGGAGGCATTTGCCATCAACAATAGTCTGCCCAAGTCAGAGCCACTGACACTCGATCATGCGAGGGAGTTGCGCAAGATCATTGCCACCGCCGTCAACAGCGCTGCTGCGAGTGCTGCAGCGGGTGCGGGCGATGCGACGCCGTTGAAGCCGAGCAACGCGCTGAACAGGGGCAAGGTGGCGGGTGACTTGGGGCAGATGTTGGGCATCAAGTCGACTCCTCTCAAGCCGCAGCAAGGCAATGCATTCCAGACACCAGTCCGCGCTGCCTCTTCGAGCTTCTCGCCCTTCGGCGGGCCAGGTGCAACTCCGGCCACTGCGTCCGCCTACAAGCCCTCAGGTATCAGGGATAGCGACGTGCACATGTCGGACGTCGACTCACCTCTCCGCCCGTCCCCCGCCGCCCCATCCAAATCGGTTCATGCACCATATACCATCCTCGAATCGCTCAACGAGCACATCCCTCTCGTCCCTTCCGGCTCGCACCTCCTGCCCGCCGGCCGCAAATCCCGTGTCTCCCTCGCCATGGCCACCGACCCCAAAGCATGGAACTACCGCTACATGTTCGAAAAGAAAGACGAGCGTTCCTCGGTCCTCGACGACCGCATCGACCAATTCGCCGCCCTTCTTCGCGAAACATACTCCCTCCCATCCGACGAAGAGTTGGGTGACCCCTCGCTCCCTTCGCAAGAACCCATCTGGGTTGTCGGACGGATCTGCCCCGCCCTACCGGCTCCCGAGTCCTCGGCTGGTCACACACTCCGTGGCAAGCGGGAGGAGGCGTTCGGCCTACCGAAGCTGGCCGAGACGGGCATCGTGCTGGAGAGCTCCCGCATGATGGGGTCTGGCAACCGAACCCCGCTCGTCTTTGCTAAAGGGTGTGTGGTGCGTCACACTCCACAGGACCCGGGCACCGGGGGCGCAGCAACGACGCTCTCCCTCTTCCCAGGTCAGATCGTTCTGTGTCGCGGCATCAACGCTGGCGCAGACAAGTTCAGTGTGAGCGAGATTTGTTTCCCTCCACCCTTGCCGCTGGCAGTGCACACTGCCGGCGAGGCGATAGACCACAGCTACTCGCCCGGCAAACTCAACGGTGCCGCTTTGAACGTGGTTTTGGCCAGCGGACCTTTCACCTCCGAGTCGGATCTAGACTTTGCACCTTGGCACCGGCTCATGGATGCACTCGAAGCGGGTGGGTTGCCCTCCGACGCGACCTCCGACTCACGCCGCGGTGTGCCGGATACACTCGTCCTCACCGGTCCTTTCCTCTCCGCGCAACACCCTCTCCTACCATTCGCGACCGAGCTGCCCAGTGACATCTTTGCCAGGCACATTTCGACCCGCCTCACGGCGCTCCTCGCCAAATACCCGGGAACAATGGTCGTCCTCATCCCGTCCACCCAGGACATCCTCAACATCCACTCTGCCTACCCACAACCTTCGTTTGGCAAGGAAGACGCCACAGGCCCGATGGGGTTGCCCAAAGCCCGCGTTCGCTGTCTGCCCAATCCCTCGGTATTTTACGTCAACGAGCTGGTGGTGGGTGTCACCTCCGAGGACGCGTTGGGCGATCTGAAAGGCGAAGAGATGGTCACTCGAATCGAAGCATCGCCGACGCCTGCCAAGGTGATCGGAGAGAGTGTTGCGTCGAAAAACAAGGAGACCAACACGCGATGGTCTCGCTCGATCCTCTCCCAACGCAGCTTCTACCCCCTCTACCCACCACCGACAGCAGCGGGGTTGGCATACGATACGTCGCACAGCCATCTCCTCGGCTTCCCGGCCGTAACGCCCGACTTGCTCGTGCTGCCGAGTCGTAAGCTGGCCAAACCGTTCCTTCGCGTCGTGTCGAGCGCAACGGTCGTCCAACCGGGCAGCGTGGCCAAGGGCACTGTGGTTTGTGTACAGGTGGACCCTCTGCCGAGAGCCGAGCTGCAAGGCAAGGACGAGATGGAGAGCATCAACGCAAGGTTGTACGACAGGGCGCGCGTGGATGTCGTCGCTATCTAGCCAACAATCGTTACGTTTTGTCAACGCGTTTCAAATGCAAATGTCATCCTTCGTTCCCAAAAGCACGCTAGATATGGACCCATGTGGTCCGTGTGACTCATGAGTATGCACACCGAGCATCACACAACGATGAGATGATGGGCAAAACCAATGTTACTACAGCCGGGAACAAAATGCGACTCGAGAAAAGGTGATGAACAAAGAAGAAGTGAAGGACAACTACTGCAGGAAGAAGAAGAATCTACTCCTTCTTGGACTTCTTCTTCTTGCTGCTCCCTGGCTCGGACTTGGGCGTGGCGTTGACGTCGGCCTCGTCGGCGCTCCTCTTCTTCTTGTCCTTCTTGCTGGGCGTCTCCACGACTCCGTTGGCGGCTTCCTTCTTGGCCTTCTTGAGCGCCTTTCGCTCCTCCTTGCTGAGCTTGTCCTCGTCGGCCTCTTGGGCGACGGGAGTGGCGGATTCCTCGACGGCAGCTTCGGATTTCCTCGCCTTCTTAAGCGCCTTTCGCTCCTCCTTGGACAGCTTCTCCTCCGTAGCCTTGGCTGGCGTCGAGGGGAGCATGGACGGAGCAAGGTGGGCAGCAGCAGCCATGTCGCTAGGCCCAGCAGCATCCCCAGCCGCATTGTACGTTCGTCCACCCGCTTCCATCTGGAACGCCTTCTGCTTGTGACCCTGATCACCCGCAGCGTTCCTCGCCGAACGCAGACCCGATAGACCGCTCTGCATCTCCAACGCCCGCAGACGCGACTCGAGCTTGGCCCTCGCCTCAATGCCGACGGTCGGGGCGCCTTCATCGCTCTTGGTATCCGCATCCGCCAGCGCATCCAATCGGATCGACAACGCCGCCTTGGTCGCCACCATACGCGCCATCTTACCCTTGAGCTTCTGTGGCGCTTGACCCACGAGGCTGCTGTGGTAGATGAGACCGTACTTGGGCGTGTCGTGCTTGGTCTTGAGCGCACGGAAGAGGGCCTTTTCGGCACCGAGGATCTGCACCGTCGAAGCCGGGTGCTTGGCGAGGTTCATGAGCGAACCGGCGTGGCTGATGAGACGAGCACCGACGAGGTCGCCGACGAGCGCGGTGAGGTTGGGCGCAATGGCGGCCATGCGGTTCTGCAGGTACTGGTACAGCTGCGTGCGGTACTGGGTGATGGAAATGACCTGGTCGCAGAGGGACCAGATGTGCTCGAGATCGGTTTCGGAAATTTCCGTACCCATCGAGATCTCGGCCGCGGCCTTGAGCGTCTCCTCAATCTCTTCGGGGAGGATCTCGCTGAAGTCGGTGGCAGAGGCGTTGGTTCGGAAGCCCATAGCACGGATGACCTTGGCGTAGGCGAGGTTGTCGGTGATGATCTTGCCCATCTCGGGGAAGTGCCAGCCGTACCACTCCTTGACACGCATGGCGTAGATGTTGATCTCCTTGTCGAGATCGTCGAGCAAGCCGATGGCCTGGACGACCATGGTGTCGACCTTGTCCGGGCTGAACTTGAGCTTGTAGCGACTCAACGAGTGAGAGAGACCGAGGCTCATGGTGTTGAGGTCGCGCGGGTCGAGCGACTCGCCGCCGGTGGAAGAGGAGAGGAGGGCTGCGAGGTTCTCTCGGATGCCACGGTAAAGGTCGAGGAGCTCGCTGTCGTAGGTGACCTGGATGCCGAGCTTCTTGGCGATGGTGGAAGCGAGCTTGGATTCGGCGACGATGAGGTTCTCTTTGTCCTTGCCCTTACCATCTACGATTTCGTCGGTGAGGAACTTCTTGAGGCTCTTGCTCATCTTGCCTTCGTTGATGGCAGAGATGTCCTCAACGGCCTCGGCAGTGTTGGTGAAGCGGTGGATGGCCGAGAGCTTGAGGAGGTTGCTGGCACCCTCAACCGAGTCGAGCGACTCGTGGAGGTTCTTGGTGGACTCGAGCTTGGAGGCATCCGAGACGTTGAAGAGGCAGAAGCCTACGGCCGTCTCGAAGAGGACCTTGACCATGATGACGGGTTTGCGATGTGCGCGGTTGAAATGAAGATGCTAGGTGGAAGGTGAGATGGTCAGATGCCTACAACGCAGGGTGGCTCTGAATGATGAAGCTGCTTATCCCGTCCCTCGTTGGTGGTGATCCAGATGAGGTGTGCTAGGGAGTCCGTTGCCGAAGGATTGGCAGTGTAGGGGATGGTGACGGTGAGACTAGGCAAACAAGAAGAAATTGGTGGCCAGTCAAAGTCGAGCTGTCCAGCTCGAGAATTTTTGCCTGCCTGCTCAGAGGGGAGCCGTCTCGCCTCTTTGACTCTGCAGCCTCAAACTCTGGAATTTTTGCAGCCTGTCCTAGCGACTGTGCTCGATTTTGTGTTTTTTTCTTCTTCTTCGTCTCCACCCACAAAACTAAAATTCTGTCCTTGCTTTCTGACTGCTTAATAATCATTACATGCTGGACCAAGGCATCTCGCACGGTTTGGCTTGAAGAGCGTCCGCTGTTGGTGTGGACGCGCGTCCGATCGTAGAAACGCCGCTCACTCCACCTCAATTCAACCAAAGCTCAGCTCGACGAGTGTTGATCCACTGACCTCTCTCATCTAACATCGCAGCATCTCTCTACAACATCATCCATCATCGCCTCCCTTTCGCTGCACACGGACTCGACACCAATCTCAGCCGCAGGTCGTCCATCGTAGCAAGTCGAACTTCATCAGCACACCATGGGTCAGGCTCCCAGCGGCGGAGCGCCCGGTCGCGGCGGCAAGGACAACAAGAAGGATCAGCAGAAAAAGTGGGAACCTCCTCTCCCAACACGTGTCGGCAAGAAGAAGAAGCGTGGTCCCGACTCGTCCTCCAAGCTACCCGCCGTCTACCCCAACACACGGTGCCGATTGAAGCTGCTCAAGCTCGAACGCATCAAGGACCACCTTTTGCTCGAAGAGGAGTTTGTGCAGAACCAGGAGCGACTCAAACCGCAGGAGGACAAGGATGCAGAGGAGCGAACACGCGTTGATGATCTCAGAGGCAGTCCCATGTCGGTCGGTTCGCTGGAGGAGATCATCGATGACGAACATGCCATCGTCAGCAGCGCCACGGGTCCAGAGTACTATGTCAGCATCATGAGCTTTGTCGACAAGGACCTGCTCGAGCCGGGCTGCAGCGTGCTCCTGCATCACAAGGCCATGGCGATTGTGGGCGTGCTGTCGGACGACGCGGATCCCATGGTGAGCGTCATGAAGCTCGACAAGGCGCCCTCGGAGAGCTACGCGGACATCGGTGGACTGGAAACGCAGATTCAAGAGATCAAGGAAGCCGTCGAATTGCCCCTCACACACCCAGAGCTGTACGAGGAGATGGGCATCCGCCCACCCAAGGGTGTCATCCTCTACGGTGTTCCTGGAACGGGCAAGACGCTGCTCGCAAAAGCCGTCGCCAACCAGACATCCGCCACCTTCCTGCGAGTGGTCGGCTCGGAGCTCATCCAAAAGTACCTTGGTGACGGTCCCAAGCTCGTCCGCGAGCTCTTCCGTGTCGCCGACGAGCACGCACCCAGCATCGTCTTCATCGATGAGATCGACGCCGTTGGTACGAAGCGATACGACTCCAACTCGGGCGGAGAGCGCGAGATCCAACGTACGCTGCTCGAACTGCTCAATCAGCTCGACGGCTTCGACACGCGCCACGACGTCAAGGTCATCATGGCCACCAACCGCATCGAGTCGCTCGACCCAGCCCTCATTCGACCCGGACGTATCGACAGGAAGATCGAATTCCCACTGCCGGACCAGAAGACCAAGATGCACATCTTCAAGCTGCACACGTCGCGCATGAACCTCGATGCGGACGTGGACCTGGAGGAATTTGTGGCGATGAAGGACGATCTGAGCGGTGCCGACATCAAGTCGCTCGTGACCGAGGCAGGTCTGTTGGCGTTGCGAGAGAGGAGGATGCGCGTCACCAAGAAGGACTTTACCACGGCGCGCGAGAGGGTCATTGACAGGAAGAACGAGGGCACGCCCGAGGGTCTTTACTTGTAGCACTTCGTGTACCTCGTCTCGCACTGCAAATCCCACCTTACGCAGAGAGATGCCGTTCGTTGCTTTTGGTAGGCGGTGTTGAGTGAGGATGGTGTTGCTTGTTCGAATGAGGATGACCGGAACTCGGAATCGCTGCCGCCGCCCGCTATGCTAGATTTTGAGCTTTTGTCGTTGTGTGCAACCACACAAATTCTTGCCAAACGTCAAATTTGAACCCTTGTTCTTCCGATCTTCCATCGACCCATCACTCACCTTGTCCATACTTCGCACTCGGAACAGCAAGTCATCCTCACAGCGCTCACGTCTCATCACACCCACACAAGCCGATTCGTACACGCTGTGAATCACAGCGGCCAACACGTGTCGCAGGACCCCCACCGACCTCCTTCAGTCTCTCCTCACCTGACTAGGCTCGCACGACAATGGCGCACCTCCGACCACTCATGGCGCCGGTGCTGGTACCAGGCACCGAACCCTTGCCACCGGGGATGACGGAAGAAGACCGTGCAGAAATGGCCAAGATTGCCAAGTGGAACAAGATTGCCAACATGTCGATGGAATCGTGTCCGGTCAAATGCGCCCTTTCTGGCGCGGCAGGTTTTGGTCTCGGAGCCTTCTTCTCCCTCATGTCGACCTCTTTCGCTGTCGACGATCCACTTCGGAGAACAACACTCGCGGCGAATGGCTTGGACCCAGGCAAGGTGGGAGAGATGACGACGATGCAGAGCACAAAGGAGTTTTTCAAGCAGACGGGCAAGAGCATGTACAGGTCAGGCAAAGGGTTTGGTAAGGTAGGAGCGTTGTATAGTGGTATTGAGTGTTGTATCGAGGCGTATAGGGCGAAGAATGATTTGGTCAACCCGGTAGCGGCTGGCTTTGCGGCAGGGGCGATATTGGCTAGGAACTCGGGACCAAAGGCGGCTATTGGGGGTGGGGTTGCGTTCGCAGCCTTCTCGGGCGCGATCGACATGTACTTCCGACGCGAGGTGGCGGATGACGACTAGAAACGGATCTGTTCACAACAGCTTCCGGCTACGAAGAAGATGGAATCGCATCAGCCAAGCTCGACACTCTCTCAACGCGGCGTACGAGGTCATGCTCGACTTCCTGCCCGCTCATAATTCAACCTCGCGCACACTTCCTACACCACTGTACTTTTAGACAACCTCAACCCATCGGTCACCTAACCACCCGCCTGCATGCGCAAAGCACAACCACATGAACAGTCAACCACGCATGCTGCTCTAAACAAACAGGTTCGATTGGCCCATCAATACGGCTTGAATCGCCTCCCCTCCTTCAACTTGGCCACCTTGGCTCGATCCCTCTCGAACTTGATCCTCAGTTCCTTGAGCTCGTCCCTCTTGCGCTCTCTTAGCTGGAAGCGGTAGAAGTCCTGCAGACCCTCGCTCTTGCGTTTGCCGTTCTTGCCTTCGACATAGCCGCCCTTGGCGATGCCCACCGAGCCGCCGGATTCGGCGGATGCGCCGACACGACCGTATTTGCTGCTGGAAGAGCGTTGGACGATGATGAATCCGTCCTCGTCGAGGAGTTCGCCAGAGGGGCCGAGGGTGACGCCGCGTACGCCGAGACGACGTGGTGCCGGGTGGGCGACGCGGTAGGTGTGCAGGGCAATCGTCGAGTTGGCCCACGCGGCGATGGCCGGTAGTGCTGGACGGGAGAGCGTGTGTTGCTGAAGAAGGAACGTGAGTCCGGTTGGCGGAGCGTCTTCCTTGCGTGTGGGCCAGCGAAGACCTTTTCGAAGCGCTTCCATCGCACGGGTCAATGTGAGCCCATCGAGGAAGACGACATGCGCACTGCTCGCCGTGGCCAAAAAGGATGTGCCCCCAGCCGCCTCGCGCGGATCCAGACTGGGTAGAGGTGTAACGCGCGGCACTCGACTCTTGCGCTCCTGCTGCTTGCCTTTCTTCTTCTTTCCGCCCTTTTGCTCTGCAGCCGCAAGCTGATGCTCTTCTTCCTCTTCGGCTTCGGAGCCCGACTCGCCTTCGCCAACCATTTCCCGCTCATCCTCCTCATCCGCCACCGCCTGCCTCCGGAACTTGACGCTGCTCACGCCGCCCACTTTACCAAACACCCCCCGAACCCACTCTTCGTCCGCGTCCACCGGCAAGTTGGCCATGAATAGCGTGCGATCCGCTGGCAGCTTATCAAGTTTGGAGCTGGATGCGGTCTGTGAAGCTGCATGTTGTCGGACGTAGAGCCAGTGTTTTGCGCTCGTGTGCGGGATGGCGAGGGGTACGGCGAGGAAGCCGTTCGTCAGCTGAATTGCCGCATCGCCACTCTTGGGCTTCGACGCTTCGCCGTTCGCCGACGTTGAGCCCTTCTTGGTCTTGCCCATGGTTGAGACCGGCTCGAATTGCCTGTCGATGATGCGTAGAGGTGGTGAACGGTCAGCCGGTGAAGCAGGTTGAGAAGAACCCTGAATCGACTTTTTGTGTGCAGCCAAAAAATTTCCTGTGTGGAGAAAATCTCACAGCCGGCCGAAACAGCAACCTGCCTAGCCCTCAAGTGTCATTCGACGTCCTCACGATTGAGGCGCCGATGTCGTCAAGACACGCACAAGTGCTTCGATCCAGCCATCAGGTGGCAGACTGGCACATCGCAAAGCACTAAAGGTTCTATGGACGGATGGTTTTGCGATGTCGAGCGAAAGCTTGTGATCATGGTTCCCCTCCAGGCGCCGGCTCCAGCCCACCCTCGGGCGTAAGGCTCGCCACGAGCCAAGACCACCACTCGTACACATCCTGGCCCATCTCTGGCATCAGTCCCACCTCTGACCCTTCCACCTCCCACTCTGTTGTGTTCGCCCCCTGCTCCTGAGACATCTCGATGTGGTTTGTCCTGTGCACCTCCCCCTCGGCCAGTCGGCGTCGCACCCTCCCCCGGATGAGACTGACAATCCCGATCTCCTGCCGAATGCATCGGTTCGGATCAACACCCTTCATGGCCACGCTCTCCTCGGCTCGCGACAGGAACTCGTCCATCATACCCACCAGTTGGCTGACCCTCGCTAGATCCGGTTCGGTGAGCAAACAAACGCCCAGGGCAGATGTCGCGTGGAAGTGGAAGAAGCGGCCGCCTACGAAGGCGTCCGTTGCGATGTGCGGAGGCCAGGTGAGGAGGGAGAGTTCCTGGCGTGCCTGATGGTCCCAGATGGCAGCTTGGAGGGTCGATGCACGAGAGCGCTCGAATCCTCGCTCAGCGCTCCCGCGACGCAGGTAGGGCAGGTGCAGGGAGAGTTGGAGGTACGCGAGCGATACATGGAGGATGTACCGATGTAGGGCGATGGTTCGTCCGTCCGGTCCCTCCGGTGGCCCCTCGTCCCTGCGATACGGCGAAGTTAAGCTGTTCGCCATCGTGTTGAGTTGTGCATCGAGCTGTAGAATTGCTTCGTACGTCAAGTCGACAGAGTTGGAAAAGTACAGCTCGAGCATTCGACCCACGATGCCCGTCATCTCCTCGCGAATTCGCAGGATCGGAACCAGCTCGAACCTCCCTCTCTCCCTTGCGCCGGTTGAATTCGGACCAAGGGTGGTGGTGCAAAACGCATCGTGCACCAGTGGCGCCTGCCCCACGATCAACGACGAGAACCGATCCTCAAAGAAGAGGTGGGACCAGATCACCCGACGCATCTGCACCTCCTTGCCCTCTGCTTCCGACGGAGGACCAAGCCGATGGAGTCCCAAAGCTTGCGCCTGCCTCACCGCCGCGCCCAGCACGAGCCAGCTCTCCTTCGCCTGTCGCAGCAAGATCATGTACCGCGCTAGCAGCAGCTGTGCCAGAACGCCGAATGCGTCGTTGCACGCCACGCTCTCCGCCAACATCAGCGCATTGCGGCAGTGAAATGCCATCTTGGCCGCCTGCGCAGCGCCCTCTTCCTGACCTCCCATCGATGGTGGTTGCGACAACAAGGTCAGCGCCAGCACCGCAAACAACGCCGCAATAACCGACAACTGATTCGGTCCGTCCTGTCCATACCCCTCGTCCTCCCCCCAGATCACGTCCACAGCCCCATGCAGCGCTTCGCGGAACCACACCTCGTCAAACGGGAACATGAGCGGGTTGATGTCGCGGAAAAACACCTCGAGCAGCACCATCGTGTGCGACTGCGCTGGAAAGGTGGAGCACAGGTCACGGATGGTTGAGGCGGCGAGGGTGCGTTGGCGGACGAGACGTTCAAAGTGCGCCGAGGGCGGGTAGGTGTGTGTCGAGGACGAGAATTCGAGTGTCTCGGAACCGATCTGGGCGCGAAACGGAAGAGAGGCGGCGGTGGTGATGCCTGGATTGTCTCGTTTGGATAGATGGCGGGGGTTAGATGCGGCTGCGACGGAGTGTGTGGCTGGAGTGTCGCTGAGGAGCAGAGCGGAGGTGTTGGTGGCATGGGGTGTCGAGGCAAGACTCGTGGTTGATTCGTTCGTGACGGCGACGCTGGAGCTGTCGGTCCTCTCCGCACGCACCATCCGCTCCAACACGCCTTCTAGCCGCCTCATTCGCTCCCCTTCTCCCTCCTCATCCCCATCGAACGGCACGCACGCATCTGCTACGCCTCGCTCGACGCACTTGCCGCACGGCGTCTCGCGATCGCATTTGTGCTTGCGCCGATGACACTCGGTGCAGCTGTAACGGACGCGACGCTTTCGCTTCTTGCGCTGGCCGAGTAGCGCCAATGCCTCCGAGTGGAGCTGTTCGAGCTGGTTGGTGTGCGCAAATGAGGAAGGGCCGGGGTCTGGCCGGCCGTTCGGTGCCATGGTCGTTCGTGATCTTGATGAAGGCGGAATGGATCACCAATTCGAGTGCCGACGCCCGTCACGCCCCTCGCTCGGTCGAGTCCGGTTGCATGTAGACCGACTGCGCTTCTCGCAAGGGCTCAAGCTGAGCGTGACAGAGGCGAGTTGTGATTTGCATCGTGGTGAGAAGCCAAGATGTGAGGAGGCGTTCCTTCTTCGGTCATTTCGGCTCCACATTTTGGCTCAGGGTCCAGCCGCCGACTCGGACCGACCGACCCTTTCCCCCTTCACAACACAGCAGCACAGTCCACACCTCACAGCGCCAAGCAGTCAAAACGGCAGACAAACATGCTATGAACGGGAATCGAATGGCCTCGTCCATGATGGACGGAGCTCTAAAGTACAAAGTTGCGGGCGATTGAGTTAGACCAGGCGCGCGGGAATGAAGACGAGACTGTCGACAGTCTAAGAAGAGAAGAGACGCTTCTCGTAGCTGTGCAGGCCATGCACGCCACCCTCGACCTGAGCACTGGCAGTCCTGAGCTCGAACCTCACCTGGCCAGACCCAACGGCTGGCCTCAACTGGTACAGATGAGGAACACCCATGTCCTGCAGACTGTGCTGCAGACCCGTGTAGAGGTAAGGGAGGAACTTCTTGACGCTTCCCTTGTCCTGCACGGCACCGGCGACACCCTGAGCGACCTTGACGGCGTCGCTCTCGGAGAAGTAGCGCTGGGTAGCGGCGTTCTCGTCGGCGGCCACCTTGTCGGCTTTGGCGGCGCCCTTGCCGGTGGCGCCGGCGATGCGACCCTTCTTCTGGTGCTCCATGGCCTCGATGGAGCCCATGCCACGGTAGCCCTTGAGACGCTTGCCGTCGCGGTAGAAGTAGTCACCGGGCGACTCGGTGGTTCCGGCGAGCAGACCACCCATCATGACGGCAGAGGCGCCGAGTGCGAGGGCTTTCGCGATGTGACCGACGTTCGAGATACCACCGTCGGCAATGACGGGGACACCGAACTTGGAGGCGAACTCGGCAACGGCGTGAACGGCAGTTCCCTGAGGTCGGCCGACGGCCATGACCTCTTGAGTGATGCAGATGGATCCAGAGCCCATGCCGACACGGAGAGCGTCAGCACCAGCAGCGATGAGGCTGGCAGCCTGCTCGCGGGTCACAACGTTACCGGCGACAACGTCGACGTGAGGGTAGGTCTGCTTGATCCACTGGATCATCTCGATCTGGTAGACCGAGTTGCCCTGCGACGAGTCAAGGATGACGACATCGAGGCCAGCCTCAACGAGGAGACCGAGACGCTCGCGGTCCGAGGGGCGCGTGCCAATGGCAGCGGCACAGTAGAGCTGCTTGCTGTCGGGACGCTTGGATGCAAGAGGGTAGTTCTGGTTCTTGAGCAAGTCGGAGCGGGCGAGCAAGGCGAGGAGACGGCCCTCACCATCGACGATGGGGAGCTTGCCCTTCTTGCTGTCACGGAGGATGGAGTTGGCCTGCTCGAGGGTGACGCCCTTGGGTGCGGTGACGAGGTCGGTGGTCATGACCTCGGAGAGAGGGAGCGAGGTGTCGCGGAACTGAACGTCACGGGCAGTGACGATACCGAGCAGCTTGCCGTGCAGGGCGCCGGTGTCTACGAAGCAGGATACCATGAATGCAAAGTGATGGGGTGACATGATCAGTTTGCTTGTTCTCGATCAATGTTGACTGGCAAGATATGTGGTTGAAGGAGCGAGAGGAATCAGAGTTGAAAATCGCATCCGCACACACTCTCCCAAGTCTAAGGGAGAGGCTCGGAAGAACGAAGGTTATATGATTTTGGTTGTATCATCGTTTGGAAGGGTAGGTGCGTGGCGGGCGAACAGCGTGTCGAGAAGTCGAGAGGGTGTCGAGAACCGAAGGGGAAGAAAGCCTGTGCGACAACTTACCAGTGATGGGGATACCGCCGAAACCAAGGCGCTCCTTGATCTCGAGCACGTCGCCGACGGTGGCCTTGGGGTCGAGGCAGAGAGGCTCGGTGATGAAGCCGTTCTCGTACTTCTTGACCTTGCGAACGACACTCGCCTGCTCCTGGGGGCTCATGTTGTTGTGAATGACACCCATGCCACCCATGAGACCCATGGCGATGGCCATCTCGGTCTCGGTGACAGTGTCCATGGGCGACGAGAGGAAGGGGGTGTTGAGGGTGACGTTCTTGGTGACCTTGGTGCGGAGGCTCACGTCTGAAGCGTTGAAGTTGATGAAGCCAGGGAGAACGAGGAAGTCGTTGTAGGTGAGACCGCCGTGCTGGCGCGAGTCGATGAGCTCGGCCATGCTGAGACCATCGCCGTTGGCGTAGGTCTTGAGGTGCTCAAGCGCCTGAGCAGGCGAGAGGACCGCCTTGTCCTGGGGGATCTGAAGTCCGTTGCTAGCCGGCATCGTGTGTGTGTGAGTCTATGGGAAGACGAGAAAGCGAAGGGGTATGTTTGAAGAGAGTGGCTCTTTGGCAAAGAACAGATCGGAAAGGAAGGTGTCACTCTTGCGCTGAGTGGTTTTGAGGTTTCTGGCCGTCAGCTGCTGCGCAAGAGAAAAGTTGGTTGCAGACAGCTTAAGCGAAAAAATTTAGGACTTTTTCAGCCTCCTCAGCCAAAAAGCTCAAGCTGGGAAGAAAGCAGCAGACAGCCATAAACGCGCTGCGCAAGACACGACGAACTCTCGCTCTTTCTCTCGCCACACAATCTCCGCGGGTGATTTTCGGCAGCAAGATGTCAGATCGGCTATCGGTTCAGGATTAGAATATGCCGCCGGTTCTGCTGAAGACGCCTCAGACCTGGTCTAGCTTGCTCTTGGTGAAACCATCCCTTCGCTGCTAGAGACCCACGCATCAGGCTGACCATGACGTGCGACGATAGTTTCAGGCCAAGACGAGTGTGCAATATGATGTAGATTGCAAAGCCCGGCGGTCGCGATTCAACGACTCATGCGAAACGAGCCATCTTCCTCGGCGGACCGTTCCCGTTGCCCCAATGCGCCTCCTCATCCTCCTCTTCGTCCTCCTCATACACCCCACCCAGCCCCGGCCCTGTCTCCAGTAGATCCTCCACATCCACCCCGACCATATCCCCGTACTCCTCCACGACGCCCTCAAACGTCTCCTGCAGCTTCTGCCGCTGCTGTCCCTTCTCCAGTTGGATCAGAATATCCTTGTTCTGCCGGTAGATGCGGGCCTTGACCTGAAGCCTGTATGCCTTGACCTGTTCCGCGTTCGACGTGTCGATGTGCATGAGTTGAACCATCTCGAGCACTCTGCTCCACTGTCTGGGTGCGAGCTTGTGCGCGAGCCGTTGCCCCTCGATCCATTCCTTGTCCAAGGGGGCGTGGAGCTTGCCCTGTGCTTTGGCAGTCTCGACAAAGCCACCGGGGGCCAGGAGACGACGCAGATCGTTCCCGTCGCGAAGGCGGTCAAAGTCTTCGCTCGGGTCTTCCACCGTCAGCTCGGTGACCGAAGCGCGGTTGCGGATCTGGTCGTATACCGTCGTGTACAGCGCCCCTCCATGCCCCTGCTTCTGGTACGGCGGCAGGATGACAAACTGCGATAGACGGATCCGCGAGGAGTCCGGCCAGCACCAGAACTTGTACAGACTCGTATAGCCCATAAAATGATATCGCGACCCAACTCTTTCATATAGAGTAAAGAACTCCCAGTTGATCTCGTCTTCTTGGATGTAGCTCGCACCTTCGATGAAGAGCAGGGCAAACAGCTGCATGCGCCGGTGGTACTCGCGGAAGCCAGGTGTCTCCCATGTCGATCGGTATACCTCGAACACCCTCGCGTCTGGATCGTCTTCTGACAAAGCTGACGCAGCGAGCGACGAGGCACTGCTTTTGCCCTTGCCTTTGTTCACCTTGCGTCGAGTGTAGCTGTGCACCTTCTCGCCCAGCGGTCGGAAGCTCTCGTCCCTCTTCAGCGCTGCGTCAAAGTCTTGCTGCCCGGTCGAAGATGAGGAGGCCGAGATGTGGTCAGCGGGCAGGAACTCTTTGATTTGGCCCTCGACGTCGTCCAATTTCGCGGTGGTGGCCTCGTTCTTGGCTTGATGCTTGATGTCGAGAAGAGAAACAAGGCTGCCTGATGCTACGTTGAGGTTGATGGCAAGACCCTTGTAGCCGTAGATCGTTTCCGCTTCGCCGTAGATTGGGTATGTGAAGGATGGATGAAATGCTGCATCGCCGTTTGGCGAGCCCACGAGGCGAATTGCCAGCGCCGCTGTACTGTTGGCCGACCAGGCGTCTGTCATGCTGATGTCGGCTCCGCTTGGGTGCTGTCTGCAATGAGGAGATGCACTTGGCAGCTACCGTCTGAGGTTGTGATGCCTTTGTTCTGGAGGTCGGGCGACGGATCAATGGTTGAAGTAGCAGATGAGCTGTTGCAAGCGTGTTGCAATGAGGCCAACCGACGTGTATGCTTGTTCGTTATCAAGGGCGAGATGCGAGATGGAAGATGGGAAGAAGATCAAAGTGATAGGGAAGCAGACCAGCCGAACGTGCGCAGATCGTTAAAAGTGTTGTTCCTGTCCATCTTCCGCACGCGAGAGGCTGGCAGGTCAAAGACGAGACGCGTTAAGTTGCAGAGGGCTTGCAAAGGTTTGGCTGCGATTTCACGCGTGGCTCCCCACCGCTCTGTCACATATAACCCAGCCCTTACTTGATACCGACATTCTAGCATCGCTTCAGCCAGAGACTCACACAAACCGGCAGATCGTGATTGAGCAGATTGAGCGCTATCTAGAGAAGGAAGGGGAGCTCCTAGTGAATGTTCTTTACAGTCCAATCTGAGTGCGAAGGGCGAATCCTGTGACGTTCTTCCACCTACGAGTCGAGCTTGGCCAGTCCCGCCTCGAGTGCCATGGAGAAAAAGATGCTCTGCTTGTCCTCGAGCAGCTTCTCCGGGCTGTCAAACTCGGCCACCGCGCCGTCCTTGAGCACCAGCACCCGTGTCGAGTCGATCACCGTGTTTAGTCGATGCGCCACCGTGATCGTGGTGCCCTTGAACTCGGAACGCACGATGCTCTGCACCTGGGCGTCCGTCTCGAGGTCGATGGCGCTGGTGGCCTCGTCGAGCACCAGGATCTTGGCGTTGCGGAGGAAGGCTCGGGCGATGCAGATGAGCTGACGCTGGCCAGCGGAGAAGTTGGTGCCTCCTTCGGTGAGCTGGGCGTCCAGCCCACCTTCGAGACTCTGCACGTGGTCCTTCATGTTGGCCTGGCCAAGCGCCTTCCACAGCGCAGCATCGTCCGAACGACCGGTGGGATCCAGGTTCTCCCGCAGCGTACCCTCCCACAGCTGAGGATCTTGCGGAATGATAGCGATCGCAGAACGCAGATCCTTGAGCCCGATCTTGGACACATCGATCCCATCGATCGAGATCTTGCCCTCAGCAGCCTCGATAATGCGGAAGAGCGCCAGCGTCAAACTCGACTTGCCAGCACCCGTGCGACCCACCACACCGATGCGCTCGCCCGCCTGAATGTCGATGTTGAGCTTCTTGAGCACCAGCCCGAGCTCGCGTCGGTAGCGCGTCGAGTACGACTGCAGGCTCACCTCGCCCTTGCCGGGCCAGTCCTCCGGTGGAGTCTGGTCCGGCACCTCGTACGGCGCTTCCGAAGTCAGGTCGGTGTACGACATGACACGCTCGACGCTGACAATGTTCTGCTCGACCTCGGACGCGGATCGCACGACCCAGTTGAGCGTCTGCGTAGTGCTGAGTGCTTGCGACATCATCAGGCCGAGCAGGCCGGCGTCCATCTTGCCGTTCTTCGTTCGGATGAAGACGGCCAGCGTCGAGGCGATGAAGATGATGACCGAGCCCATCATCTCGATGCGCACCGCGAGCCATCGGTTGCACGACACGGCGGGAAAGTAGCATTGCTGGTTGCGATCGACACGGGCCTCGGACGTAGCAATGAAACGAGCTTCTTGGCCGAAGGCTCGAATCGAGCTGAGACCACCGAGCGACTCCTGGAACCAGGTGAAAATGGGCGTCTTGCTGACCGAGTCGAGTCGCTTGAGCTCTCGGCTTGTGGCCAAGTAGTAACGCAGCACAGCGCGATACGCGAAGCCCAGCGGGATGATGGCGATCAGGAAGGGAGGCACCGAGTAGCCGACGACGCAAAGCACACCAAGCACCACCGTCATGGTACGGATGAGACCGTGGATGACACGCGGCAGCACCTCGTCGATGACGTTGACGTCGCGCGAGAACAGGTTGAGCAGTCGACCGGTCGGCGTCGTCTCGAACCACTGCAGCGGGCTGCGAAGGACGGCGTCGAACATGTTGTCATGGAACTTGCGCGCACTCGAAATGACGAGCCAGGTCCAAAGGATGAACGGAGCGATGCAGATGCAGATGGAAGCCAGGATACCAACGATGCCGTACAGCGTCAGGTAGAAGCGCGTGTTGTCAGCATTGCCACCGTTTTCGTTGGCCTTGCCCCACTGCTTCAAGACAACATCTCGCGAGACAGTCATGACCTGCGACAGAATCTGGGCGAGGATGTAGAGGACGACACCGAGGACGCTGCAGCTCTTGATGTACTGGCGGTAGACCTCGGGCTTGACGCGGCCCTGCTCGGACTTCTCTTTTGGTGCCGAGCTCTCCTTGAGCTGCCGAATGGTGTCCTGCTTGATCTGCTTCTTGGTCATGGTCTTGGGGCGAGCCATCGAGGCCGAGCTGATGCGGCGGTGCAGCTTGGACCCCTTCAGATCCTCGTCGCCGCCCTGCCCGTGAGAGTCGAGTTCCTTGTCCATATCGACGACCTCGAGGTCCTTCGGGTCCGTCTCTCCCTCCTCCTCTGCCGCCTGCTCACGCGCGCTCTGCTTGCCGAGACCGGTGATGAGGTTGTAGAGATCACCCTTCTTGGCCATGACCTCGTCGTACGTTCCTCGCTCGTCCAGGATGATACCGCGACGCACCGATACGATCTGGTCGCATTGAGGGAGGCACGAGACCGAGTTGAGCGTCAGGATACGAGCCTTGCTGCGCAGCAAACCTTCGGGTCCGATGACGTGCTTAAAGATGTGGGCACCGACGTGAGCATCGACAGCAGCAAGCGGATCGTCGAGCAGGTAGATGTCGGCGCGGGCATAGCAGGCACGTGCCAAGGCAATGCGAGCACGTTGACCGCCGGACAAGCTGACACCACGCTCTCCGACCTCGGTGCGATCGCCGTCGGCCAAAATGTTGAGGTCAGGTGTCAGAGCACAGGCGTCGATGACCCTCTGGTAGAATTCGGGCTCGTACTTGAGGCCGAAGAGGATGTTGTCACGGACCGTCGCACCCATGCACCAGCCACCTTGCGTGAAGTAGGCAGTGCGGCCCTTGACGATCGCTTCGCCGTCTGTGCGGACCATCTCACCGAGAACCGCCGACAGAAGCGAACTCTTTCCGTCACCGACCTTGCCGAGAACCGCGAGCAGCTCGCCCTTCTTGACGGTCAAATTGATGTCCTGCAGCGTTGGCACTGGCTGCTTGCGCGACCACTTGAACTCTCCGTCGCGGATGATGACCACCTCCTGGTCCTCTTCGGGCTCGTGTGCGGGGTTGTCGGAGTCGTTGAGCGTCTCGAGCAAGTTGTTGGGGCGGGATGGTGCGTCAGGGTTGGCGGGCTCGTCCTGACCAGGCAGGATGACCTTGCGTGCCGCAGGATCGAGCTCGCCGGCGTCGAAGAAATCCGAAAGGCGTGCAGCCGACACCTGGGCCTGCAAGAGCGCCGAGATGATACCGGCGAACATGGCGATGGGGAAGGAAAGCAGCTGGTAGAGCGCGAGGGCTGGGAAGATGATGTCGGCAGTCAAGGGTTCCGGGTTGGTGTACGCGTAGGTGACAAAGGTGCCGAGCGAGACAAAGAAGGGGATGGCGGTCCAGAAGAAGTTGAAGAAAGCCGAGACGACACCGACGGTGCGGAGCAGCTTGAGCTCTTCCTCGTTTCGCACCTTGAACAGCTTGCGGGTGAAGGCCTCCTCCCAGGCGAAGAGCTTAATCGACTTGATGTTGGTGAGGATCTCGTTCATGAGACGCGTTCGCTTGTCCTTGACCTTCATCTGCCTCTCGCTGAGACGACGCAGGTAGCGGGCGAGCGCCGTGTTGAGCGGAACGCTGACGACCATGATGGCGACACCGACAAAGGATGGCCAGCCAAGCAAGTTGTAAAGAGAGACAAAGGCAAGCGTCATCTGGAAGAGAGCCGACCAGGCAATGTGACCGTAGGTGCAGAGGTCCTGCAGACGCGTGGCATCGACTGACATGAGGTTGACAATATCACCCGTAGCTCTGCCGCCGCGATCCTCGTTGGAGAGTCGCAAGCTCTTCTTGAAGATGGCACTGACCAGACCGGCACGCACGCGCATGCCCGTGACGAACACGAGCTGGAAGTACTGATGCAAGAACGAAGTCTGAGTGACGGCGACACAGAAGAGAGCACCCGACAGCAGATAGCCCTGCATGGCACTCTGGTTGGGATCGGAGCTGTCGTAGCTCTGCACGAACTGGAGCAGCTTGCGCAGGATCTGGGGCTGGACGAAGGCGAGCGCGTCCTGTGCCGACTTGAGGACGGCAGCGAACAGGAAGGGACCACCGTAGGAGTACGCTAGCGTGGTCCAGATAGCCGGCTTGCCCGTCGCCTTGTCCTTGGTCTGCTGCCAGAACTTGTCGAAGCGGCGACCGAGGTTTTCGGCGTCTTCGTTGGCAGGAAGCGCCCACATGTCGTCCTCGGTGACGAACTTCTTGGCGCCGAGGGTCATGAGCGGCTGCATCCAGTGGAAGGTGACACGGCTGAAGATATTGGCCGTGGCGATGGGGCACTCTTTGCCAGCGTCGACAGCCTCGACGGTGGCAGGATTGGCCTCCTCGTCTGGGTCGGAGAAGACGCTGAAAGTGCTGCCGTTGCCTTCGCCGGGAACAGCATGGTATCCGTTGCCGTTGCTGCGCGTGTTGGTCGAAGAGGTGCGCTTCTGGCTCGTGTCATCTTGAGAATCGAATTCGACGCCAGCGCTTTCGAGAGCAAAGGCAACGATACCAAAGACGAAGCGTACAATGAAGGGTACGAAGGTCGTCAGCTGGTCCTTGATGGGCAACGACGGCCGTGTGAGCGAAGTGCGAAGCTTGACAATGCCGGCAAGCACGTGAGCGAGCCAGAAAAAGAGCAATGCGTCCGAGCTTCGTCGAGATCGAGTGTGGTTGAAATGTTGAAGGAGCAGAGCCAGAATGTAGCTGAGGACACCGACGGCGGACGACCAGAAGAAGATCGACTCTCCTGGTTTGCGGAAGAGGCCGTATGTGATGAAGGTCTGGAATCCAGCAGCGACGGCAAGAATGCCAACAACGACATGCTTGGCCCAAAGCAGGGAGCGAGACGTCCGACTCAGCTGCCTTTGCTCTTTTTCTGAAAGCAGCGCGAGGTGGATGCCGCCAAAGACGGCGAGAAGAAAGACGGGTGCTGTCCAGAAGGCGGCTTCTTGAAAGCAAGGCGTGAAATCGAGGTCACGCTGCTGCGAGACGGGGCCCCAACCTTCGACATTGTCGCACAGCTTTGCCAGCGATGGGCGAGACTGAAGTTGGTTCAGGGTCGATGAAAAGAAGCGGAGAGGCAGGCTTAGCAATGGATCCGCTCCGACGCCGTGTGATTGGAGGGAGGCATCAAAGTTGGAGAGCGAGCCGAGCTCTTCGACCGGTGCGGACCCCTCCATTGCAGTGACCGCGAGTAGAGTCTTGAAGTGATACAAGCGATTGCGGCTTTAGGCGGTCCTGATCACGCGATCCGATTCGACAGAGCTCCGGGCAGTCGGTCGACGATGGGCAGCGGTGCGGTCGCCCTACCCTGTTCCAGTATTCCTCGAGGGACCTGCTGTTCCAGACTATCCGACCGAAGCGAGATCTGCGCCTCGTCTATCGCAACCTGCACTAGAGGCGTTCGAGATAGATAAGGAGATGGCGTCAAGACGACAAAGGGAAAGGGGGATGGTGTGATGGTGTCGTCTTGTATCGTGCTGTGTGACGTCCAAGCTGTCAATCACGAATCGAAGGTCAGAGCGTCACAAAAGCTGAGCTTTTTGTTCTTCCTCTTCCTCCTCCTCCACGGCGAACATCGTCATCCCGCTCCACTCACCTGTTCGGCCGCCTCCTGCTCTCTGCTTGCTGCCGGATTTTCTGCCGAATTTCAAAAATGGCAAGAGGCCAGCCAAAAGCGGCCGTGTGCCGGAATCTGAATTCTTTGATTTTGGCCTTTCTTTTTGTTTGCTCTGTCTGATCGGCGCTCACGTAAACGTCGACCGGCAAGTTGAACATCGCCTTGTGCTGCCGCCATTGTCTGGATGGATAGCCGGACTTAAGCTGCAGCTTTCACTGTTACACACTATGCTTGCTTGGAATGAGATTACATTGTCCTTGAAGAAAGCGAAGAGAGAATAAAGAATGTGACGTGTGAAACTAGGCAAGGCCCGCAGGGCAGTAAGTATGCGAAGAAGCGAACATAGTGAGTGTGTACACGTCGAAGACAGGCTCTGCTCAAGCCGGAAAGCGGAGATTCCTCGACATCTCGACTGAGCAGGGGGGAAAAGATGATGCTTGCGTCTCCAGGGAAACTGATTGTTCTGTTCGTACAAGTGATGATAGTCGAAAGGACCGTGGGAAGAAGAGGGGGCGAGCTCAAACATCGATCAAGGGTCTAGAGCCCATTTTGCTGTTGTGCCTTGGTGCTGTCGTGCTGCTCGGTCAATGCTGGGGAGGAGCGGCGCCGGGGGGAAGGTTGCCGATTCGGTTGGCAGCAGGAGGAGGCGAGGTCGGTGCATGGGGCGCCTGCGACGTGCGTCGCGCACCACGCTGCACCTGTCGCACACCCTGAGCGCTGGCGACGGGTCCGTCGTCCACCAGGCTGAATCCTCGTGTGATCGGACGATGCTGCTGCGACGAACTGGCCGAGCTGAAGCCGTGCTGCGATGCGATGGGCGACACGGACCCATCCGTCTCGGGCTCCGCCGTGTACGCCTGCATCGGGTACGCTGACTCGCTCACCGTGGGGTAGCGCTGCTCCGTCGACACATCGCCGTGTCGCACTGCCGCGTCGGCTCCGACGAAGCGGCGTGGTTCCGGATCAGGCGAGCTGGAGGCAGAGCCCATCATGGGTCGCTTCTCCTCGTCAGCAAGGTCGGTGTGCGGGTATGCCTCGTACACAGCCGCTCCAGGTGGAGCCGGCAGACGCGCGGCACTGTGCTGTGAAGGCGAGAAGGCGCTGACGCTGCCGAGAGCGGGGTGGCCAGAGTTGTGCGGCAGAGGCGTGGGCGAGGTGGCACGCGGTCGCGGCACCACCACGTTGCCAGGCGGCGAAACACCGGCGCTGCGCTGCTTGGCATCGGTGGCAAGAGGAGCAGGCAGCTCGAGCAGCGGAACTGCATCCAGACGCGCACGAGCTCCCGATGCGCTCTTGCTGTGCGACACCTCCGAAGCGTCCGGTCCAAACTGCGAAGCGCTCGAAGACATGGCGTTGGGCAAAGCCCGACCGAATTGGTCGTGCTGTCCGTTCGAATGGAAGGTATCCGAAGAGACCATCGAGTAGCGCATGCTGCTGGCCCTCTCGGGCGATCCGCTGCGTTGCACGATATCGTAGGTCGAGTCGCGCGAGTGCGTGCCCGACTTCCAGCGACGCTCGCGTTCGAATTCGGCCCATCGCTTCATAACGATGTGCGACGGGTCAAACTTGCCATCCGCATCGCCGTGGTTGTCCTTCTTGTTATCGCCCTGCACCACTCGCGTAGCACCCCACGAGAAATCGTCCATGTGCCAGTACGCGTACATCGGCAGCACAAAGTTCCAAATGGGAAGCGAGCACAGGTAGATCAACATCCAGCCGAGGTAAGCGACCTTGCGCGACGTGACCACGATGAGGATACCGGGAAGACCCAAGATGAGCGCGAGCAAGATGAGCGGGATCGTAGGGGTAGGAACGTTGGGCAGGAAGGCTTGCACCACGACGTAGAGCGTGAAAGCGATGGCAGCAGGAAGCACCAACGTACCCGTCAGCTCCATGAACACAACGAAGCGCATCGAAAAGCAGAAGGTACCGCAGAGATCGTTGACCAGCACCAGCTCGAACAGATTGTGCACCGTCGAGTTGATCCATCGTCGACGCTGCGACAGCAGGATGCGGAAGGTGTCTGGCACGATGGTCTTGCAGACCGCTTGCGGCACGAACATCATCTTTCGCTTAGGGAACGTCTTGAGCATGAGCGTCGTCAGGTATCGGTCCTCTCCGAGCAACAGAAGGTTCTTCTTGTGCAGCGTGTCCACCACGTTCTCCGAGTAGTGCTCGACGATATCCGGGTTGGCCAGGATGGGCACCCAGTAGCCATGCGGACCCTTGGGTGCCTTGATTCGGTAGGCGCTGAAACATCCAGGCAGACAGGTGACACCGCCGAAGCAAGCCTCGAAGGCCTTGGTCTGGTGGTGCGAGATGTAGTACTCAAACACCTGAATCATGGTGACCCAGGTCTCGGATTTGTTCGCAATCTTGGTCTCACCGCAGAGACCCATGATCTCGGGGTCTTCGACCATGCAGGCGACCATGCGCGAGAGCGAGTCGGGGAAGACCTTGGTGTCGGCGTCGACGCAGAGCACAATCTCGTAGTTGTCCGGAGAGACGCCCGTGACGCGCCAAATGTTGTTGAAGAACTCGTACTCGAAGGCGGTCATGCGCTCGTCGAACATGACCTTCTGCATGAAAGCCATGAGCAGCACCTGCGAATCACGCTTACCACGGTTACCGGGCTTAGCGCTGTCGGCCTCGAGAGGCGTACCGCACTTGGCAACGAGGATCATGGGAACACGCTGCTGCTTGGATCGCTCGACGGTCTCGTCGTCATAGTCGTAGAAACCGGCATAGATCTTGCACATGTTGTGGCGCTTGTAGCCGTCGGCGATGGCCACATACGAGTTGCCTTCCACTTCCTCGGCGGGGATGACAAGGTCCTTCATCATCGAGAGACAAATATCAGGGGTCGAGATGTCCGAGCCTGCGCCCTTGACGATACCGTCCGCAATGACGAGCAAAAGCTTGTGGCTGTTGGGGTAGTCGGTGGTGGCAAGACTGTCGAGCGTGGTGCGCAGACCCTCAAACGATTCCGAGTAGGCGGTGACGAGGCAGATCGAGTGTGCCAGCTGGAAGCCGAAGGGGCGGAAATCAGGACCAGGCTGAGGTACAATGTTGTGCAGCGGGAAGGGGCAGACACCCATGGCGCCTTCGCCTGGGCTACCTGAGAACGAGGAACGACGCGAGAGAGGAGCGCCGAGAGAGGCCGAGCTCCTGCCGCCCGAAGGCGAACCTGGCGGAGAGCCGCCAAGGGGCGAAGCGACACCAAGACGGCTGGCACGGGTCATGCGCTTCTCGCTCAGCGGCATGGGAGCACGCGAGCCACTCTTGAGGCTGAGCGGGTCGGCGACCGAGAATCGACTCTGCGTAGGCAGGAACGACTTGTGCTTGCGTGCGTTGGGTCGGTAGCCGGCGGGTGCGGGACGGTAAATGTCGTCGGACCACTGCTCGATCTCGGCGGCTCGCTTCATTCGCTGCTCGTACGTCTCGTTGGCGTAGTTGCCCAGACGCCACGAAATGAACCAGCCGAACATGACGGCCATGAAGAACTTGATGGCGACAACGCCAATGATGAAGACGAGCGAGAGGTAGAGCTCGACCTTGGAGGCGACACAGCCGATGGTCTCGGAGTCGATGAAGCCGACGCGGGTGATCTGCTCGAGACAGGCGAATTCGTTGTCGAGGCGTTGGCGCATGACGGCCGAGGTGACATCGCGGCCAGCCCAGGTTTCGTTACGCCTCTTGACTGTGTCAAAGATGGCGGGATAGTTGAGGCCGGCGGTCAAGTTGTTGAGGCGGTTGAGATCGAGCACGGCGCCACGGAAGACGGCGAGATTGCGGGTGGTGTCGGTGATGTTGTTCCAGTTGAGCGAGACCTGGCCGCGCTTCTTGAGAATCGAATTGGCGGGCTGCGCGCCGTCGTTGAACTGGTCCACGATGGTACCGTTGTGGCACATGGAGATGGTGTTGTTCGCGTATCCACCCCTGCCGTCTTGACGAACGAGATTGCAGTCAAAGTATCGAGAAGGGTTTCCGCCTCCGTTGCGGTTGGAAATGATGCCGGTACAAGCAGCGCCGATCTTCTGGAAGAGCAAGCTGCCGTCCTGTCCTCCGGATGACCACGGCTCCGAGTAGATGGGGTTGGTACGGTTGTAGATCGTGTCGCGGCCAAAAGGATCAACTTGAGGGTGGATGAAGCCATCGAAGCTGTAGTCATAGCCGTTGAAGGTCATGGAACCGACGTCGATGGTGCCGAGCGTGTAGCGGTCGGGGGGCGTGCCGCAGACGGTCTGTGTGAAGCCGAAAGTCAAGAAACCGACGAACAACATGATCAAGGCGATGATGCCGATGAGACCCATCTTTTCACGCCAGGCGCGCTGCTGCTCAGGGGTGCGGATGCCGAAGCATCGGAGGAAGGGACCGGGGCAGCAGATGGTCAAGATGTAGCAGTAGATCATCCAGCCACCGACGGGACCGGGTGCGATCCTCGAGGTCTTGCTTTCGCCCAGGTCGCGAGGCACCTCTTTGGAAGCCTTGTTGCCCGACTTGGACTGCTTGCGACGGAGCGAGACGCCGCGTTTGAGCACGTTGATGCCGGTCTCGACCTGATCCTCGTCTCTCCCGAGAATTGACTTGCCGCGACGCAGAGGCGGAGCGCGACCAAGACCTCCGGGGGGTACGTTGGTGGGACCCGCGACACCGAGTCCGCTGAGACCGCCTCCAGGGCCGACAATGCCAGCCATGCCGGAGCCATGAGGAGCCGCGCCGTGCTGAGGCAAGTGACCTGTTGTCGAAGGCATGTAGCCAACGCGACCGCCCGAGGCGGCCATGACATCCATGTGAGCCGCGTGGTTGCGGTAGTACCATTGACGATGGTTGGGATCCATGCGTTCACGGTCGGGACGGACGAGCGACTTTTTGCGACGGAAGTTGGCGTTCTGCGCCGAGAAGCCCGACTCGGGATCGAGCGAGTTGACTTGAGCCAGAGCGGCGCTGCTGCTGTTGGGATCGTTGAGGCTACGCTTGTCGTCGCCGTACGATTTGACCGAGTCGCGCGAAGGACCGGATCGCTGTACGGGAATGCGTTCTGGTTCTTGGAACGAGATGCCGGGGGGACGCGAGGCAGGTTGGGATGCATTGTTGACGTAGGCTTGGTGGCTTCCGCCGGGACCCATGCCAAAGGGCTGGGAGACGTTGAGGGGGGGCGACATCATACTAGGGCTATGACTTGAACCGAAAGGTTGCTGCTGGTAAGGACGCTGTTGGGATGGTGGTGATTGGTAGCCAGGAGGCAACTGATGTTGTTGCGGCGGCGAGAAGGTGGGTTGCAGTGGACGAGTGTTGGATGGCATGCTGAGAGGAGGTAGTGGTGGAGCATTCGGCCTTTGCGGCTGACCGCTGTGGCCGGACTCGGAAGGCGACTCGAATGGATTCATTGTGAGTCGTCAATGGAGCTGTGGGGTGTTTGAGATGTAGGTCGGTGCAGCGATCTTGAAGTCGATGATGTTTTGATGTGGGTAAACACGGAGCTTCGATCGCAGTGCGAATGATGGTGGACAAGAAAGCAAGCGAATCTAGACTTGAAAGCGATCCATAGGGTCAGAGTTGCGTCGAGAAGAAGTGGGGATACAGGCCGTCGCTGGACGTTTGCCAGGTTTCGATGACTCCGTGGTTTGACCTTCTTAGAGACGATCGAGGTGCTGCGATGGCCAGGTCAGGTGATGCATCCAACGTTGAACTGAGCCAGGTGCCTTCTTCCGAACCAGAAGTCGTCGTTTGTACGGGTGGTCAATGCAAGCCGTCTGCTGTTTGCAGAGTGGTGCCGCTAGCCAAGGAGGCGGAAAGGAGAGGAGACCGTCGATGCGGGAAGGCTGATGTATAGAGAGGAAAAGAGAGAAGCTTTGTCCGCCAGAACTCGCAACGGCCGGAATTGAGAGGGCCGTGAGCGAGTGTGTGGATGGTGAAGCAAGCCAAGGAAGGTGGAAGGATGGTTCGCGAGAGAGAGAGAGGAAGAGAGAACAAGCCAAAAAGCTGTGTGTGTGAGGAGAGGACAGGAAGAGGAGCGAGCAGGTTCTTTCTTTCGCCAGTGTGAGCGGCGTTTGTCGCTGTTTGGCGAGGTGAGTGAGAGCAAGGGGCAGCCAGTCAAGAGCAGCAGCAGACAGGGCTAGAGAGAGAGGAGAGAGAGAGGGGTCACCACGCACAGCAAACAAAAACAGGGTCAAAGCAGAGAGCCGAGAGACAGCGACGGCCAAGATCGAGCAAGTGAAGATCGTCGCTTCGCCGAAGCAGACCTGCAGCTGCAGCCAAAGCCAGCCAGTCAAGCAGCCAGCCTACGAGAACTCAGTCAGCAGCCGAAGTGTATTTTGTTTTTCTGCCAATTCGAAAATCAGTCGGTAGCGCGATTGCAGGATTTTTTTGTTTTTCGAAATCGCATTTTTCTTCCGGGGCCCTCTGGCCAGGGTTCAGCTGCCTCGTGCCTTTTGGCTGCGACCGTGCAGAAGGAACGAAGCAAAAGAAAAAAACACAGCAAAACAACACACATCGGAACACGAAATCCACAAAATAAATTTAATCTTTAATCTAATTAACAAAACGAGTCCTCGACGACCTCTTTGTGCAGCCAGAATCGCTTCAACGCCAAGCCTATGTCAACCGAAGTCTTGAGGCTGGGCTGGCTTGCTGTGCTGACAGTGAGCTGAAATGGCGCAGAAGACATCACTACTATACGAAGCGAGGAGGGCAAGGATGGAGTGTTTGCGAGACCATTCGTCCAGAGGAGGGGCGTTCAAAGGTACACATTGACGTGCTCGAGAGGCTTGTGACTTAGCTGCTAAGCATCTGCTTAAGGCAGGCATTGCCGTTGATTGTGCATTGCTCCGCCTTGCTGCTCGGAAGCAAGTGGGAATGAGTTGGACATCGTGAGAAGGCGCCCCTAACCTACACCGTGGGCAGACCCCTGTTCTGATGAAAGTCGGACAGGAGCACCACACGTTCATCATGGGCAAAGAGTCGGATCGCGAGCCATGGTCAGGGGAGAGGAGATTTCGCCTGCAGAGCGGCTTCCCGAGCTGCTAGGGGCGGTGCTTCAAATTGCTGCTGCGACGGCCTACTCAGCACGTCAACCAGATCGAATTTTCCTTTCTCTTTTGACTTGAAACCACATCGGCTTCACGCGCGAAGGATTAGCAAAATTCGTAGTCGCTCGTGCGATCTGCTTGCATGTCTCACTCTGCAGCGATCCCTGTTGTTCTCCTTTGTGCGATAGTCGCACACGACAATGTCGATGGACTCCGAGCACCGTGCTTGGCCATGTCAGCTTGCTGTTCGGTGCTCCGTACATGCAGAACATCGTCCCATCTGCCGGCTGAGATGCAAAGGTGTGCCATTCGGAAGGGCCACTTGTTTTTGTCTTGCGAGCGTTTCAAGACCAAACTTGAACAAGCACATGCAAGGATCAGCGTCTTGAGAAATCTCTCCGAAGTTTTTTTGGCAGGCGGAAGCAGAGCCTCTGCGAAAAACAAGCGAGGTCCAAGGCAGTGCGTCAGGTTGCGTCGGTTGCGTTGGTGGTTGGTGGCCCCTCGCCTCGCTTGCTTTTGCGCGCTTGGCGAGCACAGCAAAATCCATCTCAAGGCGCAGCTAGCCGGAGCCCCAAGCGTCAAGCATGCGGTTCAGAGACCGGCGATCCCTTTCCTTTATCGTGAGACTGCGGTGTTACGGCCCGACTGTGTAGACTTGAAGTCGACGCTAGAGGAGATGGTCGTCCTGCACGATCTGTTTCACTGGGCATACGTCGATCTCTGCTTGCTGCAGGGTTCACCCTCGATGAAGAGGACAACGTCGTGCGACCTTTAAGTCTGGAGCCCACCAGCTGCGTCCCAGCGATCGTGATCTCGAATCCACTGGTCGACCCACAACTGAAGCCGCCTGCTCAACATGTTCCAGCGACGTGAGAGATCGATCAGGCTCCTGTTACGCCAGCTGAGCTTCATTCATGTGCCGGTGCACTCTAGATGAGATGAAGACGGCGGGGCCGCAGAACGCCATCCTCATCTTCTGCAAGCGCGCTTAGCGTGTGGGAAACAGCGGTAGAGCCGAAACAAAAGACAGACGCCGGACAATGACCATTCGAGACACGGCTTGCATCCGATACTTGCTTCTCGTATCGGGTCATTGCCGTCAGGCCACGTCAGCATCGCCGGAAGCAATCCGATCATGCTCAAAAGACATCGGAACGGCCTACTCACCACGATCAAACACGAGTCCATGAGCACAGCCGCCGTTTTGGTAATGTCAGAATTGTTTTGATTGCTACTCCCTGCTGAGATTCCCCTTCAACGAGAAAGGTGGTAGTCATCGATCCTGAGCAGCAGCGAGACCGTCTCGGTGGCCAGCTCGATGGCGCTCGTGTTGACCAGCAGCGGCTGCAGCACGTTCTCCTCGAGAATGTTGGTGATCTGCCCCTTGCGCACGTTGATGCCCGCGGTCCTCTCGCCCAGCGCATGACGGTTTCGCAGCTCAGTAACGATGCTGATGGGGTTCAAACCCGCGTTCTCGGCGAGCGTCGTGGGGATCACCTCGAGCGCCTCGGCGTACGCCTGGAAGCAGTACGCCTCCATCCCCTTGAGCGTCTGCGAATACTGCGATAGCAGGCGCGAGACGTGGACCTCAGGAGCACCACCTCCCGCGATGAGCGCCTTCTTCTTGACCAAGCAGCGCACCACACACAGCGCATCGTGCAGACTGCGCTCGCTCTCCTCGAGCACGAGCGAGTTGGCGCCCGTGCACAGAATGCTCACCGTGCGACCCATGTTCTTGATGCCCGTGATCTTGACCACGCGCGCCCCGTTCTGCTGCACCTCGTCGATCAGGTCCGCCGACGCAAGCTTGTCCTCCGTGAACGCCTCAATGTCCGCAATCGGCTTGGCGCCCAGCGTCTTGGACACAAACTCGATCTCGTCCCGCTCCACATCCTTGACCACCAGGATCTTGAGCTTGGCCAGGAAATGCAATGCCAGCTCGTTGACAGCATCGCGCAGGATCGACTTTTGGATGAGCAGCACGTTGCAGCCCGTCTTCTTGATCTTCTTGCACATGTTGAGCAGGTATTGACGCTCCTCCTTGAGAATCTTGTCCATCTGTCGGTAGTCGTTGACCACAATCTGGTTGTCCATGTCCGGCTTGGGGCTGCTCAGCTGGAACTGGCACACGGCGATCTTGGCCTTTTCCATGCGAGTCGGGCCGCCGCTGCCAGAGATGACGTTCTGTGCCAAGACGAGCCCTTCCACGAGCTCCGTGTCGTCGATCGTGCCGCCCACCTTCTTGACAATGCGAATGTCGCGAAGGTCGACGTTGTCCTGTGCATCTGCGGATCGCGAAGCACGCGCTGGTGTCGTGCCCTCAGCGGCAGTCGAGGCGGTGGCAGAAGTGTTGGACGATGCCGACTTGGACGCAGCGCTGGACGAAGAAGGAGTCACGAGGCGAGTGACGGCATCGACAGCGATAGGAGCGAGAACGGACGAGTACTGCGACACGATCTTGGAGTTGAGCGAGGTGCTTGCAGCGCGGAGGAGCGACTCGCGGTCGTTGAGCTCGACGGGCGTCGAAATGTCGGTCAGGAACTCGACCGCCTTGGCCGCAGCCTTCTGGAACGACTCGGCAATGATGGTGGGGTGGATACCCTTGTTGAGCATCTTCTCGGCCGCACCCAGCAGGCTTCCAGCGACAACGACAACCGAGGTGGTACCATCACCGGCTTCGACGTCCTGTGCTTGCGAGAGCTCGACCAGCATCCTGGCGGCTGGGTGCATGACAGCCATGTGTTTGAGGATGGTTGCGCCGTCGTTGGTGATGACCACTTCGCCGTTCGAGGTCTGGATCATCTTGTCCATGCCTTTGGGGCCGAGCGAGGTGCGGACGGCATCGCTGACTGCCTTGGCGGCCGACAGATTCGATCTCCTGACCTCATCAGGCTTATCGGCGTTCTTGAAAGCGTTCTGCGAAGGACCGCCCCTTGCCACAGGTGCAGCTGCGGATGTTGCTGCTGACATGTTGTTCTGCTGTATGAGGGTGAGATGGTGGATCTTCGAGTGGAAAGCGTTCTGAAAGTGCAACACACACACACACGAAGTCCAAGCGTTTTCCTGTTCTTCTCAAATCAGAGTCGGTGCACGACGCAGCGCGCGCCTCTGGCTGAGTGTTGGTTTGCCTGGAAAAGAAAGCGGAAGAAGAAATCAGAGCGCGTTCAGCCTGAGTTGGTTCGGCAGGGCAAGTAAGCGTGACATAAGCCGCTGATTGCGCATGCTCACTGGACCCTGGTCCCACGCCCTCCGCACATACAGGCTGCTGAGCCTTGATTTTTTGACTGACGTGGACCTCCACTTGCCGCCCTGGCTCTCACCTTGCTTCGAGCAGCATCCTCCTTCACTCACCTCATCTCAACACACATCGATCCGCGATCAGACAGCACGGTAAGGCCGATCAAATCCTCGCCTTATCGCCAATCAGCCAAGATGTCCATGTTCGGCGGCATCGAAGGCGGCTATGCCAGCTTCAACCGCTTCATGCAGAATGGCATGGACACGCGCTTCCCCCGCCCCCCACGGGCCTACGACGAATACTTCAAAGCGTACAGCATGGCGATGCTGCCCGGCAAAGAACGTCTCAATGTCAGCTACGGAGGCAAGATCATCATGCCGCCCTCCGCCCTTGCGCATTTGACCAATCTCGAGATCGAGTCGCCATGGTTCTTCGAGCTTCGCACCACGGGCGCATCCGAGGTGCGACGCACGCACGCCGGTGTGCTCGAGTTCATCGCTGATGAGGGTAATGTACACCTACCAGCTTGGATGATGCGCACACTTGGGCTGTCAGAGGGCGATCCGATCCGGTTGACGGGTGCGACGCTACCAAAGGGCAAGATGGTCAAGATCCAGCCTCAAACAGTCGACTTTTTGGAGATCAGCGATCCAAAGGCCGTGCTCGAGCAGGCCTTCCGCAACTTCTCCGCACTCACACCGGGCGACATTGTCGAGATCAGCTACAACTGTCTCACGTTTGAGATTCTGATCATGGAGATCACACCTAGTGCAGACGGCATCTCGATCATCGAGACGGATCTAGAGGTTGACTTTGCACCACCAAAAGGCTACGTGGAGCCCACACCACAACCGCGTCCTCCACCGCCGACCATGGCATCCAAGCTCAACATCGACAATGCACGTGTCGACTCGATCCCACCCACACGCACATCCACACCTGGCTCAATGGCAGGCACAAGCGCAGCAGGTGGCTCAGGCGCCGCCACACCTGCCGGACCTTTCCGCGGCGCAGGTCAGACATTGAGTGGCAAGAAGAGCAAGGGCAAGAAGGAGCGCCAGATCGAGCAGCTCGATCCATTCAGCATGGTCCGCCGTACAGACATGCCGCGCATCATCACCAACGACACCCAACTCACAGAGAAGAAGATCCCCGCTGCGCTCAATCTGCCCTTCGGAAAGCTCTTCTTCGGCTACGAGGTCATTCCTGTGGGAGGCAAGCAGGATGAGGCGGCCAAGGAAAAGGTGACGGAGACATTCGGTGGATCAGGGACTACTTTGTCCGGTCGAGCGCCGCGTCCGAAGCCACAAGAGTCGCAAAACAGCAAGCCGGTGAACGAACAACCAACAGCATTCACTTTGGGTGGAGGTCGCGTGCTAGGAGAGAGCTCGCGGAGCAGCCGATATGCTACGCCTTCAGGTGGCGACGACGCCCGCAGCCTCAACGACAGCAGGCGCGACGTCATCGAGATCGACTCCGATTGATGCCATCTCAGCACCATATGATCGCTGGCGCGCGCGTCGTGTACGGACATTTGACTGGAACAACGGCAACAGACACACACAAACAGTCCCTGTCGAGTCGAGTGGCAGGATCATTATCATTCATCAATCATCGCATTGCTCTCCACCCCTCGCTTCTGTTACTCTCTGCAGCCTACCCTTTGTACTTTTACGACTTCGATGTATTGACCCTGGCATGCAATTGCAAACGTCCAGCATCGATCCAGCTTCCTGACCCGCACTGTGCTGCGCTCGAGTCATCGTCTTGTCGTGCGTGGAGCTGTCCTTGTCATCGGCCCGTGGGACGCTGCCTGTGGTTCGAGCGCGGGCCGTTTGGAAAGGCGGCCGAACTCACTCCAGTTCCAGAGGGCACCGATGGTCTCCACAATTGCGTTTGACCGGCATGCGGGGTGACGTCCTCATCCCTCCTCAAACTGGGTTGCGCAAGGGACCTCTGATACGTATGCATGGTCGGCGGGCGGGCGTACTGAGCGACACTTGCGCCGTGTAAACTGTGACGCTGAAGAGGAGCCTGCAAGGCGACATTGTAATGTTTGCTCAGATGGTGCGCTGGGCCAAAGCCCGAACGTGGGCCAGGCGGAGGGTCTGCTTGGCCACGACGAGTGGCTAATGACCCAATGAGAGCATCGCACAGTGGAAGAACAAGCACCGTCAGCATTCTTCGCCAAACAAGGCGATACCTGCCAGGATGCCACGTACCTTCCTTCCGCCATTCCGACGTGGAGTTCGAAGTTGGCGGTACAATGTTTTTGAACGAAAGTGGGGGCGGTTTGTGCGCGAAGACGTTGGAGGCCGTTGTCGATGGACGTGTCGGCAGCCTGCTGCATCGGTATTCGATCAATGTCAGCGTTGTGCCACCAATGGAGACGACAATCAGACTAGAGATGAACTTGAGTGGAAGCCAGACCTCTGCACTACTCACCCCGAATCGTGCATGATCTGGTCGCCGTCGTCAAACGTCGCGTCAGCTTTCGGAGCAGCTGGCATGGCTCGTGAAGGTGGACGCAAGTTTGGAGGGGGTGCTTGCTGATAGACCGCTGACCTGGACGGAGGCGGCATGCGTTCCTGCCCTTTGACGATTCCCATGCCGAGTGGATGTGCTCCGTTACTGGAGCAAGGGACGTTGGCCGTGAACGTGAGAGTCAGTACGGGCAAGCTTGTCTTACCCGTAGTCCTTGTCAATGAGCACAAAATGTCTCTGAACCTACCTAGGCTGAGCAGGAAGGGTTCCTGGCTCTGTCTTTGGCGCTGGCAATCGTAGCACCGTAATCTCCTCTTTCAAAGCCACGTTTTCCTTGCGCACTTCTTCCAAGGCTCTGTACCGTGAGTCAAGGGTAGGAAAGGTAAGGAAGTGGTCCGTTCTGCGCGAGCACGCATCCAGACAGCGAAATTGACTTGTTCTGAGCCGATGTGGACCCAAGGCTCACCTCTTGACCTGCCAAGCCTCGTTGACATCGTGCTGAACGTGATCCAAAAGTCGCTTTTGCTGGTAGACTTTGTCTTTCAAATGACTAGACCACGTCGTTGGCCACGAAGAATAGCAAGACGAGAGATGTGATGTGGTTGAGCGATGACTGTCCAATCGCTTGCATCCTCTTGCTATGTGTGACATCGTGCGTACCTGATCAGTTCAGACATGTGCTGGAGCTGCGGGTGTCGAGATATAATTTGGTCAGAGAATCGTTCGAGCGGTTTGCCAAAGGCAACGACGTAGACTTACTTGATACTGTTCAGTCCGATGTCAAGCAGATGACCAACAAAGGAGATCAGGCTGCTGCTCCGCTGAGATTCAGAACGCTCCCAGCTAGCTGCTAGGACGACCTTACCTTATAGACATCGGCGATCTCCTGGATGGAAGCGTCGAAAGGCTGCACGTAGCGGTACACATGTGGCGGTAGCTGTTCAGGTTCCCACAAGAAGAGGTCAGCATAGCGCCCTATCGCCACGGCTGAACTCCTGTTGAGGACAGCAGACCGATACTCACCTGGTGTGTTTGAAGCTGGACCACGTGGACGGTGACCAGGCACTTGGGACATGGAGCCTGGAGCCCCTCTGACGGCTGAGCTCCGTCTCGTGCTAGTGCGTCTTTTGGAGGGCATGTGCCACGTCAATGACAGATTCGAAGGTGCGGACCTTAGATCATTGGATCAGGGAGTACTCACCACGGAGCTCTTTGTGGCAGAGAATATGAAAACACTGAAGCGTAGGACGACACGAAGACATGAGTCGTCCAAAGGAGCGGTGAAAACGTCGCCGTCAGCATCGCTCGGCCTGTGCGGAGAGCGGAGGTCGGTCCTACTGACATCACCGATCCAGAACGGTTCGTCTGCAGGATCTCCGGTTTGGTTCGTCGCTGTGTCATTCGAGCACGCTTTCAAGCTCTTGTAGCAGACCGAGCAGTGAATGTGTTCGAGGAAAGCAGGTGTAGAAGAGGATGCAACGGAAGCCATCTCGTCTGAAAAGGCTGCGATGTCGTTGTCGAGACCATGGAGGTCATTCGGTGTCGGACGACTCGGACAGCACACGGCGCTGCAGAGGACGCATTCTGCAAAGATGGCCGGTCATCTATTTGTATCATCAGTAGCGCAGTCTGAGAACTCAGCTTTGTGCCTCGTGGTCCAGCTTCTCTCGCAGAGTGACTTTGTCGAAGCGGTGTGACAGAACCGTGATCCTTTCGCAGCCATCCAGCAAGAGCAGACGATTCCTTCTCGGTTCTTCCGTTCTTCTCTCGGTGTCCGTTCGGACAGTCACGGTCTGCCTTGTGACTACACCCGCGCCACAGGAGATAGGAGAAATGTACAGTCGTTTCTTCGATCCATCACGGAGTCAGCACACGGAACAGCCGTCCGTATACGTCGGCAAGCAACCAATGGAAGGATTTGTGAAGTGGGCGCGGATACGGAGAGGACATGAAGTCGATATTGAATTTGGCTTCGCCGACCGTGGGAACAAAAGCCAGAAAGCGCGTCTTCTCGCTCAGTCCACTTTTTGAGAGCTGGCCACGCCCAGGGTCCAGTCAGACAGGCGATCCTTCCAGAAGTCACCAAATCACAAAAAGCCGAAATCCCACACACACTCTCTTCTGATGTGATCACCAGACGGCCGCCTCGACTCTCGACCCACCTACGGTATCAACGCACGACCGACTCACTCGATACTCGATCACACGGAAGAAATCGCAAACCTTGTCTCAGTCCACTGGAATCCGCATCTCGATGGAAGCTTGAGTCAATGCACTGTGACTGCTGCGGTCGAGTCAGCAAGACAAAGCAACCTCACCCGCCTTTCGGTAGTCACGGTTCCACCATCCCGCACTTGCCTCTGGTTTCTCCATTCTACCATCAATCGCACGCAAGACTCTCGAACGACCTCCCTCGGCTCTTCAGGATCGGCTGTTGAGCGGATCCGCATCGTCCAAGCTCTCGCCCTCAGCGAACGATCGACACGCGCACCTCAAGCAGGCGAGCCGCAGATCAGCTGCCAGCGTGCTTCGGCCGCATCAACGAGCCGGCCGTCATCCTCCACACCAAGCACTCAGAAGGCAAAAAGATCGAAGCTCTTGTGCTTCAGCGTCGGCGAAAAGACGCAAGCCCACCGTAAAAGACTAGCCGGATTGGGGCAAAGGACGATCAGCGCGATTCAGGAGACTGCAACTCACTCCACAAGTGATCGAGGGCAAACGTGCTGTCTCACTCGCCTGCGTGCTGTGCCCAGCCACCAGCCGCGAGATTTTCGTCGCGAGAGCGGACGGGCCTCCTTCTGGTTGGTCGCCAATTTCAAGCCAGGAGGGCACCATTCAATTTTCGGTGTAAATTCGCCCACTGCGGCCTGCTGCAAGGATCACTCACGACCATTCATCTCGGCGAACCATCAAGTCGCTTCAGCGCCGAAGCATTGCCTCCTGGTTCATATCTTGGAGTCTTTGGTCGTCGTCCTTCGTTTGTTCAGGTACTTAGTCCTGACTCTTGACACCCTCGAGATCGTCGTGCTGAAGCCTGCCTGGTGGCCCAAACTTCAGTCATTTCGGATCGCCAAATTCGAGGTCAAGCACGCAGCAGCTCAAGCACGATTGCGATCGGCCTTCGCCAATGTCCGGCTCTCCCGCTCCGCTCCATTCGGCCGTGATGGGCAACGAGCGGCACACACACGCGTCTGTCAAGGGTCAGCCGCAGCAGCCGAATATCGCTCGCTCTCCTGTCGATGCGCGTCCACATGCTTCTCCACGGCAAATCCAGCATGTGACCGCTCCTCATCGTGCTGCAAGTGGCTCGCTGGATCGCATGACGAGCTTGCCTTCCTCCCGACCCAGTCTCGAAGAAGCAGCATCCCGCTCGCCTTCTGGGTCAGCACCGCTGCTTGTCCCGGTCCCGGTTCATCCGTTGTCCACACACTCGTCCGCTCTCGTTGGAACTCAGACGAGTCTGTCTCCGCGCAGAATAGTCGCGACGATGGTCGACTCGTCCCACCACCCACAGTCTCCGTCTGGACAGAATCCAGTTTCGCTCGATGGGAATCACGCTCGGCTGCAAGTACGGCCGGCGGCGCCCGTTCTGCTGAGCCACTCGGCGGCGCAGCCGATTGCAACGGTACCTCTGGCGCCGCTCCGAACCGCAGCGGTCGCTCCACCGCAGAGGGCTCCGGCGAGACCTGGGCCCATCTCGTCTGCTGACGTGTTGAAAGCATCGACTTCGAATTTTTCTCCAAGCCCTGCTCCCGCGGCGAGCCCACAGAGATCTCGGGCTGCCCAGGCGGTCGACGCCTTGGATACTTTGCCCGCATCAGGTCGCATAGTGCAACACCGCCAGCCTCCGTCCTCTGTCAGTGCGTCCCCGAAGTCGCGTCCACTCGAGTCGCAAAACCAAGTCCAGTCCACGAATGGACACGGCATGCTTCACGACAGTAAAGCGCAGCCCGTGAGAACCTCTCATGACGCTCCGTCTGCAATGGCGATGGCAGACATCGCAGGTCTGCCGTCCATTGATCAGACACGCAATTGGAGCGTGACGGATCGCAAGAATGGAAATGGTGGCCAGAACGCTGTCGAGCAGGCCGAGTCGAGTTCCAACAGCGTGGCACCAGAAGACATCGCCGTTCTGTCTACAAGCACATCAGATCCTCGGGCAAGCACCGCTTCGTCCTCCGCCCCCATCGACTACGAGTCCTTGATCAGCGAGGGTGGCAAGGCCAAACCAATCCCAGCTGTCAGTTGCCTCGACGTCTTGGAAGACGACCTCGAGCAGCTCATCATCCAGCTCGTTGAAACGCAGGGCGAGCCCATGGTGATCACGGATCTGCACAAGACATCGGCGTGGAATTCGGATCTGTTTGATCCGCACAAAGTCTTCGCCTCGGTACCCAAGGAAGAGCTGTACGGGACAGACAGGTCATGTCACCCTGAATGGTCAGAAGCGCTTGCCAAGGTGGTGCACCGGCGACTTGTCTACCAAGGACAGCACGATGTCTTTTCGCGTATCAGTCGCGGTCTGCGCCGCACTGAAATCTCCCGCTTTGATCTAGGTACAGCCCGGACACCTCTGAAGCGTGGGCTCTGCTCCAGTCTCGTTCAGAATCTGATGATCTGGAGCGATCCGGAGGCCTCCGCGGTGTGGTTCATCACCAATCCCGAAGACAACGATGCTGTGGACGAGTATCTGACCAAGAAAGGCGGCTCTCCTCACTATGAGGGACACATCCCGCCAGCTAACGAGCTCGCCGAAGCGACCTTCTCCCTTTCCTTTTGGAGGCAGCGTGTCGGCGATCTCGTGCTGGTTCCACCGCGTGCGGCATACATGGTCATGAATTCGGGCGGTCGAAGTGTCAAGACCGCCTGGTCTCGTCTCATCGTGGACTCGCTCGTCAGTGCGCTCTTCACCGATCTTCCGCTGTACCAGCGCCGCTGCCAGAGGGAGTCTCACCACATCAAGTCGGTCATCGAGCATACGGTCGTCAAGTATACCCAGCAGGTCACGGACAACATCCAAGGAAAGCTCGAGACACCCAAAGCAAGGATTCGCGACCTCAGCACCCTTCTCCAGTCGTACGACGCTCTCCTCTCTGACGAGTATGCCCCTGATTGGCGCGACATACCCGTCGAAGGAGACGACGTCAGCTACGTCGAGTGCGATGTCTGCGGCGCCGACACCATGCACGGCTTTTTCGAGTGCAAGAAGGGCGACACGCTGTGCGTGCAATGCTACTGTCAAGGGCGGCTCTGCCCGTGTTCTGACGCTACCGACTCGCTTCGGCCATACCAGCTCTATCGCAACTTTGGCGAGCGCTTACAGATTCGCAACCAGGCCGCACAGGCTCTTCTATCCGTGGATCCGACTCTGGCCCTCACGGTCGAACAAAGAGTCCATTCTGGTGCAGACGACGACGACGACGAGCCTCCCTTGTTGCAGGTGGAGCTGCTCAAGGAAGAAGACGTAGGTAAAAGGAGTTGGCCGCTCAGCTTCTTGGCCGCGACGAATCTGTACAAGCTTCGACAGACTACGGGTTGGCGAGACGACCTCGCGCCGTGCAGAATCTGCAAGGCAACCCTGGATTCGTCCCAGCGCTACTTTTGCAAGCCATGCGGCCATTCGTACTGCTTCGGATGCCTTCTCCACAAGCTGTACATCCATCCCGCGCACGTCTTGGCCCAGAACGAGCCCAAGCTGTTCCACAGCTATCACAAGAAGGCGAGCACGCTCGACTACAAGGAGTGGAAGCAGGATCCGTTCGAGTTTCGCGACGAGGCGCGCGCCCATTTTGCGCTCATCGAGGCGGCGAGGACCAATATGAATTGCGTTCCGCAGACTCCTGGTTGTCAAATCGGCTTCTTGGATGTGTCGGACGAGCACAAGCACGGGCTTTCAGGCACGCTGGGCGTCACGAGGCCCTGCAAAACACAGACTGACAAGGTCAAGGCTGCTGCAGCGTCATCATCCCCGGCATCGACACCGGTCCCACGCAAGCGCACCAAGAACTCGAGCGAAGCTCCTTCAGCGGCATCGCCCAAATCACCGTCCAGGAAGAAGGTCAGAATCGAGGCACCGAGACTACTCGAGGCCATGGATGAGGACGACGGATCCGGGCAAATGTCGAGAGCTGAGGAAGCGATCAACGTCCCTAGGATGGCGTCTGCACCTGTACCGTCACCCCTAACGGCTACGCAAGGGGTTGCACTCGGCGCCACTAATGGCACGCAAATGAGCTCGACCCAGGCCGTCACATCGTTCCCGACGGTCGCCAACGGCATTCGCAAATTCGTTCTCCGAGAGGGCAAGGCACACCCGGTCTCTCCGGTCATTGCAAGCCAGTCGCTCTCGACGCCACCATCATCGTCGCCCGCCATGAGTCCCTTGATCGCTGCCAAAGTGGTGCCAAGCCAGCCGTCCGCTTCTGCATCCGCGCCTCGGAACGGATCGACGAGCTTGGACCCCACAAACGGTTCCCTTGGGTTGAAGTCTGGAATCACTGGAGTCATTGAAGAAGGTGATGGCAGTGCGGCAGCAAACATGGCAGCTGCATTAGCGGCCAACAATGCTTACAGGGCCGAGTTGGCTGCACGGGCCCGGGCCGAATCTGCAGCTGTCCCCACCAAATTGGTGGGCGGCGCAGAACGACCCACATCGGCAGAGTCGGAGCCAGGAACTGCGCAGACTGCAACCGCGTCTGCAGCTGTGCGCATCGCACCGCCTTCCTCCTTGTCTCCCAAGACCCCCAGTCCGCCTGCAGCGATACAAGCTCAGGCAGCAGATCAAAACACATTGGCTCTGGCGACAAGCGTGGTCGCCGCCGGGATCACGTCGGGTCAGACGGCGCCCGCAGCGGCGTCGCCGCCCACTGCCGGACTCGGATCGCTGGACCCCATGACGCTGCGTGTCGTCACCGAAGTCCTGCGCATCTACAGCCAGGCCAACGAAAAGAAGCTCGAAGAGCATGTCGCTCAGCTCACGAAAACGCAGATCAAGCACGCCGCAGAGCAGGCCAGGGCGCAACAGACCAATGCACAGATGCAAGCAACGCTGCTGCAGCGGATCGATCAGCTCAGCTCGGAGGTCAAGACTCTGACGAAAGTGCATGCTGCAGAAGTCAAATCGATGCAAGACAAGCACGAGTTGGAAGTGAGGAAGTTGAGGCTTAGGATGGACGAGGTGGCTCGCCAGCAGACGGCATCGGATGTGCGCGTCGACAAGCTGGACGACAAGTTCCAAGGGCTGTTCGACGACATTGATCGGCAGGCGCAGGCGGCGTTGCAAGCCGAGCTGTCGACGCAGTCATCGCAAGCAGCTAGCAGCGGCCAGGTGATGTCCGGTGACCACTTCGTGCCGCTCAGCAACGCTCGTTGATCAGTTCACACTCTTGTATCTCACATCATCGCATTGTATTGGCTCTACGCTGTCATACTGTAAACAGATTGCGTCTGCACAATCCATTCCTTCTTTGACTTGTGTCTCGGGCTAACGCGAGAGCGATCTACGAGCTGATCCTGTAAGTCAGCTTCTCAGCGGACGCCTTACCCTCCTGCAGATACTTCATGCCCTCGTTGATACCCTCGAGTCCACCCTGCATCTCCTTAGTCCTGTTACCCTTGAGCAGCCCCTGCTTGAACAGCGTGTAGAAGTGACCCTTGTCCCCGTTCAGCCACTCCTGCATCTTCTTCGAATCGGCCTCGACGGTGGCCTGGTCGTACACGGCCTTGCCGTAGTTGAACGGGCGACCCAGCGCGGTGTACGCGAGGGTGTGAATGATCTTGACCTCACCCTTCCTGAGCTCGATGGCCTCCTTATCGGGCTTGAGGAGCACGACGACTTCGCCGCCACCCTGGCCGAGGGACTTGACGCAGAGCTGCTGGGTGCCGTTCTCCGAGATGCAGTCGAGCGCCTTGCTCAACTTGGGGTATTTGGACGAAATCTTCTCGGGGGTGGACTCATCGCGGTAGTCGAAGAGGTCGTCTGCGCCGAGGCTCTTGAGCAGGTCGTGATTCTTGGGGCTTGCGGTGGTGATGACCTTGTATCCAGCAAGATGGGCCAACTGAATGGCCCACTGACCGACGGTGGTGCTTCCGGACCAGATCAGCACCTCTTGCGCATCGTCCTTCACGGGCACAGCACCGTTGGAGAAGTCCGGCACGGGCAGGTTGAGTCGGTGAAACAAGGCTTGCACCGCCGTCTCACCGCCAATGCCGAGAGCGGCGGCGGTGAGGTCATCGACATTGTCCGGGATCTTGGCCACGATCTTGCTGTCGGTCTTAAGGTATTCGGCGAAGGACCCGCGTTCGGGCTCCTTACCGCCGTGCACGAAGCCCGCCACCCGATCGCCCTTTTGCAGAGAAGAGTTCCTGACGGAGGATCCGAGCTGCTCGACAACGCCAACAAAGTCACAGCCGACCCGATTGCCAGGACCAGAGATGAAGGCGACGTGCTTCCAGTCCGTGGGGTTGATGGTGACGGCGAGGGTGCGGACGAGGATCTCGTCTGCGTCGAGCGTGGGGACGTCCACCTCTTGGACGGTCGCCTGATGGTCCTCGACCGTCACGAGTGCTTTCATTTTGCTAGGGAGCGACATGGTGGTTTGCAATGAAATGGAATGGTGGTTGAAAGGATGGCAGCGAGCGAGCCGACCACAGGCCGGCTATAAAGATGCTTCATCCCTCGCCCACAGTCGCATCGGCGGAGGGCAGGTCAGCTTTACGTTTCGCCGAGAAGGTCGAGCGGATTTAAAGTTGATTGCCGAACAACAAGCGGAGAAGCCGAGGTGGAGGTTCCGAGGCGTGAGACAGCGATGTGATGTGCTGACTCTTCTGTCGTCTCGTCCGTGCGAGCGAGGCTTCAAAAAGATTGCCGTAAGAGGGCTGCCAAGCCAGAGAGCTGAGAGCCAATTCGGCGAGCAAGCCTTGGGTGACCATTTCAACCACACTCCGGCCTGAACTGGAGAGGCCAGCCTGCTGCACGCAGACGATCCGTTCGTGCTAGGGAATCATCTTGAGCGTGATCAATTGCCAGTGAGGACAAGCCAAGAGCCGAATGGAAGATGGCTGCTTTGCTTCGGAATGCGAGCGAGCTGGCTTAGGTGGAAAAATGGCTTTTTAGGTCTGGTCACCAAACCAGCTGATTTTGGCTGTCCGTGGGGCTCACAGAGCGCGAAAAGCCTTGGGGCTTGGCGGAGAGCTTGACAGGCTGAGAAGCCGAATCGGAACTTCCATCTGCAGAGGAAGTCATCGGATCGCTGCCCAGTAATCGTGAGAAGAATGACAGAGGCCCGTGAGTCATGCCGATAGTAGGCCAAAGGCTGTCGTAAGTCTCGGGAGTATGCTTCCGAGGAGGCGAATCAGAGGTAAAGATGAGAAGAAGCTGAAGCGCCAAGCTGCTCCGCATTGTTCTGCCACTCGAACCCTAAAAGATCATTTTGCCCACTGCAGACTGTGACTGCAGCTTGCAGCCGTTCTGTCACTTTTCTTCGTCTCGGTCGGACCCTGACCGCTTTGCGCTACCGCTCTACGCTTCCGCACGGCCACTTTCAGCAGTCACGCCTGATCTCCAGAAGCTTGTCACCATCACCATCCCTCACACCTCTCATTCGTCCTCCTACCGAAGCGCAATACGCCGCTCCAACGACAAGTCGGCTCATCGGTACCATGTCGTCCCACCTTTCATGAGCACAGCTTCATCGCCCGGTTTCATCTCGGTCTCTTCCACCCACAAGCTCGGCAGAGTCAACCCACTCGATCCGCGTTTATCGTGAGGGAAGCGCCGGCGCCACGGACAACATGGGTCCAGATGGTTTAGGAGCGCGGCGGGACTCTCGCATTCCACCATCGAGGAGAGCCAGACGGTCGCATCCCGGATCAGGTTCATCGTTGCCTCTAGTGCGCAACATTCGATCTCATGGCGAGACGCTCTTCCAGCAACATGGTCGCTGGATCTCGAAACACCAAATACGAACCTTGTTGATATGCTCGCTCGTTATCACATCACTCTTCTATCCAGCCGTCGGCATCTACTTTTGGGCCTCCAAAGGCGGTCCGGGTGTCTCGAGAGGCGATGCAAAGAGCGTTTGGAGGTCTCTCAGCACGCCCTTTATGGATTCCTTTGCAAGCAGCGGTCGAAAGCATGTCAACAGTCTCAGCGACCTGCGCATGATCTGGGACGATGCGCACGACCTCAGAGCCATCGATATGGGGGATGCTAAGGTCCTTCTCGACCACACAGCTCGCCAATCCCCTGCGGCTACCGAGCACGCAGCATCGACCTTCTCGCGACCACGCTGCCAATCAATACGTGTCGAACACGTCTTCATCACCACCGACGATGTCATGGCTGGCAGAGGTCCTCGGTTCGGCGTCCTGGAGAATCGCATCCTCAATTCGGCACTCCAGCTGCAGAATTCGATCGAAACCGAGCTTCGCAACAGTCTCGGTCGCGGCCACGAGCCCGGGTTGGTCTGCATCCAAGCCCGCACTTCCTTTCCTGGGCGGTCTGCAGTCCCGAACCAAAACGAGCCAGCGTGTCTCACGTTATCACCGCTCGAGTACTGGAACTCGGACTCGCAGGCGATCCTAGCCGACGATACGCCTGCTCAATCCGTAGCTCAATCTTCGCTCAATCAGACAAGGATAGGCATGCCCATCTCTCCTTCTACAACACTTGCCGGACGATGGCATCTCTTCAAGCGTTTGCCTCGAGCCGAGTTCCTTGCTTTCACCTTCTTTCTGCGCAACGACGACCCTGATTCGTGTTCCGAGCTGCGATCGTCTCCGTCCAAATCTACTCTCACCTCTTCGACTGGAGAGCACGCCAGCTGGCATCAGCTGCTGACCCGAGTCACAGGAGGCCAGGTGCGTCTGATCGCATCATCCGAAAACATCTCCCACAGCCTCGTCCTTCAGTTCGCTCCCGATCCGGCTTCGTCCCGACGCAAACCCACCCACCTCTTTCTCTTGACAGCCTACGCCTTCATCATCATCTACATCTCTCGCGGTCTCGTCAACCTGCGCAAGGTGCATTCGCGCTTCGGTCTCGCATTCACCGGCACGATCCAACTGCTCATCAGCATGATCACCAGTGTCAGCATCTGCGCGCTCCTCGGCATTCGACTCACTCTGGTCCCTTGGGAGCTGCTCCCTTTCGTCATTGTCGTCGTCGGCTCCGAGAACATGTACAGTCTCACCAAGGCCATCGTCGACACGCCGCTTTCGCTCCCCGTCTCATCGCGTATCGCGCATGGCTTGGGCAAGGTAGGACTTCCGATCACCTTGACGACGCTCGCGGATATCGTGCTGCTGCTCGTCATCGCCCTCTTCATCGGCGTACGGGCCGTGCGCGAATTTTGCATCTTTGCCGTCTTTTCACTTGTCATGGACTGGTTCTTGCAGATGTCCTTCTTCGTCACCATTCTCAGCATCGATATGCAACGTCTCGAGCTCGCCGACCTTCTGACGCAGGGCACACGAATCAGCAGGAAGCAGGACAGCCTTTCGCAATCGCACGACCGACATCTCAACGGACCTGGCAGCACCAACAATGACGATGCGGACAGGAAACCTCATCCGGCTCGGCACCAACGCAACGGTGCTGAAGGCAGGTCCGGCAACATCGTCATCGCAGCGTTGTCCAAGGTGTGGAATGCAAGGACCGCAAGGACTGCCAGCCTCACACTCATCTTGGTCTACATGGGCGGCTTGTACCTCTACTACGGCACCGGCTATCCCAGCCACCAAAAGACCAGTTACGTCCTTCCAGATGATTGGGACACAATTCGTCAGCCTCCGAGCACGGACAGCGCTTTCGATCCGTATGGCCATCTTGACAACAATGGGCACGCCGCGTTGCCGTGGTGGACCTCTTCGCCCAGCGCCGATCTCTGGACGTCGCTCAACCCGCTGGGCGCGGAAGAGCTGCGGATCGATGTCAAGCCTTGGACCATCCTCTCGCTCCGATCTTCGACCGAAGGACAAACTCCTCCGTCTGTCGCAACCTTTGCGGGCTGGGCGTTGTTCCGGCCAAGGATCAGGGCGGTCGTCTGGTTCGCCAAACTCGTCGTTCTTCCCATCTCCGGAACCACGGCGCTGCTATGGATGCTGCTGCTATACTTGCTCAAAGACACCGAGCTGCTGGACGCGCAGCGAGACAAGTCCGAGGCCGATCCTTCCGACAGCTCGAACGGCTCAGCCGATCCCGCCTCACACTCTTCAGTGACGTCGAGAACGACCGTCATCGCCAGTGCTCACTCCTGCGATATCGAGTTCCTCGTCCACGATGGAGGCCTGGCAGCTTCCATTGACAATGGCGGTGGAATCCACGTTTGGAGACTCGACGGCGGCGGCGCAGCAAGCGAAGATGCGAGGCGGACCAGCAGTGTCAGCAAGGCGCGGTCGATGCTCCCGCTGGACCACAGCCCGGTTGCGGCGCTAACAATGTCAGCCGAAGCAGGGTGGTTGGCCATTGGTCACTCGTCGGGTCGAGTTCTGTTCTTATCGACAAAGTCGCTAGAAGTATTGTGGGATCACCTCCCTGCTGACTCGGCTTCGCCGATCGCAGCCTTGACTCTGCAGCATCAAGATTCCATGCACAGCCTCGACTCTGCTGTGGCCCTCTCTGCGCACCGCGACGGCACCATCCATGCCTGGAATGTGGCCCGCAAGGAGGTCAGGCTCGTACCTTCTCAGACCCAGCTCGATTCTCGCTTACGTTGGCGGTCGTTAGAGGTCAGCGCGCCTCCGACCAGCCATCCCGAGGGAAGCAGCAACAGCATAAGCACATCGGCATCGTCACGGACTGTCTTGATTGGCTTTACCACCACTGACGGTCAATTCCACATCAGAGCAGTGGAGACTGGTGGTGCCAGCGCCAAGACCGTCTTCACGCTCAGCATGGATGATCGCGGTCAAGTCTGCTCGGCAATGCTGTGTCGACTGTCTAGTCGACCGCCTCCGGCAGATGAGGCACCTCTCCTCAGGAGCACCTTGATCCTTGGCTTTGCCAACGGACGAGTGCGCTTGGTCGACTTCGAGACGGCCGAAGCCATTAGCAGTGTTGACTTGGACGACGGCCCGGTCATGAGCGTTTCCAGCATCGACGCTGGCGATGCCTACACCTCTGCATTCGTCGCCCAGACCACAGGCCGCGCCTCCCTCCTTGTTGTCGCGAGTGGCTCACCAGTCGCGGGAGCTGCAATGGAGAAAAGTGGCTCGATCCACGGAGGCCTGAACGCTCCGTCCGCTGGCTCACCCATCCGCATCCGCACTCCAAACGGCTCTCGCACCAACGCATCCATCTTTTGGGGCGACTCTTCGACACCCCCGAGCCCTGCCAACGAGCTGGGCAATCCGCTGGCTTACCCCATGTCATCGCATGGATCGGCTTCGAGGTTGCGTCGCGCAAGCGCCAACACGCGAGACCGAAGTGGGTCGCACACAGCGGTCGAGCCTGGTCCTCAGACACTGGCAGCTTCGTCGAGCCTCTCCGTGATGCCCAACTTGCCTCCGCCCAGCAACGCCACGCAGAGAGCGGACGATCGTCAGCTCAGGCTGCTCGGGTGGGTCCGATGCCAGAGAGGTGGAACCTCGCCCGTCGGGCTTGGAAGCTTAGTTGTTGGTGTCGGTCGAGCGCAACGAAGCACAAGCTCGAGCCGATGGGAATGGTGGGTGTTGGATCTGCGGGAGGAGCTGGTGCTAGGCCGTGGTGGAGAACTAATCGTGCCGCGTCAGCCGCTGCTGCTTCGTACAGACGAGGCCGCTTCGACCCCAACACCGCCACGGGCGTCTCTGCAGCGATCACGAACAGGCCGGCCCTCGCTGGATGGGCCCCTTGACGATGCACTGTCCTTCTCGCGCTTGCACCCCGTGCACGGTTTCGCGACATCTCTACGTAAGGACAGCGCCCTGATGTTTGGCTTCGGAGGCTCCATCGGCGTCGTGCACGTCAAGGGCAAGCAGGCCTGAGACGCCGCAGCCGGAGCAATCTCTCATTGCTGCTTGCTGCCGCCGGTGCCTTGTGTGACCACTCTCCAAATGCATCGTGTTGCATCGAGCACGTTACGCTGTATCCTACCATCTTTTCGAGGAAGACTTTTTCCTCCGCATTCGTACTGCAATCAAAAGGAACTGTACTGGTACTTTGCATCGCTTTGTAGTGTGTCAGAATCGCATTTGACAAAGTCGTTCGTGGTTTGCGCCTCCAGACCGGCAATCTACGCTCGCAGATCTAAGCTCTATTCCGGCGATCTCTTTATGCCCATCGGCCAGGGTTCAGGAAAACGGTCTCGGCCTTCGCTCGTGCTCCCTGTTGGCCGTGTGGAAGTCACTCGAGCCCCGCGAGACCCTCCTACGGGGAAGGCTCGGCTTGCAAACGAGCTGGAGAAGGTCGACCCCGCGGGCAGAGAGGATGCCGGACCGGACGGGAATTTTGTCCTATATGTTAGACTCTGGCTTTCGCTACCTGCTCAAATTGCGCTGAAAAAAGCAAGAAAGCCGTGAGCTGTGCCTTATCGATCGATCAAGCAGGCAGCATCATCGTGCATGCCAGGAGCTCCGGACCGGTGGACTCTCTGCCTGGCCCCATGTCAGGAAGACGGGATCCTCAACGCAATGTTGGACATTGCTCATCACCTTTGACACGCTGCTTGAGGTGAGCTGGCAGCTGCTCGTGACAGACAACACAAACAGCTATCTCATTGCGGGAAGAGATCAGGCTGCAGCATGAAGCACGATGATATCGACGACAAAGCCTGATAGATCGAGAATGAGGTTGGGTGAGGGAGATTGCCGTCTCGCACGCTGCTGCTGGGGTTTGTCCATTTCGGTGGCCTTCGGTTGCCTGTGTGTGTTGACTGCAGGGAAATTTGCGATCGGCACAGCGCGAAAGAGAGAGGGTCAGGTCGGGCTTTCCTTCTACAAATCGATCTTTGCGGACGGACCTGACTTTTTGGAATTTTGGCAGTTCGACCGTGTCCGTGCGTTGGTGGGAAAGCAACCCTCACTCTCTGACTGTGCTTACTCGGCTCCACTTTGGCGCACTTGGACGCTGGTCAGCTTCGCAGTCTCGGACCGTTGATCTTCTCAGTCGAGCGCCCAACACCATCTTATCAACTTTTCGCCTTCATCGTCGAAACTTGCTTTCCTTCTAAACCCAACCTCCCCTCCATTCATCCTCTGCCCTTCGCTTTTAAGCAATCGCAAGGATTCTCTCGACAGCTCGCTCCCGCATCTCCTCCCTCGCCTCCCAGCTCACTTCTCGCACGATGTCGTCTCAAGCTGTGTAAGTATTTTGGCGACGTCGAGAGATTTCGGTCCATCGCTGTTCTTGACAGCAAAGATGGCTACAACGACGTAGAACACATGATTGCTGACTCGCTCATCCTCGCTGGCTGCATCTCTCCCAACCCTCACAGTGCCGATATCGGCCTCATCGGCCTTGCCGTCATGGGTCAGAACTTGATCCTCAACATGAACGGTATGTATCTGACGAGCTCGCGAAGCTGGGGGGCGAAGCTGCTTCTCCAGCGACCTAGCGGACCGACTGCTGCCACATTGAGTTACGATACTGACACGTAGTCACATCACCCTCTCCTTCGTTTCTGCAAACTCACAGACAAGGGATTCACTGTCTGCGCCTACAACCGTACCACCAGCAAGGTGGACGATTTCCTTGCCAACGAGGCTAAGGGTAAGTTCACGAAGCGAGCAATCCCCTGATGCTCATGGCTGCGCGTTCGAGCGAGGGTTGGACACCTCAGCACTCAAAGACCCAGCCCGGCGCTCGGGTTGCTCTCAACCCAACCTTGACAGCATGCAGCACAGATTGCTGACGTTTTCGCTTGTTTTCCGAACCAATCCCTGCTTTCGCGTCTCATCCTGCTGCTCTCTCGCTGCTTCTTCCGGCCAAAAATCGATCGCAGGAACCAACGTCGTTGGCGCCAAGTCCATTGAGGAGTTTGTCGCCAAGCTCAAGCGCCCCCGCAAGATGATCCTCCTCGTCAAGGCCGGTCCCGCCGTCGACGCCTTCATCCAGCAGCTCCTCCCCCACCTCGAGGAGGGCGACATCGTCATCGACGGTGGTAACTCGCACTACCCCGACTCGATCCGCCGCTGCAAGGAGCTCGAGGCCAAGGGAATCCTCTTTGTCGGTTCCGGTGTCTCCGGTGGTGAGGAGGGTGCCCGTCACGGTCCCTCGCTCATGCCCGGTGGTTCGGACGCCGCCTGGCCCCACATCAAGGAGATCTTCCAGAAGACCGCCGCTCAGACCGATGGCGAGCCCTGCTGTGACTGGGTCGGCCAGACCGGTGCCGGCCACTACGTCAAGATGGTCCACAACGGTATCGAGTACGGAGACATGCAGCTCATCTGCGAGGGCTACGACATCCTCAAGCACGGTCTCGGCCTCAAGGAGTCGGAGATCGGCGACATTTTCACCAAGTGGAACTCGGGTGTGCTCGACTCGTTCCTGATCGAGATCACCAAGGACATCCTCAAGTACAACGACGAGGACGGAGAGCCCCTGGTCACCAAGATTATGGACGCTGCGGGCCAGAAGGGTACCGGCAAGTGGACCGCCATCAACGCGCTCGACCTTGGTCAGCCCGTTACCCTCATCGGCGAGGCTGTGTTCGCCCGATGCCTTTCGTCGCTCAAGGGCGAGCGAACCCGCGCCTCCAAGGTGCTCGGTGGTCCCCAGATCAAGCCCTTCGAGGGCAACAAGGAGCAGTTCATTGCCGACCTCGAGCAGGCTCTGTACGCCTCCAAGATTGTCTCGTACGCTCAGGGCTTCATGCTGATGCGCGAGGCCGCCAAGGAGTACAACTGGACTCTCAACAACCCCTCGATCGCTCTCATGTGGCGCGGTGGATGCATCATCCGCTCCGTCTTCCTCAAGGACATCACCGCCGCTTTCCGCAAGAACCCCGAGCTGGAGAACTTGCTGTTCGATGACTTCTTCAACAAGGCCATCCACGATGCTCAGGAGGGCTGGCGCCGCGTGGTGGCCCAGGCCATCCTCTGGGGTATCCCCACCCCTGCCTTCTCGACGGCTCTTGCCTTCTTTGACGGCTACCGCCGCGAGATGCTCCCCGCCAACCTGCTCCAGGCCCAGCGTGACTACTTCGGTGCCCACACCTTCCGTGTCCTTCCCCAGTACGCCAGCGCCAAGCTGCCCGAGGGCCAGGACATCCACATCAACTGGACCGGCCGTGGTGGTAACGTCTCGGCTTCCACCTACCAGGCATAAGCTGCGGATGCAACGAATCGTCCTGGTCTGAGCTTTGCGCCGCCTCTTGCTAGCTAGCTCAAAAGCAGGCTCTTTCCGATGTATGCTATCAAGGTTCTCCTGCTTCACTGAATACGAACGAGTCATGTCAAAAACTGTTATCGGCTGTGATGCGGAATTGTTTGGCCTCGGATCTATGCGAGGTTGCCCCGTTATGAGCTGAGCGGCCTCAACGATAGAGCGAGCGTTGACGCCGCCGTGGATCTTGGCGATGCCTTACTAGGTGAAGGATGCTGTTATCTCGCGCGCGCTTTCATGTGCCAAGGGTGACAACCTTCCTGCGATAACCTTTTCCAAAATTTCGACCGGCTCTCGATCGCGCAAAAATAATTTGTTTCGAGGTCGACTCGTGCCGCGTCTGTCCTCCACTATTCAAGTGTGCCAAAAAGGTATCGCCGTACCAATTGCTGCTTACAGGGATCGAACCTGTGGCCTATGCCGTTTAACAAGCTATCGTCTCATGAAACGAACGGTGTAAAGGCAGCGCTCTAGCCACTGAGCTAAAGCAGCGAGATAGGCAGGTATTTACATAGTTGCGTACAATAAGGCTCCCGCAAGTCCGCATTTTTTCGGCCAAAACAGTCGAAAAGAACTGATCAGCTTGCCTCAGCAGACCAAGTGCGGAGCCTTTTTCGATCACAGATCACACAAGGTAGCTAGCTGCCTACCTCACAGAAGAACGTGGCAGTACGCGCACGGCAATTTGTCAGCGGAGTATCACGGACAGGCAGGACAGCTGGGTGGGAGTTAGCAAGATGAACGGGAGCTTGGACCTTCGGGAGGCGCACGACATGCGGCGGGAAAGTGTGCACGGGCCGGTGGTTTGATCGGCTGTGCTTGAATTGGCACACGCTTTCAACCTGCCAAGCCTTTTTGCCCAGCTGTCAAGCTGAGCACGAGGCAGCCAATTTCGACGTTGTTCTTCTCGCTGCTGAGCTGAGTCCCAAGTCATCACAGCCACGCTTTGATTGAGAGGTCTGGAATCATCCTTGGTCCTTGTCTTGTTCCTACATACCACAGCCTGACTCAAGATCATCCATCAGACTCGGAGATCCGTGACACTCTTCCTCCCATAACCTCATTCCACTTGTCGTATGAAAGACGAAGCTTTGAAGGAACGACTCCGACTGCTGCGTCAAGGAAAACAGCCTGAAGCGCAACCAGCTTCATCTTCTCTTCAAGCCTCCACAGCCCCGACACAAAATCGATCGTCCACTGCGGTCCCAGACCCAGATCAGCTTCTGTTTGAACGGTTCCGCAAGCTCAAGCCTGCCGAGACGTCCCAGCCTCACGTTTCCGAGCCGTCAGCCCCAGTGCGCCGCACGGTTCCCACCGCCTCGCATATAAAGCCACAAGACGAGCAGGACGAGATTGACGCCCTCATCCGATCTACGCAAGACCAGCTAGATCTCGAGCAATCCACCTCGGATCCCGGGCTTGACTCATACGCCGACTCTGATCACCTTTCAGACTCGGACATCGAACAGGACATCGACGCGGTCACAAAGGACGCCGCAGAGATCATCAACGCCGTTCGCGACGAGCTCGCCCTCAAACAACACTCACATTCCAGTCAAACTTCAACAGACGACATCATCTCTGACTCTGCGCCTCAAGCGGAAGAGCCAGTGCAGCCTACCATGATGCGCACCAACTCTCAAATCGAGAAAGCCCTTGCGGACGCTGCTCAAGACTCGGAAGTGTTCGCCTCGAGCAATGCTCCCGTCAACGACTCCGACCGAGCCGCGCCTACTGCTGGCGCCAACAAGACGCGCCGCAATTGGCTCGGCGGTCGCTTCTTCTTTGTCGCGATGCTGACCCTGCTCATCGTGGCCCTGTCTTCTGTCCCCGGTGCTTACGCATTCGGTGCCGGCAACATCCCTTCCTTCGCCTACATGGAAGGCAAGGCGTTCCGACACGGAGACATCGAAGACATCCTCGAGGACCTCTTCAAAAAGGCCGGCGGCTCTCTCTTTGGCTCGAGCAAGTTCGGAGGTCTCGACATCAAGCGCACCTACTTCGGCAACTGGCTGCGCGACTACAGTCAGGCCATGGACGTCGCTGCTCTGCAAAAGATGGGCAAGCGCCAGATCCTCAACATCGTCATGGTGCTCGGCTTCCTCGCGCACGGCTATGCCACCGCCGAGTTCGAGGTCACGGACGACAGACTAGGCGTATACCTTCCCGAAGAGCACCTCGACAACCCCAAAGGCTACGCCGACGGCAAGGACGCTCGCCAGTTCGACCCTCGTCTGCGTGAGCCCGTGAACCCTCAGGAGCTCGAAGTCGATCCTCGTTCGGGCATGAAGAACTATCTGGCCAACGAGAACGGTCACTGGCGCACGGGATCCGGACTTATCCGTCGCACGCTTACCCGAGTCATCGAAATGGGTCGTCGCGCCCGTGAGTCGGGACAAGACTCTGACCTATACGAAGCCTACCGCCTCCTCGGCCAGGCGCTGCACACGCTCGAGGACTTTCCCGCGCACAGCAACTGGACCGAGCTCGCACTCCACCGTCTCGGTCACCGCAACGTCTTCCTCCACGTCGGCGATAATGTCAAGGTTCGTGCTCCGGACGGCACGCAAGTCGCACCCATCGTCACGGGCACCTTCGGCAGCGCCGACTTCATGCACTCGATGCTAGGCGAGGCGCAGGACCATCTCTCGGAAGCGTCGATCTCGGACCTGAACAAGGCCATGGACAACGCCAAGCGTCAGTCGAGCGGAAGCAACCGCAGTCCCGTCCAAGACCTGCTCGGCATGCTTGCCAAGATCCCCGGAGGCAGCTCTGGCGGCAACGTCTCACGCGATCTCGAAGACGTCTCTCGCGGTCCCGTCAGCGATCCCGCCAACATGTCTCCGCAAGAAATGTACGCCAACCTGTGGAAGATCCTCGAGCTGCGCGATCGCATCATGAAGAGCATCGAAGGCACCATCGAGAAGATCCCCGGTCTGAGCAGTCTCGTCGAAAAGCTCACCAACGAGCTCAACATCTTTGTCTTCACGCTGATCGAGCCGTACGCCAAGCCGATCATGCAGCAGGGCATGTCGGCGCTCAAGCTGGGTTCCGGAGCGGTGATCAACAAGCAGGAGCAGTACGAGGTGTTTGACAACCCCAACGCGTCCGATCCGACCCACTCGATGTTGTCCAAGGACCATTTCGGGTTGATTCTCAACGAGGTTGCGGGCAATGTGGCGAAGATCATTGTGAGGAACACGGTGACGAAGGTGGTCAGGGCTTGGGATGATCGAAGTTTGGATCCGGCGAGGGTGGCGGATGAGTGTCTGGCGGTCATGTTCCACCCGTACTGGTTTAACCAGGGAGCGACGGTGCAGAAGGAGATGATGGACTACGTTGCTGACTGGGCGCGATCGCACGGTACCGAGATCGGACGACTGAGCAAGCAGTCTGTGCGAAACCACACCAATACGCGTTCGGGTAAAGCCGAACCGCACAGTCACGGCAACGACCAGCCCAACATGGGCTCGTTTATGGGCGGGGGCAACAGTCAGGCTGCGCACAGCTTTGGTCAGCAGCACCACTCCTCCTATGGCGGAGGTGGTGGTGGAGGAGGAGGAGGCAGCATTGGCACGCAGATGGCAGGGTATGCGAGCAACTACGTGTCGAACCAGGTGCACGGTCTTGTTGGCGGCCGCATCCCGGGTGGCGGGATGTTCAGGGATCTCCCTGAAGGCGGGGCTGGTCCGGATGGTTACGAAGGTGGAGAGCCACCGTATGGTGGGAATAGCAGACCGTCGTTCCCCGAGGCGGAGCCGACGGGTCATCAGCGATACGGCAGCGGCGGCAGTGCGGGTGAGTACTACGCCCCGCCTGGAGGCCCTCCCGGCGGTCAGGGTGGATATGGTCAGCCGCAGTATGGTGAACAGCAAGGGTACGGTCACCAACAGCAGGGTTATGGCCAGCCACAGCAGGGCTACGGTCAGCCACAGCAGGGGTATGGTCAGCAGCAGCAGTACCCGCCTCCAGGAGGATACGGCCAGCAGGGCGGATACAACAACCAGCAGGGCGGCTACGGCGGTGGCTACGGCGGCGGATACTGAGCCCCGATGCCCAACGGCAATGTTTGTGTGCTTGTAAGCGTGTCGTCGAATCAGAAGAAAGTTCGTTCCTACCAATGATGTGCGAGCCAACTCTCTGAGCGAGTCCTTTGCGTCGATCCGGCACTCACTGGGCGCTGGGGCCATGTGACCGGTCGAGTCTTCACCGCATCACGCACATGTCCTCCAGCGACGCTTCCACACGGCGGCGCTTGCGAATCAGACTGAACTTGCGATTTCGACCGAACTCGTTTGAATATGACATTGACCTGAACGCCGAACCTTGTGATTGTCGAATCCGCACCTACGCAGTCGGCAGCACATGATCATCGTCCGCAGCGGTGTACAAGTACCCCTCGGAACTCAGATCCTCCACCAACTCCTTGACCTGACTGACGTCCACTCCCTTCAGCATCCTCGCGATCAAATTGACATTGACGCCGTCGGTGTACTTCTGCGACTCGGTGGTGACGATGCCCATGATCTGGCGCGGCAGCGGGTCGAGGCTCTTGTACTGCTCCAGCGCGTTCTGCACGTTGCCGGAGCCCGAGTAGGCGTTGATGTCGCTGGTCTGGTTGTTGTTGTTGGTTGTGGTGGAGGCACCGTTGGTGGCGGAAGCGCCGGCGCCACGAGTGAGCGTGAGGTGCGAGTGCACCGCTTCCAGACGGTGGAAGAGCACCTCGTTGTAGTCGATCACGGGTCGCATGTGACCCGCCGAGATCGAGCGGCGGTTTTGGAACGATTTGAGAGTGCCCAGGACGCGGACGTAGACGTTCTGACTGCGAAGTAGTGTCAATAGCGATGCGGGACGCAGTTCCGTGTTAGTACTCGCGCCTCTCAAGTCTGCGGGTTCCCGCACTTTGCAGCTGCGGATACTCACCGAATGTCGGAAGCCTTGTTGGTGTCGTCACCGGAGCTGTCGAGCCACTGGCGCACCTCGATCTGGCCGGTGCCGTCCTCAACGCTGTACGCGACGTTGGTGGCGTTCTTCGAGATGTTGCGGACCACAGCGACAAAGGTCAGTTGACCCAGCTCGGTGCCGTCAAGGGTGAAGTCGGCATCCGGGTGCGGCTGCTCGGCCTTGAGGATCTGGCGGATGGTGACGGGGCGGAGTGTGTTGTTGCCCTGGCGCTGCGTTCCGATGTACGCAACCATGGTAGCCCAAGGGACGAGGGTAGTTGCGAGATTGTGGTGGGATGGTGCGATGGTGCGATGATGAAGGATGGAGGATGAGCGGGAGTGAAAGAGGGATGAGATGTCAGTCGGCTGCGGTTTATATCCGGACGGCGACGCTGCGGAACGGGTTCCATCATCGACTGCGCAGCCGTTCGCAGCGTCGATTGTGTCATTCATGTTTCGGAGGTCGGCCTGCGTACCTTCCCACTTGGCGAGTCGTTCTGGCTGCCATTGGCGAGGAAGCCGCCTCCGCTCGCTCCGCCTCCTGTCGCATAGTTCTGAGCGTATGGGTTGCTCTCGCCTCCAAAGCCTTTTGACCGTATAGAGTTTGCCCGTATAGAGTTTGCAAAGTCGTGAACAAGGTTTGAACAGAGTTTGTGTGACCAATGCAGAGTTGAGAAAGCGAAGAAGAGGATTGTCAGTGAACGATCAGGTCTTCGAGCACGAGCAACGATGTTAGCGGAATAGCTCCTCGCTCCACCTGCTGCGCCGAGTCGACCAACATCCTGAGAGCGATGATGCATACCGTTGTTGAACATCTTGTGAGTGATCCTGTCCTAGATTCGGCACGGTGGTGATGGTGTGGAAGCAGAAGATGAGGAAGTGGTCGAAGGGTCGTCTGCTGCGCATCGCGCTGAGAACTGAGCCTCTCTCTCTCCGCATCAGAAATGTCCACGGTGTGTTGCTTCTCAAATTCAACGCGCCACTTCACTTTACGCGTCGAAAAGTGTCACTTTGTTAGTCGAGCCTTCTTGCTTGGGAAGAATTTTCGTGCGGAAAAAGCTCAGCTGTCAGACTGCTTCCTCGCACTGCGCTTTGCGGGCATCTGTCACTGCATCTTCCAAGTCACTTTGTATCGCGATCGTCGGCGGAGGAGCTGCAGCCAGACGTTCGACAGGCTATGTCGCAGTCTCAGCATGCCTTCGACGGGCAGGCTGGTGCGGGTGGTCCGGGACCAGCGACTCTGAGGCACGCAAGGCGGACGATCCTCGTCCAGTACGAAGCGCGTCTACCGCCCAGATCAAGCGCCTTCGTTTGGCCGTCGAATGCGATACTCTTGCGGATCCAGGACAAGCTCGATCACGACCTATTCCAGAACCCCAAACACGAGGCGACTGCGAGGTACAAGACCGCGTTCCTCCGCGAATTGTGCGCCAGGCTCGAGGCTGCAGTACAGCAAGAATGCGAGGCGTTGCACAGCCAGGGCGTCGATGAGATCGAGCATCCAGAGGTCGATGCTGCAGTGCTCGAACGATACGTCGAGATCATGGCCAGCGGCTCCTCGAGTACCGGGTCGGTGACGGCGCACTCTGCGCCGGACACGGAGTTTACCACACACTACTGGTCGAAGTCCACCAGCGCTGGTACGATCGACGACGACTCGGTCGCCGGCGAGGCCGACCTGCTGGAAGACTATCACAAAGTCACGATACGAGAGGAAGGGAGCGCCATTTCGAAGGGCACGACGGGGCTGCGGACGTGGGAAGCCGGACTGCGGCTTGCCGGGCATCTGATAGGAGACCCCTCAATCATCACCAAACCCGGCACACGCATAGTGGAGCTCGGATCGGGAGCTGGATTTGTCGGAACGGTCTGCGCGACTGAGCAGGCCGCCTCTTCGCATGGCGAATCGCAGACCTTCATGACGGACATGCCGGGTCAGGTCGTCACACGTTTGCGGGATACCTTGCAGGTGAACGGGATGACCACTTCTGCGGTGGTTAAGATCCAGGAGCTCGACTGGCTTGAGTTGAGCGCCGAACGTCAGCAAAATCAGCAACGAGACGATCTGCCTACCATCAGCTTTGTCGCCGAAGCAAAGCCGACGCTCGTCCTCGCAGCCGATGTCGTGTACGACCCTGATCTGGTCGATCCTTTGGTAGAGACGATACGAGCTTGCCTGGAAGCAGGCACGATCGATTGCCGTGCCCTTGTGGCCAGCACGATCCGCAACGCGGAGACTTACGGTCGGTTCAAGGCGGCTTTGACGTCCTTCGGAATGAAGGCCAGCGTGGTGGAATTGCAAAGGCCGATCTTGACCGCATCCGATCCGATGGGAGGGCCCGATCTCTGTGCGCTATCGGTCTTTCCGTCCGCTCACGATCCGAGTCTCAATGGCAAGGTCGAGCTCCTCTGTATCACCTTGGGTTGAGCTTGCTCTGTTGCAGGTTGCCCTCCAGCTTGCCGGCTTTGGTCAATTCTACAGCCAGTTTTCGAGCCTTCTTTTTGCGAGTGATTTTTCCGGCATTCTTCTCGGAGAATTTTTGCGACTCGAGTCGTCGGAGGCAACACAGCCAAGTGTCGGACCAGCACGACGATGAACTTGCCGGCTCGCAGTCGCTGCCATAACCCTGTCTCATCATAGCGTGGTGACCGGACCTGCTGTGATCCGGCGTGACAAACACGGCTATGGTAGTAGCGCCGACGGGCCGCGGGCGAAGGTTTGACATCGGCAAAGGCTCGAGCGGTAGTTCGAAACCGATCGTTCCTCATCCTCGCCATGCGTATCGAAGACACGACCTATCGCAAAGGCATGACAAACCAAGGCAGCAGCGACATTGCCGCGGTCGGCTTTCAGATCTGCGACTCGGCTCGCACGCAACGAGGCGTATTCATCCTTCGTATTTCGGCTTAGTATCGGAAATTTCGTCTAGGCCCTGAGAAGCATGCAGTGACAATCACGTCGTCTCGATTTATCGGGAAGGCTACTCCGATGCGCCCAGAAAGTAAGCATTACTGAGGCGTAGACAGACCGTCGGTTCGCTACGCCCTGGAAACTGGCGTGCATCATGAGGCCTAGTGGTATGATGGATCCGCACGGCAAGATCGGCAAGAAGGGAACGAGTCTCTGGTCGAAGCTTTGCCCTGATTCGTTATCGCCAAATCTCGTCGGAGATAGAAATGGCCTTTGAGCCGAAAGCTCGAACGCGACTTTGTGGTCAGGGCTGCTGTCTCGCATTTTGGCTGCCGTATGACGGCAGCTTGCAACGTGGTGCTCGACCCTCCTTTCGAAGTTCAATTTCGCCGGATGTTTCTGCCGTGGACCGGCCGACAAACACAGTACGACCAAAGGTCAAGCACATTGGCCAACTTTAGTCGACTTTGTGCAACATGACGCACCTCGTCCGGGCTATCGACTCGATGAAAAGCATCTGTCTGGACAGGCCCCTACGCAAGTCTGAAACGCATCACGAACTCGGGAAGCAATGCTCAGGGGCTTCTGAATGGCGTTGCTAGGAGCAGTTGGCTGCAAACAAGGTTCGGGCCGTGGTCATCCACCCCCACATCACGGCATCGGTCAACTGTCGAGGAATCTAGCTCGGAGCTTTGGAGTCTACCAAGTAGGCCGGCGTTCTGAGTGACAGACAGGCCCCGTCATGAAGAACACGAAGCTGCAGTCTGCTGCGGCCCGACGATCCCGACGATCAGGAGTTTGGACCAAAGCGGGTTGCAGGCTGCTTTCAATCGAGGAGGAACGAGATGTGGGCCGATGGCTTGAGAATTTTCCTTCTCGAAAGAAGAAACAAAAAATGAAAAACAAGCCCAAATCGACTCGCATTTGACTTCTACTCTGCAGCCTGTCCGCAGTCGTGGATTCCGCAGGCGAACAAACACGCACGCGCCGCAACCATCGCAATCTGCAGTCGAGGGTCAGAACAAAAGAGAGAAGGGTGAGCTAGGTAGTTGAACAGCTGCCTGCTGCGACTGTTTTGATTTCAGGCGGTCTAGTCTTGATCGCATCTCGATCCAATCGACTGCCATGAAACCACGAGCCAAACCTTTGAACGTCGACGCAAGTCAGCTCCAGCCTGAACGCCTTCCTTGAAGTGACCCTGTGAGAGCTTCGAGATGGCGAAGCGAACAGTCAAATGGACAGCTGAAACCGATCTGCCGTTGTACCTACAAATTTTGGCTGACAGTGATTAGCAGCAAAGCACATGTATCGGTTCGAGGTCTGTGCTGGAATCTCTCACAGCCTGTCATCACTACTTTGATGGCAAGCTTGATGCCGGGTTTCTTTTCTTCGGAAATGGTGAGCCGTTGCAAAAGCTGCAGCCGGCGGGGATGTAGCTCCAAATCCTCGACCTACAAACTTGTGATCGGTCCAGATAGTTGTGAATTGAATTCCCTTGTCCCAAATTGAAAACTGTGTACTTTCTCCAGCCTCTTTGCCGCTTTTGCGATTTCTGGTTCGATTTGAACGACTGCGCGCGAACCCTCGCCCGCTCACCGCTCGCTCGCTTGGGATCTGATGGAATCAAATTGGCCTTTTGGCCGCTTTTGTTCTGCCGCTTTGGCCGTTCGCCCTTTGGATCCAATTCACGCCCGTGCGTTGGTTGACACAATCCGGCAGCGAGCCGTCTGCATGTGGCCTTTTTTTCTGCTTGTCTGCAGCCGCAACCGCCGCATGTTGATTTTTTTTAATTGCTGCTCTCTCGCCTCTCTGGTCAGGTGCCCTAGCTCGCTTGTTTGGCGTCCCGCGCTCTTTGATCCCTGCTGCTCTGGTCCATTCCAGACGTGCGATTCTGGCTGCGCTCTCGTACCGGGACTGCTGCCGCACACTTTGTCTGTATCTACAGCTCACCTCATAAACAACCGCCTCGCCTGATCTCTAGCCTCTTTGGTCGCTATCTCGTTCAACATCGCTTCTTCCTTCCCTACCCTCTTTCTTCACCATCATCCTCAAGATTCTCCTGTTCCCCCCGTTCCCTCACGATTCTTCATCGCGAGCGACGACCATCAACGTCTGTCGAATCGCACCTCACCCATCTCCTCGCCGACTGGTAGAGTGACAAGGGTCATCCCTAGTACCGCTGCAATAGAGCGAGCTACAACCATATCAACGTAAGTGTTCCCTCCTCGACCTTTTTCACGACACGCGCACGCTATCCCTGCCTAGACACATGCAAACGCAACCTGGCAAACACCGCCATCGTCTATCGGCGCAGGGCCAATCTATCGCTCTGCACAAGGGTGATCCGGACAGCTCAGAGGAAAGGTAGCAGCTAACTTGACGGCGGTAGCGACTGCAGTGCATGGCGGCAAGATGGGAACGACGACTCTGACGCCCACGTCCGACTCAAATCCCGGGATTGGCAGGGGCTGCATTGCATCGTGCTCGGGAACGAATCTGATGGAACACGCAGCTGACTCTGCATACTTTTGCCTTCTCATCCTGGTCGAACTGTCTTTTGCCATCGCATCTGCCTCTTCTCCCGCGATCTGTTCCTTCCACTTGCCATCCTTGCAGTGTCTAGTCAAGTGAAACACTTTACTCAGAATGTCGGACAGCTCTGCAACCCAGGAGGGTGTCAACGAGAAGCGCCTGGAGGGCGTCTCGGAGGAGTACCAGCAGCTCATCGAGTTCATCCGCGCGCAAAAGTCGGCCGGCGGCGACGACGAGGGCGCTGATGAGACCCACATTGTCAAGAAGCGCAACTTCCCCTTCTTCTGGAAGACCACCGAGGTCCGCGTCAACAAGCACGGCGAGGCCGAGGAAGTCGCCCAGAAGGTCCCCGCCTCGTGGCTCGAGACCGACATGCTCAAGGGTGTCAGCGAGTCCGAGGTCCACCACCGCCGATCCCTCTTCGGTTTCAACGAGCTCGAGTCGCCCAAGGAGAACCTCTTCCTCAAGTTCCTCGGTTTCTTCAAGGGCCCCGTTCTCTACGTCATGGAACTTGCTGTCATCCTCGCCGCTGGTCTCCGTGACTGGATCGACTTTGGTGTTATCATTGCCATCTTGCTCCTCAACGCCTTCGTCGGTTGGTACCAGGAAAAGCAGGCCGGTGACATTGTTGCCCAGCTCAAGGCTGGTATCGCTCTTCGTTCTACTGTTGTTCGTGACGGCCACGAGGTCGAAATCGAGGCTCGTGACCTTGTCCCCGGTGACATTGTCGTCATCGAGGATGGAAAGACCGTGCCCTGTGACGGTCGCGTCTTGGCTGCGTACGAGGACAAGGACGGCTCCCAGGCCGCCGCCATCCTCGAGAAGGCTCGTGCTACCCGCCACGGTGACGACGACGATGACGAGGGTGTCGACAAGGGACCTGCCATCATCGCCTGTGACCAGTCGGCCATTACCGGAGAATCGCTCGCAGTCGACAAGCACATTGGTGACACCGTCTTCTACACCACCGGTTGCAAGCGTGGAAAGGCCTACGTCCTTGCCACCGACATTGCCAAGCAGACTTTCGTTGGTCGCACTGCCGCTCTCGTACTGGGTGGCGAGACCGAGGGCCACTTCCAGAAGGTCATGGGCTCCATCGGTTCGGCTCTTCTCTTCCTCGTCATCGTCTTCACCCTGATCTTCTGGATTGGCGGCTTCTTCCGCAACACCGGTATCTCGAGCCCCACCGACAACAACTTGCTCATCTACACCCTGATCTTCCTCATCGTCGGTGTCCCCGTCGGTCTCCCCTGTGTTACTACCACCACCATGGCTGTCGGTGCCGCTTACCTTGCTAAGCGCCAGGCTATCGTCCAGAAGCTCACTGCCATCGAGTCGCTCGCCGGTGTCGACGTCCTCTGCTCCGACAAGACGGGTACCCTCACTGCCAACAAGCTGTCCATTCACGAGCCCTTCACCTCGGAGGGTGTCGACGTCAACTACATGATGGCCGTCGCCGCTCTCGCCTCGTCGCACAATGTCAAGTCGCTCGACCCCATCGACAAGGTCACCATCTCGACGCTCAAGGACTACCCCGGTGCTCAGGACGAGCTCGCTTCCGGCTGGACCACCCACAAGTTCACTCCCTTCGACCCCGTCTCCAAGCGTATCACCGCCGAGGTGGAGAAGGACGGAAAGCAGTACATCGCCGCCAAGGGTGCCCCCAACGCCATCCTCAAGCTCTGCGCTCCTGATGCCGAGACTGCCGCTCAGTACCGAAAGGTCGCTGGTGACTTTGCCTCGCGTGGTTTCCGTTCGCTCGGTGTTGCCATGAACACCGACGGCCAGTGGAAGCTCCTCGGTCTCCTGCCCATGTTCGACCCTCCCCGCTCCGACACTGCTGCTACCATCGCCGAAGCCCAGTCGCTCGGTATCTCGGTCAAGATGCTTACTGGTGACGCCGTCGCTATCGCCAAGGAGACGTGCAAGATGCTGGCTCTCGGCACCAAGGTGTACGACTCGCACCGCCTCATCGGCGCTGGTGGCATGTCTGGTTCGGCTATTCACGACTTTGTCGAGGCTGCCGATGGTTTCGCCGAGGTGTTCCCCGAGCACAAGTACCAGGTCGTCGAGATGCTCCAGCACCGTGGTCACTTGACTGCCATGACCGGTGACGGTGTCAACGACGCTCCCTCGCTCAAGAAGGCCGACTGTGGTATTGCCGTCGAAGGTGCCTCGGACGCTGCTCGCTCCGCTGCCGATGTCGTCTTCCTCGACGAGGGTCTCTCGACCATCATCACCTCGATCAAGGTCGCCCGTCAGATTTTCCACCGCATGAAGGCGTACATCCAGTACCGTATCTCGCTCTGTCTCCACCTCGAGATCTACCTGGTGCTCACCATCCTCATCCTCGACGAGGTGATCCGATCCAACCTGATTGTCTTCATCGCTCTGTTCGCCGACGTTGCCACCATCGCCATTGCCTACGACAACGCCCCCCACGCCAAGGCCCCCGTCGAGTGGCAGCTGCCCAAGATTTGGGTCATCTCGGTCATCCTCGGTCTCCTGCTCGCCGCCGGTACCTGGATCATCCGTGGTACGCTCTTCCTCAACAACGGTGGTGTCATCCAGAACTTTGGTAACACGCAGGAGATCCTCTTCCTCGAAGTCTCGCTCACGGAGAACTGGCTCATCTTCATCACTCGTCTGGGCGGTGGTGAGTCGGACATCACGCTCCCCTCGTGGCAGCTGGTGGGCGCCGTGCTGGGTGTCGACGTGATTGCGACTCTCTTCTGTCTCTTCGGTTGGCTCTCGGGTGCTCCCCGCCGCAACCCCGTCACTGCTCCTCACGGTGGCTGGACCGACATTGTCACCGTCATCCGTGTGTATGCCTACTCGATCGGTGTCACCGCCATCGTTGGTGCCGTGTACTACATGCTCAACAAGTGGACCTGGCTCAACAACCTCGGTCGCCGCACTCGATCGCAGAAGAACCCTCTGCTCGAGGACTTCTTTGTCAACCTGCAGCGTCTCACCATTGTTCACGAGAAGAACGACGATGGCGAGGAGCTCTGGGCCTTCCACCCGCGAACCGAGATCGAGGACGAGTAATCGGATCGTTCCCGTTCTTGCTCCGGCTGTCTGTTCGCTGCTGCGTCTCTTGGCGGTAGTAGCGCACAGAGGCCATTCACATTCCCCGACATCGCTGCCGCCACTGGCTACGATGCCATTCTTCCCTCATACCACGTCCCAACTAGATCTATACTCTTTTTCTGCGCCCATTAATGTCTCGGGACCCCACGTCACTCGTTTCATGCTCTTTCAAAGCATCGACGATCGTTTCGATTTTCGCTTTCTTACATCATACGTGATCTTATGGTTCGTTACCCCTGCACGACTCGCAATTATCAGTTCCTGGCTCGTATCGACGTTGTGCGTGTGGCTGTGTGCTTGAGAGGCTGTCAGGAGGCGCGCTTGGCGGCTCCTCCCTTGAAGAGGTTCGGTGAGTTCGATTCGATGTGGCATCAAGCTCAGCTTGCGGATCATCCGACGCCTGGCATGCGATTGTCGTGTCATCCGGAGCGTGTCACCCGGTGGAAAGGAGTCATCTTTCCCACGATGATGTCCATACTCGTGCTTGTCAGCATCTCATCTCGTCGGGTCTCCCTTTGCAGCAATTTGTGCCTCTCCCAGACTGATGCCGGCACGGCCGTTTATTGCTGCGCGCGCACACGGCGCGAGCAATCGCTCTATTGTCACATGCTGAGCCACACAGTCGAGTGCACTGTCGTCTCTCGGCTAATGGAGGCCACGTAGGATGTATCGCAGTCTTGCCCGGCTGACCGACAGCCTTGACCCTGTGAAGGCACCAGCTCGACAACCTTGCACTGCTGCTGGGACCAATGTAGTCACAAAGGGTCACACTTCCGGTACTTTCAGCATCACGACTGTTGTAAAAAGTCGCCAAGAGCAAAGAGAAGAATTCCTCGAGAACCATCCGTAGACCAACTCAGGTCACAAACTACACGGGCGCAGACAAGAAGCACGTTGACGGATGCCCTTTCCATGTCTCTCCTCTCTTGAGACGAATGATTTTTTGAGGAGCTGTGATCAGGGCCAGGGCGAACGCGCAGAGCAAATCTGCTCTATTTGACACGGTCCTTCGCTGAAATGGACAGGAGGAGCTCGGCTAGACCTCGCCCAATTCAGAGCCAGATTTTGCTGCAGGAAAAGAGTGCCGGGCGAGAGTAGCAGCTGCAGGACTGTCTCTCGTTCTTAGCGAAAGATCCCGCGTGAAGTGCAGTAGCCAAAGGGGAAACCCTGCCAGAGAGTGCGCAGTCTGTCTGGTTCTGCGAAGCCCGGGGTCTTTTTGGCTTTTTCGTGTATTTTCCATTACACTGGCCTGGTCAGGCTTCCACAGCACAGTCTTTCAGCAAGGGAAAAAATAGGGTGCACACCGGGACTGCTTCTCTTGCAGGGAGCGCCACACACTGCACAGCGCAGTCTCCGCCTGGCAGGGCTCGATTTCGTTTTTTGACATGAGCTCTCTCTCGCCAGAGAAGACCCTCGCTGCTCATCGTCAAAGCCTCTTTGGTGGGTTGATATCTCGCCCTCGACACGCTCACACCCCACCTACATCATCTCACTCAGCTCCCGACATCCACCGCACCTACTCTGCCTTGCAGTTCCAGCATCAGCTCTCCCCGTCCGCGTTCACGAGCTCGACATTGAGCTGCAGCCTTCCCCTGCCAAGTCACCGCATTCCAATTGGCGTGCAAGTCGGTGGGCTGCCTAAAGACTCGACGCTATCGCTTTGTCGCCCCGCTACTAGCGGGTGCTCAGCCAACAGCTCTACAGCATCGCTTCCTCATCTCGCCGCCCACAGCTACAGCACTCGTCCACACGGCACATCTTTAAAGCTGTCATCGACCTTCACATGATCTGCACAGCACGACTCTAATCGCGATTACAATCCGCCCGTCTCGAGCGACTCCGCATACAAAGATCAGCAGCTCGCACCTTCTCTCTTCTCCGCACTCAACGCTCCGCTCCGCACTTGGTCCGCCATCGCTGCTTCAATCCATTCAAGTCGATAGCTTCCGCATACATATGTGCACTCGCTGAGTCGTGCGGCACTGCAGTCATGACGCCTATGAAAGTAGGCTCCACGAGCGACACCCCTCAACGTATCGTTGTCAAGTCGGTCAACGGACATGAACCCATCAAAGTGGAGCCAGCCTCCTCTTCCAGCGCGTCCGCACCCCAGTCCACTCCATCGCAGCTCACCACACCTCACTCATCTCCCTCCAAGTCCGTCGCCAACGCCGGCTCACCCAGATCACCAGGAAGACCTCGACGAGTGGAGCCCGTCGTCGTCTCTTCTCGCGACTTTGGACCCAGCGCTGGAGGCGACACCGATGACGAGGAAAAGGACGGCGACTCTGAGCCCGCCAAAGCCATGGCTATGAAGAGGCTTAGCCGCAAAAGCAAAGCGGATGCCATGTCCGCCATCTCGGGCAAGGAGTCATCGCCGGTCGATCCGCACTCCGCATCCACCGCCAACGGCGTCAACGGTGTTACGATCCCGGTTCCGGGCAACCCTGCGGCCCACCCTGCACGCAAGATGCTACAGCACCTCTCGTTCCCACCGCTAGCATTCGACACATCGGCCGCAGCGTCGTCCTCTTCATCACATCTGAATCCCGTGGCCGCCGCAGCGCAGCCCGTCATTCCTTCCAGCACAAGCACACCACGCAATCCGCCGCCGCGACTTCGACCCAGACTCTTCGAGCTCGAAGAGGCGCCCACCTTCTACCCATCCCTCGACGAGTTTGCTGATCCCATGAAGTATATCTCTTGGATCGCCGACCCGCAAGGTGGCAATGGTAAGGCGTACGGGATCGTCAAGATTGTGCCGCCCGAGGGATGGAACCCAGAGTGCGTGCTCGACGAGCAGTCGTTCCGCTTCCGCACCCGTGTCCAGCGCCTCAATTCGCTCAGTGCGGATGCTCGAGCGTCCCAGAACTACCAGGAGCAGCTGCAAAAGTTCCACGCACAGCAGGGCCGCAAGCGCGTCTCGGTTCCCGTCATCGATGGCCGCTCCGTCGACTTGTACCAACTCAAACTCGTCATCGCGGGTCTGGGCGGCTACGATGCTGTCTGTCGAAGTCGAAAGTGGTCGGATGCCACTCGCAAGATTGGCTACAGCGAGAAGGACAGCGGTCAGCTCTCGACCCAGGTCAAAGCCGCTTACACGCGCATCATCTTGCCCTTTGAAGAGTTTCTGGCCAAAGCAAAGGAGCAGTCGCGCGCCAATGGGTCCTCCGTCAGCCCGAATCTCGTTCAGAGCGCCACCATGGGCGGTCCCCTCGAAGGCCAAGAAAATGGCATCCACCACGCCTCGATGTCACCCAGTCTCGATGCTACCTCGAACGGACAAAGAAGTGGACTGTCCAAGACACCAGAGCCTTTCACCGCCGCTGGCGCTGCCGAGGCACTAGCCAATGCAACGCCCGTCGTCGATCCAACCACACAGAGCCCATCCACCGTTGCGAGCACACGTCGCAGTGCCCGCAAGAGATCGGAAGCGACGACCACGCCTGCCTCTTCTTCTCGCATGCCGGTGCAGCTCGCTGCCGGTCCGGCAACGCCACTCGCCGGCAGGCGCGGAAGGAAAGGCGTCAGTCCTTACGTCGAGGCGGATGCGCACGATCGCTCCCATGCGGCTCAGAATGGGCAGGAAGAGCAGATGTGCGAAATCTGCCTTCGCGGCGAGGATGGTCTCAACATGCTGCTTTGCGACGACTGCAACCGCGGCTATCACATGTACTGCCTTCAACCCGCGCTCACCTCCATCCCCAAATCGCAGTGGTTTTGCCCACCCTGTCTGGTGGGCACCGGCCACGACTTTGGCTTCGATGACGGCGAGACACACAGTCTCTACACTTTCTGGCAACGCGCCGAGGCCTTCAAGCGCGAGTGGTGGTCGAAGCGCCCAGAACGTCTCTGGAAGCCGGAGTCGGACGGCTCGACCGCATCTGGCAGTGATGCAGCGACGAACGGTCTGGCACGCCGTGTGCACGGCACGGATCTCGTCGTGTCGGAAGACGACGTGGAGCGCGAGTTCTGGAGGCTAGTGCACTGCCAAACCGAAGAGGTCGAGGTCGAATATGGAGCCGACGTGCATTCGACGACGCACGGCAGCGCTCTACCGACGCAGGAGACGCATCCACTCAGCCCCTACTCGCGCGACAAGTGGAACCTCAACAATCTTCCCATTGTGCCCGGCTCGCTGCTGCAGTTCATCAAGTCCGACATCTCTGGCATGACCGTCCCTTGGATCTACGTCGGCATGATCTTCTCCACCTTCTGTTGGCACAACGAGGACCACTACACGTACTCGATCAATTATCAGCACTGGGGAGAGACCAAGACGTGGTACGGCATTCCGGCAGATGACGCCGAGAAGTTCGAGAACGCCATGCGCAAGGCAGCACCCGACCTGTTCGAGACGCTTTCCGATCTGCTCTTCCACCTCACCACCATGATGAGCCCCGAGAAGCTCAAGAAGGAAGGCGTCCGTGTCGTCGCCTGCGACCAACGAGCCAACGAGTTCGTCGTCACCTTCCCCAAAGCGTATCACAGCGGCTTCAATCATGGCCTCAACCTCAACGAAGCCGTTAACTTTGCGCTGCCCGACTGGATCTTTGACGACCTCGAGTCCGTACGCAGATATCAGCACTTCCGCAAGCCAGCCGTCTTCTCCCACGATCAGCTGCTCATCACGGTCTCACAGCAGAGTCAGACCATCGAGACGGCCGTGTGGCTCGAGGCTGCCATGCAAGAGATGGTCGACCGCGAGTTGGCCCAACGGAACGCCCTTCGCCAGATCATTCCGGATCTTCAGGAAGAAATCTATGAGGAGGACGTGCTCGAGAGCCAATACATCTGCGCTCACTGCACCCTCTTTTGCTATCTCGGTCAGCTGACCAGTCCGAAGGCGGACGGCGTTGCTTGTCTGGATCACGGCTTTGAAGTATGCAATGCGGATGCACCCACCAAATGGACGCTCAAGCTGCGCTTCTCGGACGATCAGCTTCGTTCCATCCTCGCCAAGGTCTGCGAGAAGGCGGCCATCCCTCGAAACTGGACCCAGCGCCTCATGAAGACGCTAGCACTCGGTCCCAATCCTCCCCTCAAGGCGCTTCGTTCGCTGCTGCACGAGGGCGACAAGATCGCTTTCTCCTTGCAACCGCTCGAAGACCTCAAGACTTTTGTCGCCTGTGCCAACTCGTGGGTCGACCGAGCCAATGTCTTCTTGGTCCGCAAGGTGCACAAGAGGCGCGGTGAGCCCGCGGCTGCCCCTGCTGGAAGAGGAAGACGATCCAAAGGCGGCCTTGGCGGCGGTGACGACAGCTTCGCGAGACGGCAGAGCATGGACGCAACCGCAGAAGACGCTGATGTCGCTGCGGATCGAAGTCCCGAGGCTTTGTACTCGCTTCTCGCAGAGCTCGACGGACTCCACTTTGACGCGACGGAGATTGGCTCCCTTCGGACGCTCGTGCAGGAGCTCGAGGAGTTCATTGGACGAAGTGACGAGATCATGCGACTGCGAGACACGAGCAACGAGGCCAGCCTCAAGGACTGCGAGAGCGTCCTCACGCTCGGCAGCTCTCTCAATGTCGACGCGCCGCAGATCAAGGAGCTGTCGGACTACGTCGAGCGCCGCAAGTGGGTGCAGGAGGTCACTGAGGCGCGCGAGACCTACCTCTACTACCACGAAGTGCAGGAGTTGCTCGAACGCGCTGACAGCTGCGGTCTGGGCGATCACGAGCTGCGCAGGGACCTCGAGCAGAGACGCGATGCTGGTCAACGCTGGACCGAAAGAGCACGAGAATGGCTCGAGGGTGTTGTGCCTATCACGATCGGCGTACTGGAAGAGCTTTCCGAATCGTCCGCCGAGATCCCTGTCGTGCTGGAAGTGGCGCAGAATGTCACGAATGCGCTCGCCAAGGCCAAGGACCTCCAAAAGAGCGTCCAGACGCTGCACAAGGGCCTCCAAGCGGGTGGCTCAGGCGGCACCGGAATCGACGCCGACGGTGATCTGTCGATGATCTCGGTCTCGGAGAACAGCGAAGTGGCTGAGCGAATGGCTCTCCTTCCTGACGCTCGCCGCGTCCTTCGCGCCGTCAGGTCGCACAACCTGGACCTCGACCACATCCAAGAGATCGAGGAAGCTGTACAGGTCTACGATGCCTGGCGAGCCTCCTTCAACCACATCATGCAGGGCATTGCCCCCGGATCTCGACGCCTCACCGACACGGATCGCGAAGAGGAACTTCAGAAGCTGGTGGAGCGAGTCGAGCATGCCACCGACCCTTCCGACGACCAGCTGAGGACTTCTGCACGCAACTGCATCTGCAGGAGCTCAGCGCCCATCGCCGTGCCTTCCTCTTCGGGGGCCGAGTGCACCCGCTGCCAGGTCCGATACCATCTCTCGTGCATCAAAGTGCGGCCCTCGGAGGTCACCCGCGCCGAGAACGGCTGGGCTTGTCCGTTCTGTCCCTGGGACGGCCGCGCTGCCTTCCTCAAGAATCGCAAGGCCGTCACCGTATTCGATCTTTCCAAGCTCGTCTACGACCAACCTCATCGACGAGACCAGTTCAAGTTCCTGCCGGTGGAGTGGGACGCGATCGAGGAAGTGGTGGCCAAAGCGAAGCGCTTCGAGACAGCAGCCAAACGCATGATCAAGACGCTCTCCATGATGCGCCAGGAGCAAAAGCCCAACGTGCTCGCACATTGGTTGCGTCGCGCCATCTGCTGCCCCGTCGACGTGCTCGGTCCGGAAAGGGTCAACATGCTTGAGATCATCAGCGAGAATCTGCTCGCCTTGGCCCCGGAGATGGCGCATGTCAGAGCTGCGGCGCCCGTCGAGCGCGCGAACGTACCATTTCCTTCGCGAGCCGACGACCAGAACGACCTCACAGCGCAGCAGCCGAGCTCGTCTCGCTTCACAGCTCCTGGTGACCGCGATTCTGGCTCACCAGCTGTGCGCGAGGACCGCAAGCGCAAAGCCAAGAGAGGCAAGCGTGCCAAGCTCGTCTTCCGAGAAGAGATCGGCATTGGAGCCTACCGCGATCGCCAGCCGATCTACTGTCTCTGCCATGAGCCGGAGAGCGGTCGTATGATTGCCTGCGACAAGTGCATGCTGTGGTTCCACACGCATTGCGTGCGTCTGGACGACCCGCCCAACCTCGGCAACGAGCCATGGAACTGTCCCATGTGCTGCATCAAGGCGGAACGTAAGTATCCTCAGGCCGAAGTCAGGGTCAAAGACATTGGCGTCACCGACCCGGAGCTCTGGCTTGACATTCGCGCCACGCTGCGTTCGCTCGAGAAGCCCGTCAGCAAGGTCCAGACGTGGAGCAGTCCGGAAAACAAGCGGATCGTGCTGCATCTCGAAAAGTTCACGCCGGCCATTCATGCCGAGGAGGTGCATTCGCAGATCAGTAAGCGCGCCAAGCTCGACGCTGACACGCCGAGCAAGGCGCGCCCTTCGCTGGGTCGGGCCGACTCGAATCCTACGCCTGCGAAGGAGAGCGGTGCTCTTCCATTCGCACCGCCTCCTGTGCCAAGCGAGGCTGCTCGTGGGATCGTGCCTGCGCCGGCGCCAGCTGGTCCGAGCCAGCCGCCTCCCGCACCTGCTGCTGCCACGGCCGAGACGCCTGCACCAAAGTCCGCGAGGAACGACGAGTCGTTCGCTCCCTACTCGACGCCAAAGTGGGAAGGACAGTCAAGGCACGATTGGGCCGATGCGGTGGAAAGACGAAATGCCGATGGCATGGACCATCTCTACCGTCGCGGCGTCACCGATGCCATGCTCCTCCGTTTCTACATTGGCTGGAACGGCCGCAGCCTCGTTCATGCTCTGCGAGATGCGGCGGGCAACATCGTCGAGGTGCCTCTTGGCGATGCGATCCGCTTGCACCCGGACGATCCCGAGGGCGTGCGCGTGATTCGCGCTGCCGTGGATCGACACTTGGGAGGAGGCCCTGCTCGCTCTGCGCCTTATCACGGCTATGGTGGCGAGATGGACGGAGACTACCCGATTGCGCCCTACAGGGGTGTGGATGGTCACTATGGATCGCAGCGACGCGAGCCTCCGATCGTGCCTTCCAACGGTCGATTCGACATGAGGTCGCCTGGTATGATCCCATCGCAGCGACTCGGCAACGGTCGAGAGTACGACCCTGAGCGCGAGCGCGATCTGCACGATGCAGCGTCACCCGCTGTCCGAGCCAATGCGCCGCGCGAGATCATGCCGACGTACGCACGAGTCGACGGTCAGTCTGGAACGAGTCCCTATCCGGGCGCTGCTGAGCTGAGCCGCCAGCCGTCTTCGCTGGATCGAGTCCCACCCTACCCACCTGCCGGCCGCAGCACCGCACCACACGCCGATCTAGACGCTCCACGAGGCCCCCCACCCCCCATCCCCACCTACTCGTCGGCCAAGCTCGAGCCCACTAACGGCTCAAGCGCGTATCCGGCGCTAGTCCTCGACCCGGCGATGATGGAGGATGACGCAGCAGGTCAGATCGATCCCAGCCTCACCGACGCCCCTCCCCCCGTGCCGGCAGCGGCGGCATCAACAGAGCCCGCACGCAAGAGCATCACCCCCTCACCCGCCATGGAGAGTGGAGCGGAGAAAGAAGGAAAGGAGGAAGCACAGAGCGTACGCGAACAGGCCCGACAGATGGCCCGTAAGATGCGGCCCGATGCCAGCGAGGAGGAGATCGAGAGGCTCGTGGCCAATTTTGTTGGCGGCGAGGGCTAAGCACCCATTCACAATGGCGACCTCATATACAGCCTTCTCAGTTTCAATAATAACACAGCGAGCACTCTTATACGCAGCGATACACAGCGAACCTCATGCACAGCGATCCTGCAATTGACACACAACCATACCAGACCTCTTACGCGAGATTGTTAGAAAGAAGTCCATTATTCATCAATTCTACAACTTGACCTGACCAGCGGCGATGCTCTTGTAGTGCTCGGGCAAGAAGGGCTGATAACCATCCGCACCGGGGGGCAACCAGAAGAGGCGGTCGGAGCCGCACTTGTCGTGCTCGATGCCCTGATTTCTCAGCTGGACCTTTTGCTGTTTGACGGTGCCGGTCTGTTCCATGGCGGGGACGACGCGGATGAAGAGGGGTACGGCGTATTTGGGGAGGCTCTTTCGTGCGGCTTGGGCGAGAGTCTTCCAGTCGATGCGGGATGCCTCGTCGGCAGGGATGGCGGCGCAACCTGCACGACCGTCGTGAGCGGGCACCAGAACACCGTAGACGTTCGCCTCGCCAACCACTTGACCGAGCGCATTGGCCACTTCTTGCGTCGAAACGTTCTCCGATCGCCATCGGAACGTGTCGCCCATTCGATCGCCAAAGTAGAAGAATCCATCCGCATCCTTGGTCATCAGATCACCCGATCGGAACCACGCATCCCCCTTCTTGAGCGCGTCGTTGAGGATCTTCTTCTTGGTCGCATCCGGGTTATCGGCGTATCCCTGGAATTTGGAGATGGAAGAAGTGCCGATGCGCATGACGAACTCGCCCGCCTCGTTAGGCTTGCATTCGACGCAGAAACCCGTCTTGGGATCGCGGTAGATGTCCTCGGTGATCGCATCGACGCGGATGATCTTGAAGTCGGGACGGACGATGCCGGCGACACGACCCATGCGACCCACCGCACCGGCTCCAAAGGGACCCGTGTTGTAGTTGATCAGCGCGCCATTGCCTTCGGACGAGGCGAAAAATTCGGAGATGACACGAACACCGTAACGCTCGCGGAACTTCTCCCATACGTCGGGGCGCATGCCGTTTCCGTAGGCCATGCGAACGTTGTGCTTCTTGTCGAGGGGCGAAGGGGGGACTGCGAGCAGGTAGCGTGCGATCTCACCGATGTACTGCACGACGGTAGCGTCGTACTTGCGCACCTCGTCCCAGTACTTGCGCGCGGAGAACTTGCGGCCGATGATGACGGTGCTTCCCGAACACAGACAGGCCGAGATGCACAGGAACAAGGCGGAAGAGTGGTACAGCGGCATGGGCGTGTAGATGCGATCGTTGGTGGAGAAGTTGTTGAAGACGGGCCAGACGGACGAGGCGGTGCCCATGCGGCCGTGCGAGCAGAGCGCGGCTTTGGGGAGACCCGTGGTGCCCGAGGTGTAGATGAGCGCGGCGGTGGTGGATTCGCCGACGTCCTTGCGGTACTTGTCGTCGATGCGCTTGGCCGAGTACTTGGCGAGCTCGGTAGGGCCGAATGGGATCTTGTTCTTCAAGGGCTTGGAGACTTCGATCGCGGCTTTCTCCGTGTCGCCGTCAGCGGGAGTGATGCCGTCGTCGTAGCACAGGAAGCTCTCGAGCGTCTTGCCCAGCAACTCGTCCTGCACCTCCGACACCGTCCCCTCGAGATAGGGCTCGTAGACCAGCATCTTGGCCCTCGCGACCGTCACGCAGTGCACCAGACTCTTGTCGGTCAACGAGTTGTTGATGAAGGCGGGCATGACATTGATGCACATGCAAGCGAGGTACCACTCGATGATGGCCACCGAGTTGCCCATGAAGATGGCGACGCGATCGCCCGCCTTGAAGCCGCGCGAGAGGAGGTAGTTGGCGATGCGGTGGACATCTTTCGCGACCTCGCCCCAGGTGAAGCTCTTGCCGAGGTAGACGTAGGCGACGGCATCGGGACGCTTGGTGGCTTGGGCGTCAAAGTACTCGTAGATCGAGAGTTTGTTGCGCCAGGAGCGGATCTTGTGCTTGATCTCGCCGCCGGAAGCGCCGCGGCCGAGACGGATGTCGGAGGCGAGACCGTGCTTGGCGTCGAGGTAGGCGATCGCCGCGAGGGAGGCGGCGGCTTTGGCGATGGCTGCCATGGTGCCGAAATTAGGTTGGGGTGGGACGATGGAGTGGATGGAGTGGTGGGAGACAAAAGCGATGGCTGAGCGAGATGAAGCTCAGGCGCGGTTGTTGCTCTCAAGCAGGCTTGGTAGTAAGTTGATCGAGGTGAGAGGGGATGCAATCGATGGAAGCACGAAGGGAAGCGCTCTCCCAACGATGGGACCAAAAAAGTGGGCTCAAGCGGTCATTGTCTGGATGGCGGTTGAAAGCGTTGGAAAGACTAAATGTGCCATGCAGCGCCAACTGGAGCATGGGAGAGAGACTCAGACTGCCGTCGATCTGCCCCGCTTTGGCAGCGCAGCTCTGACGTTGGAACGTACAATTTGAATACAATGGCTCATGCAGTGTAAGTGCAGATGTATGCAGACCCTGATACGCATTTGAATTTGGTGCGCAGGGGTGAAATACAAATTCGAGTTTCACGGATCCACCAGAATGTCTCGTGTGGGGAAGATCCTTGCCGAAAGCAGCGTCTCTGGTCGAGCCAAACCAGACCCACCGTCTGGCCCTCGTCTTCCATCGCTGAGCTCGACTTTCAGCGTTATCGGTGCAATCTGACATTCGGTTGCTCCGACAGCTTGGCCCTATCCGACACCTCGTACCGGACGGCATCTCAGTATTGTGGGAACACCTGCACCGCCCGCTTCGGCATATCATCAAGAGCAATTCAGGATTCCTTTGCTACGGTCGCCGCTCTGAGCATTACACACCACTGATACTGGCAGACGAGAGCTGAGCGCAGACTGGCACGTGCGCCGTTGTGCACAGCGTTGGTGGATCGACGCTACTAGCTTGCCCCTGCATCCTCTCGCATCTCGACCTGCAAACCCCACGGACAGCACTGAGCAGCAGCCATCATGGCGCTCAACTGGGTCATGCTCGACCACAGCGGTCGCAAACCCCTGCCTCTCCCACAGGAGCAAGTCCTGGCCCATATCGGCAAGACATCGCTGCAGCTTGACTACGCATCAAAGGGCATCAGCTACAGGGCCGAAGGCGATGCCTTGATCACTTCACATCGCTTCGTCTTCATCCGTCAGGCTCAAGCGACCGCTCCACCGGACCCGACGGTGCTTAAGTCGCTCTCGGTCCCGCTCGACCACTTCCAAGCGAGCAAATTCATCATCCCCATCTTCACCGCAGCCTACCTCCAAGCCGATGTCTACTCCGTACCTCAGGGCGGACTGCCGGAACGACAGCCTGGAGAAGAGTCGCACCCCGTGGGCAAGCTCAAGCTGTGGTTCATGGAGTCGGGTGGTATTGCCTTTCGCGACGCCGTCGACAAGGCGAGGACGCTGTGGCAGAAGCATCGCCAGGAGGAACAGGACGAGAACGCTCTGCCGGCTTACGAGCCTCCGGCTGCATGACACGAGCGAGCGAACGACACCGAACACATAATTCAACCTCCGTCGCCATGACTGATACTGCTTAAAGCGTCCTCGACATTTGCTGATAGCTGAAGCTCGAAGCGGGACCGCTGAGAAGGAAGGACCCTTGGCACAAGCTCAAGCATGCCAAACGCCGGTCGGATCGGGCTCGGCCGGATGGCTTATCGAGATCACGGCTGATTTTTCGGAGTTATTACTCACGCCACACCGGCTATCGAAGCTGCTTTTGCCCTCAAACCCTCCGGCTTTCTTGAAGATTTTATTTTAGCAAAAATAAAGACGGATTGCAAAGACGCCGAGCAAAGGGCCGAGCCTGCTCCTATCGACGTCGTGCACACCATGGCTATGAGGTTAATGTAGCATGTCGGGCTTTGGGATCGCGTGTTCCGTTGGAGAAAGGCTCAAGGAAAGACGCTTGTCCTTATGCTAACCGCTTTTGCTCGTGATTGAAGGACGAGACACGAGTATAGAAGCTATGTCCGCCAGCGCAAACGCCAGGCTGTCGAGCGAGTCACATTCGAACATCTCTTTTGTGAGCGGCTCAAGAGTCGGCAGATGGTCGCCCGGACACGTCGCCACGATGCGATCTACTGGCGCAAGCCTGTTCACAATGGCCACAGGCATGCCGAGCAAACCACCGAGAACCCTCATGCCAGTATTCTCCACATGTCATCCTGTCTTGCTCTGAAGGGAGAGATCTGTCGATACGAGGCAAGCTCCACGTTTGGAACTGCTTGCTAGCAATACACCGCATGTCGTGCTAGTCGAACGTCGCCTGGTATTTCCACAGCGAGAAGCGAACATGAAGCGGGGACGATGAAGCGGTGACCATGAGCCGTCCCTCCGTCTACGTTCCGATGTTCGTACCTCCGAAAAGCTTCAACGGGTACTCGCGAGCTTCGATAAGTGTGTGTGCAACATAAGACCACACGCATGCATCGAGACGATCAGGCTTTGGCGTACCATAGGGTTGCGGTGTTCGGTCAATTGGTCGGCTTTGCATTTTACTGCGCTTCAGTTTCCTTCCGCTACAACGTCAAACTACGCCGAGTCGCTTGTCACAGCGCTCGCTGACTGGATCGGCTGTGACGCTTTCGAATTTATCGAATTTTTAAAAAATCATTTTCGGGTTTTCTTTTACCGTGTCACAGTGGGCACAAAGCCTTGAGGATCCGGCCACGCTAACTCGGCTATGCTGCTATGGTAACCCCTCGCCTGTACGACCTCTAAGGTCCTAGTCACACTCACTTCTCCTCCTTCCATCACCACCATCTCGTATCTCCGTCCACATCTGGAGCGGGCACTTCGTCCATCATACTGAGCATATATACCAGCTTCCAGAACAAAGCGATTCGGCTTTGGTCTCGACTACAGCAGCCACCTCCCTCGCATAGACACCTCTAGACCGGATTGACATGCACCAGCACACATCGCAATCATCATCGATCTCAACATGACGTCCAGCAGTAGGAGTAGCAGTCAGCATCGTCCGCACCAGCCGCCTTCGTATTGGGGTGCGGAACAACAACCCCTCACACTCCAGGCACCATCAGCCTCTCGACCACAATCCCGCAACAACTCTTCCCACTCTCTACATGCATCGTCCTCGTCGACATCGCATACCCGCTTAGGATCAAGCGGTCTTCCTTCGGCAACGAGCTCCAGTGACGCCGACAAGAAGCAGTTTCCCGCCTCATCCTCAGCTTCCGCATCTCTTCATTCTTCCAATGATCACGAGGAGCACGGCGACTTGCCAGGCCCCCTTCCCACCACGCACACTCTCCAGCCGCTCTCGTCTCGCCTCTCAAGAGCAGACTCGCGATCCAAAGCGCAGCGATCCGACGCCGTCAATTCGCAGCAACCCAACACTGGCCGTCCACGTTCCGCATCGAATCGCTCTGTATCTTATCTAGATGCCATCAAGAAACCCTCCGACCTGCATCGCGCTTCCTCGCGCGTATCCTCCATACACCGATGTGAAGATCCTCCGTTCCCAGCCTCCGCTCTTGGGCTGACGCTCACGAAGTCGGAAGATCCAGACGCCATCTACATAGACTGGCCCGCGGATGACCCCGAGAACCCTTTCAACTGGCCTACATTACGCAAGTGGATTCTCGTCTCGGTCTGCTTCCTCTTCACCGCCTGCACCGCTTTCAACGGTTGCGGTTACCCTTCTGCTTCGTATCAGGCCTCGGTCGACTTGCAAACAACGCAACTGGTCTATCTCGTAGGTAACGCAGTCTTTCTCTTTGCTGTGGCCATCACGCCGCTCATGCTGGCTCCTCTCAGTGAAGTTTACGGTCGAAGCCCTATCTACCTCACTGCCGTCGGCTTCTTCACGGTGCTTTACATCCCACAAGCCCTGGCCAAGAACATCACCACCATCATTGTCGTCCGATGGTTCCAGGGCATGGCCGCGTCGGTCGGAAACTCCTTGGTCGCAGGTAGCGTCTCTGACCTGTTCCACGCCAACGAGCGCGGCTTTCCCATGTCGCTCTACTCGATCTCGGTCTACGTCGCGCAGGGAGTCTCGCCCTTCCTCTCGTCGATGACAGTCAACCGTGCGAGCTGGCGCATTATGTTCTGGTGGCAGGGTGGTCTCGCTCTCCTCACCTACGCACTTATGTACCTCGTGCTTAAAGAGACCCGTGGACCCGTCCTCCTCTCGCGACGTGCCAAGAAGCTCACTGCCGAGACGGGCCGCCTGCACAAGTGCCGCGCCGACGACGAACGCCAATCCTTCCTCATCATGGTCCGCGTCTCGCTCTTCCGTCCCATGCAATACCTCGTCCTGGAGCCTGTGGTGCTCAGCTTCACGCTGTGGATCGGCTTCCTCTGGGGCGTGCTGTTCATTTCGCTCGAAGCGGTGCCAATCGTTTTCTCCGGCTATGGATGGAATTCCGAACAGCAACACATGGCCCTGCTGACCATCGCGGTCGGCGGTTTCATTGGCTACTTTGCCAATATCCATCAGGAGAAGCTGTACGCACGCAAGGCGAGAAAGTGCGGTGGAAAGCCACCTCCGGAGGCCAGGCTGTACTATGCCGCTGCTGGTGGAATTCTCGCCCCTATCGGCCTGTTCATTTTCGCCTGGACGGGCAGGCAGGGAATTTCACCCGTCGCGCCGCTCATCGGCCTCGTCGTCACTTTTGCCTCGCTTTTCCCCATCTACCTAGGTAAGCTCATTCCTTTCTTTCTCTTTTCCTCTCACAACGTCATGCTGACCTTCCCCTACCCTTTTCCCATCCCTCCGGGTGTCAAACGGCAAACTTTGGTCAAAAGCCACATTTTCCTTCCTTGCTGACGTGTATGAGCGGTACGCGAGCTCCGCTCTGGCAGCCCAATCGTTCCTGCGTAACACGTTTGCGGCGTTCTTCCCGCTCTTCTCGCAGACCATGTACGTGCAATTGACGCCCAAGTACGCCTCGACGCTGCTGGCGTGCATCGCGGCGTTGTTGGGCGTGGTGCCGTTCGTGCTGCTCAAGTACGGCCATCGGATCCGCAAGCATAGTCGGGCGGCGATGGCGTTGGAGAGGGAGGAGCAGGAGGCGGCCGAGTTCCTGGCACATGAAGGTGAGAAGCAGAGGAGGAGCGAGGCGAGACGCGCAGCTCGCGCTGCGAGGATCGCTGCTGCCAACGGACAGGGTGGACTGGTGGATGAGGAGAAGATCGTCGATCGCGAGGAGAGGAAGGAGGACGGTGACACGAGTAGTGACGGAAGCGATACCCCGGCCGTAGAGCCAAAGGGAAGAAGGGACTGCGACGACTGCAACAACTTCAAACGCATGCCTCCCACCAGCATCTTGTAGATGAGACAGCTGCACGTCAGCGCATTCAACCACACCAGCATTCATGTTTCATCCCACCCGCATTGTAAGCCTTTGTGCCTTTCTGGGGTGCCTTTTGAGTTTAATGAAAGTTGCCAATCAGACCAGCCGCCATAACACCCGCATCTCATCTCATTTCTGCTCGTGCCTGTCGTTGACCATCGCCGAGGCTCTCCCTTGTCGTTCCATTGATGATCAGGACATTGATCCGCCGCACGCATTTGACAACGGTTCGACACCAGTGACTCCCGCTGCAATGGATGTTGATCCGCCTCAGCAGGCCGATCCTGGTCCGATACCCCCCGCCAACAACACACCAGACAGCTCAACCGTCGTTCCACCACCTTCCATCGCCCTTTGTCCGATTCCCTCGCCGGCTTTGTCTTGCACTTGTTGATCAGCCACTTGCGGTACCTTTTGCCCTCAAAGTCGCAAGCGCACCTCATAGCTGGCACCGTGTCGCTACACGATGTTTGGATGGAGCTGCAGCCTCGGAGGGTGCAGCCCTTGGTCGTGATCCAACGGATCTCTCCATCCAGCCCAAAAAATCCTGCGATTGCGGCGTTGCTGAAGGTGAATGGTTGAGACGGATCGAGAGACTTCAAGCGGATGGCAGGCGCGTTGGGTCCAAACCATTTGATAAGCGAACAGCGAGCTTGAATGGCGTCCCTGACGGCTCCTCGGCGTGTATCGGTAGGACACCGAGCGAGGGCAGGGTTGGCGGTGATCAGGGGGCTGCCTTGATTGGAAAAGAGCTTGTCAAGTTTGAATTCCGAGGCGTTGTCGTCCTCGAGATCGGTAGCGAGATGAGCTGTGCGAGCTGCTTCGTTGAAGATGGTCAAGTACGCGAGGTTCCATTTGCGAAAGATAGCTCGAAGCTTTGCCGGAACGACGAGCAGGAACTTGCGAGATCGTGCATCCGTCAGAGGTGGCTTGTTGTTTGATGGACCGGGTCGAAAGGCGCGAGCACGTTGATTGCTGATGGCCTAGGGCCATGATCGACTCGACTTCGTCCCCAAGATCGCCTGGGTCGAACAGACCATAATCGGTCGGTACCTCATCATCGCTCAGATCAACGAGTGTTCGAACGGCCAGCGTTGCACCGGCCCAATCTCGTAGTGATGAAACTGCACGTCGAGCCAGATGCGGGAGAACGCCGGATGGCCGAAACCGTTCTGAGGAAAGGGATCCTGAAGCAGGCAGCCGAAGGAGTCAGTTGATGATAGCAGTCGCCTGCGGCCTTCGAGCCGCTGCTGAGAGGCTGCCGGAAGGACGAGTCGAAGCG